TTTACTCTAAGTTTGAAAAAGCAAAAAAGTTTTTTTTACTGAAATCTTGAGTGTATTTTAGAAAAAATGGTTATCAATATGGTTATCTGTAGAAAACTCATAAAAGTTTTCATGTAAATCTCTTAAAAGTTAGTATTTTCAAGAAAAAAAATATTTTTTGTGGTAGAAATCAAGCAATTTTTGAAGCTTTTTATCTAAACTCTTAAAGTTTTCTAAAAAAAAAACTCTTAAACTTTTATAAGGAAACTCTTAAAAAGTTTTCTGGTAAAAAATTTAGAGTCGTTTTTTAATAAATCTCTTGAAAATTTTCATGGATAACAACTAAAAACTCTTCAATATTTTTTGCCAGAACTCATAAAACCACTTTTTTTTATAAAACTCATAAAATTTACTGCAAAAATCCGAAAAATTATTTTTAGAAATATTCGTTCTTTGTTTTGAATAATGAAACTCATAAATTTTCTAGCTAATTCTTAGAAAATTCTAGCAAAGCCTATAAATTAAAAATAAAACTCATGAAGCTTTGTAGATAAACTCTTTATATTTTTTCTGACAAACTCTTTATTAACCTTTTGTATAAAGAAACTCTTGGAGTTTTCTAATCAAACTCTTAAAATTTTTAAATTTAACTCTTACAGTTTTTTAACTAAACTCTTACAGTTTTCTAACTAAAATTTTAGATTTTTTCTAAGTTTTATACTTAAACTCATAAATTGTTTTAAATTTAACTCATAGATTTTTCTATCTTAACTCTCAGAGTTTTCTGACTAAACTCTTAAAGTTTTCTAACGAACGAGTTTCCTAACAAAACTCTAAGAGTTTTCCAAATAAAAAACTCTTAGAGATTTTCCAACAAAACTTTTAAGAGTTTTCTACTTGAACTCTTAGAATTTTCTAGTCAAGCTCTTAGAGTCTTTTTCGTCTCAAATTATTAACGGCTAATAATTAAAAATTCTTCCAGCGAAACTGGTTAAATATTTTTTTTTAGAAAAACTCTTAAAGTTTTCAAGAAGAACTCATAATTTTCCGGACAATACTTTTATTGAAAATTTATAGTCTTAATTTTCGTGGTTTATACAGTAAAACTCATAAAATAAATTTGCTAGCATAACTTTTATTCTCTATAATGAAACTCATAAAAAATTATTTTAAATTATTTTTTAACGAAACTCTTAGCTTTTTAATTAAATTCTACCATAAAGATACATGTGGTAACTGCTTAGATGCTGTCCTTCCGGTTTTGCATTCTTTTTAAAGCTGTGGCATTTCTACCACTATTTTATGAGTTCATGCGGCAAATTAGTCACGAACTAATAAAATTGTGATAGAAATGCCACGGTTTTTAAAAAAATGTACAAACCGTAAGGGGGACAGCATATAAGCAATTACCTGTACTTGAAATAAATTCATAGCTTTTTAGCTGAAAAATAATAAGAAATATTATTTTATTTTGTTTCTATTTTTCGTCAGTCTATTGCAACAATAGTAATAAATGGTTATTTTTAGTCGGAGCTGAAGAAGCAGAGAATTTTGTTGCGCGCATGCGCAAAACAAGTTGTGTTGGTTATATGGGATTGCGTAATGAGGTTCAGCAAACCCTCTTCTCATTTTTCGTCCTCTTCTTCTTCATCATTATCGTCTTCGTCACTGAAGCCCAAAACGCTATTGTTAGACGATCTAGCGACTTGAGTACCGGGGGCTTTAATAATAAAACTAAACGCCACGTTTCGAAACGCGGGTCATCGTAATTTTAGAACGGGCGAGCAGAGAAGTCGAAGAATGGGAGAAAGGGAACACATGATACTAGGAAGCGAGAGAGAAAGAGAAAGAGAGAAAAAAGAGAGAGAGAGAGAGAGAGAGAGAGCGTAAATACAAAAACGAAACTGTCTGATGCAATAGTGAGGGAGACATAAAATATTCTTCTTCTTCTTCTTCTTCGTTTTTCCCCCACCTTTTCCCTATTTAGCAAAACACATGTGGCTGTTTCGTAACTTGGGCGAATTCCATTTTCCCTTTAAACCTGTTGATATATATATACTCTTTTTTTTAACTTCTTTTTTGCGTAATTCCATATTGAAATACAATTAATGGTACTTTTACAATGCAATGCTAAATTTTTTAAAAATAAATTTAAAAAAAATAAACAAGTTTTATTAACCCCTTGTTGACTCTGGGACACATTTGTCCCACTTTTGAAAAATCTATGCTATTCTTATAAAAGTCAACCGTTTAATTTGCGATAAATTTCTTTCTATTCCGAATGGCCTGCGCTACAATTAAAAAAATAATAAATTATGTAGTATGATTATAATTATTATATAACCCTTTCGTGCCTCCGGGTCATATATGTCCCACTTTGAAAAATTAATACTATTCTTATAAAAGTCAACCAATTAATTTGCGGTAAATTTCTTTCTATTCCGCAAGGCCTGTGCTACAATTAAAAAAATAATAAATTACCTAGTACAATTATAATTATTATAAACAATACGTAAGAAAATATCGAAATCTAATTTTTCAAAATTTCTTCAAATTTCCTTAAAACTTCTTATTCAGAATTTTTTGGAGTCACTGATTACGAATTTAAAGTAAAATTCTCAAAATGGTGAACATTTTATTCTTCAAATCTGATCAATTTTGCTTGAAACATTGTTATTCGGGGGGTCTTCAGGGTCACAATTTTGAATTTTTTATATCTGACTTTAGATTCGTAATCAGCGACCCCGAAAACCCCGAGTAACAAGTTTTCTGTAAATTTGAGTAATTTTGTAAAAAATGTCCGACATATTGGATCCGCCATTTTGAATTTTCAAAATTTTGAAAACCTTTGGAAGCCCAGGGTTGAGACACTAAATACAGGAAAACAGTAAACTACTAGGAAAATATTTTTATTGAAAAAAGACTTTCGATATCTTGGTTGAAGAAATCGCAGGGGTTTGGACTCTAGAAAAAGAAAGAAATATTTCAGGGTTGGAATACTAATATACGGAAAAAACTAGATAATTATTTATTAATAAAAAGCAAAAGTTTTTAAATTATTAGTTTTAGAAAGCGCAGGACTGGGACACTATTTAGTAAAAGAAATAAATATGTCAGAGTTGGGACACTAAATACAGGGAAAAAAATAAAATACTAGAAAAATGGGACACTATGTAGAAAGAGAATGAAATATTTCAGGATTGGGACACTAAATAGAGGGAAAAATAAACTACCAGAAAATGGGACACTATTTAGAAAAAAATATATCAGAATTAGGACACTAAATAGAGGAAAAACATAAACAACTGGAAAATTATTTTTATTGAAGGAAAACTTTTGATTTATTTTTAGTAGAAAATGCAGGGTTAGGACACTAGAAAAAGAAAAAAATAATTATAGAGTTGGAATACTAAATACATAAAAATATAAACTAATAGAAAAATATTTTTAGTGAAGAAAACTTTCGAATTCTTGTTTGTAGAAGGCACAGGACTGGGACACTATTTAGAAAAAAAGAAAATTATTTCAGGGTTGGGACACTAAATACAGGGGAAAAAATATACTAGAAAAATATTTTTATTGAAGAAAAACTTTAGAATTCTTGTTTACATGAAATTCAAGGTTGGGACACTATTTAGAAAAGGGATTTCAGAGTTGGGACACTAATAAGAAAAAACAGAAATAAGTTTTATAATATTTTTAACGTCTTTAAATGAACATCCACCGATTTACAGTTAATGAGACAGAAAGCACATAGTTGGGACACTATTTAAAAGAGTATATCAGGGTTGGGACACTAAAAATGGAAAAGAAAGAAATAAAAAATATATTTTTAAAAGTCATAGAATATATAACTTTAGCATTTTGATTATTAGACAAGAAGAGCAGATTTGGGACACTATTTAGCGAAAGACGGCGATATTTCAGAGTTGGGACACTAATAAGAAAAAACGTTTTTGCTAATAAAATTAGTTTTTGCTAATATTTTAGCGTCTTTGAATGAAGATCCATCGATTTAATAAGACAGACATTAGTTAATAAGACAGAAAGTACAGAGTTGGGACACTATTTAAAAAAGGTATATCAGGGTTGGGACACTAAAAATAGAAAAGAAAGAAATAAAAAAAACTAGCAAATATTATTTAAAGCCTTAGAAAATATAACTTTTGAATTTTGATTATTAGACAAGAAGAACAGGGTTGGGACACTATTTAACGAAAAGAAATGATCTTTCAGGGTTGGGACACTAAATACAGAAGAAAAACTTAAATGTTAGAAGATATTTTTAAAAGAAGAATAATAATTTTTGAGTTATAGTTTTTGCGACGAAAGCTCAAGGCTGGAACACTATTTAGAAAGAGGTTAAGGGTTGGGACACTAAATACAAAAAAAACTAATGTAGTTTTAGATCAAAATTTTCACTGAAGAAATATTGAATCGCTAATTTTTAGTATGAAATTTGCAATTTTAGGTAAAATCGGTAATTTTTAGTATAAAATTCGCAACTTTTGGTAAAATTGGTACTTTTCGGTATAAAAATTCGCAAATTTCGGTAAAAAAGGGTAATTTCTGTATAAAACACGTAATTTTGCATTAAATACGTAGTTTTTGATTCAAAACGTATTTTTTAAAATTAATACTTGTATTCGAAGCTAAAAAGTCAAAGGAAGAGAAATTTGAGTAATTTGACTAAATACTATAAAATTTTCACCTGAATAAATAAAGTTAACAAAACAAACAAACAATATATAAAACAAACTGAAAGAAAAGAAACTAAAAAAATTGTATTTAAACTTTTTTTTGTAAAAATATTTAGTTTAGAAACTTCAAAAAGGATCAATTGTCACAAGTGAATCCGCCAAAATTTGAAAAATCTGAGGACTTGGCACATTTGACATATTTAAATGAGGCGTCTGTTTTGCACAATTTGAAGCAACGCTATTACAGCAAAATGATTTATGTGAGTTGAAAAATTTTTTCACAATAAAAATTAATTTTTTTTTCTCTCTCTTAAAATTTAGACCAAGGATTACAAGAAGGATCTATTGCAACAAGTGAATCCTCCCAAGTATGAAAAAGCGGAGGATATGTCCAATTTGACTTACCTCAACGATGCCTCAGTATTGCACAACTTGAAACAACGTTACTACTTTAAGCTTATCTACGTAAGATTTCTCATTTTAGAGGATGGATCGTCAAAATCAATTTTTCCTCGTTGTTGTTGTTGTTGTTGTTATTTTTCAAAATTCAAAATTCTCCTTCCTAGGGGAAGATGTTCGATAAAAGTACTTTTACGTACTCGATCATCACTTTTTTCTCTGTTCGTTTCAAGAAAAAAAAATGTTTAAAAAAAAGTTCTTCAACACTTTTTTAAAAGTATTTATCTTCTTGAAACTATTTTTGAAATTATTTTTGAAAATGTTTTTGAAATTATTTTTGAAATTATTTTTGAAAATATTTTTGAAATTATTTTAAAAATTATTACTAATTTGAAACGAGCAAAGAAAAAAAATTTTCGGCATGAGAAATTTTCAGCATCCATTTGTTATTTTTCTAGACTGAGGTGTTGGGATAGCAGACCTGTCCAACTATCTCGTGTGACTACAAATTGTTTTTTTTATTTATTGGTTTATACACCTGTCTTCAGCCTTACATACTTGGCTATACAAGTGTTTTTACATTTTATAATTATCAAGAAGGATTTTTTTTATCAAAAACAGATTAGAAAATTATTTAAAGATAGACTTCAAAACTAGAGGGTATTTTTGAACCGCGGGGAAAAATTTAAATAACTGTCATTATTTTAGAAATTTTTGAATTTTTTTTTTGGGTATTTTTGAACTTCAGGGGAAATTTAACCTATTGTAATTTTTTTAAAGAATTTTTTGGGTATTTTTTGGTTAATAACTGAAAAAGAAACAAATTTAGAGGTAATTTATTACCCTGAATTCTTCCCCTTGTTTCGAAAAATAGAAACAAAATTTTTTAGCATCACGTTAAAAAAAATAAAAATCTAAAGATAAATTAAAAAAAAATCCTTCTTAAAACTCATATTATTATTGTTTTGTGTGCTTATAATGAAACTTTGTTTTAACGGCGAAAACTCGTAAAGAACACGAGTATCTTCGACCAAAAAAAATTTTTAATTTTCCATTTATGTTGAAAAAAAAATTTTAATGAAGAGAAAAATACAAAAATCAAATAAAAAGAAACAATTTTTACGTTTTTTTTTATTGTATTTCTTTTTTCTTCAATAAAATTTTCTCCTAAACGAAGAGTTGCAGACCGACTCTCGTTGTTTTTGTTGATATTGATTTTTATTGTTGTAATTCTGTTAAATTGAAAATTAAGTTAAAAAAAATTGATTTTAATGAATAAATTTTATAGACCTACTCGGGCCTGTTTTGTGTGGCTATCAATCCCTACAAGAGATTCCCAGTCTACACAGGACGTTGTGCCAAGATGTATCGTGGCAAGAGGCGTAGCGAAGTGCCACCTCATATTTTCGCCATTTCTGATGGTGCCTATGTCAACATGTTGACAAGTAAGTTCTACGTTTTAAAAAAAAAATTTTTTAACGAACAAAAAAAATTTTAAAATCTGGTATCAGATTTACAAAATTCAAAATGGCGGCCATTAAACACCAGATTCGTAATCAGCGACCTCGAAAACCTCCGAATAATGAATTTCATCCAAATCCAAGCAATTTTTAAATTTTGTCCGACATATTGGATCCGCCATTTTGAATTTTGAAAATCTGACGCCAGATTCGTAATCAGCGACCCCAAAAACCCCCGAGTGATGAATTTCATCCAAATCCAAACAATTTTTTATTTTTGTCCGCCATATTGGATCCGCCATTTTGAATTTTTGAAAACCGACCTCAGATTCATGTTCAGCGACCCCAAAAACCCCCGAGTGATGAATTTCATCCAAATCCAATCAATTTTAAATTTTTTTTGTCTGCCATATTGGATCCGCCATTTTGAATTTTAGAAATCTGACACCAGATTCGTGATCCGCGACCCCAGAAACCCCCGAGTAACGAATTTCATCCAAATCCAAAGAATTTTTTATTTTTGTCCTAAAGTCATTAATGAAAAAATAAAAAAAAAAATTATTTAATGTTCACAGACAGCGAAAATCAGTCTATGTTGATCACTGGAGAGTCCGGAGCAGGAAAGACTGAGAACACGAAGAAGGTAATTGCGTACTTCGCCACCGTCGGCGCGTCAACGAAGAAAGCTGATGAATCAACTCAGAAAAAGGGCTCCCTTGAGGATCAGGTCGTTCAGACAAATCCCGTACTTGAAGCCTTTGGTAACGCCAAGACTGTGCGTAACGATAACTCGTCTCGTTTCGTAAGTACAAAAAAAAAATTCTTATATCTTCATTTTTCTCTCGATCAAATATTTTCTAGATCTATAATTTTATTTTTCTACTTTGACTAGGGTAAATTCATTCGTATTCACTTTGGTCCTTCTGGAAAATTGGCTGGTGCCGACATTGAAACATGTAAGTTTTTTTTTTAATTTTCGTTTTTTTTGTGGAAGAGCATTCTATTTGGTGTTCTTTCTTCATCTATTGAATGAAGAAAGAGGACTTACCTTTCTTCATCTTTGTTTTAAGAAAGGTGAGTCTTCTTTCTTCATTCATTGGATGAAGAAAGAAGACTCACCTCTTTCTTCATTAATTGGATGAAGAAAGAGGACTCACCTTTCTTCAACCAATGGAGCAGAAAAAAAAGTTGTTTATCATAAAAAATTAATTAACCCTTGCCCAATTATCACAAACATCTAATTTTCTTTCAGATCTATTGGAGAAAGCTCGTGTAATTTCCCAACAAACCCTCGAGCGGTCCTACCACATCTTCTACCAGATTATGTCCGGATCAGTTAAAGGCCTCAAGGGTAAGACAGCATCTCAAAAAATATAAACAATAGAAATATTTTTCGTTAAACTGAATTTTTACAATTGACAATAATTCTAACAGTAATATGAAAAAAAAAATAATTATTAATTTTTTCCATATCACTGTGAAAGTTTCGTCTTGTATTCTTTCAATTTTAACGAAACCTAACGTATCATCAACTATTTTTCCTAAGTTTAGAAATTCATTTTTTTTTCATCGAAAAGTGAAGATCTAAAATCACATCTCACTTTTTTTATAACCATATTCCTGAACAGGTATTTAGGATTCAAGATAAAAAAAAATTGTTCAAGATGATGACGACTCATTCCTCGAGAGGACAACTTCTTCTCTCTTTATTATTTTGTCTTCCTTTTTTTCTCGTTAAACTTTAATTCCTTTCGTATACAGAAATGTGCTGTCTCACAAACAACATCCAGGACTACTACTTTGTCTCTCAGGGAAAAACGACTATTCCCAACGTAGACGACGGAGAGGAATTGCAGTTGACCGACGTAAGAAACAACGCCGAACGGATCGTGCGGAATTGTTTCCCTCCTAAACAAAACAAAAAATTCTTTTGCAAATTGAATTTTTCTTCTTTCGTTGATTTAGAAAATAATACTTTTAAAAACTAAAAGTTTGCTTTGCAATCTGTTCTGTTCGGAGAAAATGAAATTATCTCTGTAACTAACAGTTGTTTTTTGTTCCCCTGGAAAAGTTTACATCCTTTGGGGATCCCTTCCTTGAAAAATCAAAAAAAAATTTGAATATTGTAAACAGCTTTTTGAATTTTGAAAAAAAGCTTTATTTTCCTAAAAGGATGTAAGCTTTGCTATTGTAGAATTAGTATAGTTAGATGAGAGACCAATGGCAAATGGAACTGAGCCCAAAAGGAGCAGACGGTACTTATTGACTTATTCACCGTCAATCAACACCCTTGACAGAGGGACGTCTCCACTTTTATTTTGCTGTAGAAAATTTCCTTAAAAAAACACCAAAAAATCTGGGAGTTGAAAACAGTGAACAAAAAAAACAATGTTCACTGTTTCTCCATAAACCATTCATCGACAAAATGGCAAAAAATCAAACTTTCCTCAAAAACCCCCCCAAAAAAACGATGGACTCGTAAAATTACCAAAAACCACAAGGAACAATGGTATGGTTTCACTGACCCGCATGTTGTTTTTTTTCTTTTCATTTTTGGTCTCTGCAGAGATGTGTTTGCTGTCCAACAACATTCGTGACTACTACTTTGTGTCACAAGGAAAAACCACTATTCCTGGTCTTGATGATGGCGAGGAACTTACTGTTACCGACGTAAGTGCATGCTTTCGTGTATATGGTGGAGTCTGATTCTAGTTTTTTTTTTTGAAATCTTCTTAAAAGCTCCACTAATGTTGACAGAAATATTGTCAACAGTTGCACTATTGTTCGCCTTTTTGTATATTCGCTTCTAAGTATATTTCTATTTTATATCTGTTGTTTGTCTGAACAATGTTGCCGCCATTCTTTCTTATACTTTCTCTACGTCTCCATTTTTATCTCTTTTCTATTTCTTTCTACTTTTCTACTTATACTACAAATACCGAAATTTACTACAACTTTAGTTTTTGCTGATGCAAATTTTTTTATCTACTGCTACCGAACATTGTATGCTGCAACTTGATCTGTAATTTTATCTACAGCTACAACTAGATCTTTAACTTGATCTACTGCTACAACTAGAAACGTAATTTTCTCTATTGCTACAATTACAACTACTACAACTTTATCTACTGCTACAACTTTATCTGTATCTTTATCTACTGCTACAACTTTAGCTGTATCTTTATCTACTGCTAGAACTTTATTTGTAACTTTATCTACTGCTAGAACTTTATCTGTATCTTTATCTACTGCTACATCTTTATCTGTATCTTTATCTACTACTAAAACTTAATCTCTATCTTTCTCAACAGTCACAACATTGTCTACATCATCATCATCCACACCCACAACAACATTAAACTATTTTTTAAAAAACTGTACTGGAATATTTAAATAGTGCTAACGATTTTTATTCAGCATCATCCATTGATAGAACAGAAAGGCAAACATCTGCTGCTGCAATACTGATTTTATCTTCATCCACTGCTAAAATAGGAAAATGATCATCTAGTACTGCTGAAATATTGACTTTGACTTTATCCACTGCTAGAACAAGAATAAATTTACAAATGTTGTCTATTGCTACATTACTGATAAAACCAGAACAGAATCATCATTTCTTGATAAAACCAGAACAATATCATCATTTCTTGATAAAACCAGAACAAAATCATCATTTCTTGATAAAACCAGAACTGTACTGACGAAACAACACCAAAATCCTTAAATACTGCTACAACTAGATGGAAAACTTTGAATAATTCAATAATAACTGGATCAGTAGCTAAAACTAGAAACAACACCAAAATCCTTAAATACTGCTACAACTAGATGAAAAACTTTGAATACTTTAATAATAACTGGATCACCAGCTAAAACTAGAATGAAAATATCATCTACTGGTGCAACTAGATGAAAACTATTAAATACTGCAACAACTCTTAATGTACTATTGTCTACTGATGAAACTACAATAGAAACATTAATTACTACTGCAACTAGATGGAAAATCTTAAATGCTACAACAACTCTTACTGTATCATTATCGTACTAATTAAACTACAATGAGAGCATCATCTTCTGCTGCATCTAGATGGAAGTTCTCAAATGCTGCAGCAATTTTTACTTTATCATTATCTACTGATAAAACTAAAACAAAAGCATCATCTAATATTGCAAGTAGTTCGAAATATTTAAATATTGCAACAACTCTTCAGGAATCATTATCTACTGACAAAACTAAAACAGAAGCATCATTGACTGCTGCAACTACGTAAAAATAATCAAAGTAACATCCACTGTCAGAACTACAACAAAATTAACAATTACTGCAACAACTAGATGCCAATCTTTTAATACTACAACAACTCGATACCAATCTTTAAATACTACAACAACTCGATACCAATCTTTAAATACTGCAACAACTCTTACGGTATCTTTATCTGATAAATTTAGAGCAAAACTATCATTTGCCGATAAAAGTAGAAAAAAATTATTAATTACAACTGCAACTTCATTGAAATCTCTAAATACTGGAGTAACGATTACTTTATAATGATCTGCTGGTACAACAAGGAGGAAAAGCATCATCCATTGATACAGTTAGATCAAAATCTTTGATTATTGCAACATCTCTTGCTGAATAATGATTTTGTTTTGATTTTATCAGTTGATAGTGATCTACTGATAAAACCAAAACAAAATCATTGTTTAGTTATCAAATAGGAGCTTAAGCATTAGCTTTTTCTGATATTTGAAGTAAATTTTTAAGTACTACAATAACTGAAACGCTGTTTACTGATAAAAGTAGAACAACACCATCATTGGCTGCTGTAACTATATCAAAAGCATCATCTACTGCTGCAACTTGTTCAAAACATTAAAATACTGCAACAACTCTTACTGTCTCATTATCTACTGCTGCAAGAAATTCAAAGTATTTAAATACTGTAATAACTCTTATTGTTTTATCTACTGTTCAAAGTAAAACAGAAGCATCATCGAATGCTGCAACTACATCGAAAGCATCATCTACTGCTGAAACTGCATTAAAAGCATCATCTATTGCTGCACTAACATCGAAATCATCATCTATTGCTGAAACTAAATCAAAAGCATCATCTGCTTCTGCAACTACATCGAAAGCATCATCTACTGCTGAAACTGCATTAAGAGCATCATCTACTGCTGCAATAAGTTCAAAAGCATTATCCATTTCTGCAACTAATTCAAAATATTTTAATACTGCAACAACTCTTACTGTATCTTTATCTACTGATGAAACTAATACAGAAGCATCTCCGACTGCTGCCACTACGTCAAAAGCATCATCTACTGCTACGACTGGAACAAAATCATCTACTGATGTAGCAGAAACAAAATCATCATCTACTGATGTAGCAGAAAGAAAATCATCATCTACTGCTGTAGCAGAAGCAAAATCATCATCTACTGTTGTAGCAGAAACAAAATCATCATCTACTGCTATAACTTTACCGAAATCATCGTTTACTGCGATAACAATTAGTTTATTATTATCCACTGGTAAAACTGGAACAAAATCGTCAGAACAAAATCAAACAAAAATCATCATCCACTACTAATACTGGATGAAAGTTCTCATCTAATGCCAGAGCAGAATTTTGAACTAATGCTGCTAATGTAACTTTGGGTATTGCCTGAACAAGAACAAAATCAACATCTTCTGCTAGTGTTGTAGCAAAAATTTCATCTGCGGGTAGAACAACAATATTTTCAATCTACTGGCTGAAGAATATTTTTATCTGCTAGCACAAGCACAACAACAATTCTTTTGTCCAGTATCACAACCACAACAATTCTTTTGTTCAGTATCACAACCACAACAATTCTTTTGTTCAGTACCACAACCACAACAATTCTTTTGTCCAGTATCACAACCACAACAATTCTTCTGTCCAGTATAACAACTACGACAATTCTGTGTCGTCTACTAGCACAACCACAACATATAATTCTTTCGTCTAATAGCATAACCACAACAACAATTCTTTTCTGTATTAGCACAACCACAACAACAATTTTTCCGTCTACTAGCACAACAACAACAAAATTTTCAACTATTCTGCTAACAATTTTAATTCTAACAATAATTTTCTCTATTATACACAAGAATTCTGTTTTCCATTTCTCTCTACTTCTGTTTCAGCTTCATCCACAAAAAGCCTTATTCTCTCTTCTTACAGCGTCACATGGCCTTTAACTTCGACTCTATTTCTATCACTATATCTCTATTCTCTATTTTCCTCTTTTTCTCTTCTTTAACTTAAATTAAATATTCATTTCAGCAAAAGACTCTTTTTCTATCACTTTCCTCTTATCTTTATCATTTTCAGTAAAAAAGACTCTTTCTATCACTTTCTTAACTTTTTCTATTAAAAAAAAATAACTTCTGCAGGAAGGAAAATTTGGTGCATTGCTTTTTTTCTCAATGAAAAAAATTATTTTGCACCATTTTTTCATTTAATCACTGCAATTAAATCGCTGACCGAAAGCTGATAGCCCTTTTGCCTGATGCGTTACAACACTTCCACCCCCCCCCCCACCTTTTTCTTCTTGAGTTTTAAAAACAAAAAAAAAACAAGTACCTATCACAATGCCACAGAAATGTTATTCCTGAGCAACCGGATTGGCGACTACTTCTACATTAGCCAGGGTAAGACGAGAATTCCCGGTGTCAACGACTCTTCAGAAATGGAAGAAACGGACGTAAGTCCATGTTTCTAATTCTGCGGACACCTTTGACATTCGTATATCCCTTAATCTTCCTCATGGTGATGGAGAAAAAAAAATTATTTCTAATGTTCCTTTTGCAAAAAAAAAAATTATTTCCCTAAAGAGGGGGGGAGAGGGGGATATTATTTTTGGTAAAAAATTAAAATTCGAATAAACAGGAGGGATTTTTTTTTCTTTTTTTTTAATTCAAAATATTGAACGTATTATTGCTAGAGACGAAGAAAAAGGGTGTTACGAATGATTTTGAGGAAGATCCAAAATGCAGTCCTCGCCCCCCGCCGCACAGCATCCTGCTATAACCAACCGCATGCGGCTGTCGCTGTCGGGGGGCGGGAGAAAAACATTTTCCGACCAAAAAAACAATTCAAAATTTTGCAAAAAAAACACTGTTTTCTCGTGACAAATTCTCTGAAAACCCGCTCTCCGATCAGCTCTTCCAAAAAAACAAAAAAAAAATTAGTACAGGAACGTCATTTTCTTTTCCCTTTAACTATATTGGAAAGATTTCTCGGAAAGGGCACCCCTTACCATACTGGACAATATTGGATCTAAATAAAAATTCCAATTGTATGCCGAATTAGAATCGAAATTTTTTAAACAAAATCTTGAAACAAAATTTTCTGATTTACATTTATGAAAATAAATTTTTGCCAAAATATTCGATTTATTTCCGATTAACTTCCGCAACTAAAACTCCAAGGGAAACTGACCGTCGAATCTTTCCAAATTTCGTTTTATAAAAACCTGTTTTCTTAATAATTGTGGACACTCACAAAAATTATAAACAATGTTTCTTTGTTTGGTATTTTTCTCTCTTAATTCTCCATTTGGTGAAAATTATTTCCGCAAATGTAAGAAGTGAAAATTGCATAAATGACTAAATTATTTATTTCGAACATGATTTTTCAATAGGTTTCATTGTCAACGGAATATAAAAATTTTTGTTGGTCTAATCATTAAAATTTTTAGCGTACATCATCAATCATCCATCATGATCATGATCATCATCATCGTCACCATCATCATCGTCACCATTATTATCATCATCATTATCGTCATCATGATTATCATCGTTATCATCATGATCGTCATGATCATCATCATAATCATCAATAATCATCATATTTTCTTGAATAAATTCCGATGAGCTGCTGTACTTTATATTTCCTGTTTACTCTATCATCATCAATGAAGAAAAAAAAATTAGAAGAAGAAAAAAATTTAATTTTTTTCCATCTTTTCCGCAGACATGTGTTACTTATCGAACGACATTTACGACTATTACAACGTGTCCCAGGGAAAAGTAACAATCCCCAACGTTGATGACGGCGAGGAATGTACTCTAACGGACGTAAGTCCCTTAAAAGAAAAACCCTTCATCATTTTTTTATTTCTATTTCTTTAATTCCAAATTCCTTTTTTTTTCTTTCTAGTGTTTTCCACCCCCGACCCCATAAAATTTGTCGATTTTTGGAAAATTGTTACTTCTCCAAAAAAACAGAACCCAAATATCGACTATATTTACCAAAATGAAAGAAAAACATTTTTTTTTTGGTCATGTTTGTGAATCCTGAAGAAAAAGATACTTCGAAAAAAATTCCCTTCTCCTTTTGTAATGCGGTTATTTTTCAATCCTCTTTCTTTAGGTAGTAAACATTACTACCCTGTATGGGGGGGAAATTTTTATATTTTTAAAAAGCAGATCGAGAAATGATGCCAACATTTTCCAGCATGAAAGATCAGAATGGTTTTTCTAGAAGCAAGAAGACTTGCCATTAAAAAAAATAGAGAAAGAAAAATCGGTTCGTACTGTATAAACAAAGAAACGAATACTATTTTGTTTTACTTTTTCTCTAATTGAAAAAAAAAGAAAATGGAGCTCAGGGAAGAAGCGGCTATTTAACACGAGCTATGCTTCAGCTTCGCTCTCTGCGCTCATTGTGTAAAGAAACGTCTTTTTTTTTGTTGCAACGAGTGAAAAATTTCCTTCTCCAAATGAAGAAAATTTGAAACTCCTTCTAAAGCTTCTTCAAAAAAAAAAAAATGTCTACGTCTTGCTTACTTTGTCCGTCTGCTTGCTATCTTGCTTTCTTTTTTTAATCCGCAAATATTCACAACTTTTTTTCTTTCTGCTATCGAAATACAGAAATGATAAAATTCAATTTCATTTCTGTTATTTCGTTTTAAATGTCCCAATTTTTTCGGATCCAAATTTAATTTGGATTAACATTTTTTCGAATGATGATAATGATAAATTTTGTTTCCTTGTAGCAAGCCTTCGACGTTCTTGGATTCACCCAGGAGGAGAAGAATGATATTTACAAGATCACTGCCTCTGTGATGCACATGGGAGGAATGAAGTTCAAGCAAAGGGGTCGAGAAGAACAGGCTGAAGCTGATGGCACTGAAGTATGTATTAAAACAACAATTTGTTGTCAATTTTTTCGTTTGACAACTTTTGATGGAAGACCATGACAACTCGGGTTTGTTTTAGAAGACACAAAACGACGAATTAAAGTTCGAATAAATTTTGGGTTATAGTTCAGGTTTATGGGTATTTAGTGAGAGTTTTTGACCATGCTTCCTAATTTTTGGCAGTTTTTAAAAGTTTTGGTTTAGAGTCTAAAATATTTTTGATGATTAACGAATGTTTTGGGTCGTGATCAACAATCACGACCTAAAGTTTTTGGAAATGATCCATAATTTTTGTTGAATACCTAGAAATTTGGGTGATAATCAAAACCATTTGGGTAATTTCCAAAAGCTTTGTATCATTGTCCAAAATTTTTTATGGTTAACGAAATTTTGGTGTCGTGGTCAACAATTTTGACTAGTTGCCGATTGTCAAAATATTCAACATGAATGTTTTGAATAGTAACCTAATGTTTTGGATAGTAACCGAATGTTTTGGATGGTTTTGGATACAAACCAAATGCTTTGGGTCATTACCAAACATTTTTAATGATGATCCAACATTTTGGGTGGTTATCTAAAGTTTTTAGTCATCATCCACATCTTTGTATGATATCCAAAATTTTTTGGGTGCTTAACTAATGTTTTGGGTCATGATACAAAAATTCAGGTGGTTACCACAATTTTTGGGTCGTTACCATAATCTTTTATTCATGATTCACAGTTTTTGGAAAGTTGCAATACAAAGTTGTGATACAAAATTTTTGGTCGTTGCCTAATGCTTTTAGTCATGATCCACATTTTTGGATGATTACCTAATGTTTTGGGTCGTCATCCACAATTTTGGATCGTGACCTTAAGTTGTTAGTCCTGATCCACAAATTTAGGTGGTAACAAAAATTGTTAGAGTGTTTAACTAACATTTTGGGTAATCAACTGCAATTTGGATCATAATTCACAATAAGTTGGTTACTGGAATTTTTGGTGTTGTAATCTACTATTTTGGGTTGTTACCATAAATTTTTAGTCATGATCCACAGATTTTGGGAAGTTGCAATAAGTTATAGGTCGTGATCCAAAATTTTTGGTCGTTGTCTAAATCTTTTAGTCATGATCCACATTCTTGGTTGGTGTCCCAAATTTTTTGGGTGCTTAACTAAGGTTTTGGATCATGATCTACAATTTCTGGTGGCTACTAGAATTTTTGGGTTGTAGTCTATAATTTTAGAGCAGTTACCAATTACCATAATCTTTTAGTCATGATCCACAATTTTGGGTATTTGCTAAAACTTTCGGGTCATGATCTACAATTTTGGGTCTTTATGATAATTTTACGGTTATGATCCACAATTTTTGGTGTTTACTTAAAAGTTCTGGATCATCATCCACAATTTTGTTCCGTCACTTGAACATTTGTATCTTAATAGACATTTTTGGGTATTTACTTAAACTTTTGGGTCATGATCCACAATTTCAGGTGGCTACTAAAATATTTGAGTTGTAGTTTAAAATTTTAGGGCAGTATCTATAATCTGTTAGTCATGATCCATAGTTTTGGGTGTTTTCTAAAAGTGTTGGGTTATGATCCACAATTTTGGGTCGTTACTTAAAGTTTTTAGTCACAATTCAATATTTGGGTAGTAACCAAATTACTGAAATTTTTGGTGTTGTAATCCACAATTTTGCGTCGTTACCTAAAGTTTTATGTCATAATCCACATCTTTGGATGCTGTCCGAAATTTGTTGGAAGGTAATCTAATGTTTTGGGTGATGATAAAAATTTCAGGTTGTTACCGAAACTTTTGGGTTGTAATCTACTATTTTGGGTCGTTACCATAATCTTTTAGTCATGATCCACAGTTTTGGATCTTTGTAAATAGTTATGGGTTGTGATCTACATTTTTGGGTGGTGTCCCAAATTCTTGGTTGGCTACCATAAGTTTAGGGTCATGATGTACAATTTTGGGTTGTTATCAAATGTTTCGTTTTCGATGGAAAATTTTTGGTGCTTATCTAAAGTTTTCAGACAGATTATTAATTTTTGAATGGCTATCTATCCCAAAAGCAAAGTTTGCTTACAAACCCAAAGTGTCATGATATTCCACCCACCAAGTGAAAATTTATTGCTAACTAATTCTTTTTCTTTGTCGTCAATTATAGGAAGGTGACCGTGTTGCTAAATTGCTTGGTGTCGACTGCACAGACTTGTACAAGAATTTACTCAAACCAAGAATCAAGGTCGGTAATGAATTCGTCACCCAAGGACGTAATAAGGATCAGGTATCCTATTCCGTTGGTGCCATGTCAAAGGCCATGTTTGACAGAGTCTTCAAATGGTTAGTCAAGAAGTGTAACGAAACCCTAGACACCAAACAGAAACGTCAACACTTCATTGGTGTACTGGATATTGCCGGTTTCGAAATCTTCGACGTAAGTTAACCAATTAAATTACTTTTCTAAATTCTAAAAATTATTTTTGTTCTAAAGTGTTATTTTAGTTCTAAAAATTATAATTCTAGTTCTAAAAATTATTTTAGTTCAAAAATAAGTGGTAAAAATTGATTTTAATTATATCCAAAAGAATTAACAGGAACACCCCCCCAAGTAGGAGATGGTTGTAATCAAAATATTTTACTATATTCACTGATTTCTTTGACTTTAGTGATGGAATTGACAAATTCCATTCTTCTTTTTTTTAAATCAAATCCAAATTTTATAGTACAACGGTTTCGAGCAACTTTGTATCAACTTCACGAACGAGAAATTACAACAATTCTTCAACCATCATATGTTCGTTCTTGAACAAGAGGAATACAAAAAAGAGGGAATCAATTGGGCGTTCATTGATTTTGGCATGGATTTACTAGCCTGTATTGAACTTATTGAAAAGGTTAGAGTTCACTCTCCCAATTTCCTTGGAGAGAAACCCCCCTTAGAACCTTCTTTTTTACCCCTTCGGCAAAAATAATTAAAAACAAAATTATTTTTGTCTCACCCAAACAACTGTACCTAGTGTTTCAATTTTTATGACCCTATCCATTGCGCTCAAGTTTTGTAGAAACTTTGTAATAACTTTGCAAAGTTGAACAAATTAGAAGATTTCTTTCCCCTATTTCTCCAAATGATGTATTTAATGTTTTGATGACATTTTCCTTTCTTGTAAATTAATCCATTCCTGATGGATGTGGAAGAAGTTTTTTCTGTAAATACATGCCAACTAGGGAAGAGAATTTACGAGCTAAAGGTAGGAGAAGTTTTAATGAGTGAACCCCAATATAAGCATGATACCCTATACCTTTAATTTCTATACAGATTTTAGAGGTATCTATAGACATTCCCTATAAACAACGATCCTTTGATTTAGACCCTAAACGACGGTTTTTACCGTTTGTAATCTACGGTTTTTAAATGTAAACTCTCCAAAGTCCCATACAAAAAATTGGGATAAAATAGAATCCTTTTAGTACCACCAATACCATCATTATCATCATGATCAGCAGATGCAGCAGCAACAACAAGAAATAACGAACAATAAAAACAGTGGACTTCACCTTTTGGAATCATCATAGTGTTTGGTAGATGACAAATTTCTAAAAACCGTTCTCTGAAGAATGAGACGGCAACAGGTCGTTTCTACTTTTTTCAAAGAGTACCTACACAAAAATTAAGTGAACGACCTGCAGAAATTTGCAAACTTAGATTAACCATGATTTTTGAAAACAATTTTTATGGGGTTAGGGTCAGTCAGTCTTCATAAAACTTTAGTAATTGGTATAAATTTTATTAAAATCTATCGAATAGTTTTCGAGTTAAAATGGTCATAGACTTTGAAAATAGTTTCTAGGGAAAGGGTCTCAAAGCCCTAGATACAATAAATTTGGGAACGAAGTCTATAAGAGAGAAAAGGATAGAGATATTCTTGTGTCCTCTTCTATCTCATGCACCACGTTCCCGAAGTTATTGTACTTAGGGTTTTAGAACCCTTTATCAAAACATAACTTGTTTGGAAACTATAGAGACATACAGGTAATTGCATAAGTGCTATCCTTTCGTTATTGAAAATTCAGACTGAACCCTAACCCCTTAAATAAAATTTTTGAAAAATAGAACCCCTAGACTATACTGTTTGACAAAAGGAAAAAATTCTTTTTCCTCAAAAAGGCAGACCCTTTTTTATCTCTTTTCTTCCCCCTAAAAAATTCTCATATGAGAAAGAAAACAATTTTCTTTTCTGGTAAATATAAAAGACGCGATGAACGACGTTTTTAGTTATATTTTTTTGATCATCATCCCAGACAGAAATAAAAAACAAAGAATAAAATTTTGATTACTGTCTATTTGACCTTTGCTCGAACAGTTTAACAGCTTCGAGCAGCTCTGCATCAACTTCACCAACGAGAAATTGCAGCAATTCTTCAATCATCATATGTTTGTCCTCGAACAAGAAGAATATACGCGTGAGGGCATTGAATGGGCATTCATTGACTTTGGCATGGATCTCCTCGCATGTATCGAACTCATTGAGAAGGTATTACCGAGAACCAAAAAAAAGCAAATGAGACATGAAAAAATATTGACAAGATCAAGCTAAATGATCTTGGAGATGAGCAAGAGCTGCAAAAACAAAAAATTGCAATATTGATCTAACGCTTTTATGTTTATTCAAGTGATCGTCCACTGTTTTCTTATACTACTTTGTCTTTTGTCCTCTTATCTTATTTTCGTGCAAAACAAATTTTTTCGTATCGATATACAAAATGATACGAATACCTCCTGAAATACTCTAGATCCGTATCCCCCAACAAATATCACATCCACTCTCTAAAAATGCTGCTTTATCTATTCGCCAATCCTCTTACCAAACAGGTTCCGAAACAATCTGGAATTATAAAAATGGTCCCTCAAAGAAAAAAAGCCTATATCTGTTCCTGAATTTACACTCTACCCAAAAAACAAAAATCATTACAAAAAAAGATTCCATCCTTCACTGTGTCTGTTTCTTTTTTGCATTTGCCTTTCACGAATAGTTCAACGGCTTTGAGCAACTCTGCATCAACTTTACCAACGAGAAATTACAACAATTCTTCAATCATCATATGTTTGTACTCGAGCAAGAAGAGTACAAGAAAGAAGGCATTGAATGGGCCTTCATTGACTTTGGCATGGATCTCCTCGCTTGTATCGAACTTATTGAAAAGGTATCAGTACACAATGAAAAAGAACCCAGCTATGCCAAAAAACAAAAATCAAGAAAAACCACCAGAAGGAAAAAAAACTGATTGCGACAACAATTTTTATTTTGTTTTGATGTTTGTTGGAATGAAGAAAAGGTACAATTTCGACTTCATACCGGTTTTCTTTTCTCTTCTCATCCATTCCTCATTTTTCAATTACCATTTTTTTGCGTTCTCAATCATATCAAAGAGCGTGACATGAACGCAATAATCCTTATTCCGAAATAAAGAAACGGAAATCCGTTTCTCTCATGTGGGTAAAAGGTTTGGGGCATTGACTATCTCTTGTGAACCTTGGAGACAACCTACATAAATACCTAGCAAAAAAGCACTAAAAAAGTGTTCCTTAACCTCTTAAAAATAAATTTAAAACGGCACAAAAAGTGTCATTTAACCAGGACAGTCATAATCCTGGTCATTTCCATCAGACCATCTCGAACAACCGATACATAATTCCTAATAACAACTTTCTTTTCACAGTGACCATTCACATTCTTCAATTTTCGACAATTACAGGTACATTTCGTACAAACAAATTTTACGAAAACTTTTGGAATGTTTTCAAGACATTTAGAAACATACCAAAAGAAATCAAGAAAAAATTCAAAAAGCAAATAATCAAATAGCAAACAAATCAATAAAAAGTAAAAATAGCAAATATTGTTTTGCTTCTTCTTATTCTATGTTCAATTCAAAATCGAAAAAAAATTGATTCGAAAATTGAAGGATAACATCATATGGCAAACAAAGCAGTAAATTGACAGCTGTTGCCTCTCTTTTTTTTGTTTTCATCATCCTGCACGAACAGTTCAACAGTTTTGAACAACTATGCATCAACTTCACCAACGAGAAGTTGCAGCAATTCTTCAATCATCATATGTTCATCCTTGAGCAAGAAGAATACACTCGCGAGGGCATTGAGTGGACATTCATTGACTTTGGCATGGACCTTCAACAAACAATTGATCTCATTGAGAAGGTAGAAGAAGTCTGAAACAATTTCCAATCATTCGCAAAAAAAATACAATCAGAAGGAAATGATAAACAGACCAAGAAATAAGCTACTTGTATTCAGTAGAATCGAAAGCATTTTTCAGCATGCAACTTTCGATAAGCAAAACAAACAAAAAAAGCATGTGACTAACAAACTTTTATTTCAGATTCAAAAATTATACCATCAATTCTTTTTATCTACTCTATTTTCTTTTTGTGATTTGAAAAAAAACTGTTTGTTGTGTTTCTTGGCATTTTTTTCCTTTTTCTAATTCCGGCTCAGTTCAATGGCTTCGAGCAACTATGCATCAACTTTACGAACGAAAAACTACAACAATATTTCAATCACTTCATGTTTGTTATTGAACAAGAGGAATATGAACGACAGGGTATACCCTGGGTTTTTATTGATTTTGGTATGGATTTACAACCGACCATCGAACTCATTGAGAAGGTAATGTACGCTAATTAACAAAAACAAACCGCAATGTTTTGATGTGAATAACAAAAACGCCTTGCTGGGCTTGCTTGTATCCTTCTGATTATTATTCTCCTAAGTAAAATTTACCACTTTTACGGAACTGCATTTTTTGGCGACACTCAAAAATTCAAATTCGTACATTGTGGACCTAATTCTTGATGATTTTCATCAAGTAATGTTGCATTCTTCTTTTATCGAAAGGATTAACAATTCTTTGTTTTTTTTAAATTTAACTTTACGAAATAGAAAAAATTTGGAAATTCATCCGATAATCTAGAAGATGCACAAACTGTTGTTAAAGAAAAGGGAACTAAGAGTAGCGGCGTTTTCATAGCAATCAAGCAATAGTAATTTTTAATTCTAGAAAAACATCTTTAATTTCAGAAACATTATCAGTAAATTGTCAGTAATCCGTTAATTTTTAATCATAATTTGTAATTCTAGAAAGATATCTAATTTTAGAAAAAATGTTTAATTTTTTGGGTCGTAATCTTATTTTTTTAATCACAAAATTTCGGGTGGTAACAAATAGTTATGGGTCATAATCTATCAATTTTATGGTTTATCTTAATCCAAAAGTTTTGGGTCATGAACCCAATTTTTGGGATGTTACTAATAGTTTTGGGTCGTTATCCCCAATTTTAGGTTATGGCCTTAAGTTTTTAGTCCCGATCCACATATTTTGGTGGTAACAGAAAATTTTGGGTATTTACTTAAAGTTTTAGTTTATGATCCACAATTTTAGGTGGCTACTAAAATTTTTCGATTGTTGTCTAAAATTTTAGGGCAGTTACTTATAATCTGTTAGTCATGATCCACAATTTTAAGACGTTACCTAAAGTTTTAAGTCATGATTCACAAATTTAGGTGGGAACCAAAATTTTTGGCTGATTACCTAAAGTTTTGTGTTATGATGCAAAATTTAAAGTTGTTACTAAAAGTTCTGGGTCTTAATCAGTAGTTTCAATTACGTAATTCATTTGATCAGTTATAATAACGATGATATATTTCATTACTTAACAGAAAAAATCAAAGGCTAATGTCATTGTAGATCGCAAACTTACCACCAGTAAATTATTACATTTTTATAATTAATTCTCGTAGCGTCAATAAGTTAATTTAAAACCGTTATTATTCTCAAAATGAACGCCAAAGTAAAAACAAAAATAGTAGAAAACGCTGCTCTTGGAAATTGCTAGACTCAAAATTTGTTTATGAAAAATTTGCTCTATCTAACCTTCCTTTTCTCTTCTTCCTCCACAAAAAAATAGCCCATGGGTATCCTCTCCATCCTTGAGGAAGAGTCTATGTTCCCGAAAGCCACCGACAAGACCTTCGAGGAGAAATTGAACAACAACCATCTTGGCAAGAGTCCTAACTTCTTGAAACCAAAACCACCAAAACCAGGTCAACAAGCTGCTCACTTCGCTATTGGCCATTATGCCGGAAACGTAAGTTGGAAAAGAAAAACGATTTGTAATTAATTTCTTATAGCCGGATATTTATTCGACTTTGTTTTTTAGGTACCATACAATATCACCGGTTGGTTGGAAAAGAATAAGGACCCGTTGAACGACACTGTTGTCGATCAATTCAAGAAGTCAACTAACAAACTTTTGATTGAGATCTTTGCTGATCATCCTGGACAATCTGGTGGTGGTGGCGGTGATGCCGGTGGCAAGGGAGGACGTGGTAAGAAGGGTGGTGGCTTCTCCACTGTATCATCATCCTACAAGGAACAACTTAATAACTTGATGACAACTTTGAGAGCCACTCAACCTCACTTCGTACGTTGTATCATTCCCAATGAATTGAAACAGCCAGGAGTCATTGATTCTCACTTGGTCATGCATCAATTGACCTGTAACGGTGTACTTGAGGGTATCCGTATTTGCCGTAAAGGATTCCCCAACAGAATGAATTATCCCGACTTCAAACTGCGGTAAGTTTTCAATTTTTTTTATCAACTAAGTTCCAATCGTAGATACCAAATATTATGATTAGTTTTGTAATTTATGCTTTGAATTTCAAAGTACATGTAGCATTGATAATAAATGCTGCACGTTCCCTTTGAAGATCCAGAGCCTAAATTAGGTTCATATTAGACTATTACTATTATTAATTATTAATAGTTTTGTTAGTATTATTATCCGTACAAGGGAAAAATGTTAGTGCACCAGTCGAGAAAATACCTAACTTTTGGATTAACAGTAAATCTAAATCGGTATAGATTTCGAAAAAGTTTGAGTCAGATGCTCTTGAGAAAAAACGGTATCTAATAATCCAAGTAGCATCCTACTACTTGGGAATTGATGGTCCACCAACATTTTCTCTATGCTATATTTCTAGAATATTACAATTACAAAAATTAAAATAAGTCCACTGAGGTACATGCAGTTAGAGTCTAGAATTAAAAAAGTGAACCCTTTTTCTTTATGCGCGAACAGTTACCTCATCTTAGCGCCGGCACTAATGACGGCAGAAAAGGATCCAAAAATAGCAGCAGCCAAATGTTTCGATTCTATTGGTCTCGATCCAGACAGCTACAGGATTGGTCATACAAAGGCTAGTTTCACTTTCCCCAAAAGACCCCAAAGTGGAACATCATTAATTTGCAAGAATGATTGTTCCACCGAACTGTTTTCTACCCCTCGTACAATTGACAACCTTTGTCTGGATTATTGACCACTTTTATTAATTTTATCCCATTTGATAACATTTTTGAAGTTTTACACCCCGTTTTGAAAATTGTATCCCCTTTGGAATTAATTAATTGTGACCCTTTAGATAAAAATTTATGAACTTGATTCCATTAGGATTGTTACCCTTTCGATTAAACCCACTGACTTGAGTTTGTTTCCCTTTGAACCCCTTGGACTAAATTTTATTAGATTTATTACCTGAAGATTGTTTCCATGTAAATTACCCTTTAGAGTAACTTTTGTAAGTATGATGCCTGTTGAATCGTTACCCCGTAGATTGGATTTTATTAGATTGTTTCCCTCATTACTGTTTCCTTTTGTATGCTATCCCTTAACTTTCATCCTAGAAGAAAATATACAAGTAAATGGAATCCATTCAGATGTTCTGCAATAGTTTTGGGTCCATTTAGGTGTTTTATATTCAAATACTTTCCATTTAGATGGTTTCTATTTAAATGTTTTTCGTTTAGATGGTATGCATTCAGATGGACATAAGGTTCGATGTCCTTCTATATCTATTTATATCCATCTGGATGATTTCCTTATGACTCGTATCAATTGGGACATTTCTTTGATAAACCTACTAAGCCCAATTTGGACGGTAACCATTTGGGTAATTTTCGCTTAAATCCAATTGAAACAAAGAGACTGAATGGCCTAATTCCCAACACCTCCCTTTAGAAGTATTATAGTTCCTGTCCAATAAATCTACTCTCCTGTAGTTAATCCCTACATGGTTGTTTTTCTGTATAAATTGTTCCCCCCTTTTGAAATGTAATCCATTGTAGCTAGCAAAAAACCAAATTCCGTAGCAGAGCGACGAAGCAACCTGGAGACTGAAAATAAGCTATTGGAGGAAATAAACTCTCGTTACCCTAAGTGATGCCACTTATCTTCCAAGACCCCCTAAAACAAATCCAACAAGTTTTCGTAGAATCCCAAACTAATAAATGAATTCGCCCTTTTTTTGTGCGTGACCCACACCAACTTTAGGTACAAAATCTTGGCACCAGCTGCGGTCGATGCAGCCGCTGGCGATCCAAAGAAGGCGGCCGCTGCTGTTTTGGAATCATCCGGTTTAGACAGCGATCAATACCGTCTTGGACATACCAAGGCATGATTTTTCCGAATCCAATCATTTTTTTACTGTTTATTTATTGATATCCAATGATTTTTAGCTTGTAACAACCACTAGCCACTAGACAGGCTCTGCTGATCATAGATTCCGCAAATCCGGAACAACCGGCAATGAATCATGTTTTATAGTATTCCCCATGTAGCTAATCACATGTTACTACTGATCCCAGACGGCAAATTATAAAGAAAAAATCCTAATTGCAAAAACTACTACTAAAAGTATTAATAAATTATTTGCCCTCTGGAATCAAAGTCTAATCTAATGAACCAAGTAGATTAGATTCGTTATATTAAAAAGAAACATAGAAATCCGCAATTCTCCACTGGACATCAAAGAATGCAAAAAAATCTATAACACTTTTTTCTGTTGTTTTCCTTTTTATCCTGCGCGCACAAAAACAGATACAAAATTCTGTGCGCCAACAAAGTAAAAGACAACATGGATCCTCAAAAAGCTGCTGAGATCATCCTTGAGGCAGCCAATGTCCCTACTGAGCAATACCGTATGGGTCGTAGTAAGGTACAAGACACCTTCGACTCTGCAATCGCCAAATTTTTCATTTTTTTCAAAGTTGCATTTTCTCAGATTTCACTATCTAGTGAGATTAAAAAATTTCTAATAAAAAGTCTGATAAAATGTCAACCAGAAAATTTGTTGCTAACAAGAAATTTGTTTTAGTGTGAGAATTCCGTTTTGCTTTCAAGTCACTAAAAACTTGTGCCAAAACGAAAACAAAATTCGCAATCATTAATATGTGTGTTTTTTTAAAAATCCTAGGAAAAGATCAATCTTAATATTAAGTAACCATTCCAAATAGCATGATTCGCATGAAAAATAACTAAACAAAACGATGTATACCAAAAAAAATTGGTATTTTGTGATGAAACAATTTTGGAATTTGGAAAATATAAATTATCAGGTATTCTTCCGTGCTGGAGTCTTGGGTCAAATGGAGGAATTCCGTGATGAACGTCTAAGCAAGATTCTCTCATGGATGCAAGCCTTTATGAGAGGTTACTTGGCCCGTAAGGACTACAAAAAATTGCAAGAACAACGCTTGGCCCTTCAAGTTGTACAACGCAATTTGCGTCGTTACCTTCAATTGCGCACATGGCCATGGTGGAAGTTGTGGATGAAGGTCAGACCCCTTCTCAATGCAACTCGCATCGAAGACGAACTTGCCGTGAGTATTTTCAAATTGACAAATATTTTAACATTCACATCTCTATAATTTAATATCAAAACTAGCGAAGAAACCACTCTATTTTGGCGAATCGCCAGATAAATGAAAATTTAACTAGCTCGCAGATGTTGTAAATTAAATCATTCACAATGTGTGTTGACAATTTACAAAAAGTTAAATTTCAAATGTGATAAAATTTAACATGACAATTTGAAAACAAAATCTTTAGGAGCAATGAACTATTATTTTTTTTAAGATTACGTAATGGAATTAGAATTTTTCTTCTTTTTTTTTACATCTGACTAGTAATTATAGTTTTCGCGTGCCAACATTTCTAGAAATAATTTCTATGTTCCACGACATTTCTATTTTCGTCTATGCGTCCGATGAATTAAATTCAATTAATTAAGGCAAACTACGATTTTTTGTTTCGACTTTGAGTTCGTGGAAAGTTTCATTTCCTTTTGAATGAAATTAACAATCGATATTTTTTTCAAAATAAAATAAAAATTTAATTAAAACTACTGCAAATTTGGGAAATAAATATTTATTTTTTAACGGGTGCCTTCAATTAATGATTTTGGAAAAAAATTGTTTTTGATTCTAAGAAAATATTTTCCTGATTTTTTTAAATTTCTTTTTTAGATTAAGAATTTTTTTTACGATTTGGTTTTCCAAAACCCCCGTTTAACGGGGGGAAGCTGCATTTTCGGTTCCTTTCCTTGTATTTCTCCTCACTTGAATTCCAGGTCCTTTTCGCATCTTTCTCCTCACTTTGATTTTCGGTTCCTAGAAAAAAATTCAATATTACTTAAAAATAACTTTATATCAATACTGCCAGTAAAGCTACACTGTCCCATCCATTCGATTTCGCCCCAATCTACTTTAAAAACCGCAACGAAAACTAATTACCGAATAAAGTCAAAAAAATCTGATGCATAAATACTGGAAACTTAAAAATAACCACGAACCATGTGAATCAACCGGTCCCACCCGCAACTATAAATTAACCGCGATATTTTTAAATCTGAAGTTTTTTTTTAATCAGAAATGGTAATTTAAAAAAAACTAAAAAAAACTTCACTGGAATCATTTTTGGAGAAGATTTACGTGATTCGTATTATTTTTAGATTAGCCCCCTTCCCTTCCCACCTCCCTCTTTCCAGTTGACGAAGATCGCGTTCCAAGATCGGTTATAAATATTCCGTAATTTTGGTCCAGTATAAATTTCACAAGAAATAGTGGTAGGAAAGATGAGAAATTCGCGACCCACGCAAAAAAGGAAGATTTCCGAAATAGAGAGAGAGAGAAAATTTCGCGGGTAGAAAAGTTGTGACTCTGGGAAATTTGTTACCAGTCTGGAAGACGTGCGCGCTACGATACTATACGACAAAAATTCTCTCCCCCTATTACTCCCCACCCTCTTTCTACTTAAAATCATCATCATTGACCAATCGTCGAGTGAATAGAGTTTATTTCTCCTCCTTTCTTATTTTAACCCCCCTCCCTCATCACTAATCCTCTCCCTCTACTTCTTTTTACATTAGCCTAAGACTTTTGATCGTCGTGCACTTTATTTTATAACTGAATTATCGAACGACACCCCAAAGAGGTGAAACCGCGTGAAAAAAATTAACACCGCAATTGAATTTTTATTTAAAAATTTTAATTTTATTTTAATTAACAAGTTAAGAAATTTATTATTTAAAAAAAAAGTTTCTTTTGGAAAATATTTGTAAAAAAAGAAAACGAACATTTGAAGTGGTTTTTCGCAAAAAAAAACAATAATAATGGAGGATCCAGTGAGCGATAACAAAATTTCTGAAACTGCCTTTCAGGAATTACAAGAGAAGGCAAAGAAATTCGAGGAATCATGGATTCGGGAGGAGAAAATGCGCAAAGAATTAGAGGAACTTAATACAAAATTGTTGGATGAAAAAACAACTTTGTTGAGACAACTCGATGGTGATAAGGGATCACTCGCTGAATATCAGGAGAAAGCATTGAAGTTAGGAGCTCAAAAGGCTGATCTCGAGTCACAATTAGCGGTAAGTTTTTTTTACTATTTATTTCTACAAATTTGATCCCAATTTTTCCTCTAAATAAAATTATTTTAAATAATTAAGTAAATAAATTAAAAAATATTTCTCTTTAAAAACCATTTTTTATACAAAAATTCCCAGTTCATATATAATCAACAATGCAATAAAAATTTGTCTCTCGTGGAAAATTCATCTAAATCGTGAAACTTAAATTCTATAAAACAAATTGTTTTATAGAATTTAAATTTGGTAGAGTAAAATTCCTTAAAAAGAACTTATTAAAAACAAAATTCCACCATAAAATGATATCTGAGAATTTTTCTAAAATTAAATAGTTCTAGTAAAATTAATTCCCATTTGAATTTAAAAAGTTTTTCTATAAATCCCTTCTCGAATCTAAAAAATTTGAGAATTTTCTCGTTTAAAAGTAAATTATCCTTCCTCACGAAAATTATATCATCTTACTTTGATATAATCATTCTAACTAAAATTGACTTGACATGAGAAAATGAATCGTTTTATGCACACGACACTTATGCTGTTCCACTATAATATTTTTGGGTTAAAATTTTTGGTTGGGTGATTCTCATAAACAGATATCTAAAATTAAGTAAATGAGAGAAGTAGTTTGCCCTCAAGATTTAAAATCCGTTGCGAATTGTAATTTTTTTGCAAGTAGAAGAAAGAGATAAAAATGTTTTCGTTTCGTTAAAAAAAATTGCCTCAAATTCCAAATGAAAAGAAGTAACGGAGGTGATGAGTGCATTAGTCAGTTGGGGAATATTTAGAAAGTGTGAAAATAATCGTCAAAAGAATTCAGTGGGTGGTGGTGAGATTTATTCCCCCAGAATTCACGTCTTAATCAAAATAGTCGCTATAAAATTACGCATCTTGATAAAATTTTTTTACTCATCCTACAAAAACTGATAGTTATAAATTTAGAATTAATTAGATAACTAATCATTTATTTTTAACTATAATTTGAATTAATTAAAATTAGTATTAATTAATTAGAATTTAGTAGTTGTTTAATAAGAATTATTTATTAATTATTCAATAATAGTTCTTAAAGAATTAAATAATTTGAATTAATTAGGAGTACTAAAAAATATTAAAAATTAATATTAAAAAATAAATTGATTTATTTATTTAAAATGGATTAATTGGAATTATTTAATTAGAATTGATTAACTGGAATTATTAAATATAAATTAATTGAAATTATTTATTATAAAATAATTTAATTGAAGTAGAATTATTTTGAAATATAACTCTTTAAATACTAATAATTTCTGAATTACTTTTTCGACTCTGATTTTATTTAGTTATTAAATTTTTTCGAAATAAAGCAAGAGGATTTTTTTAAATTTCTAATTTTCAGTAGCATTTACGAGTAATTTAATTTCCTTGAGAAATTATTTTTAGTTTTCCTTTTTAGGATTTTTTTTAGATTACGATTTGGTTTTCTAAAACCCCCGTTTAACGGGGGGAAGGTGTATTTCTTTGGTTCACTTCCTCTTCTTTTTTCGCCTCACTTGAATTCTGGTTCCTGGAAAAAATCAAAATTATTTACAAAATATATTTCCTCATGTGATAAAATGTAAAAAATACCTAATTTATCGAGATAAAAAGTTTTTTATTGTATTATTATTTATTGAGTAATTATCAATATTCGTTGATAGTATAAATAAAACATTGTTTCGTAAAATAATGTTTTGCTTTGAATTCCTAAGAATATGTGGAAACGAAAAAAAGAGGTTATGAATTTTTATGACTACCAACATAAAATCCATGAATGACTGAGATGTTTGTGTAAAAAAATTTTTTTATGTTGCATCAGTGCAAAATGATTGACAGTTGATTATTATTAGATGATGGGCACCAAGAAAGGCCACTAAAGCGCAAATTAGGACAGATTTAAAGTAGAGCAATGCTATCGAATGCAATAATGATTAGTTGAATGAACTTGCAAAAACTTGAAATAGGCGAGAAAAAATTCTTTGTCCCATAAATAGTCTATTCATTATTACAAAAGACTGCTTCATCGTATAGTGTTTTAATAATGCATTTTTATTTTAAAACTATTTTAGTAGTGTTCTTTCTGGGTACTTTAGTATTTTTTTATATTGATACTATTTTTTATAGTAAATTAATAGAATTTTAAACTAATTTGAAAGAAAACGATCTTAATTTATGATGATACTTTACCTTGTGGTTGAATCATGCTCCATTTAGGGTGAGAGCAGCAAAAAGTGTCGGAAGAGGGGAGGATGTCTAAATTTAACGAAATCCCAGATTCCAGGTTATTTGAAGTAGGCGTGGTGATTACTCTTTAGGTTCTTCTTCTTCTTCCTCTTCCTCTTCGTTTTTCTGGAAAAAGAAGAAGAAATATAAGTGGATAATGAAAGAGGTAACAGGTGTGGCGCTTATTAATGACGAGGATGACGCACACTTTGGCGCAAGTACTTCCGCCCCTGTGTCATATTAAGATGACGAATCGCAAGAGTCATCAAGTCACCTGTAACGGCTTGCCAATATTCCTTCCATATGTGCCAATCTCCACCTAATATTAGGCGCATCGTTAGCCCCCTTTTCTCAAGGTTTTCATTGCATTTCGTCATTCAAAAGTCTTGCCCCGCTCACTATTCAAATAAACTCACGTTCTAGACCACATCTGATGGAAAACAGATGAACCCAACTGATTTATCACTTGATTCCCTGAAACGAATTTACGAGAGACATTCTTTTAATTGAATTGTGGAATTGTAGATTTGTAGGGATAATTTAATGAGATTGTTTCGGTTCTAGGACATCACGGATAGGTTCACTCAAGAGGAGGAAGCTAGGAACAATCTCTTCCAAGGAAAGAAAAAATTGGAGCAAGAGGTCTCGGGTCTGAAGAAAGACATCGAAGACTTGGAATTAACGATCCAAAAATCGGAGCAGGATAAGGCGACCAAGGATCACCAGATCCGTAATTTGAATGAGGAGATCGCCCACCAGGATGAGCTCATCAATAAACTCAACAAGGAGAAGAAGAACCAAGGCGAAGTCAATCAGAAGACAGCCGAAGAACTCCAGGCCGCCGAAGACAAGGTGAATCATCTCACCAAAGTTAAGGTCAAGCTCGAACAGACACTTGATGAACTCGAAGACACTCTCGAACGCGAAAAGAAAGTTCGGTAGGTACCAAACAAACCATTTGGAGTAATTTAACTCAAAGTTAATTATTCAAATGTTCCTCAATTATAATTATTATAATTTATCTTAAATTTCCCACATTTTTCTAAAATCACTTCCATTTACAGCGCTGATGTTGAGAAGAATAAGAGGAAGGTTGAAGGCGATCTCAAGCTAACGCAAGAGGCCGTCGCCGATCTCGAAAGGAACAAGAAGGAATTGGAACAGACCATTCAACGCAAGGACAAGGAACTCTCATCACTCACGGCAAAATTGGAAGACGAACAATCATTGGTTGGCAAATTACAGAAACAAATCAAGGAACTCCAGGCACGTATCGAGGAACTCGAGGAAGAGGTTGAGGCCGAGCGTCAAGCACGCGCCAAGGCCGAGAAACAACGCAGCGACCTTGCCCGCGAACTCGAGGAACTTGGCGAACGCCTCGAGGAAGCTGGCGGTGCAACATCGGCTCAAATCGAACTCAATAAAAAACGTGAAGCCGAATTAAGCAAATTACGCCGCGATCTCGAAGAAGCCAATATTCAACACGAATCCGCCCTCGCAATCCTCCGCAAGAAGCACAATGACGCCGTTGCCGAAATGGGAGAACAAATCGATCAACTCAACAAAATTAAAGCTAGGCAAGTAGAAATATTCAGCATTAGACTTAATTTAAAAAAAAGAAAACAAAAACCCGTCGCGTTCTTTTGAGATTAAATAAGAAAAAATTAAATAAATTCTTTGATTACATTTTTCCGAAATGTTTCCCATTAGGGCCGAAAAAGGCCGCAATGACATCCATGTTGAACTGAACAACGCCCGAGCGGCCAATGATGTCGTCGCCAGGGAGAAGGTAGAAAAAACCGAAAAATGTGCCCCCTTGATTTTTTTAGACAGTGCCGTTCAATGTGACTACCAAATTCCCCAATTTTTTTCTTTCTTTCAGGCTATCCGTTCCGGTTATTAATACACTATAACATTTCCTTTTTTTACGAATGCCTTTAATTACCCCTAAAAATTCTTATTTTCCATGTTCGACACTAAACAGGATTGAAAAGGAGAAGGTTCAGTACTTCAGTGAATTGAACGATCTTCGCGCAACTGTCGATCATCTAAGCAATGAGAAGGTAACTTTGTCCCTTAATTTATGTTTCCAAAAGAAAAAGACGCCATACTAATGCTGATAACAAAATGCAGGTGGATCTTGGAGAAGTTCGAGGTTGAAAACAAATCCTTTGTTTTTGAGGTGCTTCCTGCTTGCTTTTAATTTAATTGTTCCTTGTGTTATCGAGAAATTGTAAGAGTATTCTAATATTTGAAATGTTCAATAGGCCGCGCAAGAGAAGATTGCCAAGCAATTGCAACATCAATTGAATGAGACTCAGGGCAAACTTGAGGAGGTGAATCGTACTTTGAATGACTTCGATGCTGCCAAGAAGAAGTTGTCGATTGAGAACAGTGATCTTTTGAGACAATTGGAAGAAGCCGAATCTCAGGTAAAGACCTTCTCATTTTTTATGAGAATGTTAAAAAGAGATTTTGAAAAGATTTTGAAATTGATTTTCTGATCTGATGGGTTTTTTTCTTAGGTGAACCAACTTTCGAAGATCAAGATCTCATTGACAACACAGTTGGAGGACACGAAGAGACTCGCCGATGAGGAGGGACGTGAACGTGCGACACTTTTGGGTAAATTCCGTAACTTGGAGCACGATTTGGACAACATTCGGGAACAGGTTGAGGAAGAGGCGGAAGGCAAGGCTGACTTGCAGAGGCAATTGAGCAAGGCGAATGCAGAGTCTCAACTCTGGCGTACCAAATACGAATCAGAGGGCGTTGCACGTGCGGAAGAACTCGAGGAAGCTAAACGTAAACTACAGGCACGTTTGGCTGAAGCTGAGGAGACTATTGAGTCACTCAACCAGAAGGTCATTGCTCTTGAGAAGACCAAACAACGTCTTGCCACTGAAGTCGAGGATCTTCAACTCGAAGTGGATCGTGCGACAGCGATTGCCAATGCGGCTGAGAAGAAGCAAAAGGCCTTCGACAAGATCATTGGCGAATGGAAACTCAAGGTCGACGATCTTGCAGCGGAACTCGACGCCAGCCAAAAGGAGTGTCGCAACTACAGTACCGAACTCTTCAGGCTCAAGGGCGCCTATGAGGAAGGCCAAGAGCAATTGGAGGCCGTTCGCAGGGAGAACAAGAATCTCGCCGACGAGGTCAAGGATCTGTTGGATCAAATCGGTGAGGGTGGACGCAACATTCACGAGATTGAGAAGGCCCGCAAACGCCTTGAGGCCGAGAAGGACGAATTACAAGCGGCTCTTGAGGAAGCCGAGGCGGCGCTCGAACAGGAGGAGAACAAAGTTCTACGCAGTCAACTCGAACTCAGTCAAGTACGACAGGAAATCGATCGTCGTATTCAGGAGAAGGAGGAGGAATTCGAAAATACGAGAAAGAATCACCAACGTGCATTGGATTCGATGCAAGCATCATTGGAAGCCGAGGCGAAGGGCAAGGCTGAGGCTCTACGCATGAAGAAGAAATTGGAGGCCGATATCAACGAATTGGAGATTGCTCTCGATCATGCAAACAAGGCGAACGCTGAGGCACAGAAGAACATCAAGAGATACCAACAACAACTCAAGGATGTTCAGACCGCACTTGAGGAGGAGCAACGCGCTCGCGACGAAGCCCGTGAACTTCTCGGTATTTCCGAACGTCGCGCCAACGCCCTTCAAAACGAACTCGAAGAGAGCAGGCAACTCCTCGAGCAAGCCGATCGTGGACGTCGTCAAGCCGAACAAGAATTGGCCGATGCTCATGAACAGCTCAACGAAATCAGCGCTCAGAACGCTTCCATTTCGGCCGCCAAGAGGAAACTCGAGGCTGAACTACAAACCCTTCACGTGAGTATTAAAAATAGTAGAATTAATAATAGAAAAAGTAATAATAGAACAAAAAGAAATAGTTTAAGACCTAATAGGGGTTTTTGACTTACCATACAATTTTTACAGTCCGACCTCGATGAATTACTCAATGAGGCCAAGAACTCCGAGGAGAAGGCTAAGAAGGCAATGGTCGATGCCGCTAGACTGGCTGACGAACTCCGAGCCGAACAAGACCACGCTCAGACCCAGGAGAAACTCCGCAAGGCTCTGGAGACACAAATCAAGGATCTCCAGGTCCGTCTAGACGAGGCCGAGGCCAACGCCCTCAAGGGAGGTAAGAAAGCCATCCAGAAATTGGAGCAACGTGTACGTGAACTCGAGAACGAACTCGATGGCGAACAGAGGAGACACGCTGACGCACAGAAGAATCTCCGTAAATCGGAACGTCGCATCAAGGAACTTAGCTTCCAGGTAATTTTTTATTTCTCCTAATCTTTTTTTTTTGCTTGAAGCAGGAAAGTTTGGACCTAAAATGACGAGAAAATCGGCTAATGAGCTAATCCACATCATGATCTTTTATAAAATCATTTCCCTCTTTACATCTATCTAGGCCGATGAGGACCGCAAGAATCATGAACGTATGCAGGACTTGGTCGACAAATTACAACAAAAGATCAAGACGTACAAGAGACAAATCGAAGAAGCAGAGGAGATTGCAGCACTAAATCTCGCCAAGTTCCGTAAAGCACAACAGGAACTCGAGGAGGCCGAAGAAAGGGCAGACCTTGCAGAACAGGCAATCACCAAGTTCCGCACCAAGGGACGCGGAGGCAGTGCCGCCCGTGGTCTCAGTCCAGTGGTAAGTTTCACACCTCCGAATCACCAAAAAAAAAATAAATAACAATTACCCCATTAGGTACAGAACTCTCTATCCCAAGGCTACTTTATAAATTTTACAAATTTTAATTCGCGACACGTTCGCAACTGATGAAACTATTATTCCCTCACTAGGCACAGAAGCCTCGTAAGGCACCTTCTGCCGCGCTGGAATAACACGCCGCGCTGGTTCCATGTAAGTCACGAGAAAAATGTGTGTGTACAATAAAAAAAATTCCTCAGCGCAAAAAACAAAAGGCGAAACACATCGTTAATCATTCACCACTTTGTTTCTGGAATCTACAATTACCCTAAAAGTGTCCACAAAGTAAAAGAATTTTTTTTTCTATCTACAAGGGTACAAAATTTAGTAGTAGAAAAATAGATTTTTAGTGTCCTTAGGGCATGGTTGCCACAAAAAATTAATTTCTTGTTTTTCCCTAATTTCCGAAGAAAATTTTGACTTTTTCCCTGAAACTAAGAAAAATTCTGTTTCACTACCAAAATGATTGGATACTCAAAAAAAATGTTCTATTTCAATTATTAACGAATTTCTTTTATTGTAAAATTATTCCAAAAACAATAACTTTTTTCTAAATAAATATTTAATCATTATTATTTTTCGGTAGGAAGTAAACATTTTCAAAATATTCGAATTCGATAACTTATAATAATTAAAGATGACTGAGTGATAAAATAATTATTTCATATTATAAGCATATTTCAATTAAATTATTATATTTTTTAGAATATTTGAAAACTAAAATTCTTCTTTAAATCAATTTTTTCTACAGAATTGTTAAGTTAAAAATAAGAAAAATTCAAATTTCCAAAGATTTTAATTTGAAACCTTTTCAAAATTCAATTATTTCTAAAAATTCATGCTGTAATGTGATATTCAATTTATTATTTCATGAAAGAATTCAATTGTTTTTATTAATTTTTAATATTTTTCGAAAAAACTTAAATATTTTCTAAAATTTTAATTAATTTTTCGAAATCATTTAATTATTTTTTTAATTTTTAATAAAATTTTTTGAAAGAATTCAATTATTTTCTAACATTTTCAATTAAAATTATTAAATAAAACTACATTATTTAAATAAAACTTAAAGAAATTCTTCGAAAGAATTTAATTATTTACAAAAACTTTAATAAAATTGGTTAAAAAGTTTAACTATCTATCAATACCTAATTAATTTAATAAAATTTTAATAGTGAAAGTATTAATTACAATTATTAACAAAATCAATTATATTCAATAAATTAAAGAAATTTTTGTTTTATTTTTTTATTTCTTATTTTATTTATTTTATTATTATTTTAATAAAATTCTTTGAACGAATTGAATTATTTTAGAAAATTGTAATAAAATTCTGCGAAGAATTGAATTATATTCTAAAAATTTTAATAAAATTCAATAAAGAAGTGTTTAATTTCTATTATTAAGAAACACAATTATTTTAAAAACTTGAAACAAAATTGTTCATAAAATTGAATTATTTTCAAAATTTTTAATTAAAATTAAAAATATTAAAATTTCTGCGATTAGTTTTATTATTTATGAAAATAATTGAATTCCTTTGAAATTTTTATTATTTATGCAAAAATAATTAAATCTTTTCGCAGAATTTTATTAAATTTTCTTTTTAAAATAATTTAAATCTGTTGGATAATTTTATTAAAATATTAGATATTGAATATCATTGGATTTAGGGAAATTTTTGCAAATAATTGAAATTTTCCGAAGAAATTTATTAAAATTTTTAAAAATAAATGAATTTGAAGAAGAATTTTATTATTTATAATGATATTTGAAATTTTGACGGGAATTTTTAAAAATTTTTACACATAATTGAATTTTTATATTTTTGAAAATAATTGAATTTCTGCAATCATTAATTGTAACTTCGTCAAAATTCAATTTTTTAAGTGTTTTTAACTAAAATTTTTTTTATAAATCCATTAATTTTATTAATTTATTAAATATATTTTAAAAAATTTAACTAATTTCAAAAGAATTTGAAATATTAAAATTTTTCAAAAATCGAAGTTCTTTTTTGTAATTAAATTCATTTAAAATTTTATAAAATTTTATAAAATTTTAAATTAAAACTTTTTGAAATTGGAATATTGTATATTGAATTTCCTGATTCCTCTGACCTGTGGCAACCCTGTTAGGGGTAAAATACTAACTATTTACCGAGGTACCATGACCCTCATCAAAAATCCCAGCTTTTCTAGAATTAGACAAAGCTGACGATGACAACAACAAAAAAAACACAACGAACGTGCTAATTCGGCAAATTCATCAAAAAAATCCCTGAAAACAGAATTCTCAAAAAGGGATGGATCCAAAGTGTATTTAATCATCGTTTTTCCATAATATCAGACATTTCTTATCATTTATCAATATAGAGAAGGTGAAAATTAAAAAAAAAAACAACAACCCCCCTTTGTTCGATATCATCTAACTCGATCCAAATTGTTTACCATTGTAACTGACCCACAAACCCTAAGAACCCAAAATTATTACTTATTTTTCTAACAAAATATTATTTATATTTTCAGCCACATCGACCTGCGTTCAAACCCCAGTTCGACGGTTCCGCATTCCCACCACGCTTCGACCTGATGCCCGACGGTGAATTTTAAAGAAAAATAAAAAGCTAGCGCGTCGAGAATCCCGTTATAATTCAAAAACATCATCCCAAAAAAAACAGGCCAACATCATCATCATTATTATTATTATTATTATCGAAAAATCACAAACACACACAAATCACATAAAAACACATCATATTTTTAATCACGAGATACAAAACTCGAAATTTCAAGTGACGACGAAAAAGACACAGACGTCTCACGATAAAATGAATTTTATTATTATTGTCGATGAGGAACAAGTAGAGAACATTTCGAGCAATAAATATATTTTTTTTGTCATCGCAAAAACAGTGGCGAATCGACACGCCAAAAACTGGGCGATAATCATCAAAAGGGAATTTTTTTTGGGGGGGGGAGGGTTGGGAAGGGGAAAAAGGGGAAATTATAAAGTGAAAATATAGAGAGCGATAGCGAGAATTTCTATCAAAAGAGTTTATTACCGTCGGTCCATCAAGAGGGCGAGAGCTAAATAATAATTTGAGATGGTTTTAAAGAAATATCGCAAATTTTATCATTACTGTAAGCAAAATGAAAAAAAAACATCACTGTGTCGTCAATTGCTATCCTATCCTTATAAACGTAATTTAATTTATAAAAAAAGCGAAATATGTATTTATTAAAGTAAATAAGCAATAAATAAAGTTAAGAAATTAATTCTTACTATATATATTATTGATTTGTCCATATCCTGAGTATTTCCTTTTTTCGGCGATTTTAATCCTTTTCAAAAAATTCAATTACTTTCTACAATTTTTAACTAAACTTCAAATCAATTAATTTATTTCAGTAATAATTGATTATAAAATTTATTTTAAAAATTTAATTATTTTTAAAATTTTTAAGAAATTTCTTCTAAAATATTAAATAATAGGTACTCTATAAAAATTTAAAAATGATACAATAATTGTTTATAACAATTTAATTATGTCAATTTTTTAAAAAAATTCTTTAAAAAAATTAAATTTCTTGTTATAGAATTTGAAAAAAAATTATTTTTCAGAATTTTAAATACAATTTCATTAAAGAATTCAATTTTGACCAAATTCTTCGCAAAATTCCAATTATTTTCATAAATAATAACATTCTTCGGAAGAATTCAAATATTTTTATAAATAATAAAATTCTTTATAGGAATTAAATAATTTTCAATACAATTTTAATAAAATTTGCCAAAAGGATTCAATTTTTAATTCATTTCCAAAAATTTTAAGAAATTTCAATAATTAAGTGTTTAATTTCAATGATTAAGAAACGTAATTATTTTAAAGACTTAAAAGAAATTCTTCATAAAATTCAATTACTTTCAAAATTTTCAATTAAAATTATTAAAGAAATTAGATTATTTAAAAAAAAAAATTCAAAGAAATTCTTCAAAAAAATTAAATTTGAATTTTGAAAAATTTTAATAAAATTCTTCAGAAGAATTCAAAAATTTTAAATTCAATTTTAGTAAAATTTCTCGAAAGTATACAATTATTTTTCAAAATAAACGTTTTAATAAAATTTTTCGATTAAATCCAATTATTTTCAAAAGTTTTAATAAAAATTCTTTCAAAACATTCAATTTTTTTTAATTATTACGATATAAAATTCTTCAAATCAATTCAACTATTTTTATAAATTGTAAAATTCTTTTCAAGAATTCAATGAAAATATTTAAAAAGAAAAATTAATTAGGAAAATAATTAAATTTGTAAAAAGAATTTAATTATTTATAAAGATAATTGAATTGTTAGGACTAGAATTTTATTAAAATTTTGGTAAATAATTGAATTCTTTAGAAGATTTTTGAATAAAATTTCAAAGAATTGCATTTTTTTTAAGAAATTTATATCAATTATTGTTTTAAATTTTAACTGAAATTCATTTTTAAATTAATTTTTATTAGAAAATTCAATCGGAATTTAATTATTTAAATTTGAAATTAAATAATTTATTGAATATAATTTAATGTTTCTCAAAATTGTACTTAAAATAATTAAAATTCTGCAATGAGTTTTACTCACATTAATATGAAAATAATTGGAATTCCTGAAAAGAATTTTATTATTTATGAAAATAATTAAATGTTTGAGTGGAATTCTGTTAAAAATTTTTTTAAACAATTATTATGAAAAAAAATTTTAACAAAATTTCACGCAAACATCTAATTATTCTTTTAGAAAATTTTATTAAAATAATTGATATTAAAAATCAATAATTTGAGGAAAATTTTTGAAAATAATTTAATTTTGAAGAAGAATTTTATTATTTTTAAAGATAATTGAAATTTTGCCAAGAATTTTTTTTTTAAATTTTCGAACATAATTGAACGTTTGCAATGAATTGTTATTACTTTTGAAAATAATTGAATTTCTGCTGTTTATAATTTTTCTAAAATAATTTAATTATTTTATCTTGTTTTCAACTAAAATTCATAATTAAATTTATTTTTTATTCATAATAATTTATTGAATTCGATTAAAATTGTATTTAAAAAAAAATTGAAATTTTGCGTTAAGTTTTTTTTATATTTTTCAAAAATCTAAATTCGTTTAAAAAAAAAATTGTTAATCGACTTTAATGATCCAAGATGCATTCATTTTAATTTGAGTCGTTTTGAATAAAATTTTTATGAAAAAATATTGAAATTCTTTTAAAGAAAACCTTGAAAACGTTTGTTTTGAACAAACATTTAATAGATCTGATATTCATAAAAGAAAAATGTGAAAAAAAATTTTTTTAACATTCCACAATATTTTTATTACTAAAAAATAATATTTTTAAATTTATATTTTTTACTAATAAAATTTCTATTCAACACGACTAATATGATATATAAATGTTGCATTTTTAAAAAAACGAAATATTTGTGGGTTATCCTTTTGCGACATTTAAATTTGTTTTTAAACAAAATTGAAAATGAATAATTCTCCTTGTGGAATTGCTTTTTTGATTGCCATTTTCTCTTTTGCAGTTGTAAGTATCATAATAGTAATATATTTAAATATTATGAATATTATAAATAAAATATTAAAATATTATTTTACACTAAGGGATTTTTTTTTATTTTCTGATTTCCAAACATCGTACGACGTAGAAATGTATAATTGTTAATAATATTATAACAAAAATATAATTGTTTTTAAATATATCATATTTCGAGGTGGCTTTACCTTATCAAGGAGAAATGGATGAAAATAAGAGAATAACCAACAACATTGCCTACATGTTTTTTCGAACTATTCCTCTCTCGATGATGTTCAAGGAGATTGAATTTAAAATTTTTGAGGCAAATAATTTATTTCAGGATATGAAAATGAATGAGAATTTACGAAATGATAAGAAAATGCAGTCACTACTAGATTATTTTAAAGGAAATAATTTTGAAGATATCTCTCAATTGAAAAGATTTGATCTTAAAATTTTAAAAAATGCAGAATACTTAATATGGGTCAGTTAAAGAAATATAAAATTTTTCTTTTATTTTTACATTAAACCTTTGCGCATAAATATAATTTTATGTTCTTTACTGTTTTAGAAGAAGTACATTGACAAAATATTAATTGTAAGTGGAAATTTAAAAAAATACATTACTTTGAATGAATTTAAAAATAATTATTAAAAATATGAAATATAAATTTTGAAATTTAATTTTTAAGTAATTTCAATTATAGCGATGGAACGAAATAATATGTTCTCCGTGAAATGTAAATTTATAACTATATATAATTGTTAATACCTATTTTCAGCAATTGACGAAAAATGATGCAGACTTAGCCTATTATTTCATTATGTTTGAATTTGTTTCCATACTGGATAATAATTTATTAAAACTCGATCACTGTTCGACAGAAATCCAGAAAAACGCTTCACATTACGCAAATGCATTATATGCTATTGACAGATTTAGTAGAAATTTAAATTATACGTTCTTTATTGAAAACGGGCATCTTGAGGTAAGTAGTAAGTGAAAATTTTCATTTTATTTTAGAAATTGTACTAGATTATTAAAATAATCGTAGAAATAAAAAAACTATAAATTATACAAATTGTTTTTCATAATTACAGAAATGGTATAAAAAGAATATTTTTCCTGAGTTCAAAATATCTGCGCATGTGTTTGGTGCTATTGGTTTAATATCTAGTGCCGCACTATTTGCTTTGTCATCGATAACAAGGATGATAGGTTTGGCGAACTTATGGAATTAATAAGGCCTAAATAGAGAATGCACTGTAATGATAAAGTATGTCTGTAATCATATTAAAAGTGGAATAAATTTCTTATTCAGCAAAAACTGACTACTTACAAAAAAAATTTTTTTTTAATTTCCCAATCCATGAAAATTAAAAATTTTATCACCTTTGATGATTGAACTCTTTTTACTATGTTTTTCAACTGACGGTTTTTTTAAGAGGGTTCAGAATCGGTTATAATTTTTTTAAACTCAAAATCATTGCTCTGTATGTCAAAAATTAAACAGTTTTTAATCCCAATTTTTTGGGATTTTGGTAATCTTTATACAAATACGAAATATTTTCAAGAAATTGAAATTTTAAATAATCCTTTTTTAATTTGGGTGTCGCGAATTTTGAGTCTCAAAAACTTAGAACCGGTTCTTTAAATATATTTAAATATATAATATTTATAATAATCAATTACAATATTTTTGTTTTTAGCCAAAAGTTTAGTTTTTTAATTTTTACTCTCCTTTATGTTTAAAATTTATATTGTTTCTGAAAATAATTAAATAATTAAAAATTTTCATTGCAAAATAAATATTTTCTTTTTAATTAATTTATTTTTTTTTTTAATTTCATACAAGTAGAATATAAGCATAATTTTCCTTTACTAAGATAAATTATATTGACCATTAATAATATTCCGAAGAAACAAATACATTTTTTAAGAGGCTTTAAATGTAAAAAAAATTTAACTTTGGACGTGCAGCACTCTAAACTTTTTCACTGAAGGTCAAAAAAATAGTTTCAACAACTTTTTTTTACTAATGCGTAGAAATAAAAAAAGAAATTTTTTTTATGTAAAAAACATAATTTTTGCCAAAAAAATCAAAACGATATAATATTTTTCTCAAATAATAAAAGGATTAACCTACGAAAGATGCTTTTGGGCGCCTGTCGTTTCTTGGAACACAAAACAAAATTAAAAGGACAAAAAAAAATTGTTTAAATAAATTTTAAACAATTCCAATTATTTGAAATATTCAGAAAATTAAATCAAATGAAATTAATAATTATTCAGTTTCTAAAGTTATTTTAAAATAATTTTTAAAAGATAATAGTTTTTCAATTTTTAAAAATTTCCAAACAATTAAAATTTGGTAAAACTTTTTCAAAAATAATTGAACTTTTGAAAAATATAAATAAGAATGATCAAATTTTTGAAGAATTATTATAAATTATTATAAAAACAATTCTAATAATTAGTTTTTAAAAATATTTTAATGTAATTTTTCGAAAATAATTGAATTTCTTAAAAGAATTTTTGTATAATTAAAAAAAACTAATTAATTTTTTAAAGAATTTTAATTAAACATTTAACATGATTGTTTTTGACAAAATTTTAAAAATAATTCTACAAAAAATTTTAATGTAATTATTTTTTGTTTTTATTTGAATTTTCGGAAATATTTAATTGAAAATATTGAAAATAAAATTGAATTTTGAAAAATTAGAATGAAAAAATTCTAAGAATTAATTTACATTAATTTTCATTTCTAAATTTACACTTGGAAGATTTTTCATTAAAATTTTTAAGAGTTCAATTATTTTCAAAACTATTTGCAATTAAAGAGTTCTTTAAAAATTGTAATAAAATACTTGGAAAAAATCAATTATTTTCAATGAAATTTTACAATGTTTCGATTATTCAAAATCTTTTTAAATGTGTATGTCGAAAATTTAATTAGAAAAATTATTCAAAAATAATTTCTGAAAAATTTGTCTTTGTTTATTTTTCATACAATAAAAATCGAAATTAGTTGCATTTTATACTAAAATTATGATTTTTTGTTACAATATTTGAAAGAAAAGTCGAAATTTTTGTAAATAAGTCAAAAGATTCAATTAATAATTAAAACGAATTTTATAAAATTAATAAAAAACGGACTGAAATTTTGTCATTACAGCGACGTTTGTGAATTTAAGGTTATTTTTCCTAAACTATTTTCTATTCACATTAAATTATTGTTTTTATTCAAACACAACTTTTAATTATCCAAAATGTTAAAAATTAAACTTTTCACCTTATTCTATCAAAACGTACTCAAAATTTAGTCTTTTTATTAAAATTTATTAAAATTTAAAATCCCGAATGTATGACAAATTTAGTTGCGAATTATACTTGAAAAGTATAGAAACATTCCAACTTTTATATTTATTGCAATAAGAGAATTCAAATTTTCTTACCTAGACGATGAATTAGGAAGACAAAGAAAATTGTATATACAAATAAACAAAATTCGTCTTTACAATTTATTATAATTTACAATAAATAAAATTTCTGCTTACAGTCTCAAGTTTTCTCGACTCATTCTGTTGACTCGTCCAGCGGTCCAGCAGAAGTTTAACAGGGTTGGGAACGTAAGTAAATAAAGCGCGATTCAGACTATTTCTACAATGGACTGAGATTTAAATTAAAGGTGCGCACACAACGTACGATTTTTAACAACAGTGTCTACACTTTCTTTGAAAGTGACTTTAAAGGCCTGGGCACAACAATAACTATTAAAAGAAATAAAAAACGGAAAAGTAGATTACGTTAAGGGTTCTTTCACACCGAGCAACAGCTCATTGTAATAAGTCTTACAATCACAATTAGAATCATTCCTGTTACATATCAATATTTAATTACCTTCATATATGGGCCAATTTACTACAAACTAATTTAAATTGAATTAAAAATTATTTAAACATAAATAAAATAAATTCTAATAAAAAATTTTTAACATAAATTAAATAATAATAATACAAAAATAAAATATTTTTCTATTCGAAAAAATTTAAAATTTAAAATATGATAAAAACTATTATCACAATCAAAGTATTCAATTTAAAGAATATTGTTTAATTAATATTTTGTTAATAACTTAATTACATTTGTACGAAAGGGCATTTATTTTTTGTGTGCCCGTTTACTAATTAATTAAATAGATAAATAATTTGATTACAAAATTATTTATTATAAAATAATTTTTAAAAAATAATTTATTATAAAATAATTTTTAAAAAATAATTTTAGAAAATAATTAAAATATAATTTTAGAAAATAATTTAAAAAATAATTTTAAAAAATGTTTTTAAAACATAATTAAAAAAATCATTTTAAAAAATAAAATTTAAAAATTATTTCAAAAAAATAAATTAAATAAATTAAAAATAATAATAATGAGTTAATAAAGAACGAATTTTAGAATAAATTATTTTTATAAATACATATTTAAAATAACTAATGCAATTATACTAAGAAGTTATTAAGTAATGATTAAACTTAAAAATAAAAATTAACTTAGAAAAATAAAATTCTTTTTTATTCACACAAAATATAATAAATTCCACGAAAAACATTTCTATATTATATCAATAAGTCCTTCTAGGAATTTATTAACAAACAAAATTTCTTAATTACTTTTTTTCTCTTCTCTTCTATAAAAAAAAAAAAAATTCAGATTTATTTTTCATAAAATAAATAAACAAAAATATTCTTATCTCGAATTATATTTGGATTCAATGCGAGTGAGTTGTTGAAATTGACCCTTGACATGTTGCCAGTAGGTCATCTTGTCATCGGGTTTTAAACGAAACTCTTTGCAAGTTTCATAATAAGCATCCAAACATAGAGGTAAATATGCATGATCAACAGTTGGCAGTAAATGATGAAGTGTATGTGATCCAAAATTTGTTAAAGCCAAAAATAATGAATCGTCTACAATTTCCCTGCCACGTACAGCATCCAATTCCAATAGACCCCAATCTTGATCTTTTCTAAAATATAGAAGAGAGCCACAAAATATTTAAAAGAAAATTGTTTTTAAATTAATAAACAATTAAAATTTTTAATTTTTTTTTAGTTAATAAACAATTTAAATTATTTAAATTTTATTTTTTTAATTAATAAACAAATTAAAATTGTCCTTTTTAATTTAATTTTTCTATAATTGATAAACAAATTAAAACATTTTAATTTTATTTTTTTAATTAATTATTAATAAACTATTTAAATTTTATTTTATTTAATAAATTAACAATTTAAAATTGTACTTTTTAATTTAAATGTTTTTTAATTGAAAAACAATTTGAATTTTTTAATTTACTTCTTTTTATTATTAATAAACAATTAAAATTTTTATTTCCTTTTGTTTAATTAAATTTTCATTTTTGTAATTAATAACAAACCTTGCAATGTCTCCATCATGAAATATATCAGGATGATGATGCGCTGCATTAAAACCAATAAAATGAAAAAATAAACTTGTAAAAAATATAATAATTATCCACGTTTTGACTGCAGTTGAAAAATTTGGTGCTACAATAGACATCAATAGAGGTAAACTAAAGGGAATAATATCTCTAATATCGAACTGTTTCCAAACACGAAAAACCAGATAATATCTATTGAAAAAGAAAATTTATTAATATTAAATTTTTAAATATTTCTGTTTATCTACTTTATATTTTTTGCAAAAAAGATGGATGTTATAAGCTACTAACGAGAGAAAAGGCAGAGTTTCTGCTTTACCGACTGACGTTAAGACAGAGATCCTATCTTACCGACTGAAGATAATATAGAACTCTACAATACCAACAGTCGGTATAGAAGAGATCTACATTATCAAACAGTTGGTATTTAGATATTAATAGATTAAAATAAAATTAACACAATTATTAAAGTATAAAATTACTCTTTTACCTTTTTATTGTCTGACCAAATAATGCCAGAGCATAAACCCCTGGCGTTATTAGAACAGATAAACTTTTCTTGAGAAATGATTTTTTTTTATTTGGCAACCATTGAAAGAATGGTTCAAGTGCATAAACCTCAACGTCCCATATTGTATTTGGATATAAATGATGACTTAGGACATGAGTAATTCGCCATTCTCTTGTTGAAAAAAAACTCAAGTCCATGTAAAACATTCGAAAAGTATCTCTCATGTGAAGATAATTGTGACCAATTACACAGCTCCATGTTAAAAATAGAGCTGAAAATGTTTTTTTTTCTTTGTTATAGGTTTAGAAAGCAAAATTCTATTTTTTAGTTTATTTAAAAAAAAAGTGGGGGAAATAATCCAAAATACCGTTTTTTTAGATTTCTTTTTAGTAGCTGACGTACTAGAGACTTCTTTAATGTCAAAAATTGAAGCTTGAAACTTACTCGTACGCAAAAGATAACAAAAATTGAGTTTTTTGAAAAAAGTGGGGGTAAAAAGTCCAAAAAAATTATTCAGTTATTTTTGACATGGGAGTCGTTTTCAAGGTATTTTTGTTCACTGAATACAATCCCGGGTCGTAAAATTGCCTAAAACTTTGGGATTTTGAGAAAAGTGGGGGTAAATACCCAAAAAATGTATTTTTTGCGGTTTTTTTAATGATTTTTTCCCCCTTAAGCTGAACCAGAAGTCTTAAAACTAAAAGTTCAAATCGTGTACTATATTTTAAGACCAAAAATGTTGAGGTTTTTGAAAAAAGTGGGGGTAAAAAGTTCCAAAAAAAAATTTTTCAGTTATTTTTGATATGGGAGTCGTTTTTAATGTATTTTTGTCCACTAAACGCGATGCTGGGTTCCAAAAGTGACTAAAACGTCAATTCTTCGAGAAAATTAGGGAGACAAAGATAAAAGAACTGTGCGATTATATATATTTAAAAAAATATTACCTGCAGGAATTATTGCGAGCCAGAATTTTGTTGCCATCAGTGAAAAGAAAATTGCCGATGAAACAAGAAAATCGGCAATTAAATTTGTACTTCTAGCTGGATGATGAAAATTGACATTTTTTAGGGCCAATAATGCACGTTTTTTAAATGTTTGATAAAATCCATTTGGCATGAATGTAAATGGTATTTTACGTGGTTGTTTTGCATCACGAATGTAAAATTTTGGTAATAAATTTTCTGCTCTGTCTGTGAGATGATGACACTGAAGAAATAAGAGAAATATTTTTATTAAGTTTTAAACTTATATAATTTTAATTAATTCCTAATTTACGATTTTTATTTGTAAAGAAAATGGAAATTTTCATTTTATTTTAGAATTTTTCTAATGATTTTTAATTACTTCATTTGTTGATATTACTGCGAAGTGATATTTTAGAACTTTTTCCTCTATAGGAATATTATGGTAAAAAAAATTTTACATTCTAAATAATACTTTACATTTTAAATAATATTTTAGTTTTTAAATTACCTTTCAATTTTTTTCGCGTTATATTTTTCCTCTTAGTTTGTCAATTAATAATTTATTATCGTGACAAGAATTTTTTTCATCTCGATAATTATTATTTTAATGCAGTTAACTTTTTTTGTTACATAAATTTACTTCTCGTTTTTGTCGTTCAAAATCCTTTTTTTTCTTTTTACATTACTTTCATTTATTTTCAATTTTATCATTCGAATTTTATAAATTACTATTTTAGTAAAATAAAAAAATTTCTTTTTACTTTTTTCTCTATTTATTTTTTAATTTTCATTACTTTTTTAATTTAATTTTTATCTTTGAATATGATTTGAATTGTATTAGAATGTAATTTGAATTTAATATAATCTTAATTAAAATTTTTATTTCAACTTGAACTTAATTAAAATTTAATTTCAACTTGAACTTAATTAAAATTTAATTTTCATATAATTTCAACTTGAATGTAATTTCAATTTAATTACAACTTGAATTATAATTTGAATTTAATTTTGATTGTTTTTTTCAATTCAAAAAAATTTTTTTTTAATTTAGTCTAAACATTTTTTTAATTTTTTAACCTCAAAGGCCTCAGTAATATCGGTCCCTTTCGTTAAAGTGAGCCATTCAGCGCCACCTGGATGTTTATGTAACCAATTTTCAAGGTCATATAAACCATTTCTAATACGCCAAAGACCCTCAGCTCCATCATCAATTTTTCGTCCCTCTAAAAATCCATGGCCAGATTTTAAATAAAGATCACGACCTGAAGGATATTCCAATCCTGGAACTGTACTTTCCAATTTCCCCATTATTTTGAGAATCTTTCTGAAATTTTTGAATTTTTTTTTAGAATAAACCATCTTTTCTCTATTTATAAAAAAATATTTTTTTAAAAACAATTTTGCTCTAAATTTTTAATATTCTTAAAATTACAATAATTTAATATATAAATATTACAAATTTCTTCATATTGTTAACTATATTAATATTAAAAAATAGTATTTAAAAAAAACAGTATTTAAATAATTAATAACAATTAATTTAATAAATAATAATTAAGTGTTAATATTAATTGTTATTAATTAGGTATTAAAATGAACTATTATTAATTAGATATTAATAATAATTTCTAAAGTTAATTTTAATAATGATTATTAATAACCAACTAATTTATATTAATAATAATTTAACTCTGCTAGGGATAAAATTATAATAAAATTATAATAAATAAATTATAAAATTATAAGAAATAAATTATAAAATTTAAATGAATAAATTATTATAAAATTATAATAAATAAAATATTGCAATAATTGTTAGAAATTGTTAATAATTTATTTTTTGTTTATAAATTATAAATAAAACCTTATAATTATATTTATTTAATAAATTAAAATTAATAAATTATTTTTCATTAAAAATAATAATTAATTTACGTACCTACAATTAAAATATTCCTTATATATATATATATTAAGTATCACTTTCAATTACAATGCGACTATAAAATTTCTTATGTCTATTTATTTGAACAGCATATTAAGAACTGATCGTTAATTTTTCCAACGAACTATGTTTTATTTTTTTTTATAATTATAAAAAAACATAGTGTTTATAAAATGTAAGTCACGCTCTAGACACCGAGATAATAAATTAATATCAGCGTCAATGTATATTATACATGACGCATTCGGATAAAAAGGATGGGGGGGGGGGGGTGGGAGAAAATCATTCTTGGACCGTAATTCTTCCAGTATTCATATTTTCTTTTTTCTCCTTTCAATGGAAAACGAAAAAAAAAAATAATTTATGTTAATCTATTAATAAGGTAATTTAAAAAAAAGAAAAGCACTATTATTAAAACTACTACTTTTTAATAACTTTGCGGAAAATTTCAATTTAAAAATTATTTCATTATTCAAAAGAATTCGTTAATTAAAAAAAATTAATTAAATTTTAATTAAAGTATAATTCAATTGAAATTATTTTTTTAAGTTAATTATATTTACAATTTACTAAAATTAATAAACTCATTCCAGTAGTAAAATTAGTCCACTTACCAATAATTAACAATAAAAATATCTACTTTATCGATTTTGGTTAACATTGATTATCTACATTATCTTTAGTCGGTTTGGTAAATCACTATTTTATCTTCAGTGACTTTTACTTTAAATATAAAATATAAATAACAATAATAAACTAAATATTATTATTGATTCTCTACATTATCTTCTGTCGGTCTAGTACAGTCACTACTTTATGTACAGTGACATTTTTTTTTAATTTGAATAATAAATGTACAATTAATTAGAAATATTAAATTAAATATTAATTCCCTACATTATCTACAGTCGGTATAGTAAAATTACTATTTTATCTACAGTATCCTTTTTTAAATTTTGAATCAGGAATATAAAAAAATTAAAAATATAAGAAAAAGAATTAAGAAGAAGAAGAAGAAAAAGAAATTTTATTATGTTTAAAAAAATTGTTTTTTATTTCCTAGATTAAAAAAAATTATCCTTTTGAAACATATTTACATTCTCGAATTATTAACTTTATTCGAACGAATTTGTTGGAGAAATTGTCCTTTCATCAATTCTAATGAATTTAATTTATCGGGACCATTAATGTTAAATTCCTGACATGTTTCATAAAATGCATTTTCACAAAGTGGCAAATATGCATGATCAACAGTTGGTAATAAGTGATGAAGTATATGAGCACCAAAATGAGTTAACGTCAAAAATGGTGAATCATCAATTATATCTCTTCCACGAACAGTGTCAAGTGTCAATAAACCCCAATCGAGATCTTTTCTAAAAAAAAGACAGAAAGTAAATAATTAATATATTAATTATTAAATATTTTCCCACAAATTTTATATTTTACCATTTTTTTCAAAAATAAATTTTAAAATAAATTAAAATATTAAATTAATTATAATTAATTACTTGATTCTCTACATTATCTACAGTCGATATAGTAAATCTACTATTTTATCTATGTACAGAATATTTTTTAAAATTTAAATCTGGTGCAAAAAAAATTTCTATTTTAATTTATTTTTGTCTTTAATTTATTAAATTTAATTAATTATATTTTGTCATTAATAATATTTAATTACTTATAATTATAGTTTTCAATTTATTTTATTTACAAAATTTTTTTACATACTTTAAAATTTCTATTTATAGACGTTAATTTTTATTAATTAGTGATTCGTTACCTGTAAATATCACCATCGTGAAAAATATCAGGATGATGATGTGCTGCGTTTATTCCAATGCAGAAAAAGACAAAACTACCGCAAAATATTATCATCATCCAACTTTTAAATGCTGACAATGGATTTGGTGCAACGGTACATAATAATAATGGCAAGAAAAATGGTACTAAATCTCTAAATTCCAATTGCTTCCATACTGTAAAAATCAAATAATACCTAAAAGAAACAATCACAATGATTAGAAAATTTAAAAAAAGTAATTTTAAAAAATATTTTCCAATATAATTTTCTACTTAACCAATTGTCGATCAGTAAATTTCCTACTTTACCGACTGTTGGTTAGTTAGTTTACACTCACATCATCGATTACCGATAGTTGATCAGTCGATTTAATATGTTGCCAACTGTCGATAAAGTAGAAAATCTTACTAATCAATAATCAATAAAGTAAATAATCTTGAAATTTCTATTTCGTTTGAAAACTATGAGACTGACCTTTTAATTCCCTCTTTTAAAAATCCCATAATTGTAAGAAGTGGCGTTAAAATAATTCCCAATATTCTCCTCAATATTGGCTTTTGTCTTGGTAACCAATTCACTAACGGTTCAAAGGCATAAATTTCCTGATCCCAAATTGTATTTGGATAGAGATGATGGCAAAGCGCATGCGTTATACGCCATTCTTTACTTGACATTAAACTCAAATCAAAATAATACATTCTAAAGTGATGTTTCATATGCATATAATTGTGAGCTGCTATTGTTGTCCATGCTAAAAATATGCCTGAAATCGTTCATCAATTATAATTTTTGTAAAATTTCATAAAGTAGTTTATCTCCTTTACCGACAGAGTTGACTTTTTTAAAAGGAAAAGTACTTCTTTACCGATATGTGATAATTGTAGGAAAAATTCTACTTTGCCGACTGTTGATAAAGTGAATACATTATCAGCAATCGGTAAAGTAGAATTTTTTTGAAAAATTGTTTCTTACCGCTTATTACGAAGGCCAGCCAGAAATTTGTCGATGCTGCAATCATTGATGAGATTAATGTGATAATTAAAAGTGAGTCTGTCTTAAGATTTGATGATTTTGATGGATTTTGAAAATCCACGTCTTTAAGGGCAATTTGAATTCGTTTTTTGAATTTTTTGTAAAATCCGTTGTCATCGAAGGTGAAGGGAATTGATCGCGATGAATTTGCATCACGAATGTAGAATCTTGAAAGAATCCTTTGTGGTTTTTCAGTTAAATGATGTACCTTTAATAGATAATTATTGAATTAAAGTTTGTTAAATATTTTGCAAATTTAATTTAATGGAAAATAGTTATTAAAAAGATGATGAATTTGAAATAAACAAATTAATGATTTTTAGTTTAGACATGAACCATTTATTACCGACATTTAATTCTTAGCACAGTTCAGAACCATTTAGCTCGGACACGAAGCGTTTCGAAAAGATTAGAACCATTTATTACCGACATTTAATTCTTAACACAGTTCAGAACCAATTAGCCCGGGCACGAACCATTTAGCAGATATTGAAACCATTTATTATCGACATCCGTTTCTCGTTAGCATAGAACAGAACCATTTAGTGTAAACAATAACTATTTATTACCGACAAGAGCACCTTTTTAGCACAGATCAGAACCATTTAGTCCAGACACGAACCATTTATTACCGACTTCCACTTCTGCTTAGCGTAGATCAGAACCATTTAGTCTAGACACAAACCATTTAGCAGAGATTGGAACCATTTATTACCGACATGCATTTCTGTTTAGCATAGAACAGAACCATTTAGTTGAGACAAAAACCATTTGTTACCGACAAAAACACCTTTTTAGCACAGATCAGAACCATTTAGTATAGAAACGAACCATTAAGCAGAGATTAGAACCAGTTATTACCGACACTTATGTTTAGCATAGAACACAACCATTTAGTTGAGACACAAACCATTTGTTACCGACAAAAATACTTTTTTTAGCACAGATCAGAACCATCTAGTCCAGATACAAACCATTAAGCAGAGATAAGAACCAGTTATTACCGATATTTCTGTTTAGCATAGAACAGAACCATTTAGTCAAGATAAAAACCATTTAACAATAAAAATTCACCTAATGCAGCCACGAACCGTAATTTAGCGGAGATTAGAACCACATTATCGACGGACTTTTTTTAGCACAAACAATAAAATTTTTAAAAAAGTTTAATCAACTCTTTTATATCAAACCTCAAAAGCTTCAGTAATATCCGTCCCTTTTGTAAGATTAATCCATTCAGAGCCTCCGGGATGAAATTTTTCCCATTCAGTCAAATCATAAAGTCCATCCTTGATCCTCCAAAGTCCCTCTGCACCGTCGTCTATTTTTCTGCCCTCCAAAAAACCCTGGCCAGATTTTATGGGATCATTTCGTCCTGACGGATATCCAAGACCGGGTATTGAACTTTTTACTTTTTGCATTTTTTTCCCCAAAGAAAATAATGTAAAATTTTAAATAGTATAAAAACTTAAATTTATACAATATAAAAAATATTGTTAATTATTAATTGAATAATATTTTTAGCTTGAAAATATTGGATTTAAAAATACTTAATTAACTAAAAAAATAAAATAAAAGTATGAAAAAGTGAAAAAGAATTTTATAAAGACACAATTATTTTCGTTTTACACTGTTAAACATTAAAATAATACTTGACTTTAATAATCTTAGCGAGTATTGATTTGCTACTTATCGCAAAAACCCAATTGTAATTTATGAGAATGATAAGATTCTCGAATACAAACAGGACAATCATTTCTTGTCACACTCACACATTTTTATTTTGCTAATTAAGATTTTCGAAAATTATAAATAAAAATTCAATTCCAAGAAATTTTCACTTATCCATATATATTTTTCAAGATAAAATTCTGTACAATTATATTTGATTTTCTTCTTTATTTTCTACTTCTGAAAACTTATTTTCTAATTTAAAAAAAAAAAGAAATTCTTAAAATACGATCTCTAAAAATTCTACTTTGAGATCTTCTTGAATTAAATGCAATCAAAAACACAATTTTTCCTCCCAAAACTCTCAACATTTAAATAAATTTTATAAAAACTTTTCAAACTAGAATTTTTGGAAAAGTTTGAATAGTAAACAAATTAGAAACAGACAAAAAAAAATAAAAATATAAAAAATTTCAAGTCGACAAAAAAGGAAGCAACTTTTTCTTAAAATCTAAAAAAATGCAGTAATTTACAGACTTAATTTTTAAATGTTCGTAAAAAGTAAATTAAGAAAAATAAAAATACAGACTTAGAAGAATGTTTTGATAAGAATTGTCATTAAAAGTACAATTGCATAAGAGCAAAATGGTCTTTCACTTCCATTGGGCTTTACATCAAAACCATTTTCACTTCGGCCATATCCATTTCGATTGTTATTGTTAGTTGTCTGTGTTGAACGTGCAGATGAATCAGCAGCGCACGCCGTTCCCTGAACAGCCTCCTTCATTGAACCAGTTAAAATTCTAAAATTATAATCATTTGGATCCAATCGATCGTACATAAATTGTGGCAGTCGATCCGAGAGCACCCAAATATTTCCATTCGGATCAATCTATTTTTTTTCATTGAAAAAACAAAAGGAATAAGAAAATTAAAATTATTTTCAAAAAAAGTCTGATTTTTTCAATAAAAGATTTTTAAAAAAAAGTTAAAAAATATAAAAATGTTAATATTTTAAAAATATTAACCTTAAGATCATTCGGGAATACCAAAGTAACGTTATTCATATAAATAGGTCGATGATTTTGAATATCATATGGTGTACCAGTCTTCCAGCATGCAATCGCATTGAGATTCACTAAAGCGTAAAGAAGAACTCCCGATTTTGGCTCCAAAAAGCTGACACTGCTCTGTCCGTTTATACCTCGTGATCCTAATTCTTTGAACTGATTTTCAGATTCTAAAATAAATAGCAAATTTTTATAGATTTTAAAGTGGAAGTGGTTATTTTATATAAATATCTACTTTATCTACTGTTAGTAATTAAATGGTTCATGATAACCTGCATTTGATAATGTAATTTCCTACTTTATCGACTGTCGGTCGTACATACATCCCTACTCTCGACAGTCGGTAAAGTAGATTACCATTTTTTTCTAATGTTGGATATATACAATTTCTGACGTTTACCTACAGTCGAAAAAGTAAATTATCTACTCCTCGGAAGTTAACAGTTTTTTAAGGATTATCAAGGAGTCTAGAAAGCATAAAATGCATAAAATAGGCTATCCGTTTGACAGAGGTAAAGTAGATTATTTATTTTACCGACTGTTGAATATTTAGAACCGCTAACTTATCAACAGTCGATAAAGAATGCTTCTTACGGATGAGTAAGGGGTCTAGACAGCTTAAAACAAATAAAATAAGCTACCTATTTGACAGAGGTAAAGCAGGTTACCTGCTTTATCGACTGTTAAATATATAGAGCATCTACATTGTCAACAGTCGATAAAGAATGTTTATTACGGATGATTAAGGGGTCTAGACAGCTTAGAATAAATAAAATAGGTTATTCATTTAACAGAGGCAAAGTAGATTATCTTCTTTACCGACTGTTGAATATATAGAGCATCTAACTTATCTGCAGTCGATAGAAAGAAAGTATTTTTTTTATAGATTACTAAGGATTCTAGACAGCTTAGATCCAATGGATCGTAGGAGACGTCTAGCAAGGGTAAAATAAATCGAATAATCTATCTACTTTGTTGAAGATTTTAAATTATCTACTTTACCGACTCTTAAATATACATAATTTCTAAATTGCCTGCAGTCGATAAAGTTGACAACCTACTTTACAAACTGTTGGTCATGTTAGATGTCTACCTAACCTACAGTCGGCAAGATAAATTCGTTGTTTTACCGATCGTTGGTAAAGTAGAACATCTGTTTTTTCAACAGTCGGTAAAGCAATGAAATCTATAATCATGATTAAAGTAAAAGAAAACATTTAATAATGATTAAACGTCTTCTCCTACTTTACAGTAGAATTAAAATATTTTTTCAAATAAATATAATACCTTGCTTATTGGCAAGTTGTTCATCCCTGAGAAGTTTTGTGCTAACGGAATATTCTTTTGTACTGCAAAGTGGATGGAAATACAATGTACTATAACCATCTCCAGTTGGCTCTAAAGCCATACCAAATATTCCGTCATTCCAGTGGAAGACTATTCCCGAGACATTAAATTTACTACTCTGCAAAAAATCTTAATTTAATAACTATAATTTTTTTCTACTTTTTTCTAAAGAAAAAATTTTTATTAATAAAAACAAATTTATTTTTAAAAAAATTGTATTAATAGAAAAAAATTTCTTTTTTAAAAAAATTTTTTTAAATGCTTGCCTCAGGTTCAGGAAGGAAAAATTTATTCTTAACAAGTGATGATTTATGATGTCGCCATGAATAGACAATAATACCAGGACCACCAAGATCAGCTAAATATCCATAACTATCAGTGCAAGATTCATCTTCAACGGCAATATTTGCAAATAATGAATCGGCTGTTCTTTGATTTTCAGGTATTGTGTAATTACGTAAAATACGATCATTTGATAGATCGTAAATAATTAATGTCGGTGGTTTTTGCATTTCCGGTGTATCGGCAATATTACTGAGACCCGTATCCAATACCCATAATCGATTACAACGATCAGCTCTTATACGAAATGCTGATACAATATCGGGTATTTTTCCACCTGGTTTATATTGATGTGCCTCCCATGTTGGATATGGTATTAAAGGCGGGGATTCCCGTGTATCTAATTTTTAAAAAAAATTTGTTGGATTACTATACATTTTATATACATTAAAATGTTACTTTACGTAAGTTACGTAAAGATGTTACTTTACGTAAGTCACGTAACAAAGTTACTTTACGTAAGTTAAGTAAATATGTTTATTTACGTAAGTTACGTGAATATGTTAATTTACGTAAGTTTCGTTAAGATGCAATTTACGTACATAACGTAAAAATGTTAAATTCCGTAATTTATGTAAAGATGACAATTTACGTAAAAATAGTAATTTACGTAAAGTGCGTAAGTAGCGTAAAATTTAGAAGCTAATAAAGTAAATCTTGAAATGTTATTGTTGGTTGAGTTTGATACATATAGATTTGTGAAAGGAGAGAAGCCAAATTTTGTCGGGATAACTAACTAACCGTTAAGCATAATGTAGTTTAAACTAGCAGCCACGCCTGGTTTCCATCTCGGAACCGTTACAAACAATCTATTTCCAGCGACCTCCAATCCCAAGGGCAAATTATCTTCCTGACGATAAAATGGAAACATTTGTTTCGTCTCATTATTTGGCCAGTCATAGTCAATTTGTTTCCATTGATACATCACTTTTAGATTGTCTATCGCTAACAAACCATTAATTAGACATATTACTGTCATGGACAACAGCATTGTCCTTCCCATTCTATTCCGCATCCCAATAAATAAGTTTTAATTTCCTTTCTTTATTCTTAAAATATAAATAAAATCAGTGTTTTTATTCACACTATCTGCGTTCCTCGAATCTATATAAATATAAATGAAAAAAATGTTATTTTTGTAATTTATATTTTTTATGCAATTTTTCAACACTATAGTATAAATAAAAAAAATTATTTTCTTTCTTTTTAATTGCTTCTATTCTAGGAAATAACCTAATAAAATTATTAAGTATAATAATAGTAAATAAAAATATAAATAATAAAATATTGAATTTAAAACTAATTAATATAATTTTAATCTCATAAATATATTTATCTTTCTATATTGTTTAAAAAATTTATTATTAATGAATTAGTTTCTAGTTTAATTTACATAATTTAAAAAAAAAATTATTAATTAAGAAAAATTAAAAACAAAAAAGAACATTTTCGGGGATTATTGAAATATTAATTATTTGATTTTAATTATTGTAATTACAAAAATTATTATAATATTAATATCTGTTACATAATTATTAATTAAATTGTAATTATTAATAATAATATTAATATAAATTATTTATTAATAAATAAATAATTATATAATTAATATTAAAAGCAACTCGCTAAATTTGAATTCGTAAAAATGTTTACGAATTTGAATTAGTGATTAACTTTTTGCTTTTAAATTAGTAAATTCTACTAATAAATTAGTAAAAATTACTATTTATTAGTAAAATCTACTAATTCATAACTAGAGAGATATAAAAAGAGGTATTAATGATTATAATAAAAATGATAATATTAATAATTAATTATTTAAAATATTATATTAATTTAACATCAATTATTAATAATTATTAATCATTATTATTATTATTATTATTATTATTATTATTATTATTATTAATTTAATAATTATTATTATATTCTGATAATACTAAGTGGTAATAAAAAAATAATGATAATCTTTAAAGCTGTAGGTGCATAAAAAGTGCCGGCAACGCGAATGTAAATGAATTAAAAAAAGTGCACGTGCGAAACTAACAGTAATCGTCAGATAAATATAAAGACAGTAGTCGTTGAAGATTTAATGATCTGAATAATGACTTTTACGAGACTTTGACTCATTGATAGAAACGTAACGATTATGTACTTAAAAAAAATTTATTGTAAACTATTTTCTTTTTTTTCCAAATTTTACGACTATTTAATTCTCAACAATTTATTTTATATAAGGCAAACACTATTAAAGACTCATAATTTTCTACACGAAATATTAAGAAAAATTTTAAGAACTACAACTAATTTTATGCAAAAAAAAGAAAATTATTACAAAAAATTTTATAACCCTCTTACGAAAAATTTACAAACTGCGCAAACAAAAGTAGCTACTAAACTAAAGAATATGCATTAAATGAAAAATAAAAAAAAATTAAATTCATAATTATCAATTTATAATTATTTTTTTTATAATTTATTATTTTTTTTATTATTAAAACTTATCTTTATTGTTAAAAAAAAATTGTTAAGTTGACAATTTTTATTATTCATTATCTTTGAGAAAAATACTAAAAAAAATATTTTCAAGCAGGTTTATAATTATTATCAAAAATTATTTTCTAAGAACTCATTTTAAAAAAAATATTTTATAATTATCTGACTTAAAATGAACACTATGAATATTTAATTTATCAAATAAGGTCATTCCTACTAGAGAAAGATCAATATTTTAAAACTACACGCTAATGTAAAAATGTAATATCTCAGAATTAACGCTTCTCACGTGATTGATTCTCCATAATCAAATGCGATAAAAAGATTTATTATACTATTAGATCCGGGATTGAGAAAATTAATTTCATAAGAAAAATTACAATTGAAAACACATTCAATTTTCGCAATTATTAAATTATTTATCTCTTTTAAGAATTATTAATTTGTTTTATCTACATTATGAACATGTCAAAACTTTAATTATTTTAAAATAAAAATTAATTATAGAGAATTTATCTATTACCGAAGTTAGAATAAAAACAATGCAATATGGCGGATGCAATATGGCGGAAAAATATTTGAAAATTTAATTGAAAGATTAGTAGAATAAATATTTGAAAAAGAACCCAAACTTTTGTAATTTAGATTTTTTTTACAATACAGAAAAGTGAACAAATTATAAAAAAAAGTAAAAACATAAATTTATAAAACAAATAGCTTAGTAAACTTACAGAATCCAAGTTTTTTTCCAAACAATGGTAATTTTTTTTATGCAAAAATAAATAAAAGTATGATTAATGAAACGATTAACGGGTTGAAAAATGAAAGTTTCTGTGAATGACTTTTTTTGTTGATGTAATAATTAAATTATTAGAAGGTAGAGTGGTCAAAAATTCGGAAAACGCGAACGCGGAGAGACCGCGCGACATACTGAGGAATTACACCTGAACAGGGAAGAGAAAGGGGAAGGGGGAGGATAAGTTGAATAAAGCCGTATGGGAAGGGGTGAAAGGAGATACTGGCTGCGCCCGATCTGCTTTGAAGGACGTTTTCAGTATATTTATATGTATAGCTCTACGAATAACGTTCGCGTTTAATAGGGGGCCTCATCTGGGTCCATTCAACCCCCTCTCCTCCCTCTATTCACTAACCAATCACATACGTCATTCTTTATCAATAGAAAACTGGCAAAATACGTAATATATAATTTATTAATTCCTCCCGCATAATTTGACACCTTAAAAAATGAAAAAAAGAAAAACTTTTCCTTATAAATAACATATTATTATATTTTTCTTTTCTTTTTGCATAATCGTAAACTTTCCAAATACTCTACATTTATATTTAATTTTATTTCGTAAAATATTTAATTTTTCAAATTAAAATTTTCCAAAAATATAACCTTAAAAACAATTCGTTAACAACCACCCCGAAGAACACCGAATAAAACTTATCCATTGTCAGCCATATTGGATCAATTTAACCCTCAAATTTAAAAATTTTAAATTGAAAAAGTTAATAAACTAAACTGTATTTTTCAATTTGCAAAAAAATCAAATGTCCCAGAAATTGTATTTAAAAGAGAGGTGAGGGAGCGAGGGGTAAAACATGAAAGCTAATCAAGGATATCAAGAGCAAGTGTTATTAAATCTAAAATTACAAATACAGTCAATTAACACTGATTCAGTGAATTTAATTTTCTACACTTGATTCTACATTTTTTATTCTATTATTTAGTTCATGACTAAATGTACCTGAGGAAAGGACATATTGAGGTCAACATGACGCATGACCTGTGTGTCATTGAACGATGACAATAAAACCCGGAGCACGAACACATATGAAGAGAGAGATAATTTTCAAGAAATACTCATGTTAAAAAAAGAAGTTTTGTATTTTATTGCGTGCAATACTATGTATATAAACAAATAAAAGAAGAAGAAATAAAGAGAAAAAAAAATGTTAACTATATAAATATTTGATTTGCATGGCGTGCAATAATGTTAAAAGAACAGTTCAATAAACCGTTATTTAATGGGTTGGAAATAATCATTGTGTCAAAGCATAAGACAGGTCACTTTTATATCTTTCTACTATTATATATATACAAACTGAGGAAGTTATTACGAGGTCGTAATTATAATGTAATAATATAAATCTAGGATAAATACGACATCGAATTGAAGAAACGGAACTGATGTATATATAAAAGAAAAATTCAATGACTTGCTTTAAAGAATATGAAAGTTGGGTACTTGATTGATAACTATTAAAAAAGGTAGGACGTCATTAACGTAACGTAATCAATATTACGGAATGAAAAAAAAGTATTGAAATTTAAATATTAATTTTGAAATAGTTAGGAAAGATTTTTTAAGTGATGTAAAATGAAATGTAAATATTTTTAAAGTGTTAACTGAATCTGTGTGTTAATTGATGTGACTAATTTTTAAATTTAAGAAACGTTTGACTTGAGATCTGAATTTAAAGTTATAATTTTAAAACCCATTATTTTTTAGAAATTTTAAGATATTTGTGCAGTTGTCAACACTATTGTACTTTTGGTAGTACAATAGTAAATTACGATTTAAAATTTGGTAGCCACATAGATTTTTTGATTTTTATGAACGTTGTGCAGTTGTCAAGACTATTGTACTTTTTGCAGTACAATAGTAAATTACGATTTAAAATTTGGTAGTTACATAGATTTTTTGATTTTTATGAACGTTGTGCAGTTGTCAAGACTATTGTACTTTTTGCAGTACAATAGTAAATTACGATTTAAAATTTGATAGCCACATAGATTTTTTGATTTTTATGAACGTTGTGCAGTTGTCAAGACTATTGTACTTTTTGCAGTACAATAGTAAATTACGATTTAAAATTTGATAGCCACATAGATTTTTTGATTTTTATGAACGTTGTGCAGTTGTCAAGACTATTGTACTTTTTGCAGTACAATAGTAAATTACGATTTAAAATTTGATAGCCACATAGATTTTTTGATTTTTATGAACGTTGTGCAGTTGTCAAGACTATTGTACTTTTTGCAGTACAATAGTAAATTACGATTTAAAATTTGGTAGCCACATAGATACTTTGATTTTTATGAACGTTGTGCAGTTGTCAAGACTATTTGTACTTTTTGCAGTACAATAGTAAATTACGATTTAAAATTTGGTAGCCAAGTAGACACTGTATTGTCTTTGTAGTTTAATTTCGATTCAAATTGTTAGTAGCAAAACTAAAGACACATTGGAAAATTTGCCAAATGATGACGTCAGCTTCCCGCGAAATTTTAAATGTCTCCACGAAAACCTGAAATCAAAAAGAAATGAAAAAGAAGGGGAAGGGGGAAAAATGCCATACTGTATGGAATGAACAAGGATTATTAGAACCAGACTTGGCACGTGATTCAATGAAGTTTAAAAGTTTTGCTTTCACTTTCATAGCCGTCTTACCTCGTCCCTTGAACCAAGTGCCCCTCACCACCACAATATTCTTGGCAATTCTATTGATCGTTTACCAACCGTTTAAAGATGAGTTCAACTCTTTTACATGCCGTTTCGTTTATATTTGCAAAGAATTTACACACATCGTGGGCTTGGCAACCTTGTAATTAAATTCTTCTCCGAATAAAAATTATTTCTTTTTGTAATGCAGAAAAAAATTTTCCAATTGACCTGTAATAGTATTTTTTTTTAATTAAAATTTTATTTATTGAAAGAAACAATTGTTTTGACATTTACGAAGTAATCTTAATGATTGAATAGAGAATTGTAAGTCTAGATTCTCACGTTATTTTTCTTTATATTATATGACGAAACACATATTTCAAGTCGCAAAAAAAGACAACTTCCAGATACGTTTCCTGAAATTAAAAACAGGATTTAAGGTGTTAAAAGTCAGTTATGTGATGTTTAATTTTTACCACCAACTCTGGTTAAGTCGTTAAAAAAAGTAATTACCAAAACAGGATTTTCGGGAATTCTGAGTTTCTAAAACATCTTTTTGCGCGCGGATCAAATTATTATATCATATTCAAAATATGTTTAAAATTTTCATGGTTCACAAGAAAAATAAATAAAGTACTTTTTTTTGTTAAAATAAGATTTTTTCGGATATTTGCTCAATGACATCATACCTAAAAAAAAGATTTGCATGAGTGATGATGAATAATAAATTCTGAAAAAAAAACTTTATATTTTCAATATATACCTATGATTTCATGGTCTAATGAAGACTAGAGCAAAATTGAAAATTCCTTTTAGAATTCCGGAAATCAACATTACAGGAAGTTTAACTCTGGAAACTTACACGTACCACTATATATAGTGAGGAAAAGCCACTCGGATTTACTCGAGAGCGTAGAAGCATTTTCACATTGAGAGAGGAGTGCTTTTGGTTTGTTATTGACGTTGAAAATACATTGACCTGATATTGAATAATTCATGACTGTTTGCAGGTCCTTAGTTTCAGTCAATGAGTACCCATAACATTGACAACACTTCTTTTCTTTTTTTTCTTTCTCTCTCTCTCGTCATTTTATGCCAGATGGAGAAACGATTATCGCACATAAATTGAATATATAACTTGGATCCAATCCAAGAATTGCGAGACAAGTGACTTTAAATGTTTATTTTCTCTATTTTACATTTTAAAATAACTGTTGAAAGAAACGAAAAATTAAAAATATCTTTCAAATACCAAAGTGTAAAATGAATAAATATACCTATTTTTCATTTAGAAACAGGGAAAATATTTTATCCCTGTTAATTTGTCTTGTAAAATATTTTTTTAATAAAAATTAAAAAAAATAATAAATAAAATAAAATTAATTAAAAAATTCCTTCGTATTTATAAACTTTAATATTTAGAAATATGAAAAGAAACCTAAATCCTTGACCAGTGTTAAAAATGTTGAAAATTGCCCATTACGATCCTAATTTTAGGTTAAAATCAAAATTCAACTTTGTATCGCATTTATGCAAATTTGAACTCTACAACAAAAAATTAACATACCCTGTCTAATGGAAAAAACATTGATTTACCAATTTGCAAACAAAAAAATTAGAATACTTATTGACTTTTGCTGAGAATTATTCTTGACGTATTTAACCTCAAAAAATATTGTTTATAAACGAGGATTTTTTTCATTTCAAGACATACAAAGAATAAAAATACAACCCATGGGATAAAATCTGGAAATACTAGGAAATGTAGAAGGAAAAGAACACAGAAAACAACAAAAATTCGATAATAGACACATTTTTTATCAAATTGAAAAATTCTCTTAATGAAAAAACTGAAAATTAAAATATCAAAAATTTGTCAATTATCGAATTGAAGCTGCCCTCAAATTTTTCATATGAATCAACATTTTCTTTTTATTAATACCTCGTAGAGATACATCCTCGTGCGACATACACCAATATTTTTTTTTCTTTCTTTCAAAAAAACTTCCATTTCTTACTTTTTTTCATGTTCTCTCTGATCGTGTCCGTCGTTGGCTGAAAAGAACATTTATAGAAGATTTCTAGACATTCTAAAATGCCAGAGCCGTAACTAGGTTTCTAAGATTAATTTTTTTTTTTCTTTAAACACTAATTTTTTCTTGTATATTGTTACTTTTTCTTCAAAATAAAAACAAATAAAATTCACTCAAAAAAAAACAAACAAACAAAAGATGGAGCAATAGAGAATGAGAGATATAAAAAGAAACCCAATAAAAAATAGAAGAAAAAATTTTTTTGTATAATTATTCTAAAGTGCAAAAACATTAATGCAATTTACAATTAAAAAAAATTTCTTTTTTCACTTTAAAAACAAAAGCTAGCTTTAAAACTAGAATAAATTTTTTTTTTTTGAATTTTTGAGACATTACCTCAAGCATAATCCTATTTACGACTCTGCTGTGGATTACTGATTTTTAGCGACAGTTGCTTTTCCAGAATGTGAAGAGAGTCACCCAGAAGTGTTTTACCGGATTGCTAAAAAAGCGTTTTTTTCCCATTTTAGCGAGACGTGCTTTCGCAATTATTCACCAGGCGTTAAAAATACATATAATTTTTTTTTGCTTTTTTTTAAAGATAAAAATGTTTCATTTTCATTCATTTCCGTCAATTTTCTTTTCTTTTTTTTTTGTTTTTTCATTCATTACTTTTGTTTTCTTGGTTTTGTTTAGCGGGAATTCTTGCACGCTTTTTTTTTGTAAGTAAGATAGACATAATATATTTATAATACCGATGTACACACAATAGTCTGTGTTAATCAATCGTCGAACAATCGAAATGAAAACAAAAGAAAAAAATGTTATTTCATTAAAAGTTTTCTTTAAAATATTATTTTTATTAAATTACACGAAATTTTTCATTTTTATTTTAATTTTATTCAAAAATTTATTTAAATTATATCAAAATTTTTAAAAATATTAAAATTTTTATTTAAATATTTATTTACTATTTATTTAATGTCATTTAAATGATTAAAAATAATCAAAAATTTATCAAAATGTGTTTTAATTTTTTTTCTTTTTTTCCATTTCGAATGATTGGCGAGCCAGTTAATAATGTTTCTCTCGCGTTCCTTACAAATTATCGTGAATTAATATTGTTTCTCGGTCCAGCCACGCGTCAATCAAGCCATACAATCCCCGAGTGACGTCAAATATTACATTCTTAAAACTTATTTTTATAACAAAAAATACAAACAGAAAGTACTGCAAACAATTTTTTCTTAATTTAATGATATTCCTCACTATATATATGTCGATTATATCTCAATTTATTAATTATTCTTCAATGTATCGATAAGTTAATCGCAAGTCGATTATTATCGATACATCGCTCATTATCGATTACTAACAATTAATATCGATACATCAAACATTATCGATTATAATCAATTTTTATCGATACATCAAATATAATCAATTGTTTTCGATATATTAAATATAATCGATTATTATTGATATATCAAATATAATCGATTATTATCAAAACATTGAATATAATCGATTAATATCAATACATCGAATATAATCGATTAGTATTGATATATCAAATATAATCGATTAATATCGATACGTCAAATATAATCAATTACTGTTGATTATTAACGATATATTGAATAATATCGATAATGAAAACATCGATTACTATCGATACATCGATTTCTATCGACACAATGACAAAAAACAATTTACTAAACGATCAGAAATGAAAAAAATTGCAGTGTTTGAACTCGGGATTCGACGACTCAAAGACGGTAGGTCCAAACAATCGCCTGCCTTGTGGCAAGGGACCTGAAAGGTCCAACAGCGATTAGAGCTGTGATTGGTTGAAACAATATGTGGCCATTGCCCGTTGTTCTGAGAAAAGTCGAATACACAATGTTTTTATTTTTATTTTTAATGAAAGTGATAAATTTTGGAAATATGTATAACGTAATTAGGCAAAATAAGAAAAATGATATTATTGAATACTTTTTTTATTATTTGAGAAGAAATTTATCATTTTCTAAGAACATCAGACTATTGCCCAGTTTTTTTTTTTATTTTTCAACTTTCCACAAAAACTTTATTCGGAACAGTCGATAATTATGACACTCAAATAATTAACAAAACTTTTCTACATGTTCAAAAATTTTGCGTTTAAAAAAGATCAGCCCTGCCGAGTCGATTGAAATTGTTTTGTTTTTCAAGGGGAAAAATTTTTAATAAAATTTTGTTGAGTAAGAAAAAAATTTTTTTTTGATACTTTGAATGATGAATGTTAATATTTTTATTAACTCGATCAAAAAGAAATAAATTTTAAGTATTTTTTCAACTCTGCAGAGCGATCCCTGAAAGGAAAGTGTATAAATTGAATAACAATACGCAGAGCAAGTACGTACACGACTTTTTTTTCGGTGTGTAACGACAGAGTAAAAGAAAAAACGAGAAAGAAAAATAGAAAGAAAGAGAGAGAGATAGATAGAGACTAGCGGACAGTCAGCATGAGAAAAGGATTGTGACAAGGAAAATTTTTATTTTTCAGGAAATTATTCAAATTATACTTTCAATCCTCGATGTCATTTTCATTAACTATAGTTTATAATTAAAGAAAAAAAGTTTTGAAAAAATTTCCAAATTTTTAAAATTTTCGTTAAAGTTAAACTAATTGCGCATGTCTAACTGAAATCACTCCATTATCTAAAATAACACATTTTATTTATGATTTTTTGTTTTTGAAAAAGATATTCTCTTCACCTTTATTTATTTACCAAATAAATATTTAAAGAAAAACGATAATTAATATTCACAAAATTTAATAAATTATTTTTACAATAATACATATTTTTTTTATTAACAAAAACTCTAAACAAAATTATAAAAGAATAAATCTTTTTCCAAATAAATCATTTTAAATAAAACGCGGGAAATTAGAACCAATCAGTGATGAGACATGCGCAGTTGATTCTAACCTCAAAAACAAAAGAAAGAAATAAATATATATTTGTTTATCTCATATACCCTGCGCGTTCGTAAACAATACTCGAGAACTAATAAAAAGCAATTTAATTCAAATTTTCTCTCTTGGCAGAAATTTACAAAAAAAAATCACGAAAATCGACAATCAAAGATTGAAAATGGACAAAATGTTAATAATTGGTTCGGGAAATTAAAAATGGCGTGAGTCGAGTGTCGAGAGCTGGTGTCCGTTTCATTTTTTTTAAGATCACCCTCCGTACTTACCACTCACTCATGCGTCGTCAACATGATTCTTGCAAGGATAGGCATTTTCAGCGCGATTTCATCCATTCGAATCAAAAGAAAAAAAAGTATTTTAGAAAAGCGTTTACAGTTTAAATATAATTTTATATTCAACTATTGAGGTTAGAAACGAAACGACAAGCTATAAAGCTCATATCGACTCTACAATAGATTATTTTACGGCCTTTAAGGTAAATATGCAATAAAAGCTCTTTAAGGTCAGTACACAATATTGACTCATCTCAGAAATATATTATTTTAGGGTCAATGTACAATATCGACTCTAAGATTATTTTAAGGCCTTTAATGTGAATACACAAGAAAGGCTCAAAAATACACTGCTTTAAGGTCTGTACAAAACAATATTGACTCTGAAATGTATTATTTTAGGGTCAATGTACAATATCGACTCTAAGATTATTTTAAGGCCTTTAAGGTCAATGCACAATAAAGACTCTAAAATACACTGCTTTAAGGTCAGTACACAATATTGACTCTGAAATATATTATTTTAGGGTCCGTATAAATTTTTTAAGTCCATTAGGGTCAATGCACAATAGACTAAAAAATGAACTGCTTTAAGGTGAGTACACAATAAGAAAAAAATAATATTCCTCGTTTTATCAATTAAAAAAAAAATACTTTCAGTTGCTTAGTTAACTTGAAACATTTATTCCTAACCTCTTGAATTTTACCGATTTTTTTTTTTGCATAATTAAAGAAATTATATTAGTAAATAATGAAACATTTTTATTAATGATGAAATCGCGCCAAAGGATTGAACAAAATAAAATATGCGACTAACCTGAGGCGACAAGACCTTCACGCTGCCACTAAATATCGCGAAAACGATACATAATTTTCAAGCTAATTTCCAAAGAAAAAAAAAATTGGAAGTTTAATAATAGGAAGAAGAAAAGGGGAAAATCCCAATTTTCTAGCGACAGCGTGAAGCGCCACCTGGCGTCACTCCGAGACGTCAACACTGGTTCAGAGTTATAAGAAGTCCAAATTGTAGAAGAAAAAAAAATTGTTTTCCTTTTTTTTTCCTCTACATTATTGAACGACTCACTTCTCTAAGACGATGATGATAATTAATAATTAATTAATCAGTAATAATAATAATAATAATAATAATAAGATAAAAAAACAAAGATTTTGCTAACTTCTGTTGTGGCTAATTTCTGATGGAGTTGCCTGGCGTTTATTTTTTCTGCAAGTTGTTGGTGTTTCTTTTTTTTAATTTTTTTTCTTTCTTTCTTTATTTTCCAAGGTCCGAACCCTAAGGAGAATATTAGGGGCGAGCCCATAGCACGAAATGCAGGGGTGGATTGGGCCCGTCCATTGGGGGCGATCATCTAAAACGTGGATGCATCATTGGCGCTAGCATTGGTGCGCCAGGAAAACCCATTGGTGCAGCGAATGCCGGATGCATTGCACCCGGTGGTAATGCTCCAATCATACCTGCAAATCAGAAACATCAATCATTACATGTGACATGAACATTTTCTTTTTGTTCATAAATATCAAAGAAAAAAAATGGAAAAAAAAATTCTTTTCTCGGATTCCTCATTGTCGGGAAAGCTCGGGTTTTTTTTATGAACGATATTTGGCTTTCGAGAATCCAAATAGTTTAGAAATATTTATATTCAAGACTCGGCTCGGCTCGAATCGTTTTTTTTTTTTTGTTATTAGTAATGTACTTACGTTTTAAGAGACCTCGGGACCTAATATGAGACCAAGGTTGCATTTTTTTAAAAAATAAACCTTGGTCAGATCCTTTGGCTCGGAAGCAATTTCGGGTGACAGCCGATCATGCGCTAACGATTTTTTGTTTTTTTATTCTTTTTTTTCAAAATCACGAAAGGCTGCTTCTAATTCTATTAAAAAGAAACTTACGTTTTACATCGAGACTCCTGTCACACTCGTTCTGATCCATCGTTGCATTTGAATGCGTCTTTTTTTGTTTTAATGGATAAACTAAAGGAAAATGGGGATTGTGAATTGACCTTTAGAATTTATTTCAGTGTTTCGACCATAAAATTAAAAGAATATTACGAAACTCTATAGACTGGGTAAAAATATTTAGGAAAAAAAAACCATGAATTACTTAAATTTGGAAAATTAGGAGTCAAAGGAATTAAGGTGCGTTCACATAGCAGCGTTTTGCGTTGTAAAAGGACCTTAACGCAGCCTAATCTTTTATTAACTACCCATCCTTACTAGGAGAAATTCTTCTACTTCGACTTGCAAGGTTGGGTAGTCATAAAAATAAAATAAAAAATTTAATCTATCACGGTTGGGTAGTTATCAAAAAGAGTTGAAAATTTTATTTAGCAAGGTTGGCCAGTCAATAAATTGTGGCCCAACCTTGCTACTTGCTAGGTACTACATTTCGACTTGCAAGGTTGGGTCGTTAACAAAAAAAATTAAAACGCAAAACGCTTTCATGTCCGCAAGCTAATAAGGGTACTTCTACAATAACATTTTTCATCGACACGAACAAAATAAACTTTTTAAAAGTAAAAAATGCGGGAAAACAATGAAAAATACCCAAAAGTGATTTTTTATTTCCGAAAAGAAGTTACTGTAGAAGCAGCATTAAAAAATAGAAACAAATTTAAGGTTTCAACAATAAAAAAAAAATTTTTAAATCCAAGAAATTAGTACAATGATCGTCAGAACGAATCAATGACTTTAAAAATTAAACCAAGGAAAGTTTAGTTTTTATTTTCTAGAGAAAGAGAATAAAGCTACACAAGCAGTCAATTGTCTCTGTTAATTAACAAAACAGAGGGTAAATCCCTTTTTTAAATTTCTAATTAGTAAACTTTTTGCAGGTTTTTTTTTTAATTTTTGTTTTTTGGTTAGTTTACTTAGGTTCTCGCCTATATTAAACTAAAGGAGGAAAGCATGCACATGTGCCAAATATACATTGAAAATCCACAACAAAACCGAGATGAAGGTGCTACCACACAGGAAATAAAAAAAAATTGGTTTTTTTTCTGTCATTTGTAGAATTAACCTCAAACCATACAAGAAAATTCATACGCTCAAGTCTACTTTATTATGTCAGAAAAATTAACTGAATTTTTGTTTTTTTTTTGTGCTAAAAAAATGATCTCGACTGTCACCCGAGCTTCGCTATTTTTTTAAATTTAACATATATAATTATATATACACAGAGATGAATAATTTTAAAATCTTAAATCTCTCTCCATGTACATATTTTTATATAAATATATAGTATATAAGTATTGTAGATTTTTCTAAAAATATATGCTACATATTTAAATAAATGGTCCGACCAATAATATTTACGTGTGTTTTTTTTAATTGTCTTCAGGAGGCCAGAATCGAAAGGGTACTTCTATGTTTTGAATTTAAAAAAAAATACGTTTACAGATCTGTCGAGTGTTTTGCATACCGGTTGTCGTGGTAATGTACAAGAGAAAGAGAGACACAATTCACTTTCTCTCTTACTCTTGTTGTTACCATGACAACGATATGCAGACATACAACAATAACCTATGAACTTACTTCAGTACTGATTTTTAAATTTAATTTCTTCTTTTAGATGAAAATACATAAAAAATCTTTCGAAACTGTAACATGTAATCTTTTGAAAAGACGCCTCCGATAAAAAAAGCATTGCAATGGAACCCTCGCGATTAAGAAACAAAAGGAGGAACGTGTATAGGAATCACCATTATCTTCCCAATCGTTAGTAAGTGATGAGGAATAAATAAAATAAGATTCAAGAAATAACTGATTATACAGTAATATATACTTGGTATGTGAATATCATTTACTTACTGTCTGTTTTTAGAGCTCGACTTATTTCTAAATCATTAATGTGTTACACAAAAGCTAGGCTATAATAATAATAATAATAATAATCATAATAATAATAATAATAATTAAATAATAACTTAATCAAAATAATATAATAATAAGAAAAATAATGATTATGGTAATGACGATGAGGATAATAATATTAATAATAATAATGATGATGATGACAATAAAGATACTAATAACCGACAACAAGAGCAATTATTCAACAATTATAAGTTTTAATTTTGAGGTTAGGTCTGAATTAGAGTTTTTCCTTAATTATGATAAGAAGTTTTCAAGGATTCTAACATAACCTCAAAAAAGTAACTTTCTAATATTAATATAGAATATAATATATTAATATATTATATAAAAATATAATGTAACAAATAATTTCTAATATTTTTGTTTTTCAAGCTAAGTATAACATTTTTTTAAAATTTTTAATTTGAAACTTTAAAAAAAAACTCTTAAAATTTTAAGTTTGAAACTTTAAAAAAATTCTTAAAATTTTAAAGTTTAAAAATATTTCAATAATAATTTTGTGTTACAATAATTTAATAATTAATTTTATAAATTTCAAATAAAAAAGTTATATAAAAATTATAAAAAAATATAAAAAATGTAATTCAAACTGTAGAAAACGTTTAAAAAAATTACTAAAATAATGTTAACAAAATTAAAATTCGTTTTAAAAATTTTAATTTTAATAAAGTGTTGATTCAAAAAAGTTAACGTTTATCATTGAATAGTTTTCTCAGTTGTTGATACATCACAAAAATTAATAATTATAAAAATTATTTTAAAAAAATAGTAATAATAATTTTAATAATAATCAAAATAATTTTCTATTAATAAAATAAATAAATAATTATAATAGAAATTATGATAATGATGATGACAATGATAATGATAGAAAAAGTAATGAAAATGTTAAAATGACAAAATGATATTTTAATTAAAAAATAAAAAAATGAGCGTGAATGAAGAAGAAAATATTAAATTGCGCGTTTATTTAATACTGCAAAAAAAATAAATTTCAGGAGATAAAAATTAATCTAACCTTTTAATTCAATCCTTTTTTCCTTTTATGTTAATAAGTAAATTCTCTTTTCCCCACAAATAATTTCCAGTTGAAATAGAAAATAAAAGTTCTACCTTTTTTCATTGAGAGGCGGTTCATTCGTCAATTTGATCGCACATCTTCAAAGATCTACAAAAATGGTCTAAAAAATTGTTTTGTAACAAAAAAAAATAACTTTTTTCTATTCAATTATAAAAAACAACAAATGATTTAAAAAAAAAATTTCCAATACTTTAAAATTATTTAAAAAAATTTAAAAATTAAAAAAAAAATTTATTACTTTTATTATTTTTACAAATATGGATAATTAAGTGATGAAAATAACAAAAAGAAAAAAAAAAGAAAAAAAAGGAAAAAAATAAATAAAAATAAATAAAAATAAATAAAAATGAAAAAAATGAAATTAAAAGCAATAACAAAAAAAAAAAAAATAAAACGAAAAGCATAATTTCAACAAGGATGTATCCTAAACCTAACGTTTTCAAAAATTATGATAAATATATAATATGGAAAAGGTCAGTTTCATGAAAAAAAGTGCATCAATTCACCGAACTTTTTTTTTGGTAAAAATATGGCTGAGAGCGTTACCGTGCCCAAATAAAGCGAACTTTTTCTACAATTTTCACAACACCAGAAATTTCAAGCTATCAATACGTTAAAAAAAAGGAGAGAAATATACAGAGAAAGATAGTGAGAGAGAAAGACAGAGCGAAAGGAAACGGTTAAGTTGTTTGAGGAATGTAACAAAAAAGAAAAAAAATAATTCTATGAGCATATAAAGTAAATTAAAAGCGTTAAAAATTTAATTTATAAATTAAATTTTTTTAAATATTTTTAAAAAATTTAAAAAGAAAGAAAAATTTATAGAAACTAAAAATTGTCGAGTGGTTTAAATGAGATATTAATCCTTTTATCGTTAAATCAATAAAAATATTAATATTTCATTACTTTCATTAACCAAAATTTAAAAAAAAAAAAAAAAAAATTACCTTAACTTGAGGTGTTGAACGAAAAGGTACATCAATCGCTAATAAAACCTAAAGGTGCGTAAAATTTACAAGCCTATAAAAATGCACGACAAAATAATTTTCACCTTACGAATTTTTTTTGACAAAAATAATTGAACATGATAAGAAAATAACTCAATGATTTGCAAATAAATACGAGAAAATAAATTTTTTAAAAAAGACCACTCGACGAAAAACAAAACGTTACTTTAAACGAATTAAAAGAAAAAATAAAGTATACAAATAGCCAATGAGAGCGTAAACATTAGTGAGAAAAGAAAGTGACGGAATAAAAATGATGACAAAAAAATGAAATGACGATGATTTAAAGTATTAATTTTCATTTTTTTAAAATGACAAAATGATATGATAATATAATATATATATTGATAATAATATATGAGATATATAGATAGGCCATGTCACGGCATGCTATTTGCTAAGGACCAACCTTGTTATACTTGTCTAAAACAGGGTTTTAGTAACCAGAGACTTGGGTTTCGTTTGACACTCATCAAGGAGTGACCGGGCGCCCTGTAAACGCACCGTTAAAAACGTAAAAGTTTTTCAGGAGCTTGTCGTCAATTAAAACAAATAAAAAAAACAAAAAAAAATTTTTTAAATTAGAAAACAAATGGATGTAAATACCAAAAAGCGTTAACTTTTAAAGAGGTAACATTTTTCTCATTCATACCTATGCATATTTTTATTTGGAAAAAAATTCAAATTCAAATTTTGTTAAACTTTTCATTTTCATTAATTTACACTTGTCGCACAAGATTTGTTCTTGATTAAAAAGAAAAAACAAAAATTTTGTTTTAGATTTATTTTGACGTTAATTTTAAATTAGAAAAAAATTATTAAACTTTTCATCTCTGTTTCTTTCGATGTTTAAGAGACCCTCTTCATATTATATATTTTATGCTCTCTCACTCAATAAAATTTGTGTTCAAGAAACACAAAAAATGATAGGCTCAATAATATCTTCAGTAGTATAGTGGTCAGTACCCCCCTTTTTCAAAGAATTGAAACCAAATTGTATGTTCAATAATATCTTCAGTAGTATAATAGTCAGTATCCCCCCCTTTTTTTATAGATTGAAACCCAATTGTAGGTTCAATTTTATTTCTTCAGTAGTATAATGGTCAGTACCCCCCTTTTTCAAAGAATTGAAACCAAATTGTAGGTTCGATAATATCTTCAGTAGTATAATAGTCAATATCCCCCCTTTTTTATAGATTGAAACCCAATTGTAGGTTCAATTTCATTTCTTCAGTAGTATAATGGTCAGTACCCCCCTTTTCCTAAAAATTGAAACCAAATTGTAGTTTCATTAATGCAGTGTAATGGTCTACTGACCATTACACTTCCCCTTCCCCTTTTTTTATAGATTAAAACCTAATTCAAGGTTCAATTATATCTTCAGTAGTATAATGCTCAGTACCCCCCTTTTTCAAAGAATTGAAACCAAATTGTAGGTTCAATTATATCTTCAGTAGTATAATAGTCAGAACCCCCTTATCCTAAAAATTGAAACCAAATTAGAGGTTCAATAATATCTTCAGTAGTATAATGGTCAGTAACCCCATTTTCTTATAGATTGAAACCTAATTGTTGGTTCAATTATACATCTTCAGTAGTATAATGATCAGTACCCCCTTATCCTAAAAATTTAAACCAAAATAGAGGTTCAATTATATCTTCAGTACTTTTATATTCAGACGCCCCCCCTCCCCCTTTCTTATAGATTGAACCCTAATTGCAGACTTCGCACTCGATAATTAATTTGAATAAAGTAGCATTCAAACTAAAAATTAGTTACCGAAAAATTAAGCTTAACGACCAAAAAAACTCGTTTTAGACACTTTACAAAACTAACAAGAATTCCATTCTATATTTTATTTTCTACATTTTTATTTTTCTTCTATTATTCATCATAGAATTTAATTATTTTAATATTTATAAAAATAATTTAATTCTTGCGAAGAATTTCAGGAAAATTTTTAAATAATTGTTTTCTCTCGACTAATTTTATGCAAATTCCAAATTAAATAATTGAATTCTTGAGAAATTTTCATTACTGATAAAAAAGAATTGAATTTTAACAAAGATTTTTAAAAAATTCTTTTTAATAATTTAATTTTGTTTTTAAATTTTATGAATATAGTAGATATTAAAAATTATTAAATTGCGGAAAGTTTGTAAAAATAATTAAATTTTACAAAGAATTCCATTAAAATTTTTAAAAATAATTGAATGTCTGTGAAGCATTTTTTGAAATTTTTTAAAATATAATTGAATTACTAAAAATCATTTTATTATTAATGAAAATAATTAAATTCTTGTGAACGATTTTATTACAATTTTTTTAAATATTTGAATTTCTAAGAAAAAATTCATTATTTTTAAAAATAATTGAATTCTTGTAATGAATATTGTTATTTATGAAAATAATTAAATTTTGCAAAGAATTTTATAAAAATGCCTAAAAATAATTGAATTTTCGGGAATAATCTTGTTATTTATCTTTAAAAATTGAATTCTTTCGAAGAATTATTTATGTAAATAATTGAATTCTTGGGAAGAATTGTATTGAAATCTAAAAGAATAATTGAATTATTTCAAAAAAAATATAATTAAAATTGTATTAAAAATAATTGATTTCTTTCGAACAATTATATTGAAATATTTGAAAATAATTGAAATCCTGCTTTGAATTTTATTATTTACGAAATAATTGAATTATTACAAAGAATTTTATAAAAAAAGTTTCAAACAATTGATTTTTTTCGAAAAAATTTATGCTAATTCTATTTTAAATAATTGAATTCCTGTGACATTTTCATTATTTTAGAAAATAATTTAATTTTACCATGAATTTCATTAAAATTTATGAAAATAATTGAATTAATGCGAAGAATTTAATGCCAAATATTAAAAAAAAATTGATTATTTCGAAAAAATTTATGTAAATTCTATTTTAAATAATTGAATTCACGTGAAACTTTTTTTTTGGAAAATAATTGAATGTTCGTGAAGAATTTTATCACAATTTTTGTTGAATAATTAAATTCTTTTAGAAATATTTTTAAAAATTATTGAAATTTTGCCACGAATTTTATTACAATTTTAGAAAATAATTAAATTCCTAAGAATTTTATTATTTATGAAAATAGTTGAATTGTTGCCACAAAATTTTTTTTGAAAATGCTATTCTAAATTCTAAATGTTTTTTTAATTTCTAGTATTAGCGAATTTAAAGCAGTGGAAATTCTCAAAAAAGAAACAGCAATAGTAGCTTTTAACAGCTGAAATTTAAAAAAAAATCCAAATAGTAGTATAACGTAAAAAAAGTAGTAAACAGTAGGTTTTAGTAGATGATTGCGAAGCCTGTAATTGTAGGTTCAATTATATCGTCAGTAGTATAATGGTCAGTACCCCCTTCTTTCAAACATTTGAAACCAAATTAAATGTTCAATTATATCTTCAGTAGTATAATAGTCAGTACCCCCCTTTTCTTGTAGATTGAAACCTAATTCAAGGTTCAATTATATCTTCAGTAGTATAATGCTCAGTACCCCCCTTTTTCAAAGAATTGAAACCAAATTGTAGGTTCAATTATATCTTCAGTAGTATAATAATCAGTACCCCCTTATCCTAAGAATTGAAACCAAATTGTAGGTTCAATTTTATTTCTTCAGTAGTATAATAGTCAGTATCCCCCCTTTTTTATAGATTGAAACCCAATTGTAGGTTCAATTTTATATCTTCAGTAGTATAATGATCAGTACCCCCCTTTAAAAAAAAAATTGAAACCAAATTATAGTTCCATTAATGTACAGTCGTGATCAGGAATGCCTTCCCCGGCCGAACTTGTTGCACTCGTATGTTCCCATGGAAACAAATGAGTGCGACACGTTCAGCCGGGGAAGGTATTGCTGAACACGACTGTAGTATAATATTCAGAACCCCCTCCCCCCCCTTTCTTATAGATTGAATCCAATTTGTAGGTTCAATAATATCTTCAGTAGTATAATGGACAGTATCCACATTTTTAAGCAACAGAAAGTTTCAAAAATCTTTCGAATTTCTTCAATTTTGATAACCTTGAAACAAAAATTATATTTATAATATATTAAACTAATATATTTAAAATATATTAAACTAATATATTTAAAATACATTAAACTAATATATTTAAAATATATTAAAAAATATAAATAAAAACTTACTGGAATTGATTATTTTTTTAATCAAGAACAAATCTCTTCATGCAGTCAACATTTATGCACCATTTAAACTAATCAGTTACTCTATTTTTCAAAAAGGCATTTCGAGCAAAAAATAAACATCTTTAATTGAATAGTAAAATAATAAAGAAAAAGCAAAAAAATAAAGAGTCAGTAAACATAGAATTGACAATTTACTTATTTACTTTTGACAATTTACTTTCGATAACTTGTTTAATTCAAATAAATTGTCAATTCAATATGTAAAAAAAAGACTAAGTTGACAAAATCAGCATATTGAAATGAAAATACAAGGACAAATACAAGAATTAATAAAAAGAGGAAAAAAAAAATTCTACGGGAACAGAGCATTATAGGCTCCTTTTTACTTTTGGTATTTAAAAAAAAAGATCTTCACACTATTCCGAAGAGACATCCACTACGAATGGATAGGTTTATATATATATAATTCGCGTTCGAGTAGATTTTTTTAAGTCGATCATATAGTAAAAAACATGAAAAATTGGTAAAGGGAAATACATATTTGTTTTATATTGTGATAATTGGGGTAAAAGTGTTATAAATAGAGAAAAATGGGGGGGCGGGTAGGGTTGGGGGGGGGGAATGGAGCAAGGGCAAGAAATTTTGGGAGACTTACCTGGTGGCAGGCCCATGGGGGGCGGTCGCATCATGTTACCTCCATGAATAAGAGCTGGTGCAGCAAGTGTCATGGTTGGTCGCATGAGCGGCGCCATTAATGCTACGGAACTAACTGGCATGCCGGCTGATGCTGGTACCACAACTGCTTGTGGAGGCCTTTGAAACCTTTGTTGTTGTTGATGTAAGGCACTTAAGGCGGCCTGTTGACGTTGCTGTTGATCCTGAAATGCAGCCGCAGCATTTGCCACCGCTTGCTGTTGTTGCTGTTGTTGCTGCTGATGATGATGATGCAATGCGGCCGCATGCTGTTGGGCTGCTTCCACTTGACTAGAACGAGAATCCTCGATCTGTCGTCGCTGATACTTTGGTAATCTCGCTCGAATCTCCTCCTATTGATTTAAAAAAAATAGAAAATTAGCCCTCTTTATTTAAAAAAAAAAAATTGTTTTATCACGGTTGCCACAAACATTTAATTAATGTTTTTCCCTGATTTCTAGACTTTTTCCTGACTGATTTTGATTTTTTCCCTGACCCTAAAGAATATTCTGATTCACTCTAAAAATTAATAGATATTCAAAAGAATGTTCTACTACATTTATTAACGAATTTTTTTTAAATGGCAAATCGAAGAACACAATTAGAAAATTATTCGAAAACATCAAGGACTTAATTTTGAAATAAATATTTAATCATTATTATTTTTCCATGGGAATTAAGATCTTTAAGAATTTATCAAACCTTTTTGAAATTCAACAACTTATAAGAATATTAATATAAAACATGAAGAAATCGATCGCTCTCTTCATGTTTTCCAATGTTTTCTCATAATTAAAGGTGACCGAATGATAAAATCATTATTTTATATTATAAGAATATTCTTATAGTAACTTCTTCAAAATTATTTTCATTATTTCAATTCAATTATTACTTTCTAGAATTTTTAACAAAATTTCTTCTTTAAATTAAATTTTAAAATTATTTCTCATAATTTCTGAAAAAGTTATTTTTGAGAATTTTTAAATTATTACTTTCTAGAATTTTAAACAAAATTTCTTCTTTAAATTAAATTTTAAAATTATTTTTCATAATTTCTGAGAAAGTTATTTTTGAGAATTTTTAAATCCATTTCTTTGTAATTAAATTTTACGCGAAATTTCGATTATTGGGATATTGTTCAATTAAATATACATTAGAAAATAAAAAATTGAAATAATTTTTTTAAATTTCTATGAAGCTTTTTTGAATAAATTTAGTTCCATAGAATCTTTAATTAAAAGTACAAAAAATTCAGATTTTCAAAGATTTTAATTTAAAACCATTTACGTAAAATTCAATTATTTCTAAAAATTTCAAATATTATAGTAACTTCTCAAAAATTTAATTATTATCTGAAACTATAAATGAAATTAATTTTTAAATCAATTTTTATTACAAAATTCTACGAGAATTCAATTATTTAAAAACAAACATAAATAGTTTATTGAATAAATAAATGTTTCTTCAAATAGAATTCTTATACATAATTTTATTAATAAATTTCCAAATAATTGAATTCTTTCGACGAATTTTATTAAATTTTTTTAGAATAATTACATTTTTCGAGGAATTCCATTAAAATTGGATTAAAAATAATTGAAATTCTGCAATGAGTTTTATTATTTTCGAAAATAATTGAATTATTGCTAAGAATTTTATAAAAAAAAGTTTCAAACAAATGATTTTTTTTTTGAAAAAATTTATGCAAATTCTATTTTTAATAATTGAATTCCAGTAAAATTTTCATTATTTTAGAAAATAATTGAATTTAATTCTTGTAATGAATATTATTATTCATGAAAATAATTGAATTTTATTAACAAATATTCAAATAATTGAATTCTTTCGACGAATATTCATAAAATTTTTAAGAATAATTTCATTTTTCGAGGAATTCGATTAAAATTATATTAAAAAATAATTAAAATTCTGCAATAAGTTTCATTATTTTTGAAAATAATTGAATTACTGAGAAGAATTTAATGCCAAATTTTAAAACAATTGATTTTTTCGAAAAAATTTATTGTAAATTCTATTTTAAATAATTGAATTCCAGTGAAATTTTCAATATTTTAGAAAATAATTGCATTCCAGTGAAATTTTCATTATTTTAGAAAATAATTGAATTTTTGACATGATTTTTATCAAAATTTTTGAAAATAGGGTAACTGTACCAATTGTCGAGGGTTTTAGGCAACACGTGACTTTGACATTTTTTTTCTCGGAAGTAAGTGCACTTAAAAATTTGATTTTTGTATATTTGGACGAAGGATCTAATAATGTTTAATATTCATATTTATTTTTTTAATATAAACTAAATTGTTAAGCAAAAAATATATTTAAAAGTCAATCGAGCAAAAGCACCATTTGTCGATGGTCTTGTGCTAATTTCTCGAGGGTCTGTTCCAATTGTCGAGGGTATGACATTTTTAAACATATAACCCAATATAACCTAACAATTAACCTGTACAGATATTAGAAAATCGAGTAGATATTTATTTTTTCGATAAAAATATTATAGAACATTACCAGAAAACAAATATATTTATTTAACTATAATTGAATAATTTATAATATCGATATAAAACATTTTTATAGTAGATGATACACGACAGAAAATTATTTAACTGTTTTTTAAACTTTTATAAATAAGTTAATTAAATTTAATCAATTTTGTTAATCAGACATTAATTGAAAAAATAAATTAATTTAAGTCACATTAAATTTGTAAACGAATAAAATAAACTTTTATTACGAACTGTAAATATAATGGTTAATTATAATTAAACTATAGTACAAAATTTTTTAGTTTTAAATAATGCATTTTTTTTATTAATTTTTTTTCCGTCTTCCTCGTTTTTTTTTGTTGATTATTTTCTGTTGGTTGTAAATTTTTGGAGCATTTTTTTTCTTTTTCTCTGTACCTATAAATGTTTGGCATTTATGTTTGACGTTTAGTAAATAAACACTTAACCATCGATAAATGGTGCATCAGCGAAAAAAGTGACTACACCAATTTTCGAGTCATTACCTCGAAAAATGGAACTGTCAAAAAAAAAGGAACCAAATACCGATGATTTGCTTTTAAAAAATATTAAATATTTTTTTTTAACAAAAAAACATGCATACAAAATTAATTTAGTTCGTGTACAAAATTATAATAATAATTTTGTACACAAAAAGTCATTATAAATACGTTTAATTTGCATTTCTAAAAATCTGTTTTAATCAACCTGAAGTATTAAGAAAATGGAGATTCGTGTAAATTTCACAGCAGTGAATTATAATATTAATTAAATAATTATTTTAGTAAAATCGCTACGAAATTTGTATATATAAATATACAGTTGAAAATACAAAGATTATTTAGAAATGTTTTTTGTTCTTAAATATTATATATTAGGGGAACATAGTCTAGGTCGGCCACCTTTTTGACTTTTGTTTATAACTTTTTTTAAAAAATGAATTTGGACAATTGAAGTATATGGTTGGAAAGTCCTGTTTAATAGGAACATTTTTTCTGTACAAAGTAAATTGACAGGTTTAAAAATGAAAAAGTTATAAAGATTTAAAAAAAAAAAAATTTGTAGTCCAGGTTGGCCATTACAGTCAAGGTCGGCCATGTTTAAAATTCAAAGGGCATTAATCGTTAAAAAATAAAATAACATGTTTGGAGTTACGGAAAATTGATTCTTTATTGTTTACAGTTTGTAACTTAATGAAATAACAAAATAATAACAATAAACAATATAAAAAAATAAATATAAATAAAAAAAAGTTTTGCACTAAAATATTAATAAAATTAAATAAAAATATTAATAAGATGATCAATTATATTATGAGTTATACAGAATTGCAGTTTTTGCAAATGAAGTAGCTCGTCCTCAACTTTGCGCATTTTAAACACATAGTGGCCGACCTTGACAGTAAGTAACATTACCGAATTGTTGTAACCATAAAGAAATACGTTTCGGGATTCGATTTTTTACTTTGTTTTCCTTTCAACCATGAGTCCCACAAATTTTCTGCATACTTGCCTTGACGATTCAATTTGTTTTTTATCTTTTATTAATGGTTTTTCACATTATGCACAAAACTTTTTTTGAGCTTTTTTTGTACCGACGTCACAGAAAACACAATTTTCGATTTTCCGAAAATGTAATTGAACAGAAAGTTAGGTTTCACTAAGACAAGCTTCGACAAAAATGCGCGTAGGTGGCGCTAGTGAACTTGACATAAAAACGCGAGTGGCCTACCTAGACAGTAGGCCAACCTTGACTACATTCCCCTATACTATTTATCTAAAAAAGAAAATTATTATCCTCGACAATTGGAGCACCCTCGGCAATTGGTGCAGTTACCCTATATGAATTCATTTGATGAATATTATTATTTATGAAAATAATTGAATTTTGCAATGAATTTTATTAAAATTCGTCAAAATAATTGAATTTTGTAGATGAAATTTGCAATTTATTTATAAAGATAATTGAAATGTTGACCACATTTTTTTTTATTTATTTAAAATAATTGAATTTCTGTCAAGAATTTTATAAATTTTTAAAATAATTGAATTCCTGTGATGAATATTGTTGTTTATAAAAATAGTCCAATTTTGGAATGAATTTTATTAAAATTTCTATATAATTGAATTTTGGAGAAGAATTTTGATATTTATAAAGATAATTAAAATATGCCAGAGAATTTAAAAAATAAAATTTGAAAATAATTGAATATTCGTGTGGAATATTGTTAAAATTGTTTTTAAGTAATTGAATTTTTTTGGGAAATTTTATAATTTTATAATTTAAAAATTTTTGAAAATATTTGAATTCGTGTGATGAATACTATTATTTATGAAAATAATTAAATTTTGTCGATGAATTTTATTATTTATTTATAAAGATAATTGAAATGTTGACCACAATTTTTTTTTAGATTTTTTGAATATAATTGAATTTCTTTGAAGAATTTTATTAATTTTGAAAATAATTGAATTCTTGTAATGAATATTGTTACTTATAAAAATAATTAAATTTTGCAATGGATTTTATTCAAATTCCTGAATATAATTGAATTTCGGCGAAGAATTTTGATATTTATAAAGATAATTGAAATATTGACTAGAATTTTTTTTTTTTTTTTTTGAAAATAATTGAATTTCTGGAAAGAATTTTGATATTTATTAAGATATAGTTGAATTTTTTCAAAGAATTGCGTTAAAATTTTTAAAATTGAAACTAATTTGAACAAAATTGAAATTTTTTGAAAAAAGTACTTCATTAAATGATTTATAATAACTTTATGGAAGTTCTTCAATAGAATTAAGTTATTTAAAATAAATTATTGTGAAAAATTGAAGGTTTTTTTTACAGGGTTGCCGTAGGTCAGGGAAGACTTCCCTGTAAAAAATAGAAAAATATTTCAACTGTTGATGTTTAGGAAAACTTACGAGACTAAGATCCTCGGGTGGATGAATAATTTTACTGGCGGCGCCAGTAGTTGTTATGAGATTAATTTTCGGATCGGAATTACTGTTGTGTGATGCCGAATCCGAGCCGCTATATGCGGGGAATGTTGGCTTCATGGGACCAATCGATCCACCGGCAATGGATGTGATTGGTTTGAAATCAGCGCCAAGTGGAGTCGCCGACGTCGATGTGGCAGTTGACACAGCCGCTGCACTTGGAAATAGAGGTCGTGTAGGCGGCACTGACGCACCGCTGACTGGCGGTTGCATTCCCGGTGGCATACCCGGCATTCCTTGCATCATTCTGAAAGAAAATAAAAATGATAAAACATCAACTTTCAAAAATTATTCACTAAATGAATAATTTATAAAATAACATAAAGTTACTCTATCCGAGACTTAAGGAGGGGAAAATTAAAGGAAAAACTTAAAAAGGGAGAAAGGAGAAGGAAAAGCTATCTTTCCCTTCTCCTTTCCCTTTTTTTGATCAGAAAAAAATCAAGTAAAATAAAGATGAAAATTTGTTAGAAGTGTAAATTAAAAATTTACCCAGGTCCCATGAAAGCTGGACCGACATGACCCATTGGTCCCATCATGGGATGCATGGGCGGTGGGAACTGTCCCATTTGAGGCATTCCCGGATGTCCCTGCATTCCGGACATTCCTCCTGACATCACAGATGAATTTGAATTTGTCGTCGCACCCGGAGCTGAACCCAATAATCCCTCTGGTTTTGCTTTCTTTTGCACGGGTTCATCTTCGCCTGAACTCGGTGAACCAGGGCGATTACCATTGCGTTGCTTTTCATGTTCCTTCGCGTCATTCGGCGGTATACCCTCCATACCATAAATCTCGATTTCAATATTACTTCGATTTGGTAGTGAATTTGGAACCTTATCTATTGCCTCTTTGTGCACCTAAAAAAAAGAAAAAGAGAATTTTAAAAAAAGTTCCCCTTCCTTCCATTTCAAAATACTAAATTCCAAAAATTAGATTTCAAAAATTAAATTTCAAAAAATTTTAAATAGTTAAATGAATGTAAAAATGTTCCTTTACCTGCATACAATGTATACTGAGACCGGGGCCTGTGTAAAGTTTTTTGTGACAAATGTGGCACTTGAAATGTTTTGCCTTCTGATGTTGAATGAGAATTTTTTCATCGTCAAATTCTCGATTGCAATACCTTTTTTTCGCAAAAAAAAACGAAAATTGTAAAGTTAAGGAAACTATTTTTCATAAAAAAGAATTCGTAAAATTAGTATTTTTTCAACACCTAGAAAATTAAAATGTTTATATTACAAGATAAAAATAATTATTATTATTACACGGGAAGAAATTCGATTTTATAAAATATTTTACAGGACAAAATGCGATTCAATTAAACTTTTTAAAAAAAAAGTTGTATAAAATTAATAATTAAAATTTTGAAGTTTTTAAAATTCAATTATTTCTCAAAATTCACACTATAATATGCATTTAATATTTATTATCTAAAATTTTTATTTATTTATTTAAAAATAAGAAATATTTGTATCATTTTTATACGAAAATTTTCAAAATTTATATATTTATAAAACATTTTTTTTTAGAAAATTTTAAATGTCTTTAGGAAAAAATCCTTGTAATTTCTATTGTATTACTTACAATTTTTAACGAGATAAATTTTGTTAAAAAATTTGCATAATTTCTATTTTTTATTAGTTTTTTAATTTAATTTCAAATATTTTTTTTAAAGAATTAAAAAATTTTCATAATAATATCTCATTTTTATGAAAATTTTTTAAAATTTAAATTTGAATAGAAGTTATAATTTTTTCAATTAAGAAAAATAAATTTAAAATAGGTTTCTTAAAGAAAATTGTAATTTTTATTTAAATCCAATATTTTATTGTACAAAATATTGAAAATTAAATTTTGTACTCTTCATTAAAAAAAATTAAAAATTTAACTAAACTTTTTTATCTAAAATACAAAATAATGAAATTGGACTAATTTTTTTCGGATTGTTTGTCTGATTCTTCTTTAAAAAATAATAGACAATAAAACTTTTGTTTAAAAAAAAAATTTTTTGAGGTTAGGTTAACTTTAAAAAAATATTTTGCTTCTTTATCTTAATGTTTTATAAAGAATTATTATTATTATTATTATTATCTATAAAGAATATAATATTTTTTATAAAAAATTAACCTAACCTCAAAAAAAAATTTTTTTCTGAAACAAAAATTCGACTTTACGATTTATATACGAAACAAAATAAAATTTTCTACGGAAAAAAGAAAATTTGAATGAATTTAAAAGTAATTTCTATTTATCAAAAAAATTCTATGTAAGAAACGTAGATTTTTCTCAATTTGTAATAGTTTTCTTTTTTTTTCATTATCGCCTGAATAGAGAAACTTTATTTTCCATATCGCGATTTTAATTTTAACCAAAAAAAAAACGAATTTCCAATAAATTTATATTTAAAAACCGAAAATTTTATCTAATTCTAGAAAAATATTTCAATATTTTATCATTTTATATTTTATTACTTCTCTCCTGCGACGCGACAAGATTTCGATTATGCGCAAAATGTAAAGAAAAAGAAAAACGCCAAGCACCGAAAATATCGAAAGAAAATTCTAAATATTCGGAAAAAATATTATTATTTTGAATATATAAACTTTTTCTTCTATTTATGTACAAAATTTAGAAATGTCAAAATTTTGTTGTTGATAAAAAGTGACAAATAGAGGAATAAGTACAGTTACGTAAAAAAGGGCAGATTGTGAACGGACATTTTTATATATACATATATATATATTTATATTTTTTGACGACAAAAAAAGGATACCAGCACCATGGCCTCGATTGCTTCTTCTTTTTTCGACCCATTATTCAATTTCTACACTTATTTAACGAACTTAAATAATTTCAATGTCCTATTTTATACGTTAATTTTTGTCTTAAATTTTTATATTGTTCAATGAAAACTATATTAAAATCGTCACTTGCAACCAGATTTCGACGTACACCCACGCACACACACGTAAAAACCGATATTACAAGATGGCGTTTGCGCCTCTTCCGCTTTAATGTCGGAAGTTGCGTAATCTGGTTACCAAGGGGAGCGCAGTGTGGCCAACTGTGTGATGTTAAAGTCTCGCACTCTATGAACTCTGAGTCTCTGAAGGATTAAAATAAATCAAATTCGATTCGAAATGAAATAAACTTTATTTTATATCTTTAATTATAGAGTAATAAAAATTTATTTACTATTTTGTATATTTCGATTCTAAAAACATTGAATCCATTGAATGAAGAGAGAAAATGGAAAAATGGAAGTGTATTGATTGGCATAGAAAGTGTAAAAGTAAATAGAGGAGGAACTCTGAAATAAATATAGAAGTCATAAAGGCTTATTCACAGTAATTTCGCAAACGCAAAGTACAGTAGGTTGCAAATATGCCTTCCTGGACATTTAAACATTATTAAAAGGGCTTTACGAGGAGTGGCCATTACTAAAAAAAAACGCTCCCGCCAATTGACTCCCCGGAGGGGCCACAGGTAATAAAGGTCTAAAAAAATATAGTTTAGGAATAGGAATCAATTTTTCTGCGTGTTTCAAATAAAAAGCAAGAGTTATTCGACGAATAGAAAAGATCGAAAAAGAATTTTTGGAAGGTTTGTACATTTATTTGACAATTTCTATAATATAGACAATATTACATACTAAATATTAACCGCTGGTCGTTACACTCTATAGTTGCCCTAACAGAGTCTGAATTGCTTCGTAATATTAATAACATAGATTTTTGATGATCGACCATTTATATTCATATATTTATTTATATATATATAATTATGAGGAACCTTATTTTTTATTTATTTAAAAATCATTTTTTCTACTTTTTTTTCTTTCCACGCGGCACGATGAATTCTTTCATACAATTCTACAAGGCACGCATCCACAACGCACACACACACACATAAAACGCTGTATTTTTTTTTGCGGAGGTAAAAACCCCGTAAATAAAAAAATTTCTCTCAAAAAAAAATCCTCTTTTTCGAGTAGATTTAGGTATTTATAAAAAAATTCTACCCTTATATCTGTTCCCACCAGGCGTCAGATTTATCAATATAACGGTCATCATTTTACAAAAGAAAGAATATATTAAAATAATTTTTTTCAAAATACTGTACATTATTATAGGCTCTGATTTTTTCGGAAGTTTAATTATTATTTTCATAAAAGTAAAACGCATATTTTCTTTAATTTAGGAAAACTTAATTGAATCATTGTGTTTTTATATATTTATAAAAATTGCGCTTTTATTTCGTTTTTCATGGACGACTTTACTAGCCTCAAATAAAAATAGGAGTTATTTAGAACCAGACAATTTTTTTAATGTTAAGTCGACGTACTGTACAGGTAACTGCTTGTATGTCGTCCTTCCGGCTTGCGCACATTTTTTAAAACCGTGGCACTTCTACTGATTTTTTTAGTTCGTGGTTTTATTTATCATTAGCCACGAACTAAAAATTGTGATAGAAATGTCGCGGTTTTCAAAACCGCGGCACTTCTACCATTTTTTTAGTTCGTGGTAAGTTTATTTTTAGCCACAAACTAAAAATTGTGATAGAAATGTCGCGGTTTTTGAAAAAATGTACAACCCAGGACAGCATACAAGCAGTCATCTGTATAAACTATAAAAAAAGTCTTCCTAACCTAAATATCTCCATTGTCGCCTCAACATAAAAATCGTATTCATGAGATAGAAAAGAAAACGTATATCTTTCCTTTTCCCTCTCATGTAATTTTTACTATTTTCAATGTTACATTGCTGTATTGTTAATATTAGAACAAAAGTCTTATTTTTTTTATTTTTTTGTTTTTTTATTTTCATGTATCAGATATGTTTGCTTATAAAATTGTATTTAAGAAAAAAAAAACTATTATAATAAATTATTTGTCGTCTTTTAACTGATAAAGCTAATAATAATATATATTTCACTGGTTTTCATAAAGTAACAGTAGTTAATTTTTTTCCCATCTTTTTAAATAAAGTATAAATTTCATTCTTTTTTACAACGAAGTTAACTCTCTACAAAGACTTACCACAATATACAGCAATTTATCATAATTTACAGCGATTTTACCGTAATATACAGTCAATATTTTAAATACTTTCAAACATAACATTTTGACAAAATTTACAATATTTTTTTGGTATTTACGTAATTTTGTAACATTTCTTTTTCTTTTGTATTTGTGTAGATAATTTACGTAAATACCATAATTTTCATTAATTTTACCGTAACTTTCAAAAATTACCGCATGCAATTTATCTTATAATTTGTGTAATTTCTGTTACTTTACGTAAATCCAAGTAAACACCGTTTAATTACTGTAAATTTACTTTACACCGGAATTTACGTCAAGTTAACGATTTTATAGTAGAAATCACAATTCTTTTTCTTACCTACAAGCAACTGCATACATGTTCTTTCTGTTTTGTATACATTTTTCAAGTGGTAGCATTTCTATCACAATCTTTAGTTCGTGGTAAAAATCATTTAGCTACGAACTAAATATATAGAAATGACGCTGGTTTTGAAAAATATGTACAGCATACAAGCAGTTACATGTACATCTCTAAATTATTAACCGTTGTCTATCGTGAATTTTTTTTTTTTGACAAAATAAGCAACTTTTTATATTTTCTTTTGCAATTTATTAATAAAATTGTAAATATTGGAAAGAAGGCAATTTTAGAATTTAAATAAAATAAACCTTGAGGAAATTTGTTGGATTTTGCAAAAATTTTGTGCATTACTTTGCAACGGCTGTGTATAAAAAATATCCCGATTATTTAGAAAATATGGGACAAATGAGAGATAAAATTCTCGGAAAAATATTTCTTTTCTTTTCTCTCTCTCTCATTCTCTAGAAAAAATTCTAGTTTCTTTTCTAGTGATATTCAATTTTTCTATTTATGAATTTATTTACCCATCCCTGAATAAGAGAACTAATGAGACAGAGAAAGACGGGGAAGAACTCTTTTGCAAATATAACACTTCGGAGTCTTTTGTTTTTTTCTTTATCGATCTATAAATCTATAATTAAATATACAATTATATATATACACGTGTGCGCAGGGGAAAAGCATATTTTTAAAATTTTTCCTTCTTCTGATCTAATTGATGAGGTATGCACGATTTTTTTTTCTAAACATTTTGACAATAAAAAGCCCGAAAGCTCGAGTTGGCTGGAAGACACGAGAACCAAACTGTTCCAGGCTTTTTGAGAAAAAAATTTTAGTCTCAAAAAATCCATTTTTCCCCTCCTCCTTTATTTCATATTGAGATTTTAAAATTCGTTATATGTGTGTGGGAAAAAATATATCAAGAGTATTTATTTTTCTGTTTGGGGTTCTCAAATAAGACTGCGATCAAAATGGTCAAATTTTAATTACGTGCAATTGACTATTTGATGATCGCAGACGACCGTGTTAATAATTTTTTTTTCTTTTTCAGGTCGTGATGATGGTACTTTCTTTTTTTTCCTTCAGTCAACAAATCACAAATTTTTTTTCACGTACGGTCGGCAACATCACGAGGCGTACATGCGACTTATTTCATGCTGATAACGTTCCTCCACGGCTTTTCGTTTTAATTTGAAGGCTGCGGTCACTAAGCCCATGTCTGGTGACCATTGTTCCGCGCACAGTTTCACTGCACCCGGAATCTCGAACCTTTGTAATTTACCTTTTGGAAAAGAAAAGGGAAAAAAATTGGTGAAAGGAACATAACCTCAAAAGTAAGCGACTATAGGAAGAAGGTAAGTAATTCGAGTTAACTTACATTTCCTGGCCTGCTCGACAAGTTCCTCAAGAACTGCCTTCTCGATCCTTGGATCATTACAAAGATCTTCAAGATTCGTCGACGTGATACCTAATTTAATCGCCATTTCCTCAAGACTACGTGGATTAGGAACAACAAGCGCCACTGTGTATGTTTTACTGGCATCGCCATAAATACAAATATTCTCCACTAGAGGGCAGGTTTTCAATTCGGACTCGACTTTTCCAAGTGAAACGTATTCGCCAAACTGAAGTTTAACTAAATCCTTTTTACGATCTGTAATTAATATTGCAATTTTTTTCAGAACACATCAAGTGGAAGCTCAAGTGAAGAAGCAACAACATATTCCCGAAGGAATAACAACTTGGATCCGAAGCAACAAAAATGTATTTTTAATAACTGTACTTAGAAAATATCAATAAATGACTAAAACTTATTAAATTGTTCTTAATGACTGTGTTGGAAAATATTGACAAAAGAAGTTGTTCTTAATGACTGTGTTGGAAAATATTACTAAAAGAAAACTAACCTATAATTTTGATGCAACCGTCAGGATGAACTTCACCAATGTCTCCACTGCGGAACCAATGTCGTCCATCCTCATGGAAAAAGTCCTCTTTCGTCTTGTCTGGAACTTTATAGTAACCGTCGGACACATTTTCACCTCCAATAAGAATTTCCCCCCTTGGATGTGGCATATCCGTTACTCTGTAACCGGCTTCTTCCCAATTCACCAAACGGATGTCACACACTGTACTTGGTGCTCCGACTCTTCCAGAACTTCTATCCTTCACTAAAAAGTGAATTTAAGAGTTCATTTATGGATATAGTGAATATTGCATACAGATGTAGATTGTGAACTGTCCTTTAAGTTTTTGTTACTACCCAACCCTGTTTCCTCGCGGAGTTGACCGTCTATTCATCGTGAACATCGGACGGACGTTAAATAAAGAAATGGAACAATCTTACAATTAGCCACCTCATAAAATTAAAAACCTTGCCCGCTTTTTCATAAAACGTTTATAATTTACAAAATTGTGAATAAATTGACCGGATATTATACAAAAAACTTCTTCATATAGTAAGGAACAAAAGTCTCACTGAAAGTTCTTTCAACTCGAAAGTTCCTCACACACTTTTTCTCGGCGAAATTAAGGAAACGTGGTTATAGACAAAGCATTATTAATTTAATTAAAATTTGTTTAAAAATTAATGATTTTTTAAATGTTTATAATTTAATCGTCTTCTATAGACACTAATGCGTTTAAATTAACTGTTAGGTTAATTTGGTAAGTTTTCTTAACGTTAACGATATAGTGTGAGATGGAAAGAAGGGTTGTTCTTAATGACTGTGTTGGAAAATAATAAATATTTTTTTGTTTATACTCACTGTCCATGACAGTTGCACACGATGTCGTCTCAGTGAGTCCATAACCTTGAATAACCTGAACGCAAAGGCAGAGTTTCACCTGCATATGAGTGTCAGGACTCAGAGGTGCACCTCCCGAGAAGATGAGTCTCACTTTACCACCCAAAACTTGTCGGGCAGCTCCAAAAATATATTTATCAAAGAATGGCGTATCATAACCGCGTCTAGTCCATTTTAATTTATACTCATAAGCAAAATTGAAAATCGCCTGTCTAAAGACTCCGGATTTCTTAACCTTTTCATTGATACCCTTTGAAATTCGATCTAGAATTAACTGCACAAAAAAATTGAATTTAATTTAAAAATCTTTAAATGCACATCTATTTAAATGCATAAGAAAAAATAAATAACTTACTGGGACTGCAGTGAGACAAGTGGGATGAAGGACGGAAGCATCGCCCTTGGAGCCTCTTTGTATTTTACTACTCGAATCAATCATCGTAAGAGGTGAACTATAACCAATTGGAACTCCTGTCAAAAGACAAACGCTCTCGGAAAGAAGTTCAAAGACGTGCGCAAGCGGTAAATAACCCATAAATACATCATCATCTCTAATATGAATTGCATCGCAGAATGCCTTCAATGTTGAGATCATATTTTTGTGCGAGAGTAATACTCCTTTAGGAACACCCGTCGAACCGGAAGTGTACATTATTATCGCCGTGTCCTCACCTTTAGGCGATACCAATTCAGCCTCTGAGGCATTGCCAGTACTTATAACTTCCAGGAATGGAATCAGTCTCACGCCCTCCTGGTAAATAGAACAATTTTTTTTTTTTAAGATCCATAAAGAAAATATTTATATATAATATTTTAATATTTTTAAGTTAAGAAGATATTTCTTAAGGTCATGTTATTCAGTGGTCACGTGCCCCATTGTAAAGTATATGGGGCACGTGATCACTGAATTATTTCTTAACTTAAGATCATGACCTTAAGTTAAGAAATAATTTCTTTTTAACGAAATAAATGGAATTGTACCTTAAAATCGCTAGTGTCAGTCGGCTTAAGCTGATCCTCCATATAAATAATATTCTTCACTTCCGCCAGACGTGGAAGTATCCTTTTGACCTTTGGCAGTAATTCGTGGCTAGTTATTACGGTATCAACTTCAGTTTCATTAACGCCATGTGCGATTGCATCGTCACCAAGAGTTGCGTAAATTGTCACGACACTGAGATTTTGTTTAAAGCACGCGTGGGCAGCGATCATCCATTCGGCTCTTGTTTCAGCAAAAATTACAATATTCTTCTTTGCCGTTAGACCCAGTACTCTTAAACCACGACTGAAGGACGACGCCAATTTTTCCACCTCCATAAATGACTTCCATTTGTACTCACCCATTTTGTACTATATTATAGAATTATATATATTTAAAATTAGCATTAAGAATATGTATTAAAATTGAAAATAAAAATGTATCAAGAATTGTATTAAATAAAAAAATTTTCTAAAAACCATTAAATTGTTCTTAATGAAAGTGTTGGAAAATATAAACAAACGAAAAAATATCTGAAAACAATTAAGATTGTTTTTAATGACTGTGTTGGAAAATATTAATATAAAAAGTGGCTGAAGATCATAAAGAACACTTTGCACGTTACATTTGACGCGAAGGATTCATTATTAAGAACCAAAAGATTAGAGAAATTTTTTAGTCAAAAAGTAATACGTGCAATAAACTTCTTTACTAAACTTGTTCTTAATGGCTGTGTTGGAAAATACAATAAGAAAAATCAGTTTATTAAGTTATGTTCAGTTGTTCTTAATGGCTGTTGGAAAATATTAAACTAATCTATGTTTCTCATAATACAATTTAGATATATAATTAGATTACAATTCGTCGAAAAATTAATTTTCTATAATCGAAGGGCTCGAACCAGTGAAAGTATTTAAAAATAACAAACTTTACGGACTAAAAATAAAAAATTACGGACCATTTGCGGACCAATTAGTGACAAAAATATAACCACTCCGAGTCAAATAAGAGAACATTTGACATCAAACTATAAATTACAATATTTTACAATATTTTTAAGCTTTAAAATCATTGTAAGTCCGAAAGTTTTAGAAGCCGAGAAACCTTAAAAATCTGCAAACAGTTCTTTGATAGAGATAATCATCAACCCTTAAATTTTCAAATTATTCCTTTTTTTTTAATTTTAATGAATTACTTTGCTTGGATATAAAAACGAACCTTTTTAAAAACTCGACCATTCGGTTGGAGTTCATCCTCCTCGGCTAAAATTTGTCTCGTGCCAAGACACCGTTTACTTTTGTGCTCATTGGCAACAAATTTCAACATTTTCTCCATTGTATCGATTTTATGTGATTCTAGGTGAATGTGTATCGATCTTGGTGGATCGATACTCCTGTAGGTGATGGAGTGCTCGCTCCTTGCCACAGGTTTCGCCTTGATTCTCCTCGAGGCTTTTCTTTTTCCCCATGGCCGTTGTAGGATCAAATAAACCGGAAATGTGAGAAGGTCATAGACGTAAGATAAGGCCTTAATTGCATGGATCGCACCACTTATCCAAAAACTGTTCATTTCCCTACAAAAAAAAGAAATAAAAAGATAAAAAATTATTAAAATTAGCAAAAAATTCTATTTTTTTTAAATAGTTTTAAAATAATCTAAAAATAGTCTGAAAAGAGTCTAAAAATAATATCTATATACAAAATAGTATCTTTACCAGAAATATACATTTTTAAAAAAAAGAAAAATTTTTAATAACAATTATTTCGAATTGCAAAACATGAAAGACAAGTCAATGTAATATTGTTTTAATTTGAATTTTATAATTGTGGCCCTGTTTAAAAAATATTTTATCCAGTATTCTCTGGTGTAGAGCAAAAGTATAAGGTGTGAAACTCATCAGCATCGATCGCGTTCAAATGGACTTTGTTCGAGGTCTATACACAAAACTCTCAGCTAATTTACACGTGATTTTAAAATCAAAGGTTGTTACTTTAAAAAATAAAACCTTTTCCATCACAAACGGATTATTTCATTTCATCATCAAATATATATATATTTTTATAAAATAGTAAAAAAAATATATATATTATGATTGTATCAAAACCGTTTGAAATAATCTTTTTAAAATTGAGTTTCTCCATGCAAAACGAATATATTTTTTTTTATTTAATAAAATATTTATATAATATTATAATATTACCTATTTATAAAATATGAATATTTAATTTTTATTTTATATAGAAACAAAAAAATAAACAATTAGAGAAAAAAAGACGATTTTAAAAAGATTATTTCGAACGGTTTAGCACATTATTATATTCATTGTATACATAGTAATCTTATTTGCAAATTTTCTTCGAGAATAAGTGTTTCCACTTTGTCGATTCTCGCCCTCTCATGTAATTGGATCAGGTGCAAATACATAATATAATCTTTCAATGCTGTCTCACGAAGAGAAAAAAATATTATTAAATATTTAATAAAATAAGTGAATTATTATTTTTCTAAATTATAATTATAATATTATATGAATTATAATAATAAAAATAAATTTATAAAAAAAACACTGAATAATCATTGCGAAGAGAACGTCTTAATAGATTGAAAAATAATTGACAAACAGTTCTATAAATATAGTTCTAAAGTTATAACAAAGCGTGTTTATAAACTTTTATTTCTGTCCGATAAAAGTTGAACCAAGAATCATTATAGCGAATAATAAAAAAAAAAACATTGTACATAAAAAGAAGATTATCTTTCTCGTCAAGTTTGATCTTTGATCGGGTCAATTAAATTTGTCAAATTAAAGTTGAAAACTTATAAATTAGTTTAGTTTCAACAAACTCAAGATATGTATATATATATATATATATATATATATATATATATGTATATATAAATTATGGATATAACGAAACTTTGTTACATAACCCAAAAGTTACTAAATCAATCAAATGACTCCTCAATATTCTAAACTAAAACAGATATAGTATTAAAATATGCATAGAATTTCTAATAATTAATATATAATAATAATAATAATTATTATTATTATTATTATTTATTTAGTTATTTATTTAATTACTTTTTATAGATATACTTCAAGCCTTTTAGCTTTAAACGCGATTAACCTTAGACAGTACAACTGCGGTACTAAAATACCTCAGAGAAAATATAATAATCATAATATTTGTAAATAAATAATATAATATAAAAGAAAAAACATAAAATTTTATATTATATAATTATAATAAAAAAAAAGAAAAAGGCTCATGCATTTAGAGTCCAGTCTTGGAGTAAGTAACATTAATATCATAATTATTATAATATATTTAAATTTTATTTATATCATTTTTTTAATATATTAATTTTTTATTATTTCAAAATTATATTAATTTTATGAATAAGAAAAAATAATTTTGATTAACACAATATATAATTAATCCCAGAGAGATAATAATAATAATTGTGCTTTCAAATAAATACATACATATATATGTATACAAATTGACTTCATGGACCAAAAGATCAGAATCCGTTAATAATACAATAATTATCATCGCTGGACTTTGAAAGATCACACGGTGTAAATATCGGATTTACGATGGATCACATATTTTCCTCGTGAATTCGTTTATTTGAAAAATATAAATATCCAATTGTCATTATACTGATTATAATTTATAAGAACAAAAGAGGAAAAAAAGTGAATTTATTCTGTTAACTTTATCCGTAAAAATACAATTAAATAATATTTTTTTAAATAACATTAAAATTTCCATTTCTATTAAAAATAAATAAATAAAAATTTATAACAAGTAGGATTCTAGTAAAAAAAAAAACGTAGTAGAAACCCAAAAATAACCAAAGAAGGAGAATAATAAAAAAAAAATATAATAAAATATTCATTTTTAATAAACGGCCTAAATTCGGTTATTTAGGCCTTTTTATTGCAAAATAATTAAACGAAAGAAAAATTTTTAGCAAAACAAAAAATATAAATAATATATTATATTATAATTTATTTTTTATAATTATATACATTCTGTTATAATATATTAATAAAATAAAGATAATAAACAATTATAATATTCATAAATATTAGTTATATAATATAATATAATTTATTATAATTTTATATAATTTAATTTAACATATAAAAAAATATAAAATAGTAAAATACAATTTTTTTCATATCGACATTAATAATATATTATTTGCATTATAATTGAGATAACAGAATAAAGATATTCAAAATAAAGTGATAAATTGTTTGACCTGCAATTAATTATTTTTTTATACCAATATAAATATATTATACATACATATATATATGAAATATAGATTAAAACGTTGTTATGTAAATGACTAACGTTTTTTCTTCTTTCTTTTTCTTTCTTACAAAACACAATGTACATTGACCCTGGTTAAGTGTGAAAGCCAACAATTAACGCAATTAAAATGATCCATTCGCAAGATGCATGCATCTGCAGATGTTCTAATTTTACATATTATTTATGCTTTCTAAAAATTAAAAAAAAGAAGAAAAATTCCCTTTATTTATAAACTGGACAAAGTGAGTGAATTTTTTTATCTCTATTTCATATGTTTTAATGTATACTTTTTTTTATAAAACTGTACATTACTATATTATAATTTATTTTTAAAAAAAATTTTTTTCAACTGAAAATTTTACATGAAGTTGAATTTATTCTGAGCTAATTTTACTCATTACTTAATTTTACTAGGGGGTTAATTTTAGTTAGAGTAAACTTTACTCAAGGGTTAATTTTACTTAAAGTAAATTTTACCCGGGGGTTAATTTTACTTAAAGTAAAAACTTTACGTTAGGGTTAATTTCACTAGGGGTTAATTTTCCTATTTGAATTAATTTTATTCGGCGTTAATTTTCCCCAGAGTTAATTTTACTCGTTCATTTTTCACTGATTTAATTTTAATCCAAGTAAATTTTCCTACATCCGAAGTAAATCCAAAATTACCAAAAAATTTAGAAAAGTTTATTTGAAAAATAGTAAAAAAAAATTTGTTTAACTAATTTTGTAACTAGACTAAATAATACTTAAATATTTATTTGAAAATAGTATAAAATTAACTTTGAAAATAGATAAATTTGTAAATTTAAGTAGGCAGTAAAAAATGTTACTTTTTTATATACGAATTTCTTTTTCCGTGTATCTAAATGAATTCCAATAATGTTTGTTTTACTGACGGTGCGTATTTTTTTTTTGTATTTGTGAGTTCCAATATATATACGGAAGATATCAAAAGAATGAGAGAAAAAAAAAGGTCAACAAAAAATTACGCAAGCCTTGCACATACTTTTTGTGCCACCGACTCATTTGCTCCAGGCCAAGGATACGAAATCAGAATCATTGACGTCAGACAAAGTGCGACAATTCATCTTCAATTCTATATACTCAAACAGGTGATGAAACTTTGTATACTTTAATTATGAAAAAGAAAAAAATAGATTTTTTCAAAAACATTTACTTCTTGCTACCAAAAAAGAAATTCTTACTAATTTTTTAATGTATCGAGATTAATTAATTTTTACTATAATTAGTAAATGTTAATGTAATTATTAATTTACTACTCATAATACAGGTCTGCAAAGTTCGACTACCTTTTTATACCACGTCAGGATTTTGAGAAAAGTGGGGGTAACGACTCAAAAAAACACATTTTTTAGGTCGTTACCCCCACTTTTCTCAGAATCCTGACGTGACAGATAATTTTGGATCCCAGGATCGTGTTCAGTGGACAAAAATACATAGAAAAGCACTCCCATATCAAAAATAAAGAAAAAAAATATTTTTAAAAATCTTTACCCCCACTTTTTTCAAAATCCTGACGTGCTAGGCAATTTTGAAATCCGGGATCGTGTACATAGGCCAAAAATACATAAAAAACGACTCCCATATCGAAAATACCGAAAAAAAATTTTCTTTGTTCTTTTCTCCCACTTTTCTCAAAATTCTTAATTTTTTTTTGGTCTTGGGCAAGTAGGTTTTAAAGTAAACGTTTTATGCTTTAATTTAAGACGTGATGTTCAAGTTAGAGAGAAAACTGTATTAAAATTTTTTAAAAATTTACCTTTTTTGGTATTTACCCCCACTTTTTTCAAAATCCTGACGTGCTAGACAATTTTAAAAATCGGAATCGTGTTCAACGACCCAAAATACATTGAAAAACACTCCAATGTCAAATATTGCGTTAAAAAAATTTATTTTGCTTTTACCCCCACTTTTCTCAAAATTACTGGAAAATTACAGTAATATTAAAATAACATTAATTGTAATATTACACATGCTAATTAAATATTAAATATATTATTATATTATATTATATAATTAATAAAATAATTCGAAAAGATATATTATAAAGTATTAAATGTTTTATACCATTTATAAAATAATTTTTTTAATTATACTCTTTAGAATTAATATTTTTTATTACTCATTCATCATTTGTAAGTATATATGAAATTCATTCAATTAATAGGTGTGTAGGTATAACATTGTGCACGTGCAAACATGCTTTAAACAAATATATAAACGTATGTGTGTGTAATAAAAATTGAGTTGAATTTGTCAAACGTAAATAATGCCTCTAAATAAAGAAACAGAGAAAATAAATACGATGATAAATCAGTTTTGTTATAACAAAGATAGTAAAGAGCAATTTTTAAAGAAATGGAAAATTTTTTATCAAGATGTATATAAATATATAAAAAATTTATATATAAAAATAACAAAATGTTACCATGTTTTTTTGTAAAAAGGAAGAAAAAACTATAGTTTTTTCTTTAGTAGCTATAGCTACTAATAGAAGGAAAGAACAAAATGTTACTTTTTTATTCTAAGGAAAAAGAAAGAGCTGAGGGTGTGATTAGCTTTTTGTTACATTCTTGTAGCATAATTGTGACATAACAAGCAGTAGGTACAGAAATTCTACTACAGCTTATAGATGAAAAGATGTTACCTACTATAAAATAGAAAGTGTTGTATTAAACAAAGAAATTGGAAAAAAAATATTTGTAACAATTGTATTGAAATGTATGACAATTGAGAACAAATTATAGAAATTAAAATATGTTTTGTAACAAATTTTTAAGAATTAAGAGCAAATTGTAACCGTTGTAATAATGGTATAATAATTAGGGGTAAATTGTAACAATTGTAACAATAGTATAACAAATAAGGGCAAATTGTAACAATTGACTCAAAAATTCATATCAACTGTATATGAAAGTTGGTAACTTAATTAAGTATTCAACAAAAGTAGAGAAACTACAATAGAAAAGAAAATACATTTTCTTTTTTTTCCTTTTGGAGAGCAGAGATAAAGAATATGATACGAAATAGATAAAAAGCCATCTTCTAGCATGCATTTTGCGAAGAAGTGAGGCAGATCAAAAACTACATAAAAAAAGAACTTTTTTTTTGTTTTGGTCCAATAAATGCAGAAATATGGCAGAAATCATAGAGTCTTTGATATAAATATTAGAGGTTAATGGGAAATTTTACACCAACTCACTGTTTGTCGTCCACGATCATGGTGGTGTCTTATGTTGGTACTCTTACTTCCTGATTCTTTTGGATGCGGGTAATTAATTTAACTGCAAAGAAAAACCATAACCCATTGTCCTGTTAGTAAGATTCACATCAATCGATCTTAACATTAAGTTAATTAAATGAAGTGGTTAATAAGAGTATTTATAATAAGAATATATTCAGGGTGCTTGGCTAAAGTATATGAAATCTCTTAAATATTTCTTAAAATATATAATAATTTTTGGGACTTCAAACATTTTGTCCAAAAATGCATAATTTAAGAAATATTTAAGGTTTTCCAATCTTTTTCCACACCCTGAATGATAGAGATATATAATAGAGATATAATAAAGGTATATAATAGATATATAATAGATATATATAACAGATATATATAATAGATATATTATAGAGATATATAATAAAAATATATTATAGAATATATTATTATTTAATTTATAGAACTATATTATAGAAATAAAAATAATGTAAAAATGTATTATAATTGTTTTTATTTTTCAGGGAATCCAAGGAACTATAGATTTCAAGAAGATGATCAACGGCGAAGAAGCAGCAACAAAGGTGGTTTCTTTAGAAAACTAAATCGTAATTTATGAAGTAAAAAACTTGATGATTTTTATTTCTTCAAACTGAGCATAATTTTTCGATATTTAATTCAACTTCTTATCATTAAGTCAAATTTTCCAATAGAACCCTCCCTGTATTTAATTAATATTAATTTCAAAATCTTCAGTAGCATAATAGTCATTAACCCCTCTAACTTTTTAATTAATATTAATGTTAAAATCTATAGTAGTATAACCCCCATTTTATTTAATTAATATTAATTTCAAAATCTTCAGTAGTATAATATATTAATAGTCAGCACCCCTTTTGTTTTTAATTAATATTATTTTTAAAATCTTCAGTAGTATAGTAGTCAGTACCCCCTCTAAATTTTTAATTAATATTAATTTTAAGATCTTCAGTAATATATAATGGTCAATACCTCCTTTCTATTTAATTAATATTAGTTTAAAAATCTTCAGTAGTATACTTTTAAGATCTTATAAGATAAAATATTTTAAATAACTAACACAGGAAAAAAAAGTCTGACTCCGTTTACACCTTAAATTCAGCCTCGAAAACAGGCTAAAAGTAAAACTTTTTTTTAGTGTGTACTATGACCGTTACATAAATTTTATAATAGCCAACCTTGAAAATTAGAAATTACAAATAATCACGAAAAGTAGTGAAAATACTTTTTTCATTTGCTCAAGAATGTTATATAAAGAAAAATACGTAAATTACAAGTAATATTCTCTTTCTCTCTCTCCCTCTCTGGAATTAAATTGTCATTAAGGGTGTTTAAATCTTGCCCTCAACGCGCGTTCAAAGCTCATTTAAAATATACGAATGAGACGTTCAGAAGCTTAGGCGTCAATTCCATACTATTAAGGTCGCATATAACCATTGATATCCTCCAACAGAACGAGAAATACATCCGATGCAGGAAACGCTCGAATTCATCCAATTAATTCCTCATTCATCCCCCATGAAATTTCTTATATATACATATCATTGCTTTTATCCCTTTTAAGCTGTATTATTATAAAACTTTTTATTCTTTCCCTACAAAGCAAAAATAAAAAAAACTGAAGTTTTAAATAAAAAAAAAACTTCTGAATAGACTAACATTTTTTTCATATTTATGTGAGTAAAACAGAAACGACAGTATATATAAAATAATGAAAAACTTTTTCCAACTTTTGTTTTGTATTAATTTTGATTATTATTATTATTATTATTATTTATTATTATTACTATTTTATAAGTGTTTATAAAGTAGGTTATTGTCAGTGAGCCAATTGATGTTCTCGAGTCCAAAAGGGCACAGGAAACGGCATAACGCGGGGTCAACTGACACAAACGAGTTGCAGTAATGATCAAGATAAATGCACCTTGTTTTGTTCCTTGGAATAAAAAAAAATAACAATAACAATATAAAGTCTACTTTCATAGTAGTTATTCATCAAGACGAATTCTGCGTTTGCTTTTATACCATCATTTTATATACACAAAAATTCCACGCATATTTTCTCTCTCAAGCCGAGGGCGTTACTCACATTTAAAAAAAGAAAAAGAAAAATTAATAGACAATAAAAATAAATTAATTCTCAAAAGTATGAAATTGATACCAAATTGGAACAAATTGATGCCAAAAATTTGGATCAATTTTTGATTTGATCCACATTTTTTGATATCAATTCGTTTAGTTGCAATTTGTTGCTTTTTAAGTTAACACTATTATTTGAATAATAAGAAAAATTCTATAAATAATAATAAAAAATAAAATATTATTTCCTATTTTTAGTTGCGGTTTAGTTTTGTATATTAAAAACGTAAATTGAAAAAAGAAATTAATCACAACTGAATCGTGATAAAAATAAATAATTGCCGTTAAATCAAGATTAATGAATGAAACATTTTCTCTTTTTAAAAAAACAGCATATTTCTCATTTGCAAGAATTAAAAATTTAAAGTTGCACTTTTATTATTGTCGCACATTGCACACGCATATATTTGAAAAAGAATAACGAATCAAGAATAAGGTGCATAAAAATTGCAAAAATATACGACAAAATAATTGACAATTAATGTGAACAGATCACTGCTTTATAGTCATTAGTCACATTGATAATTGCATATCAATAATTCATTAATAACGTGCGGTATATACGGATAATAAATGAATATATTTGTATATGTGTGTATAACTATTACCGAACTGATTAGAATTGCATTATTTAACCTCATCTCTCGTTCAATTAGTTTTTACAAATTTCTTTCGCTTTTCATTATTCCTCCTTCGCCTCCTACTTTTACTAATTATTTTTTTAAAATAAAATTTTTTTTTAAATCCATCTTAATTTCAATTATACTTTTAAAAATTTTTGAAAAAATTCTTTGAGAATTTTCAAATCTTCTTCTCAAAAATTCATTTTTTTTTTTAGTATTTTGAACTAAAATTCTTCTATAAATTCATTATTTTTAATAACTAATTCAATATATATTAAAAAATTTAACTAATTTCAGAAGAACATAACCTCAAATTTTTTTTGAAAATTTAAAGAAAAGAAATAAAGACTTTTAAAGAGTTTGACTCAAAAACCAAATTGAAAAATATTAGAGATTGATAATTCGATTCATTTTTCTAAATATTTTTCTAAGAAAAAAAACCTCTTTTTCAAAGGGTTAAAATTTTCGAAAAAAGAAAAAGAAAAAATTGTCGACTTGTTATACATATTTACAAATACGTTCTTGAGAGTTAAATAAAAATAGATTATTAGGACAGTGTCACTTCTTCTATTGCGGTAACGTATCAAGGACGTCCTGACTAGGAAGTCAAAGCCAAATCAAGAGGTCTGTGTCCGTCAAGGGGCAAACATAACTTTGTTGCGCTACAAACTAACGTTTATAAATTCTAATAAATAAACAAACATAAACATTTTAAATTTTAAAAAGTACATAATATATTTTATCATTATTTATATTATTATCTATTGTTATTATTAATATGGATAAATATTTATTATTATTGTTATTTTTAATATTATTTTTATTATTATTATTATCTATTGTTATTATTGATATGGATAAAAATAATAATAATTTTTTTATCCATACCCCTATGAATTTTTAGGAGCCTATGGACCCCTAAAATTTTCAGAGGGGAAGGGAGGTAAAATATATCTTACGAAGGTGGAAAGGGGTCAAAATTTAAAAAAAAATGTATTACGTAATTAATCGACTTTTGGGAAACTCCCTAGAGATTTTTTGAGAAATCTACTTACAGAAAGATGAACTGTTCCTAATTTTTGAAATTTAGTCGCAAAAAAAAAAAAAAAAAAATTAGTTATTCAAATAGTACAAATATTAACTATATACGTTCCACCTGTAAGCGAGCTATGTAAGTTCAATTTGTAATGTAATCGGTTTCTTCATTTAAGTTGCACGTGTATGTATTTGAACCGGAGATTTATCCCTGCATTTGAGATAACGAGAGAGTTATGACATTGAACTTCGGACCTTGTAACTGGGAGGTGTTTTATTAAGTCGTTAAGAATTGCCTCAACAATGAAGAACAATCTCTATTTTTTTCATTTTTTTTTCTAAAACGTATTTTACAATACACGATTTATACAAAAAAGACATCACAAATCATTTATTTTTTTATAATGGAAAAAAATGACATATTTGAACGCAAATGAACCCTATATAATAAAAAAAAAGAATTGAGGCCGTTATCCAGAATTGTAAGTTACTAAAAAAAATTATAGGATGGAATATTTTTTTCTTTATTTATATATATAAATTTATATATATATTTATATGTATAAAGAAACAAGTATCTTCATTTCCTTGTCCAAGTTGTTTTTATATAATATCATCAATGAGTCAGAAAAACATAATAATTTACAAGCGCAACAAATTGCTTTACATAAGTATATTTTTGATGGAAAAAAATGTCTATATTGACAAGCATATAAGTTATAAGTGAAAAGAAGAAGTTACAAATATAAACAATCCAATTTTAATATAAAAATAATAAAAAGAATTTTATTTCGCAAAAAAAGAAGCCTTGAAACATTTTTCTTCAACTGATATAACTCGATAATAATCAAATAACAATTTTTCTTTTATATCAAAAAATCGATAACACACAAACATACACGCACCTTTGTTTCCATAGAATTAAAAATAACGAGATGACAAACAATCCGCAAGACGTGAACTCATTAAAGTGCATATTTAACATCGATTGAGAGAAAGAACGTAAGAGAAAGAGAAGGATAGAAGAGAGCAGAGAGGGGGGAAAGACTTGTTGCGGAATTTACATTTCAAAAAAATTAAATTCTCTTTTTAAAGAAAGTAGAACAATTGCCATTAGGATATCAATAAAATGATTTTCCAAACAAATTAAACTGTTTGTGTTCTAGCTTCAATGGCCTTTGAACCTTGGTAATTTTTATATTATTTTCACTATGCAATTGTGTACCGTTTTTTTATACTTGTGAATAACAATAGTGGATTAAAAATTGATTAACAAATTGGTCATTTTTTTGAGAAATTTTAATTATTAATTGATGACTGAATATTGATTTCGACAGAAAAAATTATTTAGTGGTTTCTCTAGTATTTTTAACTTAATAAATCAGGGTTCACGTCTTTGAATAGTGAAAAACATTTCAGATTCGTTATCAATTACCCCGAAAACCTCTAGATACCAAGTTTCCCAAAAAACTATCAATCTATTTAAAAAATGTCCGCCATTTTAAATTATGAAAATCAGAATATAGATTCATCATTAGCAATTAATATTAATTTCAAAATCTCTTGTAATATAATAATCAGTACTCCTTAACTAATTATTAAATTAATATTAATTTTTAAATTCTTCAGTAATATAATAGTCAGTACCCCCTATTTAATTATTTAATTAATATTGATTTCAAAATCTTCAGTCGTAAAAACCCCTCTCTATTTAATTAAAATTAATTTTAAAATCTTCAGCAGTAAAAACCCCTCTCTATTTAATTAAAATTAATTTAAAAATCTTCAGTAGTAAAAACCCCTCTCTATTTAATTAAAATTAATTTTAAAATCTTCAGTAGTATATAATAGGCAATATCCTCTCTAACTCTTTAATTATAATAATAATTTCAAAATCTTCAGTGGTTTAATAGTCAGTATCCACAATAATTCTTTAAATTAATATTAATTTCAAAATCTTCAGTAGTATAATAATCAGTACCCCCTCGACGTTTCTGATAATTATTAATTTGAATTTTTAAAAACAATAATGAACTTTCAAAAACTGTAATGAATATTGGATAACAGTATTGAATTTTCAATAACAGTAATGAATATTGTATAAGAGTATTGAATTTTCAATAACAGTTTGGCATTTTTAATAACATAATGAATTTTCAATATCAGTAATGAATTTTTAATAACAGTATTGAATTTTCAATAACTGCGTCTGTATTTTTCAATTACAAACCAATCGATTTTTTTTTCAATAACAGTAATGAATTTTCAATAACTGCTTCTGTATTTTTCAATTACCAACGAATGAATATTGATTTCAAGTTCTTCAATTTTGAATTCAACTTGAATTGAATTCAAATTCAATAACTTATGTAATTGAAAATTTGATGAATTTAAAATTTTTTTCTATCATTGTAGTATAATAATCAGCACCCTCTCTTTCTATTTAATTAACATTAATTCCAAAATCTTCAGTTCTATAACTGTCCTCACCCCCTTTAAATGTTTAATTAATATTAATTTTAAGATCTTCAGTGTAACCCCTCTTTATTTAATTTATATTAATTTTAAAATCTTCAGTCGTATAATAGTCAGTATCCCATCTAGTAGTTTAATTAATATTAATTTTCAAATCTTCAGTAGAATAAAAGTTAGTACCCGTCTTTAATTATTTAATCAATATTAGTTTTCAAATCTTCAGTAGTAGAATACTTAGAACACTAAATTCTTTATTATCAATCCCAAAAACCCCCAGTATAGAGGCTCAAAATGTCAACTTCAGAAATCCTCGGAGCTGGTACTCCATGTATCTGAGTAGCAGATTTCCCACCTTCTTCTTTAAAAAAATTTTAAGAATAACAATATTTATAATATAAATGAGTTCATAAAAATATGCCGACATTCCAATTATGTAAAAATAAATAAATTCGCTGTACTAATTACATTTGAAATTGTTTTTTTTATCCTTGTGACATAAGAAAAATTATGTTCTAGGCCACCTTGTATTGATAAACCGCAACAGTTCAATTAGTATAAATGTCAAAATTAATTTTCTGTAAAATGGAAATTTTTATCAGTAACAAAATACGAGTATTTTACACATATAATGTCGCAATTTAATTATCATACTTTGAAAAATGGCTTTAGAGAAATATTTATTATGATTAAAATGGAAATACGCATGAAGAGTAAGCAATAAAAATAATTGAAAATATACATTTTTTTATTACAATACATATATAAATTATTATATTGTTTGATAAAATATGAATTTTTGCCATAATATCGCAGTATTAAACAAAAGTCATACGATGCACGTTTTATATGCATTTATCTATAAATGTCATTGAAATTTCGCGATAATACTAAAAACAATTACACATTACAATAATCTTCAGGAGTATAATTATTTAGTATCCTCTCTAATTCTTTAATTATTATTAATTTTAAAATCTTCAGTAGTATAATAGTCAGTACCCCCTCTTTATTTAATTAATATTAATTTCGAAATCTTCAGTAGTATAATACTCAGTGCCCCCTCTCTATTTAATTAATATTAATTTCAAAATCTTCAGTAGTATAATAGACAGTATTCCATCTAACTCTTTAATTAATATTAATTTTTAAATCTTCAGTAGTATAATTATTTAGCATCCTTTCTAACTCTTTAATTATTATTAATTTTAAAATCTTCAGTAGTATAATAATCAGTACCCCCTCTTTATTTGATTAAAATTAATTTTTAGTTCTTCAGTAGTATAATAGTCAGTACCCTCTCGAAGTTTCTAAAAATTATTAATTTAAAAGTCTTTAGTAGCATAATAGTCAATAAGCTCTCGATGTTTCTAAAAATTATTAACTTTATAATTGTTCAGTAGTATAATAGTCAATATCCGCTCTAACTCTTTAATTAATATTAATTTTTAAATCTTCAGTAGTCCCTCTCTATTTAATTAATATTAATTTTTAGATCTTCAGTAGTATAATAGTCAGTACCCCCTCTCTATTTAATTAATATTATTTTTGAAATCTTCAGGAGTATAATTATTTAGTATCCTCTCTAACTTTTTAATTATTATTAATTTTAAAATCTTCAGTAGTATAATAGTCAGTGCCCCCGACTTGTTGGGCCCTCATCAGGTGTTTATCTATTTTTATTTTCCTTAGATTTATTATTACGATTATGATGAAATGTAGATCTCACATAACATTGTCTCAAGAAGTAGTTTTATAAACACTCCACACTCTCGAATATTTACATCTTCTCTTGCATCTTTTTCTCTATATCTTTTAGAATTTTATTTCAAAAATAATTTTTAAAATTAATTACCCATATAGTGATAATGTATAACCTTCCTTTTAAACTGACCCTCAGGGAGATCCTCTAAAAATCTTAACCTTTGAAAATATATTTCCTAACCTCAAAAATTTGCACTTTAAATTCAAGAATCTCACACCACTATTTTCACTATAACAAAATCGATTGTTTTTATTCAGAATTTATTCAAAATTCGTCTTCCTAAAAGATAAATTGACAAGAAAATTTTCTTTTTGAGAACAATATTATCCATCACAAAATGAAGGAAATTTTTTATACACAAAAAGTACGTGAATCAAGAACTGGTAAATAAATATACGCACAAAATGTGAAAACAGGTATTTTTTCAAGGAAACGAAACTAATTCCTTAAAAAGAATAAAATGCTCCGATTGGTCGATTTTAAATACCCCCCACCCCTTATTCAACCTTTTCTTAAGTTTTTTTTCGCATATATGTATAGGTATCAATAGGACTGTTCCAATTTTAATATTATAGTGTGTGTGTGTGTGTTAGCTCTTACCTTCTTCTGGAAACTCAGCCAAAAAAAACCTTTTTCAAATATATAAAGAATCCTAGGAAGTTTATTTCTTCTTTAACTTTATTATTTTTTAATTATCTCTTGTATTTTTTTCTGTCCTTTTTTGACCCGATTTCACTGAATTGCAATATTGTGGTTAGTAAAAAGGAAAGGGAGAAAAAGAGAAATAGATAGAAAGATTGAAGAGATGAGAAAGACGAAAGTGTGGTTTAGAAATAGGATTTACGAAAAGGAAAAAAACATATATGTATATTTATATATATCACAAGAATAGTCGCGACCAGAAGCCCGGGACGGTCAGCGAGCGACTGAAACATTTATCCTCAGGTTCTGTACCTCGTGAATCGGACCGACACATGTGTGTCTCTATATAATTTCTAGTCTCAGAGATGATCTTTGATCCCTTTTATAAAATTTTAAAGACTGATTATCGAAAAATAAAATTTAAAAAAAAATAATTTTAATGGGGCTCCTTGGTGCAAAGTACACGACCCTGAACTGTCATAAAAAAATTTTTTTAGAAAAATGTGTGGGAGAGAGATAAATTTCAACCACCACTATTTTCCATTATATTTTATATTGGCAATAACACTTCCCAATTCGGGAGAAAGTCCAATGTACTACTTTTCTCAGAAGTCACACAGCAGAGACTCGAGTTTTTTTCTTCCGCGAAGTAGAAATTTCGTCGCAATTCACAGAAACAAAATGTAACGGTTTTTTTTTTGCTTCTTGACGGAAAAAATGCTATATCACTAAGAATATTAAAGATTTTTTATTTATTGTAATTTTCTACTTTTTTAATAGAGGTGTTTTACATACCACGTGGTTTTTTGGGGTTGAAGACGAGAAACAGTGTTTAATCAAAGGGAGGAGCAACACACACATGTTACTTTTTTCTTTCTTATTTATATTAATATTTTGAAAATCGGACACTAAAGAAGAATTTTTCAAGATTTTAACGAATATTTTTGTTAATGTCGCGAACAAAAACACAAATTTTTACTTCCGGATATTTTTCTTTATTTCGTGTGATTGAAAAGTCAAGGATGATCTGAAGATGCATTCAGAGTCGAACATCCCACGTTCTAGTTTCACATACAAACGCACACTCATACAAAAATCAGCTTTGTTTGCGTCGTTTCACAGTCACAATTTCCAGGCCGTTACATGTTTGTGTGAAGCCGCGAACAAAAAGTTTTCTTTTCTATTTTTTTTCTTATCCAAAAATTGCATGAAATGGTAAATTTGTGAATTAAAACAGAAAGTAAATTTCATTGGGAAAATTTTAATGTCATTTATAGGTTATGTTTCTATTCTGATTTAAAAATTATTAACATTTTTCTTTTAAATAGAGAGGTTAACCTCTAATGTTCAAAAACCTGTAAATATTTTCTTTAAATTGTTTTTTGAATGTCTATTTTAGTGAGAGGTGGAAAAAATAAGAATTAATACAAACCCATAAATCCAAAAATTGAAATATCAATATTTATCGAAAGTATGTTAGAAAGTAAATAAATGTTATAGTGTCGCGCGCGTCTTGCGAATTTTCCACTTTGCGGACGCGTAAAAGACGATTCAGGAATATTGTTTCTGTATACATGTATATAGTGAGAGTATATAATGTCACAAAATTGACCAATAGAATGTCGAGAATCCTTGGGCGGGGATGTGGCGTGATCCTGAGTGACGTCACACTGTACCTCTTTAATCAATATAACCACCCACGTTTTGCGAAAACAAAACACATTTTTTTTACAAATTTGGTTATCGCGATGAACTCCGTGCCAAAAACAGGATTATATTTTCATTTCTTTTGAAAAGTAAAATCTTTAATTTAAATATTTCACCCTATTCCGAAATTTAGAATTTCTTGCAAATATTTTTTTTTTTGCAATAATATGTGAATGCTGTTAAGGTTTTTTCGAAAATTGTTACCTTCTTTATCGATAGTTTTCATAAAGCCCGCGATTTGTTACAGTGAACGTAATTAACATCAACCGATAAATGTCCTTTAAATTTTTTAAGTTTTAATATTTAACATAATTTATTCCCTTATGTAATTGAAATAAACACCAATCATTGTTGTCAAATAATTTTCAATATTTGAAATTAAAGAAATTATTTTACCGGACTAGACTATTTTTTATTAAATCCAATTGTTTTTATTTTTAAGGAAACCCAGGAAACTATAGATTTCAAGAAGATGATCAACGGCGAAGAAGCAGCAACAAAGGTTTTTTCTTTAGAAAACTAAATCGTAATTTATGAAATAAAAAACTTGATGGTTTTTATTTCTTCAAACTGAGCATAATTTTTCGATATTTAATTCAACTTTTCATCACTGAATCAAATTTTTCAATAGAACCCTCCCTCTATTTAATTAATATTAATTTCAAAATCTTCAGTAGTATAAAAGTCAGTACCTCCTCTAACACTTTAATTAATATTATTTTAAAAATCTTCAGTAGAATAATAGAACCACCTCTATAATTAATATTAATTTTAAAAGCTTTAATAGAAAAAAGACAGTATCCCCTCTGTAATTATTTAATTAATATTAATTTCAAAATCTTCAGTAGTATAACCCTCTTTCTGTTTACTTAATATTACTTTCAAAATCAGTAGTATAATAGTCGTTAACCCCTCTAACTTTTTAATTAATATTAATTTTAAAATCTTCAGTAGTATAACACCCTTTCTATTTAATTAATATTAATTTTAAAATCTTCAGTAGTATAATAGTCAATATCCACTCTAACTCTTTAATTAATATTAATTAATTTTAAAATATTCAGTACTCCCTCTAACTCTTTTATGAATATTTAATTTTAAAATCTTCAGCAGTATAATAATCAGAACCTCCTCCCTGTTTAATTAATATTAATTTCAAAATCTTCAGTAGAATTCACTTTAACTTTTCATCATTTGGCAAATTTTCAAATATTTAATTCAAGTTTTAAACAATATTAGTTTAATTTTTTAATATTAAATTCGACTTTTCAACATTTAATTCAACTTTTCAATACTATATTAAATTTTTCAATATTTAATTTAACTTTTCAACATTTAGTTTAATTTTTCAATATGTAATTCGACTTTTTAACAATTAGTTTAATTTTTCAATATGTAATTCGACTTTTCAACAATTAGTTTAATTTTTCAATATTTGCTTCAACTTTTTAATATTTAATATATTTTTTTAAGTACATACCATGTCTCTTTTAGTCAAAATAGGTAATTAATAAATAACTTAAGTAGGATGGTTTTAAAAAAGTAAAAATATATACTACTGGAAGTTTGAAATTTTTTTTGCTCGTTGATTTTTCTTTATTTTTATATTCTCATCACTTGAGAAGATATCCTTTAATTTTAAATTTTTAGTAAATTTAAAAAAAAATATTCTCCACCCTTTTGGATTATTAAAAAAATAAACGGAATTCTACTAGAAAGAATACACAGACAAATTATTTAAGTAAAAGTATTTATAATATTCTTTTTCCAACTTCATTAAAACACCAATTATTTAATTTTACAATCATAGTAATTCGGAATTATAAACTTTAAAGTTTTCCAGATTTTTTTTTTAATTTTTTTTTTTTTTGCATTATTCTAAATAGCCCTAGATAAGCTTGTAAAAAAAGTTGTATTAAACTAATATAATTCCTGTTTTATTTTATTATAATATAATAAACTTTCAAACGCTCTTGGAACATTCTTAAAAATTAAAGTTCCATTCGTCAAAATGATAAATGAATTTTTTTTATTTCAAAATTTTCTGCTTTTTTATTCTTTTTAAGGGGAAAAAAATGGTTTTTCTTTAGAAATAATTTATCCGTGTGTTGTATCGTCCTCCACAAAGTCGGCAGCTTCTTCCCTAGTCACACATTCAACGTGTGAAACTTTATTTCGGAATTTGACACCATAGAATTTATTTGCATGTTGCAGTAATTCGGGCCTGAAAAATTGTTTTTATTTTTATTGATAACGATTAAAAATTCATTCTAATTCAAAATTTAGTTTTTTTATTATGATTTTATCAACTTTAGAAATTGATCCTTGTATATTTCTTTTTTAACAAACCTGAATGTAGTGGTGATGAATTGTGCGTCTGAACTGAGTTCATGAATCATATCGGCAACTGCTTTTCGATGTTGCGCGTCCAAAGCCTGATCAATTTCGTCAAAAAGATAAAATGGCGCGGGATCACATTTTTGAATAGCGAAAATCAACGCTAAAGCGACGAGAGATTTTTGCCCACCGGACAATTGATTCATTTCCCTCATTTCTGCTTTGTGTCCAGTAAATGAAACTCGAATACCTGATAAGATGTTTTAGTAATATATTTTCTAAAAAAGGGAATATTAGGAAAAGAAAATAAAATTTTTTTTTAGTCTTACCAACGCCGATGAAACGATCAGAATCGGCAACTTCCTGTGATGCGTCATCGCCCTCTTCTCCGTCGGCCGTTTTCATGACCAATTGTGCATGTCCCGAGGGCACCAACTTCTTAAAAACTTCACTAAAATATTTACTCACTTGTTTAAAAGTAAATTGAATTGCCTCACATTTTCTCTGCTCAAGAACAAACATAAGTTCCTTAATTTTCTCATCGCCGCGATCGAGTTCCTCTTTTCTTTTCACAAGTTTCTCCTTTTGATCGCTGAACGACATGAACTGATCCAATGCTTTTTTATTCACATGGCTGAAATTTATAAATTGAATCAATTTTTTAAAAATTAAAACAATAAAATTAAAAAAACTTCTTTAAAATTGTTTTTCCAATTTTCCTACCTGTATTTTTTAAGATGATTATTCGCCTTTTCCATTTCACGGAAAAGTTGTTTCGTCGACATTGAACTAAATTTCGAATAAGCCTCATGACTTGGTAATGCGCCTAATTCAGTTATTTTTTGCGTACATTCGGTAATTTTTTGCTGCAATATATTTGCCTTGCTCGCCAATTTCTCTAAATCCTTAGCGTCAGCTTCAATTTTCTCCTGCGCCTCTTTCTCCTTCACTTTCCATTTTTCCACCTCTGAGGATTCGACTTTTTGCTTTTTCATTGCGCTCGTTACCTTTTCATTTTGCGATTTAAAATCGGCGTTCACTTTAACGAGACGTTTTTCAATATCGGCAAGTTGTGCATTACATGAATCCAATTGTCGTTGACGATCTTGAACCGATATTTCCTGCAGTGCTTGAACAAGTTCATCGTGACGACGCACTAAATTGTTTGTCAATAAATTCTCCAATTTATTCTTCTCCGCTTCGAGTCGCATTCTTTTGGCGAATGCCTCTTTATTCTCGCGTGTCAATCGTCGAATATCATCATTCAATGTATCGACTTGATGTTGATCGGCGTGCGATAATTGGGCCATTAATTCCTGATGTAATTCACTCTCTAATCCCTCTTTTGTTGCGCGCATTGCCTCTAAACTTGATGTACATTGAGCCAAACTTCTTTCCTTTGGCGTACGATACCTCTCAATTGCGCTCAATTCCTCCTTCATCATTCGTATTTCAGCCTTCATTTTGTCATAAATGTCTCTGTAAATAAGTAAATAAATAAGTTCTTCATCTAATGGAAAGTTTTTTTTCCCCAAAAGTATTAAAGAAGTAGAAAAATGACAAACTTGGCTTTGCTGTTCTTCGTTTCGGTACGTTGCATTTCACTGACATAGGAGCTAATACTCTGATCGGCTTTTCTTATTTCATCCTTAAGTGTTCCCAATTGATTTTCAAGTCCATTTATTTGTGTCATCAATTCAGATCGTGTTTTTTGTATTTCAAGACGTGATCTTAATGTATTGAAATAACCACCCGTTAATGAACCCTTAGATGAAACCTGATCGCCCTCCAATGTGACACAATCTAAGCCGGAAGTGCGCGCAAGACTCGTTGCCGCTTCTAAATTTCGGCAAATAAGCGTTTTTCCAAAAATGTATCTAAAAAAAGATGATAAAAAATTTTATTCTTCAAAAGTACTGTATTTTTTTTAAGGTGTGGGTAAATTTTATTCTCAAATTAAAAAATTAAAAATAAATGAAAATTTAAGACTATAAGATTAAATTAGGAAAGTAAATACTAAAATTGTATAATTAAAATTATTAAATTTAAAAACTAAAATTCCGAAATGTTATGAAATTAAAATATTAAAATAAATTAAGGTATTAAAAATATTTAAGCGAAGAGTTAAAGTATAAAATTATTAAAGTTATAACCTAACATTCTAAAAAATAATTAAGACAAAAATTAAAGCTAAGAATTTAAATTAACAGGGTTGCGACGGTTTTTTTAATTAACATAGAAACTAATGATAAATTAATATTAATTTTAAGATCTTCAGTAGTATAATAGTCAGTACCCCCTTTTATTCAATTAATATTACTTTTAAAAATCTTCAGTAGTATAATAGTCAATACTCCCTCTAACTTTTTAATTAATATTAATTTCAAAATCTTCAGTAGTATAATAGTCAGTATCCCCTCTCTATTTAATTCTTCAGTAGTATAATGGGCAGTACCCCCTCTCTATTTAATTAATATTAATTTCAAAATCATCAGTAGTATAACCCCCTCTTTATTTAATTAATATTAATTTCAAAATCATCAGTAGCATAATAGTCAGTACCCCCTCGAAGTTTCTAATAACTTTTAATTTTTAAGTCTTCAGTAGTATAATAGTCAGTACCCCCTCTCTATTTAATTAATATTAATTTCAAAATCATCAGTAGTATAACCCCCTCTTTATTTAATTAATATTAATTTCAAAATCATCAGTAGCATAATAGTCAGTACCCCCTCGAAGTTTCTAATAACTTTTAATTTTTAAGTCTTCAGTAGTATAATAGTCAGTACCTCCTCTCTATTTAATTAATACAAATTTTAAAATCTTCAGTAGTATAATAATCAGTACCATCTGTCTATTTAATTAATATTAATTTCAAAATCTTCAGTAGCATAATAGTCAGTACCCCCTAGAAGTTTCTAATAACTTTTAATTTTTAAGTCTTCAGTAGTATAATAGTCAGTACCTCCTCTCTATTTAATTAATATAAATTTTAAAATCTTCAGTAGTATAATAATCAGTACCATCTCTCTATTTAATTAACATTAATTTCAGAATCTTCAGTAGGATAATAGTCAGTACCCCCTCGAAGTTTTTAATAACTTTTCATTTTTAAATTTTTAGTAGTATAATAGTCAGTACCCTCTCTAACTTTTTAATTAATATTAATTTTAAAATTAAGCTGAAAAATCAAAATTATGAAATTAAAATGAAATATTAAAATTAAGATTAAAAATTAAAAGTATAATAGTAAGATAATAAATTCAATTTAAAAAATATATAGTACCTCAAAGCCTTGTCATATTTAGGATCGTAATTCAAACGCGATATCATTGGAATAGCGTCACTTGTTTTCGGATAATCCTGAATTTTCACGTGCAATCGATTGAGAGGCATGAATGTCACTTCGCCGGGCAATCGTTGATTATTCATTTCCTTGAGTATTTTTGTTCCAAATTTATCAGACTCGACAATATGATGAAAAAGACGATTACCAGCGGTCACCTCCACCGCCATATAAACACTTTTGTCGCAGTCGAAATTCTCAATAACCGGTCCATAATAAGAACTCACCTCGTGCGCCATATCCGGACGTTGTCTATATGAAAATTAAATTAAAAAATCTCAATTCTTTAATTAAAAAAATCTTTATTAAGCTTAAAAAAAGGATTAAATAATTGTTTAATATAATTTTAACTTAATATTTTATAAATACTAGTTTTACCACTTAAATAAAAAGAAATTTTTCACCCTTTCGATTGAAAGAAAAATAGTAAAGTAAAGAAATCAAATAATAATTGAAAGTAAAGGAAAAAGAATAATTACCTGAATGTATCCAAAACTTTGCGAACACTGTCCCTTCCGTTTAGAATCGGTTTTCCCGCCATTGAACGTAAACTTTGATCGGCTTTCGCCAAATCCTCCTTCAAACCGGACAAATTTAATTGTTGAACACTCTCTTGGCGGTATCTGTAAAAATAAACACGAAAGAAGTGAAGAAAAATGATGTTTAATTAATAATGTTGGAAAGTACAGTAAATTAATGAATTAATAAATTTTAAATTTAATTAATTAAGTAATAATTTTAAAAGAAAAATGTTTTAAATAAAGAAATTGATAATACTAACTGCTCCTTTCGTGTCGCTTGACATTGATCCTTAGACTTTGTAAGATCGTAATATTGTTTATTATGATCGTCAATTGATTTTCTTTGTTGTTCCATTTCGCGTGTATAGTCTTCAATTTTTTTCTCCAACATTATTTGCTTCTCGCCGTCTTTCTTAAGATCGTCGCTTATTTTTCTTTGATGCTCCTCTTTATCTTTAATTTGCTTTGTCAATTGTTTCAATTCATTTTGAATCCATTTATCTCTTTCGTCCTTAAAAACAAAATAAAAAATATGTTAAATATTACAAAAAATTTAATTTCTTTTTCACCCAGAAATTAAATTTAGAAGTTTATTTTGTTACCTTGCTTGTAAATTGTGAACCTCGTCCTTGTTTAGCGTACAATTCCTTTCTTTTTTGTTCTTTTAGTGCCAATTCTCTTGTACATTCTTCCTCCACACGTTTCATTTCTTCGTACTAGAAAAAATAGAGAAAACAAAAATTAATTATTTTTTCCTTTTTCTTAAAACTACTTTTGCGTAATTTATGTCTTCTTTTTGTTAGACTACTCCTCAGTATTTTTTTAAACTACTTTTAGTTATTTTATTTTTCCTGTACGGTTAAAATAATTTTCCTTTTTCGTTATTATTTGGTATTTTATTTATTGTTTGCTCATTATTTTTACCTCGGGCTTAATTGATTCGAGTTCCTTCTCCCTTTCGGCGATATTCGCCTTAAGTTTCTCCAATTCTTGTTGCGCTCTCTTGCGACTGTCATTGTCTCCCTTTACTTCTTCCAATAAATCGTTGATAGTTAGGGTTAATTTTGTTTTTTCTTTCAAAAGTTGCTGCTGCTCGGCACTTTATCAATAGAAATTAATTTATTTAATTAAATCAACAATCAACATATTTTGAAAAGTAGAAAAAAAATTATCAAATTTTTGTTCTTTTTGGAGTCCATAGACATAGGAGTTTACTATTTACCTTTAATTACTTAACTAAAGAAAATTAAAAATTTTAAATTTAACTAAAATTATTAATTAATAATTAATTTTGTTTGATTAAAATTCGGTATTTTAAAAATAATTTCTTTTTTTTAGGGGAAAAGGTTAAATTGAGGGGTTAAATTACCTCAGAGTGTCACGCTCCTCTTTTGCGGTTTGCACCTCTTTTTTGGCCTCCTTCAAACGTTTTGTTGCGGCGCGAACCTGTTCCTGTGAATTTTTCGCGTCTGAACAAAGTTTCGCCTGTTCGGCACCGCTATTCGCTCGTGATGTCTCCAATTCCTCGAGCTTTCGTTTATTCTCCTTGAGTTCACGCTCGTGAATTGTGTACTCCAGACAACGACGTTGCTTATCCCATCGCTGATATTCCTTTAATTCCTCCTTCTCTTCTTCAAGTGTTTTTAAACGCTCCTCTATGAAAAGAGAGAAAAAAAATATAGAATTAATCACTTTTTAGGCGAAAAAAGACTTTTTCTTTTATCCTTAGAATTCCCTGAATTTTAATAAAATAAACTTTTTCATTTAATAAAATAAAATTAAATAAAAGGAATTTATAATTATAAAAATTATAAACTTCATAGGATATAAATTAAATAAACTAAAAACCTAATAAAATGCCTACACCAAAAAATTAATAGAATTAGAAAGCAAACCGGGAAAATAATAAAAAAATAAAGTAAACTAAAATGTAATAAAAATTTTTTTTTTTAAATAATAAATAAAAACCGAGTGAATAAAATTATAAAATAATAAATGACTTAAAAACACACCGATAGTTCGTAAAAAGTCTTCAATTTTTTCAACTTTTCCCTCGGTTTCTTTTAAAATTGATTTTGATTCTTCACGTCGATCATCGTAAACTCGAGTTCCTGCAACTTCTCTCAAAAGTTTCAAGCGTTGCGAATCGGGAGCTGTGGCCATTTGGTTAATCTGAGAAAAATAAATTATCAAAATTTATAAAACAAAAACAATTTTTCTTCTAATTTATGTTTGAAAAAATAATTATAATAAACACTACACAGTTTATCTTCTAATATACAAAAAAAATTAATTTACGAAATTTAATTTTAGGTACATTTAATTAAATTTATAGAAATGGACAATTTTTTTCTTTAATTTAATTAACTGTGAGAAGGTATATTGAAATAAATTAATTAATTTCACTCACTTTTCCCTGTTTAACGATGTAATAGGGATTTGAGCGTGAAAAACCGGCCGATTCCAATAAATTCATTACATCGCTTCTGGTCACAATTTTCTTGTTCAGAAAATATTGATCCTTCTTCGACCCAATTACACGACGTAAATAAACTTCATTTTTATCGATCTGCAGAGAGAAAAGAAAGTTTTTAAAGATTTAGAATTTAACATTTTTAAGATTGAAAAGTATTTTAAAATATTAAAAAGAATTATTAAACATTAGAAAGCGTTTTTAATGATTTGAAAAGTGATTTTAAACATTTAGAAAATATTTTTCAAGATTTTAAAGTCTACTTAAAGATTAAAAAGTATTTTCAAAGATTAAAACGAATTTTTAAGATAAAAAATTATTATAAATATTTAAACAGTGATTTTAAAGATTTAGAAAATATTTTTTAAGATTTCAAAGTGTTTTTCAAGATTTTAAAGTGTTTTTAAAGATTAAAAAGTATTTTTAAAGATTAAAAAGTGTATTCAAAGATTTTAAAGAATTCTTAAAGATTTTTAAGTATTTTTAAAAATTAAAAAGTGTTTTTTAAAGATTAGAAACTATTTTTAAAGATTAAAAATACTGTTTAAGTTGTAAAAAGTACTTTAAAACATTTTTAAAATAAATTAATTTAAAATGAAAATAAAAATTCATTGAGTATTAAATTTAAAAAAATTTTCCTTTTAAATTAAAATATAGAAAAAAATTAATAAACAGGCAAGAAATAAAAATCGTACCGGAAGTCGACCATCCGTATTGTCGAAAATAATTTCCACATGAGCAGAAATAACACGGGGTCCAGTACCTTCATGAAGCAATGCTTGCCTCTGCTCCGGTCGCAAATGAGAAAATTCATCGCTCAAAACAAATTGAATTGCGTAGAAAAAATTACTTTTTCCAGAACCATTTCTACCAACTGAAAGAAGCACATTTTTAAATTTATTAAAAATTTTATTTTATATAATTAGGAAAAAAAGTAATTAAAAAAAAATTAAGAACTAAATTTAATTAATTACTAAAACATTAGTAACAAGAAATTACTCACCGACAACATTGTGTCTAGGATCGAAAGGTTCAACGACCGTTTGTTCCCTGTAGGACTTAAAACCCTGAATAATAACCTAAAAAATTTGTGTTTATATAAATATTGTTTAACCAATTATTTAGTATTATTTACAAAGTTACAATTTTTTTTTGTCAAAAAAAGGGAATTTTGAAAAAGAAGGAATTTAAAATTGACAGAAAAAAAACAAACAGAATCAATGTTTTAAAAAGGAAAAAAAATTACTAATAAACGAATATTTATATATATGGAAAAACAGAAACTATTTTTAATAATTTAAATGTGGAAAACAAATAAAATAAATGTTAATAACTTAAGGAATATTCTTTTAATTTTTACCGTATAAATAAAAAAATACGACAAACATAACCTAGAAAAATTGTAAAGCAAATTTTAACGGTTCTGTAGATTAAATAAAATACCTGTTTTATAAACATACTGCACTTTTATCAATTCACTCGTACATGATATTTATAAAGAATTATATTTCACTTAATCGCAAATTTCAACTTTTCTCTGTAAAATAAATAGAAAAACTATTATCCTTTTTTTGAAGAGAGAAACGCTATTCACATACACAAACACAAACAACAAGTGAATCAACAAAGATGGAAAACATAAGAGTGACGCTTCGTTAAAATTCCCTAGGTAACCCTAGGGAGGAGAAAAAATAGAGCGGGAATTTTATTTAAGGGAATTTAAAGAAATTGAAATCCCTAGTAGTTTCCTGGTTTCAAATAAAGTTACATCTACAATGACTGTTGGGTTTGAAGAATTGTACGTTTCCAACCCTGACGTCAGATCATAAACAATATGTAATAAAAACTGTGTAGTCGTGTAAATATTACACAAAAATTAACTTCTTCAGGCTGCGTCTACAACAGAAAAAATAATGTGTAGAAAATTGTGTAATGTATAGTGTAATTGACCCTGACAGTTGGCAGTGCTAAAAACAATACACATTACACTACAAATTACACATTTTTCTACACATTATTTTTTTCTATTGTAGACGCAGCCTCAAATAATTAAAGAGTTGTTATAAAGTTATAAACTTTATTTCAAACTATTTTAACAAAATACTGTATTTTACAAACAAAAAAAACAGTCGAATGAATTCCGAACTACACAACCCTGGGTACAGCAGAATTATTTCATTATCTTACGTTGGCACACCTGCTTCTTCTCCACTGTACAGAGAACAACGAACGCAAGAAACGTATATTTCTGTTAAATTGTCAACTGCCAAGAATCGTATTCGTGAAGAAAAGAATATTCAAACGTGCTTTCCATCCAGTCAACGTTTCCAATCATTAATTGTAAGTAAATAATAATTTATCATTATTTTCTCAATCAAAATCCGACTATTTTTGACAGTATCAATTCGCGTAAAACCTCCCCTTCACCCTGAGAAAGTTTTCCTGTTTTGACAAGAGAAAAATAATGTCTATTTTTGTCATCTAAATTATTTATCATTAAGTTCAAAGAGGAATATTAAAAAGGTATGTTTCGAAATTGGGAAATTCTGTGAGTGTGACAAATGTTATAATTTTCATTGACAAAACAAGAGGAATTATTCGCCGGCAAAGTGTATTGAATGTGTTCATTCTCGCAAAAATATTAATAACCTCGTGTGTGTTTTATCGTTAAAAGTATTTATGCCCCTATTTAACAGTTCCTGTGAAAGGAAATACAGAAAAAGTAAATAATAATCATCGCCACTACCTCCAGTAAATTTGTAAGTAATATTTTATTTATTCTTTTTTTCTCTACTAATAATTTGACAAAGGTTAATAACGTTAATAATCTCTTTTTCTCCCCCCTCACTCCACCTTTTTCTTGGAAATAGTGAATTTAGCGACAATAGAGTAAAACAAGACGCCACATTTTTCTTGTGACAAATTTTTATCTGTTGACATTATCGTTAAATTTTTGTTTTATTTGTATATTTTTCGGAAAGTGTTAAAACTGTTGTTTTAATACAGAAAAAGTTTGTAATTTCGTTTTAAAGTACATTACGTGTGGAATAAAGTTGAAAGTGAGTGAAGAAACGTATTTTTGTTAGTAGACGCGAGTCGATTCGTCTGGGATTACCGCGAGTGTTTCAAAAGAAAAATATTGTTTAAATATTTCTCGGACTATTTTCGCAGATATTAAATAATTAAATAAAATTAATTAAATTAAAAATTAAATAATTAATATTTAAAATATTATTATTAATAATTTTTAATTCATAAATAGCACTGCAAACATTAAATTAATAAATAAATATTTGTAAATACTACAAAATTGTTATTTATTAATAAAAAAAATTAATAAATAACAATTATAAAGACATTTTTGCAATTTAATTATAATTATTAATTATTCATCAATTACTAATGAATATTTGTCAATTAATAAATAATTGTTATTTATATAATAATCTTAATTAATAATTAGAAATTATTAGACAATAAATAAATATTATTATATAATTAACTATCTGTCGTACCCGTCTTCGACGGGTTTTAGTTTCTACCAATACATTTAACAATGTTTCTACCAATCTGGAAAATCAGAAAATAGTCGGGAATTTAATTTGACCTGAAAATTAATAATTAGTTACCATTAGCTATTTCGGTAGTATAATATTACTATTTGAATAGTCTCCACCCTTTAGCAAAAAATCAAAAATTGAAGGGCTACATAAAATAAGGGGACGAACGCATGGTTGAACACAGTAAAAAGTAAATCTTAATTTAAGAGCTGCCTTAAATTCAACACTGTCTGCTATAATGTTAAAGGATACGAAAAACGTGCGTAAATTCAACATTGACTGTCTTAAAAATGTTGCATCTTAATTTAAGGCAGCTTTCGTGCCTTAAAATAAGATTTTCTTTTTACTGTGAAAGGGATAATATCAGTCAGGTACCAGCGAGCGGCTCAAGGCTTGTCACTGCTACCCGACTGGTAGTATCCCTTCCAAGCCTCGCGTTCGTCCCCTTATTTTATGTAGCCCTTCAATTATCAAAAATTCGAAAAACCGAATTTCTTAAAATTCAACATTTTTCCTTCTTTTTTATGGCATTTAGCTTTATTATTTTTGTGCTCTTAAAAAATACTTTACTTATTTAATAGTCTCCACCCTTTGGTAAAAAATCTAAAATTATGGAAAATTAGCAAAAATTCAAAAAACCGAATTTCTTAAAATTCAACATTTTTCCTTCTTTTTTATGGCATTTAGCTTCATTATTTTTGTGCTCTTCAAAAATACTTTACTTATTTAATAGTCTCAAACCTTTGGTAAAAAATCTAAAATTATGGAAAATTAGCAAAAATTCAAAAAACCGAATTTCTTAAAATTCAACATTTTTCCTTCTTTTTTATGGCATTTAGCTTCATTATTTTTGTGCTCTTTAAAAATACTTTACTTATTTAATAGTCTCCACCCTTTGGTAAAAAATCTAAAATTATGGAAAATTAGCAAAAATTCAAAAAACCGAATTTCTTAAAATTCAACATTTTTCCTTCTTTTTTATGGCATTTAGCTTCATTATTTTTGTGCTCTTAAAAAATACTTTACTTATTTAATAGTCTCCAACCTTTGGTAAAAAATCTAAAATTATGGAAAATTAGCAAAAATTCAAAAAACCGAATTTCTTAAAATTCAACATTTTTCCTTCTTTTTTATGGCATTTAGCTTCATTATTTTTGTGCTCTTTAAAAATACTTTACTTATTTAATAGTCTCCACCCTTTGGTAAAAAATCTAAAATTATGGAAAATTAGCAAAAATTCAAAAAACCGAATTTCTTAAAATTCAACATTTTTCCTTCTTTTTTATGGCATTTAGCTTCATTATTTTTGTGCTCTTAAAAAATACTTTACTTATTTAATAGTCTCCAACCTTTGGTAAAAAATCTAAAATTATGGAAAATTAGCAAAAATTCAAAAAACCGAATTTCTTAAAATTCAACATTTTTCCTTCTTTTTATGGCATTTAGCTTTATTATTTTTGTGCTCTTTAAAAATACTTTACTTATTTAATAGTCTCCACCCTTTAGTAAGAAATCTAAAATTATGGAAAATTAGCAAAAATTCAAAAAACCGAATTTCTTAAAATTCAACATTTTTCCTTCTTTTTCATGGCATTTAGCTTTATTATTTTTGTGCTCTTTAAAAATACTTTACTTATTTAATAGTCTCCACCCTTTGGTAAAAAATCTAAAATTATGGAAAATTAGCAAAAATTCAAAAAACCGAATTTCTTAAAATTCAACATTTTTCCTTCTTTTTTATGGCATTTAGCTTTATTATTTTTGTGCTCTTTAAAAATACTTTACTTATTTAATAGTCTCCACCCTTTAGTAAGAAATCTAAAATTATGGAAAATTAGCAAAAATTCAAAAAACCGAATTTCTTAAAATTCAACATTTTTCCTTCTTTTTTATGGCATTTAGCTTCATTATTTTTGTGCTCTTCAAAAATACTTTACTTATTTAATAGTCTCCACCCTTTGGTAAAAAATCTAAAATTATGGAAAATTAGCAATAATTCAAAAAACCGAATTTCTTAAAATTCAACATTTTTTTTTCTTTTTTATGGCATTTAGCTTTATTATTTTTGTGCTCTTAAAAAATACTTTACTTATTTAATAGTCTCAAACCTTTGGTAAAAAATCTAAAATTATGGAAAATTAGCAAAAATTCAAAAAACCGAATTTCTTAAAATTCAACATTTTTCCTTCTTTTTTATGGCATTTAGCTTCATTATTTTTGTGCTCTTTAAAAATACTTTACTTATTTAATAGTCTCCACCCTTTGGTAAAAAATCTAAAATTATGGAAAATTAGCAAAAATTCAAAAAACCGAATTTCTTAAAATTCAACATTTTTCCTTCTTTTTTATGGCATTTAGCTTCATTATTTTTGTGCTCTTCAAAAATACTTTACTTATTTAATAGTCTCAAACCTTTGGTAAAAAATCTAAAATTATGGAAAATTAGCAAAAATTCAAAAAACCGAATTTCTTAAAATTCAACATTTTTCCTTCTTTTTTATGGCATTTAGCTTCATTATTTTTGTGCTCTTTAAAAATACTTTACTTATTTAATAGTCTCCACCCTTTGGTAAAAAATCTAAAATTATGGAAAATTAGCAAAAATTCAAAAAACCGAATTTCTTAAAATTCAACATTTTTCCTTCTTTTTTATGGCATTTAGCTTCATTATTTTTGTGCTCTTAAAAAATACTTTACTTATTTAATAGTCTCCAACCTTTGGTAAAAAATCTAAAATTATGGAAAATTAGCAAAAATTCAAAAAACCGAATTTCTTAAAATTCAACATTTTTCCTTCTTTTTTATGGCATTTAGCTTCATTATTTTTGTGCTCTTTAAAAATACTTTACTTATTTAATAGTCTCCACCCTTTGGTAAAAAATCTAAAATTATGGAAAATTAGCAAAAATTCAAAAAACCGAATTTCTTAAAATTCAACATTTTTCCTTCTTTTTTATGGCATTTAGCTTCATTATTTTTGTGCTCTTAAAAAATACTTTACTTATTTAATAGTCTCCAACCTTTGGTAAAAAATCTAAAATTATGGAAAATTAGCAAAAATTCAAAAAACCGAATTTCTTAAAATTCAACATTTTTCCTTCTTTTTTATGGCATTTAGCTTTATTATTTTTGTGCTCTTTAAAAATACTTTACTTATTTAATAGTCTCCACCCTTTAGTAAGAAATCTAAAATTATGGAAAATTAGCAAAAATTCAAAAAACCGAATTTCTTAAAATTCAACATTTTTCCTTCTTTTTCATGGCATTTAGCTTTATTATTTTTGTGCTCTTTAAAAATACTTTACTTATTTAATAGTCTCCACCCTTTGGTAAAAAATCTAAAATTATGGAAAATTAGCAAAAATTCAAAAAACCGAATTTCTTAAAATTCAACATTTTTCCTTCTTTTTTATGGCATTTAGCTTTATTATTTTTGTGCTCTTTAAAAATACTTTACTTATTTAATAGTCTCCACCCTTTAGTAAGAAATCTAAAATTATGGAAAATTAGCAAAAATTCAAAAAACCGAATTTCTTAAAATTCAACATTTTTCCTTCTTTTTTATGGCATTTAGCTTCATTATTTTTGTGCTCTTCAAAAATACTTTACTTATTTAATAGTCTCCACCCTTTGGTAAAAAATCTAAAATTATGGAAAATTAGCAATAATTCAAAAAACCGAATTTCTTAAAATTCAACATTTTTTTTTCTTTTTTATGGCATTTAGCTTTATTATTTTTGTGCTCTTAAAAAATACTTTACTTATTTAATAGTCTCAAACCTTTGGTAAAAAATCTAAAATTATGGAAAATTAGCAAAAATTCAAAAAACCGAATTTCTTAAAATTCAACATTTTTCCTTCTTTTTTATGGCATTTAGCTTCATTATTTTTGTGCTCTTTAAAAATACTTTACTTATTTAATAGTCTCCACCCTTTGGTAAAAAATCTAAAATTATGGAAAATTAGCAAAAATTCAAAAAACCGAATTTCTTAAAATTCAACATTTTTCCTTCTTTTTTATGGCATTTAGCTTCATTATTTTTGTGCTCTTAAAAAATACTTTACTTATTTAATAGTCTCCAACCTTTGGTAAAAAATCTAAAATTATGGAAAATTAGCAAAAATTCAAAAAACCGAATTTCTTAAAATTCAACATTTTTCCTTCTTTTTTATGGCATTTAGCTTCATTATTTTTGTGCTCTTTAAAAATACTTTACTTATTTAATAGTCTCCACCCTTTGGTAAAAAATCTAAAATTATGGAAAATTAGCAAAAATTCAAAAAACCGAATTTCTTAAAATTCAACATTTTTCCTTCTTTTTTATGGCATTTAGCTTCATTATTTTTGTGCTCTTAAAAAATACTTTACTTATTTAATAGTCTCCAACCTTTGGTAAAAAATCTAAAATTATGGAAAATTAGCAAAAATTCAAAAAATCGAATTTCTTAAAATTCAACATTTTTCCTTCTTTTTTATGGCATTTAGCTTCATTATTTTTGTGCTCTTCAAAAATACTTTACTTATTTAATAGTCTCCACCCTTTGGTAAAAAATCTAAAATTATGGAAAATTAGCAAAAATTCAAAAAACTGAATTTCTTAAAATTCAACATTTTTCCTTCTTTTTTATGGCATTTAGCTTCATTATTTTTGTGCTCTTCAAAAATACTTTACTTATTTAATAGTCTCCACCCTTTGGTAAAAAATCTAAAATTGTGGAAAATTAGCAAAAATTCAAAAAACCGAATTTCTTAAAATTCAATATTTTTCCTTCTTTTTTATGGCATTTAGCTTCATTATTTTTGTGCTCTTTAAAAAATACTTTACTTATTTAATAGTCTCCACCCTTTGGTAAAAAATCTAAAATTATGGAAAATTAGCAAAAATTCAAAAAACCGAATTTCTTAAAATTCAACATTTTTCCTTCTTTTTTATGGCATTTAGCTTCATTATTTTTGTGCTCTTCAAAAATACTTTACTTATTTAATAGTCTCCAACCTTTGGTAAAAAATCTAAAATTATGGAAAATTAGCAAAAATTCAAAAAACCGAATTTCTTAAAATTCAACATTTTTCCTTCTTTTTTATGGCATTTAGCTTTATTATTTTTGTGCTCTTTAAAAATACTTTACTTATTTAATAGTCTCCACCCTTTGGTAAAAAATCTAAAATTATGGAAAATTAGCAAAAATTCAAAAAATCGAATTTCTTAAAATTCAACATTTTTACTTCTTTTTTATAGCAATTAGCTTCATTATTTTTGTGCTCTTAAAAAACACTTTACTTATTTAATAGTCTCAAACCTTTGGTAAAAAATCTAAAATTATGGAAAATTAGCAAAAATTCAAAAAACCGAATTTCTTAAAATTCAACATTTTTCCTTCTTTTTTATGGCATTTAGCTTCATTATTTTTGTGCTCTTAAAAAATACTTTACTTATTTAATAGTCTCCACCCTTTGGTAAAAAATCTAAAATTATGGAAAATTAGCAAAAATTCAAAAAACCGAATTTCTTAAAATTCAACATTTTTCCTTCTCTTTTATGGCATTTAGCTTCATTATTTTTGTGCTTTTAAAAAATACTTTACTTATTTAATAGTCTCCACCCTTTGGTAAAAAATCTAAAATTATGGAAAATTAGCAAAAATTCAAAAAACCGAATTTCTTAAAATTCAACATTTTTCCTTCTTTTTTATGGCATTTAGCTTCATTATTTTTGTGCTCTTAAAAAATACTTTACTTATTTAATAGTCTCCAACCTTTGGTAAAAAATCTAAAATTATGGAAAATTAGCAAAAATTCAAAAAATCGAATTTCTTAAAATTCAACATTTTTCCTTCTTTTTTATGGCATTTAGCTTCATTATTTTTGTGCTCTTCAAAAATACTTTACTTATTTAATAGTCTCCACCCTTTGGTAAAAAATCTAAAATTATGGAAAATTAGCAAAAATTCAAAAAACTGAATTTCTTAAAATTCAACATTTTTCCTTCTTTTTTATGGCATTTAGCTTCATTATTTTTGTGCTCTTCAAAAATACTTTACTTATTTAATAGTCTCCACCCTTTGGTAAAAAATCTAAAATTGTGGAAAATTAGCAAAAATTCAAAAAACCGAATTTCTTAAAATTCAATATTTTTCCTTCTTTTTTATGGCATTTAGCTTCATTATTTTTGTGCTCTTTAAAAAATACTTTACTTATTTAATAGTCTCCACCCTTTGGTAAAAAATCTAAAATTATGGAAAATTAGCAAAAATTCAAAAAACCGAATTTTTTAAAATTCAACATTTTTCCTTCTTTTTTATGGCATTTAGCTTCATTATTTTTGTGCTCTTCAAAAATACTTTACTTATTTAATAGTCTCCAACCTTTGGTAAAAAATCTAAAATTATGGAAAATTAGCAAAAATTCAAAAAACCGAATTTCTTAAAATTCAACATTTTTCCTTCTTTTTTATGGCATTTAGCTTCATTATTTTTGTGCTCTTCAAAAATACTTTACTTATTTAATAGTCTCCAACCTTTGGTAAAAAATCTAAAATTATGGAAAATTAGCAAAAATTCAAAAAACCGAATTTCTTAAAATTCAACATTTTTCCTTCTTTTTTATGGCATTTAGCTTTATTATTTTTGTGCTCTTTAAAAATACTTTACTTATTTAATAGTCTCCACCCTTTGGTAAAAAATCTAAAATTATGGAAAATTAGCAAAAATTCAAAAAATCGAATTTCTTAAAATTCAACATTTTTACTTCTTTTTTATAGCAATTAGCTTCATTATTTTTGTGCTCTTAAAAAACACTTTACTTATTTAATAGTCTCCACCCTTTGGCAAAAAATCTAAAATTATGGAAAATTAGCAAAAATTCAAAAAACCGAATTTCTTAAAATTCAACATTTTTCCTTCTTTTTTATGGCATTTAGCTTCATTATTTTTGTGCTCTTCAAAAATACTTTACTTATTTAATAGTCTCCACCCTTTGGTAAAAAATCTAAAATTATGGAAAATTAGCAAAAATTCAAAAAACCGAATTTCTTAAAATTCAACATTTTTACTTCTTTTTTATAGCAATTAGCTTCATTATTTTTGTGCTCTTAAAAAACACTTTACTTATTTAATAGTCTCCACCCTTTGGTAAAAAATCTAAAATTATGGAAAATTAGCAAAAATTCAAAAAACCGAATTTCTTAAAATTTAACATTTTTCTTCTTTTTTATGGCAATTAGCTTCATTATTTTTGTGCTTTTTAAAAACACTTTACTTATTTAATGAAGTTTTTTTATCTTTGAAGTTTAAAAAGATATCGGTTTTTACAGTTTTCGGACAGTTTTTTGGCAGAATTTTTTTTCTGTCAAAGTTTCTAATTATGTTTTTTGTATTTTATATAATTATATAAAGAAATTTGCTGTAGATTCCTTTAACTGACGATTTTTTATATTTGGATGTTGACAGAGTAACAACACATATGGAATATCATAATCGAGAACCTTGCAAGGAGCCTTACTGAGACTTATTTTTGCTACCAAAGGAATTTTCACTGACAACGTGAGGTTTATTACATTGCGACGCTGGAACTCCGCAATCAGGGTTAGTGATATTTTATTTAGCAAAGTGTGATCAGAAAATCATCGTAGGATAAATAAATTAATAATATATTTCATAAACAATTTATTTTTATTTTTTTTTTGTATAAAATTTTACCACAGGTGGCTAACATATGAGCCAGCTTACAATAAAAGTAATAATATCTGCATCTAAAATGAAGTTTGAAAACTACATTTAAAAGAGTATCTAAAACATTTTGAAAATCTAATTTGACAAGAACGAAGTTTAAAAAAACTGGAATTCAATTTATATTATAAATTGAAACAACAAATGCTAAAATACATTCTTAACCTCAAATATCGAGATTCATAAAAAAAATATTAAAAGATCATTTTAACTATCTCGTTAACTTTGTGTCATAAAATTTGGTCCCATTTTAAAATTTGATTTCTGTATTTAAAAATATAAAATTTCACTTATTGCACATGAGACATGAAAGATAAAAAAAATTGTAAAAAACATTTTAAACTCGCCAATTTTTTTTTACTAAGAATTCCAAAACGAATTCAGTGTCACTATAATTTTTCAATTATTAATTGAAATAAAACACTTGACGGTTTAATTTTGAAAGTTGTTTTGTAAAATTGTTTGGACCTTTTTTTAAAATTGTATAATTATAAATTAAAAATTGATAAAAGTTCAGATCCAAACCCATTTTGGGGAGACACTATCGAATTTAAAAATATTTGGTTGTCCAACGTGAGAAATATTTGGAAATGAATTAGACCAATTAAAGGCCTGATTAGAATTTAGAAAGGCGGGTCCTGATGTCGCTTCGAATGCATCAAGACCATCGAAATCGGATAAGAAAATTTTTGAATCAATTACACCCACTGGTCTCGATGGTGTATCAAGATCGCCTCTATATGAAATTAATTGTTGCTGCTCGAGATTCCAGTTACATTTTAAATCTTCGTTTTCGTTTGTAATTAAATCAACCTCGTGTCTACATCCTCGCATGAAACTTCTCACATCTTCAACAGTTGTCATATTTTTTTCAAATTTCTCCACCTGTAAAATTTTTTAAATCACACTTTGTTTATTTAATAACATTATAAATATGCCCAATCTAATGCATGTTAGTAGTTAAGGAAGGGTTAATTTTTAGAAGACAAATCGTAATTTGGTCTGAGTTACTATGAAAACACGACCAGAAGAAAGGAGCAGTAAAAATGGATCAAGAAAAATTACCTCAGCGGCACGTAAAACGGCTTCTTCTAATTGAAAATTTGCATAATCTTTTATCTCTTGTATTATTGGTACACCAGTGCAAACTAAAAATCCTGTTTCCATAAATTTTTTTGTATAGTCAATTGATTCAGTGATACCGGGAATTTGTTCAAATAATCTGACATTATTTTTTTCTGGCTCAAATATTACCCATTGACGATTAGCTGTACCACTGTTTTTTAGTGTCATGATATTTGACCAATTGTCACTGTTTGTTGAGAGAAAATTAGCTGCCATTATTGTTGCTGGTGACATAACCTAAATTAACAAAAAAAATTGTTCATCTCAAAATTTATTGTCACTTTTAATTAATTCACGGAAAATATTTTTTAAAATTCAGAATACTAAGTTCCCCTTTATAACCCAACGGTGAATAAAGTGTCTATTATTGCCCTAGGGCAATAAAGTACTTTAATGGCCTATTTTTTTAAATTTATAATACTAAGTTCCCCCTTATAATACAGCTGGTCAATAAAGTGCCCATTATTGTCCAAGGCCAATAAAGTACTTCATTGATCGCTCGGAGGTCAATAAAGTACTTATTATTACCCTAGGGCAATAATGGACAGTTTATTGACCAGCTGTGTTATATGGAGAAGCATTTTTTTTAATTGTAACGAAAGTTACTTAAATATTTCAAACCTACGTGTTCTTTTGTACTAAGACGATTCCATAATTTATGATTGCTAATTGTTAATGGCGTTCCAGCTACTATTAATTCCCTCTCCTTTCCACTGACAAAATAACTTTCGTCTTGCGATGACAGTGCACCCGGATAAGATGTCATTACGACCGAACGTCCTGGGACTAATTCCGCACCTTTTTTTGATGACACGTGATAAGCGAATTTATATCGTTTGATTAGCCTCAGCATTTTTGTATAACTGTTTCAAAAAAAGATAATGATATTAATTTTTTATTTTATAAATATTTTCTGCTCTTAAAGTTTCATTATTTATATTTTTTATTCTATTATTTTATTTCTATATTGAACTGTTTTCCTGTATTAAAACACCAGGACCAGTATTACCAACATTAGAATTAAACAAACTTTTAAATTATTTCCTTTAAATTCTTGTGCGGCATGTAAAGTAAACAATTATTCAGTTAGTAAATAGTAATTTCTTTTGACCATATTTTAATAAATTAAAAATACTTACGGTGCGCCAGTATTGTGTACCAATGCAATGAGTGGCTCAAAATGTTCGCGTTGCAATGCTTTCAAAAAAATCATTCCATGTGAACCAGATAAATTTTCAGATCCATTATGAGCCCTCTCTAAATCCGGTAAATCAGAAGCCATTGCCATCCAGAGAAAATCCTCTGACACTATTTCCACTGATTGATGAATTTTATTAACAGCCAATTTAAAACCAACTTCCAAGCCTTTCAATTGGCGATAGAATAAATTTACCTGAAAAATTAATTTCCTCTTGTTAATTTATTCTAAATAATTGCTCATTGATACTAGGAAATTGATTGTTTTATCGAAACAAGTAAATCGAGTTTTTATTAATAGAAATTTTCGAAATTTCATCATTTTGTTTTTGTACACTATGAGTAGGGGATAAAAAAAATATAAATCGTTTTATTTACCAGATGCCAATATGGATCTTCATCTTTTAAAAGTTGAGCATTTTCAACCGCTTTTTCGCTGTTTTCGCGCAGATATTTGCGCATTTTCATACAAAGCGCAGATCTTGGTGCGCAAGCCGCTCGCACAGTATTAAACCAATGTTGATAGATTAATTGCCACGTTAAGCTTCCCTCTAAACAACCTGCTGCATAAGCTTGAACTTCGTCTGGATAATCTTTCGATGTTTCTATTTCCAAAATGGACCACCTTGAAAAAAATTATTAATTTTAGAAAAATATAATTAAGTTCTTGACTGCAGTCAAATATTATTTAAATAATTACTCATATTTCAATTATTTAATTAACATTATTAATTTTTTCAGTTAATAATTAATTATTTCATTAAAATTGATAATTGTTTAACTAAAATTATTAATAAATTTTTTAACCGTAATTAGAACTCGATTATTTAAGTAAAATCAATATTTTAATTACGTAATTAAAAGTAGAAAATGATTAAATATTCGATTCACATCAACTATCTATTCAATTAGATTTAATTAAAATGAATCAATCAATTAATTGTTAATTATATTTACTTATTTAAAAATTAAAGATTTAAAATTAATTAATAATTAACTATTTATTTGCAGTTGGTAATTAAATAATTATTAACTATTCAATTATAGTTTATTAATAATTTATTATTCAATTGAAGTTAATCTGCAATTTAATGTCTGTAAAATTAATTGAAATCCAAACATAATTAAATGCTTTTTTTTACCCGTTTTCCGGTATTGCAGATTTGTAATAAGCCCTAGCAGCACCCATTGGTATTGTTGATAAATCATTCCCTTGTCCCCAGAATTCAAATTGGTGAACGTTCTGTCTCCAAAAAGCAGTAGCCGCGTACGTTCCATCGTGTTCAACACTATTTTAAACCATTTATTACAATTAGTTTTAAAACCTAATAAGACAATTGACATTAATTTAAAAATATACAATAGTTAATTTAAATATTTTTTAACGAAGGTTAAAATATAAATAAATATACTATAATTAATTAAATATAATTATATTTAATATGTTAAATGAGATACTTTAATGCTAACTAAATGGATAAATTAAAAATACTAAACCAACACCGATTAAAAGTTAATCAATGATTAAATCCTTAACCGACCAATCATGAGCAGTTAAAATTGACATTAATCATTGATTTACTTTTAATCGAAGTTGGTGAAACTGGCCCTTAGTGATATATAAATGATTTTCTGAAAAAAAGATATACTTTTTATTTATAAATTTTAGATCAGTTATTTATACAAATGATTTAAAAAAAAATGCTTTACTTAATTATAGTTTGGAATTAAAGAATATGTCATATTCAATTACACAAAGAAAGTGTGAACACAATTTTAATCAAACCATATAAACTATATTATTTTATATGACAAGGCGGCACGTGGTAGAAATTTACAGCCTTATCAATCAGACTAATCATGTCTCGTCGAGACGAACTTAAATCATATAAACTTATCATGCAGTATTCTGATTCCAAACTGTCCCTAACCTCGGTCATCAACCCAATATAATTTTTCCATAATTATCTCCACACTTTTCCATATAACTAAATTAATATTTAAAAAATTTTTTAAATCTTCTCGACAAGTACAGAATTTACCTATTTTATATTAGAATAGTCTTAAATAGAAAATTCCCCTGAAAATATTCAGGAATAATTTTTTAAAAATTTATTATTTGTCGTAAGTGATATTGAAATAAAATTAAAAGTTTAAAAAATGGAAGGTAGAAATTAACCACGACGGGATTTGAACGCTGTTAGTATTACCGAATAGTAGGGCGAACCTTTAGACTTATTGTCTTTGTTGGTACTAAAACAGCAATTTGTCTATATACGAAAGTAAAACAAAATTTTGATCAAAAGAGACGAAAAAAAAAAAAAAAAAAAATTCTTTTTCGATTCTTTTTGTATGAAACTCCCAACATTTGTATGTAAAAGAATAAAATTAGTAATTTGAAAAAAAGAGAAAAAATTAACAGACGGTAAAGAGATAAGAGGGCCAATATCATTTTCTTTCGGCAAGACGATACTTTTGGGAACGTGAAACTGCAAGATGGGCGGTCTTGACTGTCTGGGTAATATGAAACCATTATAATCTCTCTCTATACACGTGCCATGTTTATTAAACATTCTTGTATAAATCTCTTTAAACAGGTCTAAAATGAATAATTAGAAAATTTTTGTTATACATCACAATCAAAAGTTGAGCTATAGTAAAAAATTTTGAAATTATAGAATTTTTTAATTTTATTTTTAAAAGGACATTTTTTTTTTTTTTGAAATACATAAAACTTACTGTCCAAATTCGCCGAAAATAATGGCACCGATGCCCAAAATGGCAACGCCAATGAGAAGATAGGTGGAGATGCGGGTCTGCAGCCACGAGGCGCCTACGACCTTTAGCATGGCTCATCGGTAAGCTATACACCTTGGTTTCCAAAAAGAAAGACACTTTCGCGTTCTCAACCCATCGATTACAGGCACCCTACACTCAGTCTGCGGCCTCTTCTGACCAGAAGTGCCCTCTCACACAGTAGTCTTACGTTCTCTGAAAAAGAAAGAAAGAAAAATTAAATTTTTTAGTAGAATTTTATCTGAAAAAATATTTATTCTATAGGTAGTTAGCAAGAAAGTGCAGAGCGGCGCTCGTGATCGTCTTTCTCGCAAGCTGTAAATTAAATCGCAGGCTTCGCACTTATCTACTAAAACCTATTATTTAATACTTTCTTTTGTTATATTACTATTTGGTTATTTTTTTAGATTCTTTTTAAATCTCTTTAAATCTTTAAATAGAAATCATTCTACAGGCGCTAAATATTTTTTCTCCCGCAAGTGGTAAAACAAAAGGAATAAAAATTCGATTCTTCACAAAAAATTTCACTATAAAGATGTCGCTTTTTAGTAATTTCTCCCGCAAGCAGTGATTTAAAATTCTAAAAATATTTGTATTACAATAAAATATTTTTAAAATAACTCTTTAGCTTTTTTAAATAATTTTTTTCAATTTTATATTTTAATAATAAAAAATAATTTTTCTTGTTCATTAAAAACGTGGAATAGAATTCACTTGGTGTGAATTATTGTTTGATTAGACAAAATTGATCGTTTGTTGATTCGTCTGGATTTTTTCCTCAATTCACGTCACATTTCGCAGGCTCGTGAAAATTGATCCTCAATCTGCTTACACTTAATAACCAACATATACATATGTATATAAAGACGAGACGACTCTAAATCGGTACACTTAGAAATTCTGCAAAGTTATTTATTTTTTTTCTCTTTCTTCAAATTCTACAGATACAAAAATCTTTTAAAAAAAACTTTTTTTCAAGTTAAGCAAAATAAAAAATTAATACATTTAAAGTAGAAAATTTGATTTAGAGATAAAAAATTAATTATCAAAAAAATTTGTTAAGAATAAATTAACTATTTGAACATAAAAAGTTATTTAGTATAAAAAAATTTTATGGTTATAAAAGTAATTTTTTTTTGATAAACAATAATTGTTATGTAAAAAATTGTTTATTAGTAAAAAACATTTTTATTATTGACTATAATTATTTTTTACTAAAAGGAAATTTTTAAATAAATGAAATAATTTTTTTTTAAGTCAAAAACTTAGATGAAAAATATTTTTTCATATGTGAGTGAACATTTTTACATTATCCAAGATAATTATACGTCCCTGTATGTTTACATAGTTTTTCCAGTTGTTTAGGTTTTTTTTAAAGTAGCAAAAATTTTTTTAATCATCTTTTCTCTTGTTAATAAACGACGTATAGATAATTGAAATTTCAAGGTGAAGACTGTATAAAGAATAAAACGAGGTGATACGTATGAATATTACGCGCGACAGACTGGCGTCTAAAGTAAACTAGTCTAGATTTATTAGCCAATGAGCAAACTCTAATTATTTTGAAAAATTATCACTTATATTAATATTGTCTTTATTTTCTTCTTCTTCTTCTCTCTCTCTTTCTTTTTGTTCAATTTATGATGCAATCTAAGTGTACGTTTACTGCCAATTATTATATAATTGATACACGATGAGTAAAAAAATAAAATGGAAGAATAAATATACTATAATCGATTGCAAGTGATTTTTTTTCAATTCAAATTCAATTTTTTTCAATAAAAAATGTGCCAACAATGTGAGAAGAAGGGAAGTGACGCGCGCTATCCCCACTCTTTTATTAGGAGCGTAAAAATTGAGGGTTTCCAAATTATTTTGGGTGAGAAAAATAATTTTTTTTTTCATACTTGCGATTAATAAATTATTATTTTTTAATTAAATTATCAAATTATTACAATATTACACTAATATTAAAATTATTTTATTTTGTATTAATATATTATTATAATTATAATATTATTTATATTATATCTAAAAATATAAACTTAATAAAAAACATAGTAAATAGTTAAAAAATAAATTATTTCAACTAAAACATTATTTAAAATTAAATTTTTAAAAATTGACAAATTAAAAACTATCATTAAAAGAAAGAGTATAAAAGTTTTAAAACTCTAGGAAATTATTTTTTTAAAATGTAATTTATTCTTATTTATCCCATCTCTTTTTTTACACTTGTGCCAAATTATATAGAAAATATTTTTTTTTCTTTTTTATTAATAGAATTTTATACAAAGAAACGGTTCTTTGCTTAAAAGATTTGTTTCTTCAAGGTCTTGAATAATGAAAAAACAATTGTATTTTACTTTTTGTGTGACATAAGAATAAACGAATAATAAATTAATTTACAAATTCAAAAAATTTTGGTAGAAAATAGAATTTATGCTGAAAAAATTTTCTTTTAGTAGTTAATATTATTATTTATATACTTATAAACTTATTATTAATATTATTTTTATTATTATTATTATTATTATTATTATTAATATTATTTTTATTATTTCTTATATAATTAAATTCTGATGAAAAATGAGGTCTTGGATTTTTTAAATAAATTTATTATCTTTGTTACTGCTGCAGTTATATTCAAAATAAGTAAAAATTATTTCCTTTCAATATAAACAGACAAAAATATCAAACAAATAATATAAATTATAATTGTTATCAAATAATTCTTTTAATTAAATAAAGATAAAAAAAAAAGTATTAGAAATAGTTGATAAATATTTATACTTCTTTGAAAAAAACATTTCTGAAGAAAAAATATACATATTTAGTAAATTTATAAGAAGAATTATTATTATTAATATGACTCACAAGAATTTTATTTGTAATATATTGGAAAATCCGTTCTTTTTGATGCGATTTTTTCGCGTGTCACTGTACTTTGAGATTGTTTCATCGCCGTTGGAAAGACGGATACTGAGCCAAATAATTGTCAATATTGACAATATATAGCTGTATATTAGCGATAAAAGTGTTATACTTGCGTTTAGATAGAAAGTGACGTCAATAATAACGTTTCTTAGGACATTTTTCTTTGAGAGCAAGAAGGGGGAGGGGGAAGGGGGAGAAGATTGCAGCAACTTTGCACGTCAACTTAAAAAATAAACAATATAATTTATATATTTTTAAGTTTAATGTATTTTATATTTTTACAATTTATTTAATAGACAATATTTTATAAAAACAAATGAAATTTATTATACTATTAACACATTTTTTCTAAGGATATCAAATTGAGACAAAAAACGAATCAAAAGGGTTGCGAAGCAACGTTTTGATTCGTTTTTTGTCTCAATTTGATATCCTTAAAAAAACTGAATTTATAAATTAATACTATAATTACAATACCAATTATTACTTTTATTTTTTATCATTACTTTTAATATTTTTTGTTAGCATTATTATTATTTTATTTACCATATTTTTTTAACTGTATTATTTTTTATTAATTTTAATATTCAGTTACAAAAATAACAAAAATAAAACGTTTTTTTAAATAAATTTTTTAAACGCTTTTAAAAACGTTTTTATTATTATTATTACTATTATTGTCAAAAATATAAATAACAGTGTAGTGAATCGCCATATTTTTTGGCAAAAGTGCAAATAAGATTACACATTATTTTAACTATAAATGACACAAATTCTAAAAATAAATTGTTAACTTGTACGTATATAATAATTCCTGGTAATTTAAACTTACATATCAATTTATATTACATGGAAGATATGAATCAATTTTGTTGACACTTTATCTCAGATAACTATGTTTTTTCAATGGTCATTGTGTTTGCAAAATTAGAAAAATTAGAACATTTCTTTATTACAATATGCGTCTTTGTGTGCGTGATGTGTTTATTTCTTTTCGCGATATGATGCAATTTTTATTTTAATATTTTATATTATTATTTTATTTATTTTATAAATATTTTTTTAGGAAAAGTATATAATTAACCCCAATTACTGCCGAGAAGTACGTTTCATTTAAATAATAAATTTTAAGAAATATGATTCTATTAGAATTTTTTTAGATTTCAGACACTAAAATAAGATATGTACTATTTCTGTTTTTTTGAGAATTTTTACTACTTTAAATTCGCTAATACTAGAAATCAAAAAACTATTCTCAAAAATTGTAATAAAATTTTTTAAAACGATTCAATTATTTTCAAAAAATATTCGAAATTCAATTATTATCAATATCGAACATTTTAATAAAATTTCGCAAAAGAAATCAATTATTTAAACAAAAAATTAATAAAATTGATTCAAAATTCAATTATTTTCATAAAAAATAACATTTCAACAGGAATTGAATTTATTTAGAATTGCATTTTCAAAAAAATTTCCGAAAAATCCAATTATTTAACAAAATTTTTATACAATTCTTTACAATAATTCAATTACTTTCACTAATATAGTAACATTTTACATGTAAATTAAATTTTTTAAGAAAATTATTGAAAAAATTCTAAGCAAGAATTTAATTATTTTCATAAATAATAAAACTCATCGAAGAATTTCAATTATTTTAAATACTATTTTTAATTAATTAATCAAAAAATTCAATATTTAAAAATAACGTTTTTCACAAAAATTCAATTATTTAAAATAAAATTTTCATAATATTTATTATATTTCGAAAAAATTAATTATTTAAAACAATGTTTATAAAATTCTTATGAAGAATTCAATTATATTTTCAAAAATAACCAAAATTTTCAAAGAAATTCAATTCTTTTTAAATATTTTAGTAAAATGTTTCGCAAGAATTCAAATATGTTTATAAGTAATAAAATTCTTCTCAGGAATTCAATTATTTTTATAAATTTTAATAAAAATCATTGCAAAATTTCAATTATTTTCAAAAATTTTTCTCACTTTAATGGTTTTCAATATTCTACTATTTTAATAAAATTTCCCAAAAGAATTCAATTATTAAAAAAAAATTTTTATAAAATTCTACACAAACATTCAATTATTTTAAAAAATGAGAAAATTTTCCACAGAAATTCAATTCTTTTTAAACATTTTAATAAAATGTTTCGCAATAATTCAATTATTTTCATAAATAATAATATTCTTCTCAGGAATTCAATTATTTTTAAAATTTTAATAAAATTCTTTGCAACTATTCAATTATTTTCATAAATAATTAAATTCATCGCAGAATTTCAATTATTTTTAATACAATTTTACTGGCTAAAAAAATGTAATTATTCTTAAAAATTTAATTTCAATTCCTCGAAAAAATCAATTATTTTCAAGTATTTTAATAAAATTGTTTAAAAGAAATCAATTATTTAAAATACAATTAATTTACATACAATTAAATATTAAATAATTAAATTGTTCTCTTAGATTTTAATAAAATTCTTCCCAAGAATTCAATTATTTACATAAATAATTCTTGGAAAGAATTCAATTATGTCAAGAAATAACAAAATTGTACCCGAAAATTTAATTATTTTGTTTAATAATTATTTTGAAATAAAAAGATCTAAATATTTAATAATATTAATATTATTATACTATTTTAATAATAATATTAATAATAATAATAATAATTTGTAAATAATATAAAAAATATTAGTTTTCTTAAAGAGTTTTCTTTTTTTTAGTTTTGATTTTTTATTTGATTTTGATTTTTTTTATTAAAATAATAGATCACTTTCCCATTATAAAATAAATATTTACATGAATCAAATAATATTTTATTTAAATCAAATAAAAACTATTGAAATCAACTTTCTATACAATATGCATTGTATGTGTACACGAGCGGATGAAAAGAATGCGTCAAAAATGATAAGTTTTCAGTGCGTCAGAAAATCTATGAACACATCATAAAAACGTGAATAAATTTAAAAAAAACTGTTAAATAATTACAGTAAATTTTACCATATTTTTATGCGATATTTATAAATAAACATTTATATTGTTTACTGAATATAATAAATTTTATTATAATGAAATATATTATGTACAATGTATTAATATATTTATTTATATTTACAATATAAACTATTAAAAATTGTATTAAAATAATTAATTATTTATATTTTTTATATAAATATATATTTATATAGTTTATTGTGTATAATAAATTTTATTATAATGAAATATGTTATGTACAATACATTAATATATTTACATTTACAATATAAATTATTAAAAGTTATATTAAAATAATTAATTATTTATATTATATTTTTATAACAATTTAAAATCTTAATGTTTATTGCAATTAGTACACAAATTAGAAAAAATGAAACTCAAAATTCAATATATTATATATTTGTATTTACAATATAAATTATTAAAAATTATATAAAAATAATTTATTATTTATATTATATTTTTTGTATAATAATTTTAAATATTGTTTATTACAATTAGTAATAAATTACACAAATATAAAAGAAATGAAACTCAAAATTCAAAAATTAAGAAAGGGTCATTTTTCTAAAATCATTGTCCTGTGAAAATTTTTTTTCAAATATGGCGGTTGACGGTACATGTGGAAAGTGTGTGATATAGCGGGCTATACGGAAATTTACTTATATTTAATATTATAAAGCTGTCAGAATATTAACATTTCATGTGGTATATTAATTGCACGTGGTTTTATTTTTAAATTACTAACCTGAAATACAATCACTTGCACACTTTTCACAGTGCTCGAAAATTGATTCTTCATCGATATTTAAGAGATTACATTCCTTATTGCTTTTTTTTTGGTTATTTTCCCCTGGTTTTTTGGTCGCAAAACTTTTATCAACGACAAGCACTTGGACCAGTTACTCCGACACTGAAGTCCAAAGCGTTTCGAATTGCCTTATTCCTTATGCCCCACACCACAGTCACTGAAAATAATGTGTTACCAAGCACATACATACACACAGACACACACACATTTGAATCAACAGACACATTTACCCCCACCATTTTTTCTGCCACGTTGCTTTAATATATTCCTTTTTTCCCCCACTCTTCTTTGAATATATTTTCACTTTAACGCTTATCCCACTCTCCCCTCCCCCACCTCTTTTACTCTTCTTTCAAATCTCGACATTTTTTTTTGTGAATTGTTTTTTCGGAGACAGAAATTCCCCCCTCTCTCTTTTTTCGTCTGTGACCCTCCCCCACCCAAAAAAAAAAATAATATTAATTTTTCGCTTTTGAAAAAATATAAATTTGGAAAATAAAATCTTAAAAACTGTCTAGAATATTAATTTAGAAATTTTATTATTTATTAATAGTTATTTTATTGCTATTAAATTTAAAAAATAATTTTATTAATATCCAATTTTTTATAATTTTTTAATTTTAAATTATTTTCATACAACGGAAAAAATTTTATCTGGAACAGCGATAAGTTTCTCTAAAATGGCGAAAGTCTTAACTAAAACAAATTAAAAATTTGACTAATCTAGTGAAATTTATAGCTGTTCCAAATGAATTTTTTTCTGTGTTTATTATTATTGTACTTATTTTTTTTTTTTAAATTTTTTATTGTAGTTTTTCTTGCTTTTTATGCCGATTATGAAGAATATTTCAAAGTTTTCGTATATCCTTTTTTTTATTTTTTTTTTATTTTAATGAGAAAATTTTTACTACACGTGGCGTGAAATAAAAAAATATTGCACACTATACATATTTTTCATGGCACGTGCGTTTAATACACATATAGTGATTAAGTTATCTTTTTATGTAAGTTTAAGAAAAAAATGCATGACGTACAAAAAAGGATAGGCAAATTTTTTCTTTTTTGAAAAAAACGTCTTACATGGTTAGAGAACATGTTCTTTTACTTAAAAATTATTAGAAATATTTAAAGCACTCCCAAGAAAGGTACCTAAGAAGTAAACAAATTTTAGGTTATGTTTGTGTTGGATTTATCTTGATTAAAAATTCCTTTATAATTATTTAAATTTGAAATAAATTTTTATTGAATATTTCGGATGCAATGAAGATTTGAACATCAAAAATTTGTAATAGTAATTGATTCTTTTTCTGTATATTATTCTAAAAATTAGAAACATAACCTATAAAGGGTTGCCGCAAAAATTTAAGTTTGTTATTCCTTGACTTTTCCCTGATTTTCAGACAAAATTTTGACTTTTTCCCTGACCCTAAAGAATATTCTGATTCACTCTAAAAATTATTAGATACCCAAAAAAATGTTCTATATTAAGTTAATCTATTTACGAATTTTTTAAATTATTCGAAAATATCAAGAACTTAATTTTTAAATAAATATTCAAGTATTATTATTTTTCCCTAAGAATTAAGATTTTCAAAAATTCAATTATTTAAATAAAAACATGAATAATTTATTGAATAATTGAATGTTTCTTAAAATTTAATTCTTATACATAATTTTATCAACAAATTTTTAAGTAATTGAATTCTTTAGGCGAATTTTAATAAAATTTTTAAGAATATTACAATTTTCGAGAAATTTGATTAAAATTGTAGTAAAAATAATTGAAATTCTGAAATGAGTTTTATTATTTATGAATTTAATTAAAGAATAAAATAAAATAAAATATATAAAGTATATAAATAATATAAAATTAAAAAATTTACTAACAATGGACTTTTTTCGAAAAAATTTATTGTAATTCTATTTTTAATAATTGAATTCCTGTGAAATTTTTATTATTTTAGAGAATAATTGAATATTCGTGTAGAATTTTATCAAAATTTCTATTTAATAATTAGTTTTTTTGGGAAATTTTATTAAAATAGGATAAAAAATTGAAAATCATTGAATTTAGAAAAATTTTTGAAAATAATTGAAATTTTGCCATGACTTTTATTAAAATTCTTGAAAATAATAATTGAATTCTTGTGATGAATACTATTATTGTTTATGAAAATAATTGAATTTTGCAATGAATTTTATAAAAATTCCTCAAAAGAATTGAATTTTGTTATTCATCTATATAAATATAATTGAAATGTTGATGAAATTTTTTTTTTATTTTTTGAAAATAATTGAATTTATGCAAAGAATTTTATTAATTTCGAAGATAATTGAATTCTTGTGATGAATATTGTTATTTATAAAAATAATTGAATTTTGCAATGTTGGATTAATCGATCAAAAATAGTCATCGCTATATTGAATTTTTGATATATATATTTCTTATAGTTTATGAAAAAAAAAGTTCTGGATTTTTTTTTATTAATTTGTAGATCATATAATAAACTAAGTGTATTTGATAAAGAATATATAACCAATAATTCTTTCGCGCATCTAATTTGTAATATAAGCAAAAAAATATACGTGTTTAATATACTTGATAACTAAAAGAATGCAAGATGATTAAGAAGTTCCATTAGCCCCAATTGAGCCTCATTAAAGTTCAAGCTTCTCGACTTTCAAACCGCAGTCATTGATCTTATTCATCTCGAAAATACGTTGTTAATGTTTCTAAATTACTTTTTTTTTTAATGTATTACATTTATTTAAATTTATTATTTATTACTGCAATTTTACCGTAACAATCCACTTTAAGACTACGGCAATAGTACCTTAATATTGTAGCGTTATATTATTTACTAATCTAATCAAATTTTAATCGATTCATATTTCCTTCGATCCAATTTTTAATAATTTAAAAAAATTTTTTTTTTATTTTATTATTTGCATGATTAACAATTTGAAACTTTGTCAAATTTTATTGATTATTGAAATAAATTTCATATTCAGAATTTGATTTTTTTTTACTTTTAAAGATTATTTTAATATTAAAGTGATATTAAGGCGTTATTAAAGTAATATTAAAGTAGCAATGAATTAGAATTAAATTAATATTAAGGAAATAATAAAATTTAATACTAATTAAATTATTATTAAGGAAATATTAAAGTAATATTAAAATCATATTAAATTAATGTCAAAGTAATGTTAAAGTTATGTTAAAGTAATATCAAAATCATATTAAATTAATATTAAAATCATATTAAATTAAAGTCAAAGTAATATTAAAGTAATATTAAAATAATTTTAACATAATATTATCCAATTTGAAAACTACTTTAGTTTTACAATAAACTAATTTTTCGTTATCCTGGTGAGATAATATATTAATAAATATTTTTTTAAAAAACAGTATCGCACTTTAAAAATTTAAATCAACCGAATTTTAAAATTAATCGAACAATAATTTCTACGCCAATGAATTAAAATCCCTTCTCTACACATTGAAAAATGGGACTCACCGACATGACATGACCTATCCCTGATCAGAAGGAAAGGACTCCCCGTGAGAGCGACACACCTGTCAAGTTTCACACGAAGACGTTTTTATTGTACGGTTATTAGATATAGAGAGATATATATATATATATATATATATACACAGGCAATGTCTCCTCCTTTTGTAAATCTAAGACAAAAGTGAAATTTCATGAAGACAAATCCATTGAAATATATATGAGACTCTTTTATTGTATACAATATATATTTATAAAAGAGAACAATGAACTTTTAGGTTCTTCGTAAATCTCCTCCTTCTATACTCAAAATACTTTTATTATATATACTAATAGAAATTACTAAACTCCTCATTTTGAAGTAAAAAACATTTTTTAATTTTATTTTTCAAATTCGAAAAGAAATATTTTTTTCTTGTTGCTACCAAGTAATGGTGCATTTTTCCTGCTTATTATTATTATTATTATTATTATTTTAAAAATTTGAAGAAAATCTTAACATACAATTAAAACTATAAGGAATCAAAATCCGTTGAGAAAATTTATGAGCGACAATTATTTTAAAAGTTATAAAAATTATATTGCTCAGAGATGTGATTTTGATGCTTTTCAAAATTATAACATTATTTTCAATTATGAAATGAACTTTATAAATAATTATCGCTCATAAATTTTCTCAACGATTTTGATTTCTTATAATTTTAATAATTGTATATGTTGAGATTTTTTTTTCAAATTTTTAAAAGGCGCAGAATATTAAAAAAAATTATTTGTTTATAAACAATTTATTAAATAATTATTAAAAAATAAACTGTTTAAAAATTTTCTAATTCTAAATTTAAGTATATGTTATCCCCATTAAATTCCCGCTTCGTTCATTTAAATCGGTTTATTCATTTAAGAAAAATAACATTTTGTTTAAAAAGTTGAAAAAAATTCATTTTACAATAAATTTTATAAAAAAAAAATTTTTGTAGATTCATTCCTAAGGCCAAATAGAAAAACGTTTTTTCATTTCTACTACGCGGTATTAGTATAGTTGATTTTAAAAAATAGTGAAAATGGTTGCAATGGTCAGTGATAATGAATTATTAATTAATAATAATAAATAATTGATAATTTCTGTTGGTGTTGGTTTATTTATAATTAAAAAAAGGTAAGTATAGTTTTTTTATGGTTTGTTTTTAATTATTGTATTTTTAAGAAACGGTATAATTCTTAATGTTTATGTGTTTGTAAATTGTGACATGGTTAAATGGCTTCTGTAATTGATTTCTAACAGCAAGGTCAGGGGTTCGATTCTTCAAGACTCCAGATTTTTTTTTTTTCATTAACAACTTTTAAAATCATACGTTTATATTTATTATTATTATTTTTGTTATCATTATTGTTTATTATTATTATTATTATCATTATAATTAGGTATTATTATTATTATTATTATTATTATTATTATTATTATTATTATTATTATTATTATTATTATTATTATTATTATTATTATATATTATTTTATTTTTGTTATTACTATTATTTTTTTTATTATTGTTATGTTTCTATTATTTTTTTCATTGTTTTTATTTTTCCAAAATTATTTTATAAAATACAAAAAATTATAGCAATTTAATTTTTCTATAAAATTAAATTTTTTATTTGAAGAATTTTTATATCGCATAATATTAAAAATAATCAATAACGTAATATTTGGAAAATTAACGATAAAGGGGAGGTTTATAATGATCACGTTCCTCGCATTAGATGAATACCAACCGCCTCACAAATGTTGAATAAGTATTCCGGAATTTCTTCATAGACGTTTTATGAAGAACTAAGTACCTCTTGGGGAATGCAATAATTTTGTTCCACCACCGAGAAATTTCTATTTTTTTCTGTTAATTTAAAAACTTTTTTTATTCTTATTAATTATACCTTTATTTTATTAAAATATAAGTTAATAGAAATTAACATAAAAAAAAATAAAATGAATAAATATAAATTAATTTAATATTGTGGAAAATTACATAACCTCCAAATTTACCGCATAAATTCATTTATGGTGATTCTACAATATTATTTGATGTTTTTAAAAAGCGAACGTAACCTCAAAATACACGTCATTAAGGGTGATTCTACAATTCAATTAATGTTTTTAAAAAGCGAACGTAACCTCAAAATACACGTCATTAAGGGTGATTCCACAATGAAATTAATTTTTTCAAAAGGTAAATGTAACGTTAAATAAATGTCATATTTATGGTAATTCTACAATTCAATTAACGTTTTTCAGAACTTGAATGTAATACTATGGTCAAAAAACAAACAAAAAATAAATATATTATATTTTTTATAAATATTCAATATTATTTGTAAATAAAAAAATTATATTTTTTACAAATATATATTATTATTTTATCTATTATTTCATATGACAAAAGAACTTCAAAAAAATTTAATTCAATTGCAGTAAAAAAAAAAATTACGTAGAAATAAATAACCGCGAGAAAAATATACAATTCCTTAATGCAATTCGTAATTTTACGATTAACTTTGTGATTAGAAAATTACTAGTATTTAAGTAAATTACGCGAAAATAATTAATCGCCATTACACGTCTTGTGGGGAAATAAGACGTAGAATGAAGGCACAAGAAAGAAAAAAAAATGCAGAACAATATTAATGAGTCAATTTTTATGATTGACGAGATTGCACATTTTTGCACTCAGATTATTATTACATTTTTTTTCGTTTATTAAAATACTTCATTGTTTAAAATATCAAAGATTCTATCAAGTGTGCAATTTTCATATTGATTGGAAAAAACAAAAAAAAAGAAAGAATAATAATAATAAGAATAATAATAATCCTAATAATCATAATATTCATAATAATTATAATTTTTAATGCCTGTCAAGGAAAACGTTTCAATTTCATCATTAATTAACATTTTATCTTTCAATCATTGCATTCGAATAAATTATTCAATTAATATTTTACTCTTCAATTTGTTTTTTTTAATTTCATTTATAACTTATTTGCAATTATTCTTTTTCTTCTTCTTTTTGAAATTATTTATTTTTGCAGGTAAATTATTTTTTATGTCAAAATTTATGATTTTTAAATTTAGTTTTAAGTTTTTCTTAAATATTTTTTTAAATACTTTTTTTTAAATGTTCCTTTACAGTTATTTTTCAATTTATTTTTCTAATTGAGTATTTTACAACTTTACATTACTATTTAAAAGAAAAAAAAATATTTTGCTTCTTAGTCGATCCAAAGTCTGGTTTTAAAAATATTTTTCACTTAAAATTTTTAAAATATTATAAAAATTAATTATTAATTAATTGTATTTGAATATTTAAAATAATATTTAATGCTCGTGAGTAAATAAATAAATAAATTTTAATTATTAATAATAATAGTAGTTTTATTGCAATCATTTTTGTGTTTTATTATAATTGTTTAATTAAAAATATTTTATTTTTTAATTAAAAATATTTTTTTTGTTAATTAAAAATATTTTATTTGTCAATTAAAAATATTTTTTTGTTAATTAAAAATATTGCTATTGTTTTTATTACTATTTTATATTTTAATTATTGTTCTTCAGTATCGCACTATTTTTCATTATTATTATTTTTTTTTTATTGTTTTATGCTCTTTTTTTCGTTCCTCGCTCAAAATTGGAAAAATTAAAGTAAAGTCACGTTTCATTTATTTCTTTCCTGTTCCTATTTTTTTTTTCTTTCGTTCGATATAAAAATAAAAGAAAATAAAAATTCCCGAAATTGTACGAATACCTTGCAATGTCTCTCTCATGCTTTTGATGATTCTGCGCCCTTTCTTCGGCGCAAAAGCGTTCGCGCGAAATACAACATCCCCTTATAATTTTCATGCCTCAGTGAATATTATTCTCTTGGTGGATTCATTTTACTAAAAAGCGAACAATCCTCAAAATATACAAATGAAAAGTGAAAAAAAAATAAAATTCTCTTTTTTTTAATTTTTAATGAAAAACCGAGATAAAAAATAAGTGAATAAATTTAGAAAAATCAATTTTTAACAAAAAAAAAAGAGTACAAATAAACTAATAAGTAAAAAAAGTGTGTAATAAATTTATAAAGTTTATACGATAAAAATTCGAAAAATAATTAAACGTCAAAATTTATTTAAATAAAGAGATTAGGAATTAAAAATAAAAATTTTAAATAAAATTTTTAATAAAATTTTAAAATAAATAAAAATTGTTTTTTAAAAATACAGTTATTTTTATGGTGTAAAAAATTAAAATAGTATCTATTTTATTTATTTATCAATAAAGTTGATATTTCTACAAAAAAAAGTTATATATTATTGTTAAAAAAAAATTATAAAATATTTTATTTAAAAGTATATTATAAATAATTAGAAATTATATATTAAAAATAAATAGATTAAAAAAAAATTTATTGAAAAACTATTTTTAATTTTGTTGAAAAACTATTTTTAAGAGATTTGGAAAACGAAAAAAAAAAGTTGAAGAATTTCTAATAAAAAAAAGAAAGAAATAATTAATTACACAAAATGAAATTGTTGATATTTGCAATGTTTTTGAAAATTACATTATCACAAATACATAAACATCATTCGGAGGGGTTTCACGTTAATGAAAATCAAAAAAATCACGTTTATACAGTTCCCCTTGGATCTGAGGCATCCTTTCATTGGAGGTAAAACAAAAAATATTTTCCACAATAAACAAATTTTTTCATTTTACTAGAAATAAATTTTTTAATATTATATTTTTCATATTTTTTAATTTTTCATATTTTTTAGTTTTTTATATTTTTTAATTTTTTATATTTTTTAATTTTTTAACATTATTCATATTCTAATTTTAATTGATATTATTCTGTTTTTTTTATTCTTTTGAATTTTATTGTTAATATTATTAAGTAAAAATTAAAATATATTTTAAAATTTATTAAAATTAAAATAATTAAAGGCCTAATAGTTTAGATGCTATTTGACCTATTTTAACAAAAAGCAAGTATTAATATTATTATTTTTTTGTTATTATTTTTATTATTATTATTATTATTATTATTATTATTATTATTATTAGGTATTATTATTATTATCGTTATTATTTATTTTTATTTAACAAAAAAAATTGATTAAAATTTAATATTTCATATTTATTTATTTATTTATGTTATTTTTGGAAAAAGAGTCGATTTAATTGATGAAAAAATAATTGCTGAAGTTCATTATGTGGGTGAAGAAAATTCTTGGTTTGCAATTGGATTTTCAAATTATGGAGAATTAAAACCCGCTGATTATTGTATTATTTGGATGGACTGGCATCGCGATGTAAAAATTCAGGTGAATACAATTTTTATTTATCAATCGAATAAAAAAAAAATAGAAAAAAAAAATTTTAAACTCAATTTTTATTAAAATAATGTTTTATGTCATTTTAATGAAATAATAATTTTTTAAGGACGCATGGACCAATGAGGACGGTGCAATTAATTTAGACCCAAATCAGAACTGTGAAAATTTTGCCATTCATAGAAGAGGGAACATTACGAAATTTACATTTACAAGAAAATTCGATACTTGCGATAATCATGATTATATTATAGAGGTAGAAAAAAAAATTTTTTAATTTCTTTTTCGCTTTTTTAAAATACAGAAAAAATTGAAATAAAAAAATTTTTACTTATATAATTTTCAGAATTATATTTTTATATTTTAAAATAATTTTTTTAAATTCAAGAATGAAAAAAATCATTTTTTAGAGAGGTACAACCCACTTGGTATGGCTAAAGGGTCGCGGACCCCTCTCCTCATTGGCTGGCCTCACAATTAATGACGCAAAAAGTTCAGGCATGTCAAGAACTGAAATGCTAAGAAGAATTCATCCCAAACCAACTTTTCCTCGTGATACATGGAATTTTGAAATTTTAAATGATAACGTCAAAGTACCAAATTCCGAGACAACATATTGGTGTCGAGTTTATAAATTATCACCAGCTTTAAGTGAAAAGTAAACAATTTTTTTAAAATTATATATTTTAATTATATGTTTCAAAAAAAAAGAAATTATTTAGTACTTTAAAAAATTTTTGTTGGAAATGGAAAATAAATATTTGCAGACATCATATTTTACAATTTGGTCCAATGATACAAAAGGGCAATGAGCACTTGGTTCATCATATGGAAGTATTTTATTGTGCTGGACAGGCTGATATGGAAATTCCTTTATACAATGGCCCATGTGACAGTGGAGACCGTCCTCAGAAAACACAAGTATTTTTCCTTTATTTTTTGAATTTTTCGTAGAGATACTTCTCTGTATCTACGTCCCTGAAAAATTATTAAGCACATCGTCCTTAATTTTAAAAAAATAGAATTTTTCAGGGATAAATAAAATAGGATTTTTCAGGGCTTATCTATTTTTTCTGTAATTTCCCTAGAGGTGCCCATTTTTAGGTACGTCCCTGAAAAGTTTTCATTTTTGTGAAAAGGCTCAATTAGCAATTTTTTTTTTTTTTTTAAGTAAATAATTTCTCTGTAGATTTGCAAAAAAGTACTAGCTGCCTGGGCAATGGGCGCAGATGCATTTGTTTACCCCGAGGACGCTGGATTATCGATTGGCGGCGCTAATTTCAATCGTTACGTTATGCTCGAGGTTCATTATAATAATCCCGAATTACTCGAAAATACAATCGACTCATCGGGAATTCAATTTTTCCTGACAAAAACCCTGAGGAAATATGACGCAGGCGTAATGGAATTAGGTTTAGAGTATACGGACAAAATGGCCATTCCACCACAACAGGTTATTTTTTAAATTTTAATAATAGCGTTTAATTTACAAAAAAAAAACGAATTGTACAGGCAAAATAGTTCACTCGAGAAATTGTCAAAACCACAAGAAAAATTGAAAACCACTTATTTTTACGTTTGTAATTTTGAGTCAAACTTTCGAGGTGGACGATTTTTGGACTATCGTAACATAACCTTAATTTTTACTATCAGGAGGCTTTTCCACTCTCTGGACACTGTATAATGGAATGCACTGGTGTTGGTTTACCTCAAAGTGGAATAAAAATTTTCGGCTCACAATTGCACACACATTTAACGGGGACAAAAGTTGTCACTCGTCACGTACGAAATGGCGAAGAATTGCCGCTTTTAAATTACGATTATCATTATTCTACACATTTTCAGGAAATTCGTCTTTTGCCTGAACATGTCACTATTCTACCGGTAAATTTTTTTTTATTACATATTTTACAAAATTAATAAATAAAATAATAAAAAAATACAAAAATAATGAAAATAAATAATTCGGTAAGGTTAGAACGCTAAAGGGGCGTTCACAATCTGAAAGATTTAAAAGATTGTTAATTTAAAAAATGGAGTAAAAAAATGGTAAATTCTGTAGTTTTCCATTTTTTTTTTTTTATGTGTTATTTAATAAAAATATTGTGATAATATTAATGAAACCTAACCTATGTTTCAGGGAGATTCTTTAATAACTACTTGTACTTATAATACAATGACAAGGAATAACATAACTCTCGGAGGTTTTGCAATATCTGACGAAATGTGCGTTAATTACGTTCATTATTATCCGAATACTCGACTTGAGGTAGGGAAAAACTTACATAACCTCCAATTACACTTCGAATTAAAATTATTCTTTAAAAACTGTGATTCACTTTTAAAATCATATTTTAATTTTTGAAATAACATTTAACGAAGTGGCACTAAAATATTCACCTTTTCATTCCGATTTTTTAAAAATTCTTTAAGAAAGAAGTTATTTTCTAAAATTTGGATCTCACCTCGAATTTTTAATTCGCGATAAAATTCGATTTTTTGTTCAAATTCGAATTTTCTTTAACGAATAATATTTTTGAAAGTGGCACAAAAGTATTTATAATTACATTTTTCAATTTTTAATAAATTTTTCGAAAATTTTCGAATTTTGAAAAAATATAACCTCTAATTCCACTTCAAATTTTAAAATCTTAGTTTGTTTTCGAAATTAAATTTTCTTTTGCAAATAGTATTTTAAAAAGTGGCACAAAGGTATTTTTAATTTTACTTTTTCAAATTTTGATTAGAATTCTAGCAAAAATATTTTTAATAACTTTTTTTTAATTTTTGCAAAAAAATATAATGAAAAAATGAGGTAAAAATAAATTTTTCTTAAGGTTTGTAAAAGTGCCATCAGCGATGACGCATTGAGAACTTATTTTCGTTATATGCACGAATGGGAAAATCAGGGGACAAGTAATGAAAAAGGAATTTCAGAAAATTACAAGAGCATTGAATGGACTCGCGTTCGAACCGCTGCCTTGCACGATCTCTACGAAGCCGCACCTCTCGGTATATTGTTTACACTAAATTATTTTTTACAAAAATATTTCAATTTATTATTTCTAGTGTTTTTTTAAAATTTATTTTACTGATAATAAATTAAAAAGAATTTTTTTTTCTTTCAAGGCATGCAATGTAACGGTTCGGATGGATCACGATTACCTGGATTGTGGGATAATATTGGAGCGACACCAGTTCGTTTACCACTCGCACCTTCTGCACGAAATTGTCCAGAATTAGAAAATGAAAATAATTTTGAAATGTAAAATGTACAGAAAAAATCTTTGTTTAAAAAATTAAAAAAAAAAGATCTACCAAATTAAAAGTATTGTATTTAATTTCAATAGATTGTTGTTAATTAATAAAGGAAATTTGTCCCTGAACAAAAAATAAGTATCAAAATATATTTTACAGTTTTATAAATTTTTATATTTTATGTACTAAAAAAATTTTCTTTTTTTTGGCAGTACATCCTCCTTTTCGCGTAAAGCTTTCTTCTGTGATGTGCAATAACAATCTTCAATTGCAGAAAATTATAATAATAATAATATTAATACTAATAAAAATAATAATAGTAATAATAATAATAATAGTAATAATAATATTAATAATAATAATAATGATAATAATAGTTATAATAATAATAATAATAGTAATAATAATAATACAATAATAATACAATAATTATAATATAATTATACATGTACAATATATATTTAATGCTCTAATATTATATTCGTGATGATTAATCGTCTTTACACTTCGCGAAAATGTACAAAAACGCGCGAAAAATATTTCGAAATTTCTTTTCCTTTTTTGTAATGAAAGAATGAAAAAAAAATTTCGAGAATTTTTTACACAATGGAGAAAAATATTTTGTATGTATAATTGGTACATTACCTATACAAAAGGCGGTTTCTTTTTATTTGGGTCACGCACATTATCCTTACATTACAATTACACAATATATTATGCACGTGCAAATCTTCAAACATACACATGTAATAAACAAACAAACAAAAAAATGTTACAATATATTAAAAAAAAAAAAGAATTTCTATTCATAAAACTTTCATCGAAATATCTACTCAAATTTAAGAGAAAAGTCTATTATTTAATTTAAAATAACAATTATTTGTTATGACAATAATTGTTTTGAGAACAACAGAAAAAAATTCTTTTTTCCACAAAAAATTTTGAAAAAAAGATTGACAAATATTTTTCTTTCGGAATGTGCGTCGGCAGGATTGTTTCAGGTTATATGAATAGACTGTTGATTATACAGGCATCTCTCATTAAATTTACTTCATTTTTTTTATCAAAAAATTCTTTAAAAAATTGATCCCCAAGTCGTTTAGCTGCTACTGCGCATGAATAAAATACATTTACTTTTAACTATTATGCACATTTAGAATTTTTTTTGATTTACTGCGCAAGAGAGAATATTTTTTGCTCTACAAAGTGCTTGATGATCTACTGCGCATAGATTGGACACTTTCTGATCTATTGCGCAGATCTAGAATGCATTCTGATCTACTGCGCATAGATTGAACATTGTCTGATCTACTGCGCATGTATTGAGCACTTTTTGATCTATTGTGCAAAAGTGGAATGCAGTCTGATCTACTGCGCATAGATTGCACATTTTCTGATCTACTGCGCATGTATTGAGCATTTTCTGATCTATTGCGCAGAAGCAGAATTCTGTCTGATCTACTGCGCATTCTGATCACTTTTTGATCCATTGCGCATAATTAGAACACTGTTCGATCCATTGCACACGAATATGAACAAAAATGTGATCGATTGCGCAGAAATAAAATAATTTTCTGGATCAAAAACATTGTTTATTCTAACTGTGCATGAATAGAAAAATTTTTTTTTCGTTTGTTACTAAAGCGCATTTATAGAAAATATCTTTTTTGATCTACTGCGCACAAAGAAAGAGCACTTTTTTGATCTACTGCGTAGTTATAGAAAATTTTTTCAACTATTGCGCATAATCTAAGGCAAGCCGATTGCTATTGCGCACGCGTACAATCCTTTGGCTAATTCTGCGCATGTTTGTACACTTGTTTTTTCTTTTTAATCAATGATCTACGACGCATGCGCAGAAGCGTCCTCATGTCATTTTTTCACACGCGCATTCAACAATTTCTACACACACAAAAATTTCGATAAACACTCTCAATTAGAAAAAAAAGTGGAAAATAAAATGTTAAACATTTTATCTAAAGCTAAATTTGTTTTTTTTTTGCATTATCCAAATCTCATGCATTAATGACATTATATTAGTACAGTTTATTTATATTAATATATTATCGAATATTGTCTAACACAACTGATAGATTTAATCTCGACTTTTTGATAAAAAACTACTTTTTTTAATATTTCATACCTAATGATCGTAAATTATTTTTTGAAATAATTTTTCCTTGTTTTGTTTTGTTTTTTCTTTTATTTTTTACTATCAAAAAATGTGTATAATTTGGCTAAAAAAATATCCAACGAGAGTCTAGTAAAATTTAACCAGAGACGGGAAAATCAGTCTTGAAGCGAAGGAGAAGCATTCAACACCATTCGAGTATAAAGAATAATTTTTTATACTCTTTGTATTCTTTATTTTCTTTGTAAAGGTTCTATAAAAAAAACGGGGAGAGAGGTCATCTCAAGAATTTGACAAGTATACATTAATAAGTATATATAAAAGGATCACAAAGGTTTGGTTTCTTTTTTTTTTGCATCGTTATTAGAATTGTCTACATATATTTATATATATATTTTTTTAGGAACGCGTAAATGCAAAAAGTGTACACTTTTCGAAGCATTGACCTCTTATTCCCTTTATTATATATTTAAAAAAAGCGTTCCTTTTTTTTTCTCGAAAAAGACCGACGTGAGAGGAGACACGTCTAAAAATACAATCGCAAAGTATAAAATATATCACTTTCTGTTACACACTACTAAATAACAGAGTGTGTGTGTGTGTGTGTGTGACTTGGTACTGAAGACAATATAGAAATGTCTATCAGCAATGGTAGTTTTGCTGAAACTATATTGTTCGAGGTCCACAAACATTTCTGGTTAACTTTAAATAAACGAAGCATGTAGATATATTTTCCAAGCTTCTAGTTGGTTTATTTTTTGGAGGGGTATTGGGGGAAAAAAAGGGACACGAAAGTGTATGGTAAAAAATATTGATTGATCGGTACGAAACTCTCGACTAGAGTGATTGATTGCTTTGTTGCGTCTGCATTTGCATTTGTAGAAAACAATAAAGTATACCGGCTTGAGCCATAACATCAACGGTACCGGCTGCAAGTGGATCACGACTTTTTTGATCTGTACGATTACTTGTTCCGGGACGCAATAAAGTTGGACCGAATACGGTCGCTAAATTATGCAATGACATTTTGTTTTGAGCCTCGTGCTTATTCACGCGAATTAAATGAGCTAGAAGGAAATCGATCACAGCTTTGTTAACTGTTGGTAAACCTTCGTAAACTCGGCGCAATGCCCCATTACGTGATACCTCACCAGTTTGAAATGCTTCGAGGAATGCTGGATACAGGGCGTCGGTAAATAATGCCTCAGGCATTTCTCGTAGGTAAAGTTTCAGTACTCCCGTCACCGAATGCACGTCCACCTGAAAGAAAAATTATAAAATTTCATTAATGGGCATTATTTTTATGCTTCTGGATCTACTGCGCATATTTTTAATGCTTCTAGATCTACTGCGCATGTTAGAAATGCATCAGGATCTACTGCGCATGTTAACAACGCTTTAAGATCTATTGCGCATATTTTGAACGCTTCTAGATCTACTGCGCATATTAACATCGCTTTATGATCTATTACGCATACATATTATATTAATGTACCAAAAGGCGTATAAAAACAAAATTTGACACCATACCTCCTTGAGAAGTTGTTCAGCCTCGTAAGAATTGCTTTCAAACGATTTTCGTAATTTCGCCAAATCGGATGCCGAACCGGACACACGATAAAGACCTACTTCACCGACACCTCGCCTCTCCACTTCTCGAACGCAAGCCGTAACAATGAAAGGCACATCTCGCTTCTCCCGTCTTAAAAAAAAATTTTTTGTTAATCGTAGAAAAAAAATTTGTTTTCTTCTTTTTTTTCACTTTTATTTTTGACTTACTTGCAAACTTGCTGGATTTTTGCGCCAAAGAGTCCCTGCGGTTTTGCAGAGGGCACTCTCCTTAAGGTAACTTCACTTGGTACAAATTTCAATGATACGTCAAGTGTTGCAGGACCTAAATTCAATGCTTTAAGTACCTGATCGACTTGATTTTCCAATAGCCATGATCTACTCAATCGTTGAGTGCATTTACCCCGCAAAACAGAACGTGTTCCACACTCCTCGTACAAAAGAATCCTTAAATTTTGGGAACCCTCCAGTTCCACTACAAATGTTTCTCCTGCAAAAAAAAAGAAATTTTAAGATATTTGTGAATTTTATTTTGTCAATTTGATAGTAAAAATTGGGAATTTAATGAAATGATCTATAGCGCATATTTATAATGGTTTAGGATCTACTGCGCATGTATTTAATATAATGGGGTCTATTGCGCAAGTGAACAAATTAAGATCTACTGCGCATGTTTATAATATAAAAATGATCCACTGCGCATGCATTTAACATAATAGGATCTATTACGCAAGTGAAAACAAATTAAGATCTACTGCGCATGTTTATAATATAAACATGATCTAATACGCATGTATTTAATAAATAGGATCTATTGCGCAAGTGAACGAATTAAGATCTACCGCGCATGTTTATAATATGATAGGATCTGTTGCACAAGTAAAAAAAATTGTGATCTATTGCGCATGTTTGTAATATGCAAAGATCTATTAAGCATGTCAATATTAAATTATGATCTACTGCGCATTTCAGTAATAAATAAATAAAAAACAATAAACTTCTGCGCATGATTAACATAAGATGATCTACTGCGCAAGTAATTAATAAATTTTGATCTTCTGCGCATGATTAACATAAAATGATCTACTGCGCATGTTTGTAAGAAAAAAGAATCTATTGTCCATATACAAACATTAAATTGTAATTTACAGTCTAAATTATATTAATAGTTAATTATAAAAAAATTCACTTACCCCAAGTGGGCGCTTGACCTCGAGCAACTCGACTTCGTGCACGCTTAAAGTAATGACCATAACTATCGACCTCGACAATAATATAGAGATCTCCAGTTCTGTCCAGTCCTGGTGGTGTGAGACCAAGTAGAGTTAAATGTAAATCACCAAGTAAAAGACTCTCGTCCCGTCGCGAACGAAGTAAATAACTTCCCATGTCGGTTTGCAAATATGTTCGACACGCCGTTACCCATGCCTGTAGTTCGTACATTGTCAATGGCAATGAACCCGGTGGTTGACCACCCTGTTGTAATGCCTCAACAGCCTCAATCCATTGTGAACGTTCAAATTCACTCGAGAGAAAAAATGTATACGAATTTTGCATTCGATTTTGACTTTTATGCGATACTCGTAATACTAAATTTGGTGATGCCAATACCAATTGGGCTTCTAATTCGGCAAGTTTTTTTCTATTCTTATCCGTACCCCTACTGCCAATGCGAATTCTCTTCTCATCATTACGCTCCTCCCATAAAATTTGATCTCTTACGGTGCACGCCTGTGATCTGAAATGTAAATATTTTGTTAGTATTCTTTCAATAGGTGGAAGAGAAGATTTTATTTTTTTTTCTATATTCATTACCTGAGGGCTACAACGTTAGCAGGACTATTTTCTCTAGGTTCGATACCGTCCTCAAGGACCATTGCTTCCGCTACTGGAATATACCATTTTAGCTCGAAGGTGAACTTTTCACGTCCGGACGCTTTATATTTGGCGCAAGCAATCACATCGTTAAAGAGAAAGAGATGACGTAATTTTCGATGTCCATCGGCTAATTCGACTACGAATGAGTTCTTGACAAGTCGCCGTTGTGCTCGATCATGACTCTTTAATTATAAATGTATTCATTAAAATTATTGTAGTGATGAAACAATGTGTAATCTATTGTATAGGAGTGAAAGAGAGAGCTCTTTGATCTATTGCGCATTGATAGAGTGCTTTCTGATCTACTGCGCAGCGATGAAACACTTTTTGATCTACTGCGCATAAATAGAAAAATATATGATCTATTGCGCATAGAAAAAACGTTTTTTATTCATTGCGCATGGATTCATATCTGATTTATTGCTTATATATAAAACTTTTTCATCCATTACGCATTAATAAAATAATTTTTGATCTCTTGCGTATAGATAAATCATTTTTTGATCTATTGCGCATAGATAAAATACTCCTTGATCTAATGCGTATGTATAAAGTACTATTTGATCTACTGCGCATAGATAAAGTACTATTTGATCTATTGCGCATAAATAAAATACTTTTTGATCTATTGCGCACAGCATTATTACTGCTCAATCCATCATTGCCTAATAGATTAAAAAACGTTTTATCTATGCGCAGTAGATCAGAAATTATTCAATTTAGATGCACATAAATTAAACCCTTTTTGATCTATTACTCATGAACAGAATCTAATCATTATATTCGATTCATGCGAATATATCTATTCTCTTCAGTAGATCTTAAAGTACTCTATTTAATGCGCCATAGATCAAAAAGCGATTTATCAATGCGCAGTAGATTAAAAAGTATTTTATTTGTGCGCAATAGGCCAAGAAGCGTTTTATCAATGCGCATTATAGAAGGAAGTATCATACAGATGAGCATAGATCCAGAAATAGAACACTTTATTATTTTTAACGCACAAATAAAATATATTCTGATCTATTGCTCATAGATAAAATGGTTTTTCATCTATTACACATGAATAGAATACTTTTTGATCTACTGCGCATATTATTATTACTGCATATCCTGCGTATAAATGCGTAGTAGATCAGGAAATTTTCTATAGATGCACAATAGATCACGAAGCGTATTATCTATGCGCAGTAGATCAGAAAATATTCTATCGATGCGCAATAGATCAAAAAACGTTTTATCTATGCGCAATAGATCATAAATGGTAATTTGCATATGTAAAATATCAAAAAGCGCTTTATCCGTGTCCAGAGAAGCAAAGCGCAGTAGATCAGAAAATATTCTTTTAATGCTTAATAAATTAAAAGGTGTGAAATCCTTTTGTGATCTATTGCGCATGGATAAAATATTTTTTTATCTACAGCGCAATAGATTACAAGGCATTTTGTCTATGCGCAATAGATCAAAACGCGATTTTCTGTGCGCAGTAGAGCAGAAAATATTCTTTTAATGCTTAATAAATTAAAAAATGTTGAAGCCTTTCTTGATCTATTGCTCATGGATAGAATATTTTATGATCTAATGCGCAATAGATTACTAAGCATTTTGTCTATGCGCAATAGATCAAAACGCGTTTTTCTATGCGCAGTAGATCAGAAAATGTTCTTTTGATGCTGAATAAATGAAAAAATGTTCAACCCTTTCTTAATCTATTGCATATGGATAGAACATTTTCTGATCTACTGCGCAATAGATCATGAAAACGTTTCTTTTATGCACAGTAAATGAAAGAGTATTCTACTGATGCTCAATAAAAAATTGTTTTTTGTATGCGCAGTTAATCATAAAATACAAACTATTAGTTGTTCATTGCACCTAGATGATAGAATTTTCTATTTATTGTGCAAAAGATCGAAAAGGTTTTGATATATTTCAGAGTAGTAAATCACTTTTTGTTATATTGCAGATTAATAAATCATTTTTTGATATAATGCGCAGGGATAGAACATTTTTTGATTTATTGCTTATAGATAAGATATTTTGCGCATATATAGGAAATTTTATGATCTATTGCGCATATGTGGAATACTGACTGATCTACCGCGCATCTCTTAGTGTAATACATGCGCAGAAGATCCTATAATGCGCAATAGATCATTAAAATAGGATATTTTATTATCTTTTGGGCATATATGGGGAATTTTATGATCTATTGCGCATAGGTAGTATACTGTCCGATCTACCGCGCATGTCTTAATGGAATACATGCGCAGAAGATCCTATAATACGCAATAGATCATTATTAATTAAAATACTAACAATTGTAATAAAAACTTTTAAATCTAACTCACCGGGAACATAGATTTGGTTTGAATAATGTTAAACTCGTCGAGGAATTTTCTCGTCATTGCCAGGGCTTCAGTTAGTGGTGCATGATCCGCGTGCGTTGATGGTGTATGCTTAAGTAGATCCTAAAATTGAGTATAAAAAATTAAATAATTAAAAAAATTAAAGAATTAAAAATTAAATAATTGAAAAAATTAAAGAATTAAAAAATTAAATATTTGTATAAAGAAATTGTATGAGAAAAATAATTACATGGAGAACGAGGGCATTCTTTTGAACTCGTGCAACTGGTTTATGTAATAAATCCTCGAGTGATAATCCCGGTCCCTTTGGAAATCCCCGTAATCTAATGTCCCTGGTAATTTCACCAAATTGGGCCGAATGATGTGAACATCGTCGTACAGTATCTGTTGCTCTGGCATAATTATGCAAAAATGCACCATAAACACCAATATTGCTACCCATCACCTTAAATTGTTCCCCAACTGTCGTTTTACAGTCCCATTTCTCCATTTTCTTGCGCAGACCCTCAAGAAATGTTTGATGTATTGCATGAAGTTCGGGTATCTTATAGAACATTGTTCCAAATTCCTCTTCTGATATTACCGGTTGGGATGTGGTTAAAGTCGCCCTAATTGCTTTCATGTACTGGAAAAGAGCAAAAATGGTCAATTTCGTCAAAATCTCAACAGACAACGAAAGAAGAAATTAAATTAAATTAACAAGGAAGAAATTAGAGGATTAGACTTACTTGTAACATGACATTTAGACATTCAACATAGATGGTCTCACTTTCGATGACAGAACTGACGATACACTTGACCATTGATGTTCGATCGTCTTCGCCATCTTTGCCCTTTTCCTGACGTCTTGGTGTCGTTGGTGTGGGTGACTCTAAGCTCCCTTCACTCAAACTTAGCGGTTCAGCGTCACTACTTCCTGTCTCGTTGTCTGTTGAAAGAGCACGAAGGAGGATCGGTGGCGCTGGACTTGGACCCTCCTCGTCCTCACTGTCCATCGCGGCCCTGTGCCTGAGGAACCAATAGATTGAAACGAAAAGAAAATTTACTACTAACGTCCAAAAAAAGAGAATGGTGTGTGGGTTCAAAACTGAAAAATGGAGGAGAAAGAAACCAAAAACAAAAATCCTTATTCTTCAGAAGACTTACTGGATGAAGTAGTCAATGTTGACGTAGTTACTTTGGTTCCCTGGTGATTCTGGTAAGGAGGGCGGCCTCCGTACCGGAAGTTTATTACCATTATTCTCATTAGCCGTTACTCTCGAATCAATGTAAACATATTCTCCCGTTTGATCCAGAGCTACGGAATCATAATAAGGTTCCTCTTCTGAAGCTTCGGCATCTCCATCCTCAGCGTCTTCGTTCGTCACCTTTTCATCTGAATCCACTAACAATTTTTTAATTGTTAAACATATTGACAAAAATCACAAATATTAGGGGATTGTGTCTATAAGTATGGACACTGACGTTGACACTGCGTTCCTGTAGTTGACACCCTTCTAATAACAAGAAATAACTAAAAACTAGTGTCCTTTGCATATGATTATTAAAATTTGGAGCATTTCTTATCAAAATCAATTATATACTTCAGTATTTTTTGTTATTTAAAGAAAAAAAAGAGAAGTGCTAACTTTTTGAGACAGTTGGGGTGCCAACGACTGGAACAGTTTTACCCTATTAGGAAAATTGAAAAAAAAGGACTTTACCCTTTTCCTCCTCATCCTTGACGGTCTCCTCGTTTTTCTCCTTTTTCGAACTACCAGTGACTTCAATGACTGTGACATAATTACTCGGTACGTCTGGATTACTGTTCCTTCGAAATTCAGGTACTTTCTCGGGACTTCGTGGTATTTCACTTTTGGGTCGTCGATGACAATTTAATGTTGAACTCAATTCCGAAACACATTTATCCTGCAGTGTACTAATATCCTCACGTACTGGATTTGTATCGACGGTATTTTCATTTTCGTTATTTTTTATCGTTGACGATTCATTGAGACTATTTTCGGCGGTATGAAAACTTTGACTTGGTGATTCTGTACACGATGCTTTTGATTCGGTTGTTGAATTATTTGCTAATCGTTTATGTCGTTCAACATCGGCGAGTAACCTCTCAAGATATTCCACGTAAAATTCCTCTTTCTCGAGTTCTTCCCTCAAAGCAGCGACCTACAATTTTTGAAAATTAGTTTTATTAGTAATAATAATAATTCATTGCAAAATTCAATTATTTACATAAATAACAATATTCATCACAAGAATTCAATTATTTTAAAAAAAAATCTAAAAAAAAATTGTCCTTAACATATCAATTATCTTTATAAACAAATAGTGAAATTCTTTCCAGATATTCAATTATTTTCAAAAATTTTTTAAAGAATCTTTTTGCAAAATTCAATTATTTTCATAAATAACAATATTCATCACAAGAATTCAATTATTTTTAAAATTAATCAAATTCTTTGAAGGAATTCAATTATTTTTAAAAAATCTAATAAAAATTGCGGTCAACATTTCAATTATCTTTATAAATAAATAGCAAAATTCTTCGACAAAATTCAATTATTTTGAGAGATTTTAATAAAGTTTATTGCAAAATTCAATTATTTTTATAAATAATAATATTCATCCTAGGAATTCAATTAATTTCAAAAATTTTAATAAAATTCATGGCAAAATTTCAATTATTTTCAAAAATTTTTCTTAATTTTTGAATTTTTCTTAATTCAATGTCTTTCAATATTCAATTATTTTAATAAAATTTTCCAAAAGAATTAAATTATTAAACAAAAATTTTAATAATTTCGTGAAGAATTATCCTTCACGAACATTCAATTATTTTCAAAAAAAAATAAAAATTTCACATGAATTCAGTTATTTAAAATAGAATTTGCGTAAATTTTATCGAAAAAAATCAACTGTTTTAAAATTTGACATTTAAATTCTTCGCAGTAATTCAATTATATATTCACAAAATTTAAAATTCCTTTCAGGAATTAAATTATTTTTATAAATAATAAAATCATTCGAAGGAAGTCAATTATTTTCATAAGAATATTCATCGCAAGAATTCAATTATTTTAAAAATTCATAAAATTCTTCGCAGAAATTCAATTATTTAAAAAAAATCTAAAAAAAAAAAGTGTGGTCAACTTTTCAATTAACTTTGTAAATGAATAACAACATTCTGCGACAAAATTCAATTATTTTTAGGAATTTAAATAAAATTTATTGCAAAATTCAATTATTTTCATAAATAATAGTATTCATCATAAGAATTCAATTATTAAACAAAAATTTTGATAAAATTCTACACAAACATTCAATTATTTTTAAAAAAAAATATTTAACATGAATTCAATTATTTAAAATAGAATTTGCATAAATTTTTTCAAAAAAATCAATTGTTTTGAAATTTGGCATTAATTAAATTCTTCGCAATAATTCAATTATTTTCAAAAGTAATTAAATTCAATTGTTTTCAAAAATTTTAATATAATTCATGGCAAAATTTCAATTATTATTTTAAAAAAATTTTTCTTAATTCAATGATTTGTGTATATTAATTATTTTAATAGAATTTCTCAAGAGAATTCAATTATTTAAAAACAATTTTGACAAAATTCTACACGAATATTCAATTATTTTCTAAAATAATAAAAATATCAGTGGAATATTCAATTATTAAAAATAGAATTTTTAAATTTGCATAAATTTTTTCGAAAAAAATTAATAGTTTGAAACTTTTTTTATAAAATTCTTCCCAATAATTCAAATGTTTTTATAAATAATAAAACTCATTGAAGAATTTCAATTATTTTTAATGACATTTTAATCGAATTCCTCGAAAAATGTAATTATTCTGAAAAATTTTATTAAAATTCGTCGAAAGAATTCAATAATTAAAAAATTTGTTATTAAAATTACGTATAAGAATTCGATTTTAAGAAACATTCAATTATTCAATAAATTATCTGTTTATATTTAAATAATATTTTTCTCCTCGAAATTTTTAATAAAAATTGATTTAAAAGTTAATTTTATTTAAAGTTTTAGATAATAATTGAATTTCGGAGAAGTTAATAATTGATATTTTTAGAAATAATTGAATTTTGTAAAGGTTTTAAAATAAAATCTTTGAAAATCTGAATTTTTCGTACTTTTAATTAAAAATTCTCTTGAACTAATTTTTCTCAAAAAGCTTAATCGAATTATTTTTAAATTATTTCAATTTTTTATTTTCTAATTTATGTTTTATTGAAGAATTTCCGAATAATCGAAATTTCACGCAAAATTGAATTGCAAACAAATGGATTTAAAAATTCTCAAAAAGAACCTTTTCAAAAATTATTAAAAACAATTGATTTAAAGAAGAATTTTATTTAAAAATTTTAGCGAAATAATAATTTAATCGTAATGATGGAAATAATTTTGAAGAAGTAACTGTAACAATATTCTTATAAATTATTGAATTTCAAAAGGTTTAAATTTGAAGTTTTTAAAAATCTGAATTCATATAAAGAATAATAATGATTAAATGTTTATTTAAAAAAAAGAATTTACGTAGTTTATTAGTTAATTTAATTAATATTAGTAATTAGTAATTAGTAATTAGTAATTAATATTAATATTAATTTTTTGTAGTTTTGGAATAATTTTACAATGAAAAAAATTCTTAAATAAATAGAACATTTTTTTTGAGTAGTTAATATTTTTTAGAGTGCATCAGAATATTTTTTAGGGTCAGGGAGAAAGTCAAAATTCTTTCTGAAAATCAGGAGAAAAAAAATTAAATTTTTGTGTAAGTTTTTGTATAATTGACAGGTTAAGCAGTAGCGTCATTGTTAGCAAACGGAGGGGAGTCCAATTTTATTTCTTCTTTTTCGAAATTTAAGCCACTGTTTACAATGCACCTAGTGTCAGTAGTAATGCAGCAGTAATTGACAGGTTAAGCAGTAGCGTCATTGTTACCAATCGGAGGGGTGTCCAATTTTATTTTATTTTTTTAAATTTTAAGCCACTGTTTACAATAATGAATTATAGTAATGCTTCTGAATAAGACTATATTTGCAGTTCGATCCCAAAAATCTTCGACAATTTACATGTAATTCATTTTTAAAAAAAATATCTACTCCCAATACAATTAAAAAGGGGCAAAGAAAAATCCATTAATTCATTAACGCCTCGTTCTCGTGCAGTGTCTCTTCCAATGATAATATTAAAAAATATATCTATAGAAGGGAACGAATGACTCATAGATTAATCTCATATGAAGCTTGATAAGTCTAATTCGAATTAGGCGCTTCTTCACCAACTACTATAATTAAACATATTTGTAACAGTAATTGAGTCATTTTAAGTTTTGTAATCGCGACACTTTTTTTTCTCTCTTCCCCGTTATTATAAAGGTTTCCAAGAGAAATTCTTCAAATAATCAGAGTAATTATTCCATTAATCAATCAATCATTGTCGATTATTGAAGAAAACAATAAAAACAATAAAAACAAAATTCCAAAACATGACAAAGCAGTAAATGTTTATTTTAATAAAGAAAAAATAATAATAATAATTTCGAGTTAAAAAAAACGTTTCACAATAGTTACGATAAATTTTTTCTTCTTTCAATAAAATAATTTGGAATATTTTACTGAATTTTGTTTGGAAATCTTTATTTCTTGTCTTTATTAAAAAAAAGTCTTTCTGTTGGTTCTTCTTTTAGAGAATTTTTTTAATAAAAGAAGAATTTAATTTTGTGAAATTGGAGAAAATTTTAGTTTGGAACTATATGGAGGATTTTATTATCACTTCACATATCTGAAATGTTCTTACAGTCAAATATGGTGTCTCTCTTTCTCTCTCACTCGCTCTCACTCTAATCTGCGACTCGATTGATAAGAAACAGAAAAAAATGTCAATATCTGTATATACTTATCAATTTTTGCTACAAAAAGCTTTTTTCAAATTGTTTACAATTATTTCTTTCACATTGTTTCAATGTTTATTAAATATTTATTAATAATAATAATAAGAAGAAGATTTCTAAATTATTGCTCGCTTTTTTTCTTACTATGCTTATTATGCATTTTTTTGTATTGAACATATTTTAATTTCAATTACTTTCAAAAGTAATGAAATTCTTCGCAAAATTCAATAATTATAATCATATAATTATTATTCTTCGCAAAAAAAAAAAAAAAAATTACGTTAAAAAATTTAAAAAAAAAAAAAAAAAAATCTCGTCAAAATTTCAATTATCTTTAAAAATTATTAAATTCTTCTCTGAAATTCAATTATTTTCTTTGGAAATTTTAATACAATTCATTGGCAAATTTTCAATTTTGAAAAATTTTCCTGCAATGATTTTCAATATTTATTATTTTTAATAAAATTTCCCAAAAGAATTCAATTATTTAAAAGAAAAATTTTTGATAAAATTCTACGCAAACATTTAATTATTTTCATGAAATAATAAAAATTTGACAGGAATTCAATGATTGACACAATTTTTTTTATGAATTTCTTCGCAATAATTAAATTATTTTCAGTAAATAATAAAATAATAGTTAGGAATTTAATTATTTCAATAAAATTCGTTGCAGAAATTCAATTATTATTCTTAGACGTAACAAAATTCTTCTTTGAAATTCAATTTTTTGAATGCAATTTTAATAAAATTTCTCGACAAGATTTAATTATTATTAAAAAATTTAATAAACTTCACCGATAGAATTCAATTATTTTCATAAATATAATAAAACTGATTGCAGAATTTCAATTAGTTTTTGAAAAATTTTAATTTTAATTCTGTTGAAATTAGTTTCAATTTTAAGAACTTTAACACAATTCTTTGAAAGAATTCAACGATATTAATAATAAAAAAATTCTTTCCAGAAATTCAATTATTTTTAAAATTTTTTTTAAAAATTCTCGTTAATATTTCAATTATCTTTATAAATATCAAAATTGTTCGCCGAAATTCAATTATATTCAGGAATTTTAATAAAATTCAATTATTTTCATAAATAACAATATTCATCACAAGAATTCAATTATTTTAAAAATTAATAAAGTTTCTCGGAAAAATTCAATTATTGTTAAAATATCTTAAAAAAAAATTGTCAACATTTCAATTATCTTTATAAATAAAAAGCAAAATTCATAAATTCATAAATAATAAAATTTTTTACAAGGATTTAATTATTTTCATAAAAAATATAATTATTTGTAGGTACTCAATTATTTTCATAAATAATAAAACTCATCGCAGAATTTCAATTATTTTTAATACAATTTTAATCGAATTTTTCGAATATTGTAATTATTCTTAAAAATTTTATTAAAATTTGTCCAAAGAATTTAATTATTTAAAACTTTGTTGATAAAATTCTTTATGAGAGTTGAATTTTAAGAAACATTCATTTCTTCAATAAATTATTTTGTTTTCTAAGTATTTAAATAATTGAATTCTCGTAGAATTTTCTAATAAAAATTGATTTAAAAATTAATTTCAGTTAAAATTTCAGATAATTGAATATTAAAAGCAATATAGCGTGGATTTAAAGAAATATAACTGAATTTTGAATTTAATTTTTTTTAAAAAAAGTTTAATTGCGGATTTTTTTTGGGAAATTATTTCAAGTTTTTATTTTCTAATATATATTTAATTGAAGAATTTCCGAATAATCGAAATTTCACGCAAAATTGAGTTGCAAACAAATGGATTTAAAAATTTTCAAAAATAATTTTTTCAGAAATTATGAAAAATAATTGATTTAAAGAAGAACTTTGTTTAAAAATTCTTGAAAATAATAATTAAATTGAAATGATGAAAATAGCTTTGAAGAAGTACAATATTCTTATAATATAAAATAATTATTTTATCACTGGACATAATTTTTATATATTTTTCTTAAACATTTTTTTAAAATTATAAACAAAATTTTTTTTTTAATATTTTGACATATTTTTACTTATTTTGATATATTTAGATACTTTTTTTATTTATTAATATATAATTAGACATATTTTTGTACTTTATATTTAAATACGTATATAAAGAGAAAATTATGATGTAAAAATGTTACACTTAGTTCAATCTTAAAAATATATTCGATTTATAATTAGTCCTCAAGGTTTAAACATTATTATAGTTGAACTAATAAATTCAAAGGGTAATTATTTTTCACTTCAAAAAATATAAAGCAATTTATAATCAATAATATAATGTTTATCAGTGTAATCAGTCGGAATTTTTTTTTTAAAAGTCTGACGTCATTTTTTTGCAGTGCGTAAAATTTGTTTTAATTTTAGAAAAAAAATTAATTTTTAAAAGCTGCAGTATAACAATTTTAAGATATAATCAAATTTTTGAAAGTTTTAAATTGAAATCTTCAAAAACTTGAATTATTGAATTCTCAAAGAATTGTCTCAAAGTTATTAAAATCAGTTGATTATAAGAGAAGAATTTTCATTAAAAAATCTATAGATAATAATTTTATGTTGGTATGAGTTATATAAATTTTTAGAAAAAATGATATTTACGTCCTATGACTTTTGTGTTCAATTAAATTGGTGTCGAATAAATTTTATGTTAATTTAAAAAATTTTTTAAATTTAAAATTTTTATTTTAATTTTTTAAATTCGTGTCGAATGAATTTTATGTTAATTAAAATTTATCGTTAAATGTTTTTATGTCAAATAACTATTGTGTTCGAATTGTAAATTTTTTTTATTGTTAAAAAATCATATTTTTGAGGTTATTCTGAATATTCAGTTTCTTTTAATTAAATATTTAGTAAATTAAAATAAACATTTGATTCAATATAATAAATTTTACCACCAAATAAAGAATTTTGTCATCTCAACTAAATTTTTCAATTTGAAACTTGCCACAACTGACATTTGTCTGTTTCAACCAAAATTTTGTTGTGTCAATTAAAATTTCTTTGGTGCATCAAAAAATTTAGTTGTTTCAATAAAAAATTTGATTGTTTTAACAAAAAATTTTATTATTTCAATCAAAAAAAAAAAAAATTTTTTTTTTATGTAATTTCAGCGTAACATGTGCAATATATTAGAGAATCATTTGTACACTTTTTCAACTAGTACATGTATAAATTTCCCCTCGATAGAGTAACTCACTTTCAACGTCTGACCTTATTTTTAAAATATACACTCAAATTAATTCTTTTTATATATATGCGCCTCTACTTGAAAAATTTGTTAATTTTTTTCTCTCTTAACACTTTCGTTTAAGTAAATTTTCCTAAATTAAAAATTAAATAACAAAAACGTATAAAATAAATGCTCCAAAAAAAAGAAGAAGAAGAAGAAGAAAAATAATAATAGAGAGATGGCCCCGATTGTTATGCATCCTTACATAATAATTATACGAGCACAAGACTTGGCAGAAATTTCTAATAATTTCCACCTCTTTAAAGGCTTTTCCTTTTTGCTGTATATACATATATATATATATATAAAGCAAAATATATATATATATAGATATACATAAAGTAAAATATATATATAGATATATGTAATAAATCTTGTGTACATTATTGCGAAAGAAAAATTGAGAGAGTTGAGGGGAATTCCACAAATGAAGGTATTTCCTGTTTTAAAGAAAAAAAAAAAATATTTAAAAATAAAAAAAAAATTTAAGGACATTTTGAAAAAATCTAGAAGAAATGTACGTTTAAATTTCTATTTTTTTTTAAATCTCTTTTTCTATTTTATTATTTTTGTATAATAAATGGAGTGTTTTCGCACCTTGTGTTGGTGTTTGACGAGATTGGCTCTGACGTCTTCCTCCCAGGCGGCCGGCAGGGCGCTGTCTGGGAATCGTTGGACCCAGACCCTCTGGAAATCACCGAAAATGCTCATATCCCTTATTTTCTCTTCTATAAATCCAAATGACACTCAAAAATACACAAAATAATTTTTGTACGATTTTTTTTTTTTTTTTTTTTTTTTTTTGAACCGCACACACTTATTTAGATGGACATTTTGTAGATTTTTCGATATGACGACGGTGACGACGATGATGACGACGATCGTCTACACAATAGGTGTATATATACATTTAAATATATATATATTTATAAACAGAGAATTTAAAGAGCAAGAATTGGAGTGAGAGAGAGAGAGAGAAAAAAAAGGATGATTGTCACGACGTCAATGGACTTTTCTTTTAGGGATATAGGGTGGGGGAGAGGGCGGCATCGAAAAAATCACGAAGAGAAACACAAATTTTTTTTTTTTTTTTCCCCTTCTGACAGATATAGTAAACACAATTTTTTAACACAACTATTTTTGTCACTTAATAAAGACACGGGGAATGAAATTTTTTTTCTGTTTTTATTAATTCTAATGAGACCAGCGTCATGCGAACGCTTGTCATCTTGCCGACATCTCCCGTCTTGACATCTTCTGCGTAGGTTTTTAGCTGTGGTGCTGCTGCGTGTTCGTCACGCCTGAAATCATTTCCCTAGCCAGGGACGTATTTAGTTTAGAAAATTTATAAATTCTATTAATTTAAATTTTAAAAAAATAATAATATAAAAAAATACATTATTTTTACTAAAAAAAAATACATAAATTTAATAAGGGGCCACTTAAGAACTATATAATTTTTACCCCCCCCCCTCCCCCCTCTCCAACAAATAAGGTCTTGTAAGATTTTTATTTTATATCCCTTCCCCCTTCTTTTTTCCGAAAAAGTTCATTAAAGATAATTTAAACAGATTTTTTTATTTTTAAATAATTTAGTTTCAAAATAATAATTATAATAATTAAAATTATGCAATATTTGCAACACCCTATAAATAAATTTATTAAATAAGCAATTGTAGAATTACCATGAAGTTTTATAAATTGCATAAATTGTCTATAAATTTAAAAAGCAATGTGTAAATCACTGTAGAGTCACCCTAAATTTCAAAAAACACAATAATTTTTTATTAAGTTTTCCTGCTTTGATTTATATTTAATTATTTTAAAAAAAATTTTTAAAAATCATTTGCAAAATTCAATTATTTTTATAAATAACAATAATCATCACAAGAATTCAATTATTTTGAAAATTAATAAAATTCTTCGAAAAAATTCAATTACTTTGAGGGATTTTAATAAAATTCATTGCAAAATTCAATTATTTTCATAAATAATACTATTCATCATATAAGAATTCAATTATTTAAAAAAAAAATCTAAAAAAAAATTGTGGTCAACATTTCAATTATCTTTATAAAAATAAATATCAAAATTCAATTATTTTGAGGAATTTTAATAAAATTCATTGCAGAATACAATTAATTTCATAAATAACAATATTCATCGGAAGAATTCAATTATTTTCAAAAATTAATCAAATTCTTCGAAAAAATTCAATTCTTTAAAAAAAAATTTTGGTCTGCATTTCAATTACTTTCAAAAATAAATAGCAAAACTTTTCGACAAAATTCAATTATTTTTATAAATAATAATATTCATCACAAAAATTCAATTATTTTTAAAAAATCGAAGAAAAAATTGTGGACAACATTTCAATTATCTTTATAAATAAATATCAAAATTCTTCGACAAAATTCAATTCTTTTGAGGAATTTTAATAAAATTCATTGCAAAATTCAATTGTTTTCATAAATAACAATATTCATCACAAGAATTCAATTATTTTCAAAACTAAGAAAATTCTTCGGAGAAATTCAATTTTTTTCAAAAAATTTCGTCAACATTTCAATTATATTTATGAATATGAATAACAAAATTCAATTCTTTTGAGGAATTTTAATAAAATTCTTTGCAAAATTCAATTATTTTCATAAATAATAGTATTCATCACAAGAATTCAATTATTTTCAATAATTTTAATAAAATTCATAGCAAAATTTCAATTATTTTCAAAAATTTCTTTTTAATTCTATATGGTTTTCAATATTCTACTATTTTAAATAAAATTCCCCAAAAGAATTCAATTATTAAAAAAAGTTTTAATAAAATTCTACATAAACATTCAATTATTTTTTTAAAAAAATAAAATCTCACATGAATTCAATTATTTAAAATAGAATTTGAATAAATGTTTTTTTTTAAAAATCAATTGTTTTAAAATTTGGTAATTAAATTCTTCGCAGTAATTCAATTATTTTTAAAAATAATAAAATTCAATTATTTTCATAAATTTTAATAAAATTCATGGCAAAGTTTCAATTTTTTTCAAAAAATTTTCTATTAATTTCAATGATTTTCAGCAATGTATTTTTAATAAAATTTCCAAAAAGAATTGAATTATTAAACACAAATTTTGATAAAATTCTATACAAACATTCAATTATTTAAAAAAAAAGTTTTACATGAATTTAATTTAAAAAAAAAAAATTTCACATGAATTCAATTATTTAAAATAGAATTTGCATACCTAAATTTAAAAAAAAATCAATTGTTTGAAACTTTTTTATAAATTTTCTCGCAATAATTCAATTATTTTCATAAATAATAAAATTCATTGCAGAATTTCAATTATTTTTAATACAATTTTAATTGAATTCCTCGAAAAATGTAATTATTCATAAAAATATTATTAAAATTCATCGAAAGAATTCAATTATTTGAGAATTTATTAATAAAATTAAGTATAAGAATATAATTTAAAAAACATTTAATTCTTCAATAAATTATCTATGTTCGTATTTAAATAATTGAATTCTCTTAGAAGTTTCTAATAAAAATTGATTTGAAAATTAATTTCAGTTAAAGTTTCAGAAAATAATTGAATTTTTGGAGAAGTTATTAATAATTGAAATTTTTAGAAATAATTGAATTTTCTAAAGGTTTCAAAATAAAATCTTTGAACATCTGTATTTTTCATACATTTAATTAAAAATTTTATGAAACTATTTTTTTTAAAAAAGCTTAATCGAATTATTTTTAAATTATTTCAATTTTTTATTTTCTAATGTATATTTAATTAAAGAATTTCCAAATAATTGAAATTTCATGTAAAATTGAATTGTAAACAAATGGATTTAAAAATTCTCAAAAAAGAACTTCTTCAAAAATTATTAAAAATAATTCATTTAAAGAAGAATTTTATTTAAAAATTATAGAAATTGTAATTTATTTTTTTTTCTTTATTGTTAGAAATTGCTTTTTATGTCATAAATAAGTTATGATATAAAAAAAGGCCATTTAAGGTGATTCTACAATTAAAGGAATTAAAAGCTCTAAACATAGCCTCAAAATACAAACGTTCAAAATTTGATTATTATTTAATGAAAATTTGTTTTTTTTATGATAGTATATTTGAATAAATAAATAATTAAATAAACAATTATCGTCGTGAATCTATGAAATATTACTGAAGTAAAAAAAATTCTTTCCTCCTCTCAATTTTTCTGAAAATTGCTTCGTTGACTCCACCATCAACAAAATAGATCCGTCACTGGTTTGAAAAATTAAATACCCCTAGGGACTTTTATTACACCAAAATATCCCTATTTATATCAAAACAAAAATTTAACTCAAGAAGAGAACACAAGAATATTAATTTTGAAATTAGAAACAATACTTTTGATAAACAAAAGAAAACGATCAATAAAAACCAATTTATAAAAAAAAAGAAATAATTTTTTTAATTTTTAGACTTAAAATAATTATTCATTTGGGAAATTTTATATCGAAAAACGGTTTAATATCACTTGTAGATGGCGCGATTTTCAATCTCACAAAGATGGCGATTGTGTGATTGATTTTTTTCCCTCTATTATATATTTCATAGACAAAAATACAGACCGTCGCCTTGTTATTATTACCAAAGATCAATGAAAAATTGTTATAAATAATTAATTTTTACCTTGGTTTTTTTTTCAACAAAAAAAAAATTCTCATCAAGTGTCTTTTTTCGTTTTTAAAATTAAAATGTAATTTATAAGTGGAAGAGAAAAACAAAAAAAAAAAAAAAACATTAATGACGGCACAACCAACACCCGGGATAACAAGAAGTGACATTATCCCTGCTGATTCTCTTTTAAAGCGGGGGGTAAAGGGGGATATTAAAAATTATTGAAAAAAAATAACAGAGATTTTTAAAATTTCCAGTTTCGATAATTGGAAAATAAGGACAATTTTTTTGTATCATGAGTGAAAAAAAGGATCACAAGTGTGTTTTATGCAGTGCAAAATTAGACTCAAAGGAAGCACTTCAGGAGCATTTCAGGTATTTTTTTGGCGAAAAATATTTACCACCGGCACTTTTTTTTCTCCTTTTTTTGATTATTATTTTTATGAAACAAATTTTTATTTTGAAATTTTTTTTTCAGTATTTTTTATTTTCATTTAAAATTTAGTGAATAAATTTTGAAAGGAAAAAAAAAGAAATCTTTTATTTAATGATAAATAATTAACTCTGTGAGTAAACACAATATTTTTATATCGATCGAGGGAAGGGCGGGAAAAATTTGAATATTAATGAAAAAATACTTTTCTTTTGTTTTTCGATTTAAACAAAATTTTTTTACCTTAATTTTTCTTTTCGTATTTTTTGAGAGACTTTGATAAACCATTTTCTTATGCACGAAAGGGCAATTTTTTATTTTTTTTGCCCGTTCAGTGTTTTAATAAATAAATAAATTTAAATGTTTCAATCCTTTGTTAAATCTTTAAAAAAAATTTTTTTTGTTACAAAAAGTGTTTTTACAACTTTTTTTTTCCTCTTCTTTTTTTGTATAGAAAAAAAAACACTTTTTTCTCAATTTTTTTATTGGGAAAGAATTTTTTGCTTTTTACCCTTGACACGGTTTTTTTTTCTCTTTAACAATTTTATTTCTCTTAACAATTTTTTTTTTTAATTTTTTTTAAAAACTTTTTTTTTTAAATTTTTTTAAAAACTTTTTTTTAAAAAAATTTTTTCTCATTAGAGTTGAAAATAAATGGAAATAATTTTTAGAAAACATGCGAATAAAGAAATTGATCATCGTGGAAAGCCAACGTCCGCTGAGCCAAATGCCGATGCAAAATGTGATCTTTGTGGAAAAACATTTGAAACTGTAACGTCAACAATAAGACACAGATTCAAAATGCATCCAAATGCGCCGGAAAAATTTTACTGTCCCTATTGTGGAATGCAATTTCCCATTAAGGTATTTTTACAATACGTTCATGAATAAAAAAAATTATCATTATTTTTATTATTACTACTATATTTTTTTATTGTTTATTAATATTTTTTTAATTAAATAAATAAATTGTTAATTTAATTAATGTTAGAGTAATTTTTTTTTTTTTTTTTTTAATAATTAATATTAAAATTGTTTGTTATTTATAATATAATAATAATTATAATATTGCAACTTTGCAATTAATAAAAATAATAATATTTAGTATTATTATTCTTCGGTCTTAATAATTTTTATTTATTTTCTATTGCCAAAGAATTTACGTGACAGTCATTTGAGTTCACATGAATCGGAAGAAATTGACGAGGGCCAATACAAAAAATGCAATGACTGCGATGAATTATTTTTCAATCCAAAAGCATTGCAGTATCATTATAGTTCAGTTCATAAAAGGTATGAAATTTTTTTAGAATTAAAAAAAAACTTTTTTTGTCATTCAGTAATTATTTATTTGTAATGAAACAAAAAATTAATAACATTACTTTTCTATAAAAAAATTTCTTTTCGTTTTAAAGTCTATTTTTATGTTTCAATTTAAAAAAACTTTGTTTTTTTAATGAAACAAAAATGAATAAGAAAAAAAAATAAATTAAAAAATGTATTTTTTTAATGTTAAAAATTGTTTGGCTTTTTAATTTTTTTTTCTTATTCTCAAAATATTTATTTTTCTTTCCTTTTTCTTGTACGCAGAATAATCAACATGTTTCAACCAGTGGCAACTCCTCCACCTAGTAATAAAATAAAATTGAATTCCATGAATGAAGCAATGAGCGTTTATTATTGTCACTTGTGTGGTGCCGAGTATATGATAAAATTCAATTTACAACAACATTTGGAAAAAAATCACACGCAGGTACCGTAAAAATGCGAAAAAAAACTAAAAAAAAGTCAACGAAGCCCATAGAGATACCCATCCTTTTATTGACCATGCGTCCTTTTGCTTAACCCAATTTTATTTATTTTTTTTTTTTTAAATAAATATAAATAAATATTAAAAAAGAAAATATTTTTGCACCACTGACAGTGTTGAAAATATTATTTTCCTTTATTATTTTTATTTGACAATAATTTTCTCAACCAGGAAGAAAGAGAAGCGGTTCCAGAGAATTTAATAAAATGCACAATGTGCGCTGCATTATTCTGTAGTAAAAAGGCTTATGATGTTCACAATACGTATCATCAGCCTGATGATTTATACGTTACATCAGAGGAGCAAAGATTACAAACAATTGCAAAAGTTGATCAGGACTTTGATATAAGACGGGTTGAACCTGTTGCCGAGAAATATCTTCCAAAAGTCAATTCATCCAAAGGAACAAAGCGACCTGCTGTTAAATGGCCAAAGGTTTTATTTTATATAAAAAATTTTTAAAAAAATGTTTGTTTCTTTATATTTTCAATTTATTTTTTTTAATATTATTTAATGTAACATTAATTTTATTGTAAAAAGTAATAATAATTATTCTTGTGAATAGATATAAAATAATTATTAATAATAGTAATTATTGAAGAATATTATTGCTAATAATTAAATTAAATAGAGTAGTGTGCGTTAGCTACGTGGTCAAAGCTCCTGACCACGCACAATGATACTGAAAGTGGAGAGTTCGATTCCTTGTGGAGCTGATTTTTTTTTCTCTTCAATAATTGTAAATTTCTCTCAATATTCAAAATTACGATAAATTTCCTTAAATTATACCATAAATACCATAAGTTAAAATTTTTTTTCTAATTTTTGTAAATTATTTTTTTAAAAAATTTTTATTAAAATTGTAGTAAAATAAATATTTATTTATTTACATTAATTAATTATTTATAAATTTAAATTTATTTCTTTAAAATTTTTGTTTATTTTTGTTAATTTTTTTGTTTAACATTTTTATAAAAATTGTAGTAAAATAAATTTACATTAATTATTTATATATTTAAATTTATTTATTTAAAATTTTTGTTAATTATCTTTTTTTAAACACTTTTATAAAATTTGAAAGTAATAAATATTTATTTCTAAAGATTTTTTTATCGTAAATAGTTTTTTTTTTATTATTTTTCAACTAATATAAAAGTTGTTATTTTTGTTTGCAGACAAAAAAATCACAAAAACTGATAAAAAAGGGAACGAAGAAAAAAGAATTTCTGCCTATTGATGAGGAATCATTTTCAGAGTCGAGTATTTCTGAAAGTGAAAATTTAGATTAAATATTTACATTCATTGAGTGAATGTAGTCAAAATAAGGATAAATATAATAATAATACTTATAAAAAATAATAATAGTGAATATTATTATTTAATTGAAAGTAGACTCGAAATAAGTCTAGAAAAAAATGGACGAAATCTTAATTGAAAAAAGGATGGAAAATTTCATAAGTTATATAAAAATTCTTATTGTAAAAAAAATTAACATATATATAACTATTGTAGATATGTCATTTTTAAATTTTTTCGTAATATAAAATTGAAAAATTTAATTGAATTTTGGTGGTATTTTCTTTTTCCTTGAACCTTTATTAATTCTATTTTTTTAATAAAAAGAAAAAAATATTTTTGTTTGACAAGAAAAGTTTTTTTTTAATATTTGTGACGCGATTTGAAAATAATGCCTAAGATGCAAATTATTTTAAGGTTATGTTTATTTTACTTTTGCATTGATTTAAAGTTTCTATTTTAGTTGTTAAATATGGTCAAAAGAAATTATTTTATTATACAATTTTTTGTACCTATTGAAATATTTTATTTCGAAGAGCCTTTCAAATAAACGCGCGCATTTTATAGCCAATGATTATCGACGAGTGAGAAGCATGCGCATTGCCCTCTAAAGGCGCATTCACAGTGACATTTTAAAATTCCTTAAGTCACTATTGGAATTCTGTAAACATTCGTTTGTAGTGTACGAAAATATCAAGAAGAATAGGAAAATATATACAATAATAAATAAAAAATAAGTTTCTTTAAGTATATTATTTAAAATATATATATATTAATTTTTGTAAATAAAAATACAAAATTGCTTTGAATTTTTCTTCGACTTATAAATTTAATATTGAAAAAGGAAAGGAAATTATAAAAGATTTATAAATTATAGAAAACGCAGAAACTTGATATAGGTTAGTAAGTTTATATCGACAATTTTTTTTATCTAGTTTACAAAAATATTTGTTTTATAAATCCAGTTTATATTTTAATTAAAAAAACTGAATTACAAGAACTCAATTTTTTTATTAACTGTATTTTATTTATATTAAATTTAAAAAATGTTTCCTCAACAAATTTAAGGTTAGGTTCTAAAACGCACGTGGGTTTCTGATTAGTTCTGGTTTTTTAAATCTTCCTTTTTATTATTATTATTTTTTTGTTAATAATATTATTCTATTATTATTATTATTTTGTTTTTTTATTATTATTATCGTGTACATTAATTTATATTTTTTGTCGTTACCTATAATAAAAAAAAAAAAATTATTATTTTTTTCTTCTTTTAGATGATGACCGAAGAAAAAATGGAAGACAAAGTGATAAATAATTTAGACGACGAGAAATCGAGAACTTTATATGTTCGATGGCCAAAGACAATTCGTGACGATAAAGAAGTAATGAATTTATTTTCAAACGATATTAAAGTAAAATTACCGAGACAAAAATCGAGATGCTGTCACATTGTATTTCCGACAATTAAGAAACGTGAAAATTGTCTTGAAACAATGAAGGACAAATTAAATGTCGATGGGAAAAAAATTGTTCTCATGCCATTGATGACAAAGAGTTTAGATAGACGAAAAAATAAAATAACACGGAAAGTTGAGGTTCAGAAGAAAGTTGTTATTCCACGTCCACAATTTCAGTCATCAGTTCAATCGTACGTTCAAAAAAAAAAAAATAATAATAATAAATAATAATAAAAATTTACTATAGAAACATTTTTTTAATTAATAAAATAAAAATGCTGATTATTATTTATTTTTATTATTATCAGGAATTAGTAATCAGCATTTTTATTTTATATCTGCCATAAAGTTATTACTTATATAAATCATTTAATGAAGTATTTTATTGAAAAATTTTAATTTCAATTCATGTTGCAATTAGTTTCAATTTTACAAACTTTAACGCAATTCTTTGAAAGAATTCAACGATCTAAATAAATATCAGAAATCTTTCTAGAAATTCAATTATTTAAAAAAAAAATTCTAGTCAATATTTCAATTATCTTTATAAATATCAAAATTCTTCGTAGAAATTCAATTATCTTCAGGAATTTTAATAAAATTCATTGCAAAATTCAATTATTTTCATAAACGACAATCTTCATCAGAAGAATTCAATTATTTTCAAAATTAATAAAATTCTTCCCAGAAATTCAATTATTTTTAAAAAATCTAAAAAAAATTGTCAACATTTCAATTATCTTTATAAATAAATAGCAAAATTCTTCGACAAAATTTAATTATTTTAGGGAATTTTAATAAAATTCATTGCAAAATTCAATTATTTTTATAATTAATAAAATTCTTCGCAGAAATTCAATTATTTTTAAAAAAAATCTAAAAAAATTTGTCAACATTTTAATTATCTTTATAAATAAATAGCAAAATTCTTTGACAAAATTCAATTATTTTGAGGAATTTTAAGAAAATTCATTGCAAAATTCAATTATTTTCGCAAATAATAGTATTTATCATAAAAATTCAATTATTTTGATAAAAATCATGGCAAAATTTCAATTATTTTCAAAAAATTTTATTACTTCAATGGTTTTTAATATTCTACTATTTTAATCAAATTTCGCAAAAGAATTGAATTATTAAACAAAAATTTTTAATAAAATTCTATACAAACATTCAATTATTATGAAAAAAAAATTTCACATGAATTCAATTATTTAAATAGAATTTGCTTAAATTTTTTTCGAAAAAATTAATTGTTTCAAAAGCTTGAATTAAATTCTTCGCAGTAATTCAATTATTTTCATAAATAATAAAACTCATTGCAGAATTTCAATTATTTTAAAATACAATTTAAATTGAATTTCTCAAAAAATGTAATTATTGTTAAAAATTTTATTAAAATTCGTCGAAAAAATTCAATTATTTAAAAATTTGTTTATAAAATTATGTATAAGAATTAAATTTTAAGAAACATTCAATTATTCAAAAAATTATTTATGTTTATTTTTTAATAATTGAATTCTCGTAGAATTTTCTAATAAAAATTGATTTAAAAATTAATTTTAGTTAAAGTTTCAGATAATAATTGATTTTTTGAGAAGTTGCTAATAATTTACAATTTTTGAAATAATTGAATTTTGTAAAGGTTTTAAATTAAAATGTTTGAAAATCTGTATTTTTCATACATTTAATTAAAAATTTTATGAAACTATTTTTTTTAAAAAGCTTAATCGAATTATTTTTAAATTATTTCAATTTTTTATTTTCTAATTTATATTTAATTAAAGAATTTCCAAATAATTGAAATTTCAGGTAAAATTGAATTGCAATCAAATGGATTTAAATATTCTCAAATAAGAAATTTTTCAAAAATTATATTAAAAACAATTATTATATAGTTAATAATTGATTTAGAAAAGAATTTTAGTTAAAAATTATAATAATAATAATAATATAATAGAAAATAATAATTGAATTAAAATTATGAAAATAATAATTATTTTTTAGTTTATACGTAACGAATATTCCAAATGAAACTAAAGTTCAAGAAGTGAAGGATGCTTTTCCCGAGAGTGCAACGCTTGCACTATTAAAACCCCGTGAGGGAAAGAAAAGGTGAGAAATAAAAAATAAAAATTACAAATATAATTGTTTTTTTTTAAAGAAAAATCTTTTTTTTACTCTTTTTTTTTAAATTTTATAAGTTGAAAAATTAGTTGCAAAAAAAATTTGTAAAAATTAATTTCTTTCATTCTTTTTTCAGCAGGTCGGCTATTATTAAAATGTCAAGAGTGGAACTTGGCACGGCCTATTTAAATAATGAAAATCCAGCGCCAATTATTCATGGTAATAAAGTGAAAATATTTCCCTATAAAAAAAAGAGCAAATCATTGAAAAAGAAATTGACGACAATGTTGAAAAAAATTGAGAAAACCAATCAAGTTAAAGATGAGTCAGATGATGATAATGATAGTTAGAAAAATTGGAGATGGGACAATTTTTATTATGTACTGTGTAATTTTTCTTTTGTTCCATCAACAATTATGTGAAATATTTTTAAACTAGTTTTTTTTTAAATAAAAAAATAATTGAAAGAAACAAAATTGTTCTGATTTTTAAATAACCCAGCAACCTATGAATATTGTACTCGTACTAGTAATTAAATTTTTTTTTACTCTTTTAGTTTTATAGAAAATTAAAAAAAAAAATTGTAGAAAATTAAATTTTTTTTTTGCTTCGTTAGTTTTATAGAAAATTACAAAAAAAATTCTAGAATATTAAATTTTTTTTTGCTCTAGTTTTATAGAAAATTCTAGAAAACTTTTCAGTTTTCTCAAAGACATGTTCAGGTTTTTTTTTAAAGAATCCTTTTCGGTAACAATGGCACAAATAAAAATACCACAAAATTCTACAAAAATTAATTTAAATTTTTATTCGAAATACATAACTCGATATATATTTTCATAAGAATAATTTACTTTTTTCTTTTTTTTTTTATTCTTTTAATAATAATTACGTTTCCCGTTTCATGATATTTTCGATTTCCTCCATATAATCGAAATGTTTAGTTGTGAATTTATTCGATGATTTCATCCACTCTTTGAGTTCATTGAAATGCGTGAATGCGTCGGTTAATGTTTTTTCAGCGTCGTCAAGAAAACTTTTACTCTCTTCAATTTCAATATTCTCCACATCCTCATCGTCATTATCATCCTCGTCATCGTCATCAATTTCATCTTTTATTGGTAAAAATTCATTTTCCATACAATCCTCGAAATTCATCGAATCATCGAATACCTCCTCATTTTGTGTCACTTTCCTCGTTCTCATATGATTACCACATTTCAATTCATTTTTAATCTCAATAAATTTACTTCGCAATTCGGCAAATTCATTTCTCAATTCGGCAAAATCATTTTTCATTTCGATATAATTTTTCTCCATATCATTAATTGGTAATTCATTTGATTTTTGGGTAAATTGTAACGTAGTAGTTTGTGTTTCATCATCGATGTCATTGTTATTGAACCATTTGAGAAATTTTTCTTTTGTCTCATTTGTCGACCATGTTGATTCACTTACATGTTGTGATAATTGATCGCCTTTATTTTTTAGGAAACTTGTTGATTCTTCGAATACTGTTTCATTATTATTTGAATTGTTTGTTGTTAATGGATCCTGTAAATTGCCGTTTGATTCGGATAAAAATGCTTTCCAGACTTTTTTCAATATCGCCGATTCTAAATTGTCCCATGCCTCGCCAAGTAATTGTAAACAATCGTGGAGATTGAATTGTTTTATATAATTTTCCGTACCGAGTCGACTGAGCAATGCCTGCTTTAGTAAATTATTTTTGTAGTGCTTTTTTGTTAGTGACACTAAACCTTGATTCATTGGTTGATTTGGAACTGTCATATTACTGGGTAGGGGGAGAATTTGAAAATTTTTATTTATCGAATTCAATTCGCTTAGAGGCGGATGACAGGGATCGTTGTCAATAATGAGAATTACTTTTCCACTTGTGCCGGATTTTTTTTGATGCTCCATTACATTGGGAATGAATATTTCTTTGTACCTAAAAAAAAAATAGCGGAAATCAAATTTTTTTTGTCAAATCTATTTTCATTAACACTAGCAACAACTAACTTCTTACTACCTTTTTTTAAATAAAATTAAAAATTTTTAAAATAATATAATTTGTAGATTTTCTGTTTTAAATTTTTGTTCAAAACACTAAAAAAAATTTAATTTTGAAGAAATAACAAATAATTGCAGAAATTCAATTATTTAAAAACATTTTTTTTATAAAATTCAACTATGTACAGAATTTGAAAAAAATTTTCTTAAAAATCCCAATTATCTTTATAAATAACAAAATTCTTCTCCAAAGTTCAATTATTTTCATAAATGTCAAAAAAAAATTCTTGTTCTTATTTCAATTATTTTCAAAAAATAAAATGCATTATTCTAATTTCAATGATTTTCAATATCTACTATTTTAATCAAATTTCCCAAAAAGAATTCAATTATTTAAAAAAAAATTTAATAAAATTGTATGCAAACATTTAATTATTTTCATAAATAATAAAAATTTCACATGAATTTAACAATTTTTGAATTTTGTTTTGTAAAGAACAAAAATCTGCATAATTTCAATTTTGACAAAACATAATATTTAACAAAAATTTTGGTCTTTTAATGAAAAGAAGTGAAAAAAATTCTGATGATTTCTATTTGTCGTTACAATTTTGAATTAATTATAAGAATAAAAATAATTAATTAATTAATAATAATAAAGTACAAGTTCCTGTAATCTGTTCGCAGTTTGAAGTTAGATGTTATTTGCTTTTTGTTTCTGAACTTTTTTATATAATTTTTCTTTTCAAATATTTTCACTTTTAAAATTAATATACTGAAAATCATCGAATTATTGCAATGAATTTTATCAGAGTTTGATAATAATAGAATTCCTTCAAAGAATTTTATTACTCAGGAAAATAACTGAATTCTCGTGAAAAATTTTGTTAAAATTTTAAAAAATTCTAATTAAATTCTTTTGAAGAATTTCTTTGAATTTTTTTTAAACTAATGGAGTTTCTTTAATAATTTTAATTGAAAATTTTCACAGCAATTGAATTTTATGAAGAAGAATTTTATTAAAATTATATTGAAAATAATTGAATTCTTGCGAAGAATTTTATTATTTATAAAAATAATTGAATTTTTCCGATGAATTTATTAAAATTTTAGAAAATAAATGCATTTTATGTAAATATTTGAAAATTTAAATTTATAGAAATATGTGAAAATAATGAAATTTTTTTTAGAAATTCAATTAAAGTTTTTTTGAAAATAATTGAATTTCTGTAAAGAATTTTATTAAAATTAAGTAAATTCAAAATAATTGAATTCATCACAAGAATTTTATTATTTTTTGAAAATAATTGAATTCTTTCAATTTTTTTGACAAATATATTTAAAAATTGCATTGAAAGTAATTTAATTTTCATATAGAATTTTTTTTAAAAATATTTTGAGAACAATTGAATTTTTAGAGAATTTAAAATTCTTGTTGAAATTGAATTTTATGGAAATTTTTGAAAATAATTGAATTTTTTCGAAATGTGCTAAAATTTTTTAAAAAATTGAATTTTTTTGAGGAATTCAATTAAAATTGTTGTGGACTTTAACTGAAATTAATTTTTAAATCAATTTTTATTAGAAAATTCTACGAGAATTCAATTATTTAAATACAAACATAGATGATTTATTGAATATTTGAATGTTTCTTAAAATTGAATTCTTATACATAATTTTATTAATATCAAATAATTAAATTCTTTTGAAGAATTGTAATAAAATTTTTAGAAAAATTATATTTTTCAAGGAATTCAATTATAAAATTGTACTAAAAATAATGGAAATTCTGCAATGAGTTTTATTATTTCGTAAAATAATTGAATTATTACGAAAAAATTTTGAAAATAATTGAAATTTTACTATGATTTTTATTAAAATTTTTGAAAATAATTGAATTCCTGTGATGAATATTATTATTTATGAAAACAATTGAATTTTACAATGAATTTTATTAAAATTCCTCAAAAAATTGAATTTTGCTTTTTATTTATAAAGATAATTGAAATGTTGACAATTTTTTTTTAAGATTTTTTAACAATAATTGAATTTTTACGAATAATTTTATTACTTTTTGAAAATAATTGAATTCTCGTCATGAATATTGTTATTTATGAAAATAATTGAAATTTTACCATGATTTTTATTACAATTTTGGAAAATAATAATTGAATTTTGCAATGAATTTTATTAAAATTCATGAAAATATAATTGAATTTTTGTCGAAGAATTTTGCTATAATCATTTATAAATATAATTAAAATGTTGACAACTTTTTTTTAGATTTTTAAAAAATAATTTAATTTTTTAGAAGAATTTTAATAATTTTTAAAATAATTGAATTTTTGTGATGAATATTGTTATTTATGAAAACAATTGAATTTTGCTATTTATTTATAAAGATAATTGAAATGTTGACCACGATTTTTTTTTAGATTTTTTTAAAGTAATTGAATTTTTTCGACGAATTTTATTTATTTTTAAAATAATTGAATTTTAGTGAAAATTACCATAGAAGAAAGATATTTTTGTCCATCCTCGATCGACTCTCGTGCGTGTAGGCAACATTGAAACTCTTAATCAATTTTAAACGATCGAGCTTCGTCTCAGGATCCATGAATTGATCCAAACATTCTGGATTCTCACAATCGCCAAGTGTCAATAGTGGAATTCGATGACTGCCAGTTGCATTGGCGCAAAATAATATTGAAATACCGTCGGAAATTTTCTCATAATTCTCATCGTTACCCTCATGAATTGTATTATTGTTTATCGGTCGCCATTGAATCATCGACTCGTCTGCATTATACAAATTATCCAATGGCAAATTTTCATATTGAATCGATACTTTCGAATTTTTTCCATTCTCACTATTTGGCAAATTGTCTTTTGACTCGATTCGTCTGAAGCAACTGGGCCAACCGTTTTCCGTCTGTGGGGGATAAAAATACATAATTAATTTTCTTTCAAATAATTTCAAAAAAAAACCACAATTGAACTTTTTCAAAAAAATTAATTTCAAAATTCACGCTATATTGCTATTAATATTCAATTATCTGAAATTTTAACTAAAATTTATTTTTAAATCAATTTTTATTAGAAAATTCTACGAGAATTCAATTATTTAAATACAAATAAAATGCAAATAAATAATTTATTGAATAATTCAATGTTTCTTAAAATTCAATTCTTTTTTTGTTGATAAAGAATTTTATCAACAAATTTTTAAATAATTTAATTCTTTTGACGAATTTTAATAAAATTTTCAAGAATAATTGTATTTTTCGAGGAATTTGGTTAAATTTGTATTAAAAATAATTGAAATTCTGCAATGAACTTTATTTTTTTATGAAAATAATTGAATTCTTGCGAAGAATTTTATGAAAAACTTTTAAACAATTGATTTTTTCGAAAAAATTTATACAAAATTTTAATTTTAATAATTGAATTTCTATAAAATTTTCATAAATTTTAGAAAATAATTGAATATTCGTGAAGAATTCTGTAAAAATTATTTTTAAATAATTTAATTCTTTTGGGAAATTTTATTAAAATAATATATATACAAATAATTGAATTAAGAAATTCTTTTGAAAGTAATTGAAAATTTGCCATAATTTTTATTAAAATTTTTGAAAATAATTGAATTCTTGTGATGAATAGATTTTTTATGAAAATAATTAAATTTTGCAATCAGTTTTATTAAAATTCCTCAAAATAATTGAATTTTGTCGAAGAATTTTGTTATTCATTTATAAAGATAATTGAAATGTTGACCACATTTTTTTTTAGATTTTTTAAAAATAATTCAATTTCTGGGAAAATTTTTATTAATTTTTAAAATAATTGAATTCTCGTGATGAATATTGTTATTTATGAAAATAATTGAATTCTGCAATAAATTTTATTAAAATTCCTGAATATAATTGAATTTCAGCGAAGAATTTTTGGATATTCATAAAGGTAATTGAAATATTGACGAGAATTTTTAAAAATGCTTTCAATATTCAATTATAATTTAAAATTTTAACTGAAATTTTATGCAATGAGTTTTATTATACTTATAAAAATAATTTAATTCATAAAAAGAATTGTATTTATATTTACAAAAATAATTAACTCTCTGAAAAATTGTATTATTTATGATAATAATTGAATTATTGTGAAGAAATTTATTTAAAAAATTGTGTAAATAATTGAATTCCGGTCAAATTTTTATTATTTTATGAAAATAATTAAATGTTTGCGTAGAATTTTATCAAACTTTTTTTTAAATAATTGAATTTTGTTATTTAAGAAGATAATTGAATTCTGGTCAAGAATGTAATAAAATTATTGAAAAATAATTACATTCTTGACAAGAATTTTAATAAAATTTTTGAAAATAATTGAATTCTTGACAAGAATTTTGTTATTTTTTGAAAATCATTGAATACTTGACAAGAATTTTGTTACTTTTTGAAAATAATTGAATTCTTGACAAGAATTTTGTTATTTTTTGAAAATAATTGAGTACTTGACAAGAGTTTTAACAAAATTTTAGAAAATAATTGAAAATTCTTGACAAGAATTTTAATAAAATTTTTGTGAAATAATTGAATTTCTGCGCTGAATAATATTAAATTTTTTAAAAATTAAAAAAAAATTTTAAAAAGAAAAAAAAGAGTAGTTGACCTTAGAAGCGGTGTCCTCTGTGTTATTCGATGTGGAAGCTTTTGAATTCGTCTCACCATCAATTTTGGCACGTTTAATTGATGTATTTTCTAAATTTTCATTACTTTGTTGTTTCCTTAGTCTTTTGTAAGGCACCTCGCATGTAGCGGCGCCCAAATCGGAGAGTATTGTCGCCGACGTGCGCCGAATACTGTGACCCGTGTAACACTCGGAATTCGGTAAATTCAAATATTTCGCCACTTGTTTTGGCATTGCGCCAAATTTATTGATACCAATAACTTGTTGCGTACACTTTCCATAATTGTAATTAACAAAAAATCGTGTTGTCGCAATATTCCTTGGACGTAGTGCCGCGTACGCTTTATATAAACTATAAAATAATTCCCCGTGTACAAAAAATGTTCTCTCATTCCTTGTTTCGGAATTTATCACCTTAACCACTAAATGTGTGTTAAAATCTTTAATATTTGTTGTTCGAATCTCGCATAATTCCCCTTTTTTCAATGCACCGCAAATGCCGAAAATTATCGCCACCTGAAAAACAATATCTTATTTATAAAAAATATAAAATCTTATTTAAATTTAAAAAAGTCCTTTAATAAAAAAGTACTTAAATTAAAAATGTACTTGAATTAAAAAAATACTTTAATTAACAAAAATTACTACCTTTGTGGCTAAATAATTATGATCGGGGGCATTATTTAAAAAATCGAGTATTTCTTTACTGGTTAATGTTTTTGGTTTTTTGCTTTTATAACCTTTCGATTCTTTTCTCAATAATCCACTTAATTGTGTGTAACAACTGATGTCAATGTTATTATTCATTTTTATTGTACTTTTTAACATTGAATAACGTGCCCATAATGTTGGTGGTTTAACTTTACCGATAAGTTCACCGAAATATGAGAGTAAAACATTTTCTGTCCATGTATAATTTAATTCTTTCGATGCTTGCCAAGCGGTGAAATGTTGATAGACAGCTTCGTATTTTTCTTTTGATTTAACTGGTAAATTTTTAATAACATTTTCACCTTTTCCATTATCATCATTTGATTGTTCTTCCCAATCATTTTCTAACGATTCATTCATTTTTTTTTTGTTTTTTTTTTTTTAGAAAAACTATTATTTTTCACTCTTGTTATGCGCAAATTTTATTCTATTTTAATGTTGATACTTCTGTTTATTATGCGACGACGACGACGACTTTTGACAACTTTCACGCACGAAACAGGAAGACATGTTCTTTTTATTCTGCGCATCAGTGCGAGAATAGTGTTATTTTCCCGCCAAATTTTGAAATTTTGTTTGCGCACGGAAAAGAAAAATTGTGTAAATAATAAAATAAGTTAAATTATACTTTGATATTTGTTTCATTAAAAAAAAAAAAAAAAAAAAAAAAAAAAAAAATTGATAAAATTAATCCAAAATTCAATTATTTTCATAAATAATAAAATTTCCACAAAATTTAATTAATTTAGAAAAGCATTTTCAGAAAAATTTCGAAAAAATCAATTTACCAAATTTTTGATACAATATTACAATATTACATTCTTGATCAGAATTCAATTATCTTCATAAATAACAAAATTCAATTATTTTAAAAAAAAGTTTGATAAAATTCTACGCAAACATTTAATTATTTTTATAAAATAATAAAAATTTGACAGGAATTCAATTATTTAACAAATTTTTTAATAAATTTCTTTGCAATAATTCAATTATTTTCATAATTAAGAAAATTTTTCAGAGATTCAATTATTTTGGTAAATACTACAATTCTACTTATGAATTCAATTATTTTCAAAAATAACAAAATTTTTCACAGAAATTCAATTATTCTTTTTAAACTTTTTATTTAATTCAATTATTTTCATAAATAATAAAACATTCTTCTCAAATATTTAATTATTTTTAATATAATTTTACAGGAATTGCTCAAAATTGAAATTATTTTTAAAAATTGATTTTCAAATTTTTCGAAAAAATCAACTATTTTAAAAAATGTTTTTTTTTAAATTCATTGGAAGAATTCAATTATTTAAAATAATTCTTCGAAAAAATTCAATTATAATCTCGAGAAATAACAAAATCATTCCGGAAAACTGAATTATTTTGAGGCATTTTAATGAAATTCTTTGCAAAATTCAATTATTTTCATAAATAATAATAGTCATCACAAGAATTCAATTATATTTAAAAATAATTCATTTTTTCTTGGAAATTCAATAATTTTAAAAAATTCTAATAAAATCGTTGGCAAGAATTCAATTATTTTCAAAAATAACAATATTTTTACCAGAAATTTAATACTTTTTAAACTTTTTTATTTAATTCAATTATTTTCATAAATAATAAAATTCTTCTCAAATATTCAATTATTTTTATAAGCAATAAAATTCATCGCAGGATTTCAATTATTTTTAATACAATTTTATAGGAATTGCTCAAAAATGTAATTATTCTTAAAAATTAATTTTCAATTCTTCCAAAAAAATCAATTATTGAAAAAATTGTTTTTTTTTAAATTCTTTGCAAGAAGACAATTATGTATGTTAAAAAATATTAGAATTTTTCACAGGAATTCAATTATTTTCAAATATTTCAATAAAATTATTTGATAAAAATAAATTATTTTAAAAATTCTTTGAAAAATTCAATTATGATGATAAATGACAAATTATTCCCGAAAATTCAATTATTTTGAAGCATTTTAATAAAATTCTTTGCAAAATTCAATTATTTTCATAAATCATTATAATTCAATTCATAATTCATCAATAAGAAGAAAGGAAACAAGTATTTAATTATTTTTAAAAGTAGGTAATACATTTTTTCTTGGAAATTCAATTATTTGTAAAAAAATTCTAATAAAATTGTTCACAAGAATTCAATTATTTTCAAAAATAACAAAAATTTTCACAGAAATTCAATTCATTTTAAACTTTTTATTTAATTCAATTATTTTCATAAATAATAAAATTCTTTTCAGGGATTCAATTATTTTTAAAAATAATAAAATTCATCGCAGGATTTCAATTATTTTTAATACAATTTTATAGGAATTGTTCGAAAAATGTAAATATTTTTAAAAATTAATTTTCAATTGTTCGAGAAAATCAATTACTTAAAAAAATGTTTTTTTTAAATTCTTATGAAGAATTCAATTATTTACAAAATTATTAGAATTTTTCACAGGAATTCAATTTTTTTTTTGAATATCTTAATAAAATTCTTCGCAAGAATTCAATTATTTACATAAATAATTCTTCGTTAAAATTTAATTATGTCGATAAATAAGAAAATTATTTCCGAAAATTCAATTATTTTGAGGGATTTTAATAAAACTCTTTGAAAAATTCAATTATTTTCATAAATAACAATATTTACTGAAAGAATTCAATTATTTTAAAAAGTAATAAATTTTTTCTTTGAAATTCAATTATTTTAAAAAATTCTAATAAAATCGTTAAAAATAATTCAATTATTTTCATAAATAATAAAATGCTTTTTAGGAATTCAATTATTTTAAAAAAAAAATTGAATGAAATGCCACACAGACATTCAATTACTTTTAAAATTTTTAATAGAATTCTATTTAAAATTTTAAGAGTAACATTCTTAAAATATATAAATATTATAAAATATGTTAAAATATATTATAAAATATATAAATATTCTCATTCTTTATAAAATTTAATTATTTTAAAAATATTTTCAAAATTCATTGTACTGCTGAAGTCATGAAGCGACCATTAAAATTTTAGAAAATAGTATCCTCAAAACTCCAGCAGTGAAAAATAGTTGCTGAGTTTGTCACAAAAGCGCTCGTGTCGTTAAACAATATTTTCGCGTACGTCACACCAATCATATAGAATAAAAATGTATGTTGTATATAAAATCTTGATGTTTGTGTGTGTGCGTATTTTTAATTCGCTGGCTAAAAATTGGACGAATGAAAAGAAATAATAAATAATCGGGGAAAATGTTTTCACGCTTGGAGGAGGCGTCAGACATTCTTTATCCTCTCTTAGGTACATTATAAATGATTGGAAGAATGAAAAATGCTGACAGACATTATTGCGCTATTTAAGTGTCAAATGTTCGCGTGTGCAAGAACTAACCTCAAATTTAATGGCAAAAAATCACTGCCACAAAAATGCACATTCGTCAATTATTGTTAGTCGTTTGTTTCAATGTTACAAGTTACTCGTAATAATTAGATTTTTAAATTTAAGAAAAAAGTAAAATAATGTGAGTTTACGTGTTAGTGGTGAAAAATCAGTTTTGTGGTGTAAAATAAGAAAACGAGGGTCAAATTTTTTTTTTTTATTTTTTGAATAGAATATTATTTATTTTCTCAAATCTTTTGTTTTAAATTTATTTAAAATTATAAAAAATTTCCAACAAAGTTACGGCAAAATGAAAGGCGAATTTTTTTTTCCAAAAGTCAATTTTGCGGAAAGTTTTCCATTTGATAATTTATTCTGCCACCATTGAGAAGACTGATAATTTTTTCTATTTATCATAAAAATTTAAGGTAAGTTCTTTATAAATTTTTAAATTTTAAATCAAAAATAATTTTATTTACATTTCTTTGCTTAAATTTATTAATATTACTTCAAAAAGAATCTTAAGGACAATAAAAACAAAAGTTAGTCCAATGTCATAATTTTATAAGAATTTTAAAAGGAAAAAAAAATTAATTGGAAGAGTAGAATTCATTTTTTAACATTTTGAACAATTTAACGTTACATTTGAACAAAAATTACAATTTTCAATATAAGAATTATTTCTTTAATCTTATAGATTATGTTAACCTGTAAATTTTTCAAAATTTCCTCAAATTCGCTTAAAACTTCTTACTCAGGAGTTTTCGGGGTCGCGATTACGAATCTAAAGTCAGATTTTCAAAATTTTCCAAATAGTGGACCTTTTTTTTTTAAATCTGCATAAATTTGCTTGAAACTTGTTATTCGGGGTTTTTCGGGGACACGATTTTGAATTTTTTAAATCTGACTTCAGATTCGTAATCAGCGACCCCGAAAACCCCTGAGTAACAAATTTTATGCAAATTTGAGCAATTTTAAAGAAAAATGTCCGCCATATTGGATCCGCCATTTTGAATTTAAAAAAATGCACATTGGATTCGTAATCTGCGACCCCAAAAACCCCCGAGTAACAAGTTTTATGCAAATTTAAGCAATTTTGAAAAAAAATGGCCGCCATATTGGATCCGCCATTTTAAAATTTCAAAATTTTGCAAATTTGACTTCATATTCGTAATTTTTTTGATTCCTTCCCTTATAAAAAATTTATTTACATCGAATTTATAAAAAATAACTCCAAAAAATACGTTAAGGTCATGTTCAGGGTTGCCACGGGTCAAAAATTGAAAAAAAAAAATTATTGTCGAAAATTCAATTATCTTTAAAAATACTAAAATTCTTATGCGAAATTCAATTATTTTCAAAAATTTTAATAAAATTCTTGTCAAAATTTCAATTATTTTCAATTCCTCATTTCAGTTATTTTTAATATCTACTATTTTAATAAAATTTTCCAAAAGAATTGAATTATTTAAAAATAATTTTGACGAAATTCTACACGAATATTTAATTATTTTCTAAAATAATGAAAATTTCACTGGAATTCAATAATTAAAAGTAGAATTTGCATAAATTTTTCAGAAAAAAACCAAATGTTAGGCACTTTTTTATAAAATTCTTCGCAACAATTTAATTATTTTCAAAAATTTTAATAAAATTCTTTGCAAAATTCAATTATTTTTATAAATAACAATATTCATCACAAGAATTCAATTATTTTTAAAAATAATAAATTTTTTCTTGGTAATTCAATTATATATAAATTTCTTATAAATTTTTTCGCAATAATTCAATTATTTTCATAAATAATAAAATTTTTTTAACATTTAATTATTTTCGTGAATAATAAAACTCATCATAGAATTTTAATTATTTTCTAAAATTAAAAAAAATTCTCGTCAAAATTTCAATTATCTTTAAAAATACTAAAATTCTTCTCCAAAATTCAATTATTTTCAAAAATTTTCATCAACTCAATGATTTTTAATATTTACTATTTTAATAAAATTTTTAAAAAATTTAACAGAATTCTATGCAAACATTCAATTATTTAAAATCGAATATGCACAAAATTTTTCGAAAAAAATCAATTATTTCCAAAATTAAAAAAAAAATTCTTTAGGGTCAGGGTAAAAGTGAAAATTTTGTCTATAAATCAGGGAAATAATATGGGGCACGCAACCACAGAATAACATGACCTTAAATGGACATAAGTGGAAAAAACAATTTTATAATTTACGAAAATGTTTTTTTTTAAATTTCTTAAAAATGTTCTAATAAAATTACTGTTAATTTTCAACAATGAAATTCTATATTAATTTTTTCAGACAGAATATCAATACAATAATGGACTTGAATAATTTGCTAGAAATAAGGACGACGCTCAAGAAGGAAAAATTTGAAAATAAAAAAAAGTCATATCCAATAAAACTTTCAATGCCATGTTAAATTTTTTTTATTGTAAAAAAAGAAGGAATTAATTGACCAGAAAATGCAGGCAAAAAAACGCTATTTGCTTCTATTTGTCACATGCGCATTCCTTGGCTATTGTTACTTTGGTGGTTACAGATTAAAAAGTGACAAAAATCAAAGTCAATTAAATCATTTTCCTTACGATAAACTCCCGTCCTATATAACATTGAACGAAGAGTTCTACGATAAGGATTTACGTATAAAAAATCAAAATTTCCTCATTTCACAAAATACACGTAATTGTCGTATGGAAACGTGTTTCGATTTTACACGATGTAAACAAGGTTTCACCGTTTATGTTTATCCAATTGAAGACGCAATTAGTCCACTTTATCAAAAAATACTCAATGTCATCACCGAGTCACGCTATTATACAAATGATCCTGCAAAGGCTTGTTTATTTGTCCTTGCATTGGATACATTGGACCGTGATCCATTGTCAACGGAATTTGTTCATAATTTACCAACAAAACTATTGCGACTACCACATTGGAATAGTGGGAAGAATCATTTGATTTTTAATCTTTATTCGGGCACGTGGCCCGATTATGCTGAGGATTCAATGGCATTTGATTTGGGATATGCAATGTTGGCGAAGGCGAGTATGTCAATATCAAAATTGAGACCTAATTTTGATATATCAATACCGCTATTTCAAAAGCAGCATTCAGAACGTGGCGGTGAATCTGGACAGGCTGTTGAAAATAGTTTTCCAAGTAATAAAAAATATGTTGCTGCATTTAAGGGGAAGAGATATGTTCATGGCATTGGATCGGAAACAAGAAATTCTCTCTATCATCTTCATAATGGTAAAGATTTGGTATTTGTCACGACTTGTCGGCATGGAAAATCGTGGCGTGAATTGCAGGACGAGCATTGTCAACAGGATAATCAGGAGTATGATACGTAAGTTCTTTTTTGGAAAATTGAGATGATGTACCTATTTAATTTCTTCTTCATTTTTTAGTTTTAGAGTTTGATAATTTTTTAATAGTTTTAATAATCCGTTTGACTCCCTTTTTCCAGGTCTTCATTGTTAGTTAAATAAATCTTGAGCAAAAAAAACAAGAACCACTCATTGTTGGTTGAATAAATCTTCAGTAAAATAATCTTCAGTGCACCCAGTGAGCAATTGTGGTTTGGGTTGTTTTCCGGATATTCTAAGAATGTCCCGAAGATAACTGATAAAGCATCTGTCCACTTGATTCATTGTTGGTTGAATAAATCTTCAGTAAAAAAAAACAAAAACCATTCATTGTTGGTTGAATAAATCTTCAGTAAAAAAAAACAAAAACCATTCATTGTTGGTTGAATAAATCTTCAGTAAAAAAAAAACAAAAACCATTCATTGTTGGTTGAATAAATCTTCAGTATTAAAAACAAAAACCATTCATTGTTGGTTGAATAAATCTTCAGTAAAAAAAAAACAAAAACCATTCATTGTTGGTTGAATAAATCTTCAGTAAAAAAAACTACAAGCCATTCATTGTTGGTTGAATAAATCTTCAGTAAAAAAAACAAAAACCATTCATTGTTGGTTGAATAAATCTTCAGAAATTCAATTATTTAAAAAAAATTCTAGTCAATATTTCAATTATCTTTATAAATATCAAAATTCTTCGTAGAAATTCAATTATCTTCGGGAATTTTAATAATTTCAAAATTAATAAAATTCTTCTCAGAAATTCAATTATTTTTAAAAAATCTAAAAAAAATTGTCAACATTTTAATTATCTTTATAAATGAATAGCAAAATTCTTCGACAAAATTCAATTATTTTGAGGAATTTTAATCAAAATCCATTGTAAAATTCAATTATTTTCAAAAATTTTAGTAAAATTCATGTCAAAATTTTAATTAAATTCAAAAATTTTTCCTAATTTAATAATTTGTATATTAATTATTTAAATAAAAATTCCCAAAAGAATTTAATTATTTGAAAAAAATTTTGACGAAATTCTACACGAATATTCAATTATTTTCAAAAAAAAAAAAATATCACATGAATTCAATTATTAAAAATAATATTTGCATAATTTTTCTGGAAAAAATCTATTGTTTGACAATTTTTTTTATAAAATTCTTCGCAAGAATTCAATTATTTTCAAAGATTTTAATAAAATTCATTGCAAAATTCAATTACTTTTATAAATAACACTATTCATCACAAGAATTCAATTATTTTCAAAAATTAATAAAATTCTTCGAAGATATTCAATTATTTTAAAAAAAACTAAAAAAAAGGCAACATTTTAATTATTTTTATAAATAAATAGTAAAATTCTTGGATAAAATTCAATTATTTTGAGGAATTTTAATAAAATTCATTGCAAAATTCAATTATTTTCATAAATAATAGTATTCACCACAAAAATTCAAATATTTTCAATAATTTGAATAAAAATTATGGCAAAATTTCAATTATTTTCATAAATTTTAAAATTCATTTCACGGATTCAATTATTTTCATAAGTAATAAAATCATTCAGAGGAAGTCAATTATTTTCATAAGTAACAATATTCATCGAAAACATTCAATTATTTGCAAAAGTAATAAAATTCAATTATTTTCAACAATTTTTAAATAAAATTCATGTCAAAATTTTAATTATTTTCAAAATTTTTTCATAATTCAATAATTTGTACACCTATTATTTTAATAAAAATGTCTAAAAGAATTTAATTATTTAAAAACAATTTTGACAAAATTATACACGAATATTCAATTATTTTCTAAAATAATGAAAATTTCACTCGAATTGAAATATTAAAGTCAATTATTTGAAACTTTTTTATAAAATTCTTCGCAATAATTCAATTATTTTCCAAAAAACAAAAAATAAATTTCGTCAACATTTCAATCATATTTATAGCAAAATTCTTCGATAAAATTAAATTATTTTCATAAATAATAATTTTCATCACAAAAATTCAAATATTTTCAAAATTTTTTATAAAAATCATAGTATTTCAATTATTTTCAAAAAAATTTCTTAATTCAATGGTTTTTCAATATTCTACTATTTTTAATAAAATTTCCCAAAAGAATTAAATTATTAAACAAAAATTTTGATAAAATTCTACACAAATATTCAATTATTTTCACCAAAAAAAATTTTCACTTGAATTCAATTATTAAAAATATAATTTGCATACATTTTTTCGAAATAATCAATTGTTTTAAAATTTGACATTAAATTCTTCGCAGTAATTCAAATATTTGCAAAATTGATAAAATGTAATTATTTTCAAAAAATTTAGTAAAATTCATAGCCAAATTTCAATTACATTCAAAAATTTTTCTTAATTAAATAATTTTTATATATATTATATTTTAATATAATTTCCCGCGAATATTCAATTATTTTCTAAAATAATGGAAATTTCACTGAAATTCAATTATTAAAATTAAAATCTGCATAAATTTTTTCGAAAAAAGTCAATTGTTTGAAATTTTTTTAAAAAAATTTTTTTATTCTTCGCAAGAATTCAATTATTTTCTTAAATAATAAAACTCATTGGAGAATTTCAATTATTTTTAATACAATTTTAATCGAATTCCTCGAAAAATGTAATTATATTATTAAAAATTGTATTTAAATTCGTTCAAAGAATTCAATTACTTGAAAATTTTTAAATAAAATTATGTATAAGAATTGAATTTTAAGAAACATTTAATTTTTTAATAAATTATCTTTGTATTTAAATAATTAAATTCTCGTAGAATTTTCTAATAGAAAATTCATTTAAAAAAGAATTTTAGTTAAAAATTCTAGAAAATAATAATTGAATTGAAATGATAAAGATAATTTTGAAGAAGTTGCTGTAACAATATTTTGATAAGTTATTGAATTTGAACTTTTTGAAAATCTTAATTTCTATGGAAAAAAATTCATAAATATTTATTTCAAGAAGTTATTGATGTTTTCGAATAATTTAACAATTTAAAAAAATTCTATGAATAATAAGAACATTTCTTTTGAGTATCTAATAATTTTTAGAGTGAATCAGAATATTCTTTAGGATCAGGAAAAAAAGTTAAAGGTTTGTCTGGAAATCAGGGGGAAAAAGTAAAATTTTTTGTGGCAACCTTGAGTAGTATAAATATTTTTAGTTTTTCATTGTTGGTTAAATAAATCTTCAGTAATTTAGAATTTTGTTAGCATAGTCTTATCTATTAGAGAAAACTGTATTTCCTTATTTTATATATTCTAATATTCTATTTTTCAAAAACAGTTCATATTCATGTTTTATGTAATGAGTAATCATCAACTTCGTTTAATATTCGCTCGAGTCATATATCAGAGAGTTAAGATTAATTTTAATGATTCATTTTTAAAGGAGAAAATTTAATAATCTTTTCTTGACACATTTTTTTAATACTTGACCCTTGATAAAGATTCCTAATGGTTCAATGATTTAATTTTAATTTGCGATTACTTATTTTTCTCTATAAAATAATTTCCCCTTTACCTAACATTACTTCCATCATAAGTTTTTTTTTATTTATTTTTTTTATTTTATTTATTTTTTTTTAAACTTTTGTTTTTAATTTTCTCTTAAATAATTAAGAATATTTGTCTAATACTCTATTAAAGAGAAATAATTCTTAATTATGAATGTTTAATTAATAAAAAAAAATTCTGAATAAAAAAAAAATAATTCTAAATTAATAAAAAAAAATTCTGAATTAATAATTGAAATTCTCAGCGAGATTTGAGAAATCTATTTAAATCACAAAATCCACTTGAAATATCTTTCTTGAAAGTAAAAATAAATTATGGGTTTTAAGAAAAGTAATGACTTTTTTTTTTTTGCAGATATGATTACGAAATTCTCTTGATGAATGCCACGTTTTGTTTGGTTCCCCGCGGTCGTAGACTGGGGAGCTTTCGATTCTTGGAAGCATTAAGGGCTGGATGTATTCCAGTTATCCTCAGTAATGGATGGGCACTTCCTTTTCATGATCGCATTGACTGGAATCAAGCGGTTATATTCACCGATGAGAGGCTCCTTCTTCAAGTTCGTAGAAAAAAAAAATCAAAAATAACTCTATAATCTTTCTTTTTATTTTTTTAATTCTATTATAGGAAATTAATTTTTTTTCCCCTCCAGATTCCGGATATAGTGAGATCTGTTTCAAATACGAAAATTCTCAAATTAAGACAGCAAACACAATTTCTTTGGGAACGATATTTCTCATCGATTGAGAAAGTTATTTTCACTGTTTTTGAGGTAAGTGAAAAATTAATTTTTTTTTTTTAATTTTTTTCAACATTTAAACATTTTTTTTTTTATAACTTTTTCTCTTTTTTTGAAAATTTGAAAATTTGAAAATTTTTTTTTTTATTCTAGAGTATACGAGAGAGACTTCCTTGGGAGGGTTCGAGGGAGGGAATGATATGGAACACAAGTCCTGGCGCGTTGGCAATTCTACCTCAATTCGCTGACAGTCAACAGGAACTTCCGTTTACGAGTAGTAATCCGGGAAATACGTTCACTGCGATTATTTACTCGCAGTTAGGATCGACTGCTGTTCTTTATCGCTTATTAAAAAGTCTCGCCAAGTGTAAATATTTAGATAAGGTCAGTGGAATAATTATTATAATAACAACAACAAAAATAAAAAAAAACGAAAAAATAAATAAAAAAAACAAAAAAATAAATAAAAAACAAACAAAAAAATAAATTAAAAAGAAACAAAAAAATAAATAAAAAAAAACAAAAAATAAATAAAAAGAAACAAAAAAATTAATAAAAAGAACAAAAAAAAACAAAAACAAAAAAATAAATAAATAAAAAAAACTATTGAATCTAAATTGATTAATAAGGTTTTGATTTTTTATTTATTTGTTTCTTAAATGTTTCAATTTCCACTATTTTAAATTCGAAAATACTAGAAATCAAAAAACTATTCTCAAAAATTATAATCAAATTCTTTAAAATGTTTCAATTATTTTCAATAAAAACATTCGAAATTAAATTATTTTCAATATCTAGTATTTTCATAAACGCAAAAAAATCAATTATCAAAAAAAAAAAAAAAATTATAAAATTCATCCAAAATTCAATTATTTTCATAAATAATAAAATTTTCACAGCAATTCAATTAATTTAGAATAGAATTTTCAAAAAAATTTCGAAAAAAAATCAATTTACCAAAATTTTGATACAATTCTTTACAATAATTCAATTACTTTCACTAATAATAATATTTTTCAAAGAAATTCAATTTTTTAACGAAATTTTTGATAAAATTCTAAGCAAGAATTCAATTATTTTCATAAATAATAAAACTCATCGAAGAATTTCAATTATTTTTAATACTATTTTAAATTAATTAATGGAAAAATTCAATTATTTTCAGAAATAAAGTTTTCCACGAGAATTCAATTATTTAAAATAAAATTTTCATAATATTTATTATATTTCGAAAAAATTAGTTATTTAAAACAATTTTTATAAAATTCTTATAAAGAATTCAATTATTTTCAAAAATAACAAAATTTTTCAATGAAATTCAATTCTTTTTAAACATTTTAAGAAAATATTTCGCAGTAATTCAATTATTTTTATAAATAATAAAGTTCTTCTAAGGAATTTAAATATTTTCATAAATAATAAAATTCATCGTTGAATTTCAATTATTTTTAATACACAATTTTACAGGAATTGCTCCAAAAATCTAATTATTTTTAAAAACTTAATTTCAATTTCTTGAAAAAATAAATTATTTCCAGAAATGCTTTTTTAAAATTCTTTGGAAGAATTCAATTATTTAGAAAAATATTAGAATTTTCCCAGGAATTCAATTGTTTTCAAATATTTTAATAAAATTGTTCGAAAGAAATCAATTATTTTAAATACAATTTTAATAAAATTTTTTTAAAGTAATTCAGTTACTGTTTTAAAATTAATAAATTTCTTCTTGGAAATTCAATTATTTTAACAATTTCTAATAAAATCGTTTGCAAAAATTCAATTATTTTCATAAATAATAAAATGCATTTTATAAATTCAATTATTTTTTAAAATTTTTTGTAATTCTATTATTTCCAATATCTACTACTTTCATAAAATTTCTAAACAGAATTCAATTATCACAACTTTTTTTGTAAAAATCTTCGTAAAAATTCAATTATTTTCATGAATAAGAAAAATTTTCTCAGGAATTCAATATTATTCAAAATAAAATTTTCATAATATTTATTAAATTTCGAAAAAATTATTTATTTAAAACAAAATGTTTATAAAATTGTTTGGAAGAATTCACTTATTTTCAAAAATAACAAAATTATCCCCGAAAATTCAATTATTTTGAGGCATTTTAATAAAATTCTTTGCAAAATTAATTAATTTTTAAAAGTAATAAATGTTTTCATGGAAATTCAATTATTTAAAAAGATTCTAATATAATAGTTTGCAAGAATTCAATTATTTTGATAAATAATAGACTGCTTTTTAGGAATTCAATTATTTTCATAAAAAAATAAAATTCTTCTCAGGAAATCAATTACTTTTGAAAATTTAAATAAAATTCTTTGCAACTATTCAATTATTTTAATAAATAATAAAATTCATTGCAGGATTTCAATTATGTTTAATATAATTTTACAGAAATTACTCAAAAAATGTAACTATTCTTTAAAATTTAATTTCAATTCCTCGAAAAAATTAATTATTTAAAAAAACGTTTTCTTTAAATTCTTTGGAAGAATTCAATTATTTTCAAATATTTGAATAAAATTGTTCGAAAGAAATCAATTATTTTAAATCCAATTTTAATTAAATTTTTTTGAAATAATTCAATTATTCTTTTAGATTTTAATAATATTCTTCCCAACAATTCAATTATTTACATAAATTAGTCTTCGAATAAATCAATTATGTCGATAAATAACAAAATTATTCCCTAAAATTCAATTATTTTGGGTCGTTTTAATAAAATTTTTTGTAAAATTCAATTATTTTCATAAATAACAATATTCATCACAAGAATTCAATTATTTTTAAAACTAATACATTTTTTCTTTGAAATTTAATTATTTTAAAAATTCGAATAAAATCGTTCGCAAGAATTGAATTATTTTCATAAATAAGAAAACGAGTTTTAGGAATTCAATTATTTTCAAAAAAATTTTAAAAATTCCACACAGACATTCAATTATTTTTAAAAATTTTAATAGAATTCTTTGTAAAATTTAATTAATAATTATTTTCAAAAACTTTTCGCAATTCAATGATTTTTAATATTTTCTATTTTCTTAAAAATTTACAAACAGAATTCAATTATTTAAAAAAATTTTTTTGTAAAAATCTTCGTAAGAATTCAATTTTTTTCATGAGTAATAAAAATTTCTCAGGAATTCAATTATTTAAATTAGAATCTGCATTAAAATAAGTCGAATGAAATCAATTATTTAAAAGTTTTTATAAAATTCTTCGCAAGAACTGAATTATTTTTATAAATATTTAAATTCTTTTATAAATAATAAAATTCGTTGCATGATTGCAATTTATTTGCAGGATAAGAAAGACGTAAATATTTTTTTTGTGATAAATTTAGGAAAAAGTCAGGAAAATAAAATGTAGAATGGAATTTTTGTCAGTTTTGTAAAGTGTTTAAAACGAATTTTTGTTGTTGTCAAGTTTAATTTTTCGATAACTACTTTTTTACTACTTTTTTTTTTTTTTTTTTTTTTTTTAGTTTGAAAGTGAAAAAGTAATTTTTTTTTCTTGCAGATTATTTTAATGTGGAACTCGGACATTCCATTGCCGAGGAAACCGCGCTGGCAGGGAATCAAGGCGACAATTCTTGTGGTTTCCGCCGATGGGATATCACATCGATTTTATCCTCATCCACAAATTAAAACTAGTGCCATATTATCGTTGGATGAAGACGCAACACTCAATACCGATGAAATTGATTTTGCCTTCAATGTTTGGCAATCGTTTCCGGAAAGAATTGTTGGTTATCCGGCGAGATCTCATTATTGGGACGATTCAAAGGTGAACAAATTTTTTTTTTACATTAATTAGATTAATTTTTTGATTTTTTAAAATTTTAACATTAGTGTTAATGGAATTAATTTTTTGATTTTAAAAATTTTAACATTAGTGTTAGTGGAATTAATTTTTAAAATTTTTAAGTTCTATTTTTAAAATTGAACATTAGTGTTAATGGAATTAATATTTTATTTATAATTCTATTTTTAAAATTTTAACATTAGTGTTAATGAAACTTATTTTTGATTTAAAGTTCTATTTTTGAAATTTTAACATTATATTAATGGAATTTTGAATAATGTGTATTTATATTTTTTTTTTATTAAAATTACAGAGATCGTGGGGCTATACGAGTAAATGGACGAACGATTACAGTATAGTTTTGACTGGAGCTGCTTTTTATCATCGTTACTATAATACTCTTTACACAGAACTATTGAGTTCGACTCTACATAAAACTGTCGAGCAATCGCAAAATTGCGAGGATATTTTAATGAATTTTCTCGTTAGTCACGTCACACGTCGTCCTCCGATTAAAGTCACACAGCGCAAATTGTATAAAGACACAACGGCCGCTGGTATCAGGTAAAGAATTATATTTAGCCTTTTTTTTCAATTCTTTCAGTTTTATTAATTTCTAAGTATATAATAATTTTAAAATTCGATTATAATCGAAATTCAGTTTTTTAAAATTCGACTTTAATCGAAAATTCAGTTTTTAAAATTCGATATTAATCGAAGATCAGTTTTTTAAAATTCTAATTGAATTTCTTTTCTCTTTTTAAGATCGCCATGGAATGATCCTGATCATTTTATTCAACGTCAAACTTGTATGAATACATTTGTCGCCGTCTTCGGTTACATGCCATTATTAAGATCAAATTTAAGATTGGATCCAATGCTTTTTAAAGATCCAGTAAGCAATATGCGCAAAAAATATAGACAAATTGAATTAGTTAGTAATTAGAGATTTTTTTTTAAATACTGTATAGTGGGTACGAATGGATGACATAATAATTAGAATCAATTTTTTTTGGATGTGTACAAATGAACGTGGTCACCGTTTTCTCTATCTCTCTCTCTCTCTCTCTCTCTCTCTCTCTTTATTCTTCATAACTGTCTATATATTTTCTCTTTTTATATATATATTTTTTGTACAGTTTTTTAGTGGTGTACTAGTGAATATTTTAAAAAAAAAACGGTGACGTGATGAGGCTACATTAGAAAGAATGTTTTTTTAAATTATTCATTACAATTTATTGATGACATTTATATTATTATTATTATATAATTCTATGATTATTATTATTGATTGTTTGCAATATATTTTGGGTAATTTCGTACACTCATAATGTATATATAATATATTATATGTAAATATATTTTATTAACATAGAATATTAATATAATATTAATATAATATAAAATATTAATATAATTATATTCAGGGCTCGAACTAAGTCCGTAAATCCCGTAAAAGTCCGTGAATTTGCTTCAAGTCCGTAAAAGTCAATTTTTTTGAAAAAAAAGCTTCGTAAAGTCCGTTAATTTGATAGAAAAAGGACGAAAACTACGTAAATTGTACGATATAATTTGCGGAGAATTTTAGAGAAATTACAAATGATTGGAGAATGTCAATTATTTTCAAAAGTAATAAAATTCTTCGCAAAAATTCAATTACGTTCAAAAATTACAACAACAAAAAATTCTCGTCAAAATTTCAATTATCTTTAGAAATTATTAAATTCTTCTCTGAAATTCAATTATTTTCTTCGTAAATTTTAATACAATTCATTGGCAAAATTTCAATTTTGAAAAATTTTCGTGAAATGATTTTCAATATTTATTATTTTTAATAAAATTCTCCAAAAGAATTCAATTATTTCGAAAAAAAATTTTTTTGATAAAATTGTACGCAAACATTTAATTATTTTCATAAAATAATAAAAATTTGATAGGAATTCAATTATTTATATAATTTTTTTTAGGAATTTCTTTGCAAAACTTCAATTATTTTCCGTAAATAATAAAGTAACAGTCGGGAATTCAATTATTTCAAAAAAAATTTCAATAAAATTCGTTGCAGAAATTTAATTATTAGGTATTCTTATACGTAACAAAATTCTTCTTTGAAATTCAATTTTTTTAATGCAATTTTAATCAAATTTCTCGACAAGATTCAAGTATTATTTAAAAAAAATTTAATAAATTTCTCCGATAGAATTCAATTAGATTCAAAATTTTTTTTAAAATTCTTTACAAAGAATTCAGTTTGTTTCAAAACAATTTTTAACTAAATTCCATTTTAAAGAATCGAATTATTTTCAAAGAGTTTAATATTATTCAGAGCAGAAATTCAATTATATTCAAAAATTTTATTAAAATTGTCAAGAATTCAATTATTTTCAAAAATTTTATTAAAATTCTTGTCAAGAATTCAATTATTTTTCAAAATTTTCATTACATTCTTGGCCAGAATTCAATTATTTTTAAAAAATGTAAAAAAAAAATTGTCAACATTTCAATTATCTTTATAAATAAATAGCAAAATTTTTCGACAAAATTCAATTTTTTTGAAGAATTTCACAAAAATTTAATTAAAATTCTTGTCAAGAATTCAATTATTTTCAAAAATAACAAAATTCTTCAGTGGATTTCAATTATTTACAAAAATTTTATTAAAATTCTTGTCAAAAATTCAATTATTTTTCAAAATTTTTATTACATTCTTAGTCAGAATTCAATTATTTTTATAAATAACAAAATTCAATTATTTTAAAAATTAATAAAATTCTTCTAGAAAAATTCAATTATTTTAAAAATTAATAAAAATCTTCTAAAAAATTCAATTATTTTTAAAAAATGTAAAAAAAATTGTCAACATTTCAATTAAATAATATAAAAATAAATAGCAAAATTCTTCGACAAAATTCAATTTTTTTTTGAAGAATTCTAATAAAATTCATTGCAAAATTCAATTATTTTCATAAAAAATTCATTCACGAGAATTCAATTATTTTCAAAAACAAAAAAAAAATTTTTTTTCTTGACAAAAATTTAATTATTTTCAAAATCATTGCAGAATTAAAATTAATTAATTAATTAAATTAATTAAAATTCGTCAAATGAATTCAATTATTTAAAAATTTGTTGATAAAATTCTTTATGTGAATTGAATTTTAAGAAACATTGAATTCTTCAATAAATTATTTATTTGCATTTTATTTGTATTTAAATAATTCAATTCTAGTAGAATTTTCTAATGAAAGTTGATTTAAAAGTGAATTTCAGTTAAAATTTCAGATAATTGAATATTAAAAGCAATATAGCGTGAATTTGAAGAAATAATTGAATTTTGAAATTAATTTTTTTGAAAAAGTTTATTGCGGATTTTTTTTTGGGAAATTATTTCAAGTTTTTATTTTCTAATATATATTTAATTAAAGAATTCCTGAATAATCGAAATTTCACGTAAAATTGAATTGCAAAGAAATGGATTTAAAAATTTTCAAAAATAACTTTTTCAGAAATAATTATGAAAAATAATTGATTTAAAGAAGAATTTTAGTTAAAAATTCTTGAAAATAATAATTGAATTGAAATGATGAAAATAGTTTTGAAGAAATACAATATTCCCTATAATATAAAATAATGATTTCGTGCCCTGCATATATATTAATATTTTATTAATATTATAGAAAAATTTATGACCGAACTAGGCTAAAAATATGGCTATTTTTACATTGGAGGGAAAAGGATAGAAATACAATTTGTCCTTTTCTCTCTCTCATGTGAAAAGTGCGATAATTTTTACCTCTTTTGTAGAGAGCGCGTCAAATATTATTTGTAATATGTTATATATATATACACTTGAGATTATCTCGTGCATCAAAAGGGGTTTTTTCATGGCATTTATTATTTTCATTTTTTTCTACATTTGATGCGCGAGGCGACTGGCAGCGATGACTCAATACGTTACCAAATTATAATTGATTTAAATGCACCGTTGCGGTGATATTTATGAGAATTATGTACATAAAAAGTCGATCATGTGTGTAGTTATTAATATACAATATATATTATTATTATTATATAATATATCATTATTCTTATTTTGTGGTTCTATTTCTGACCACAAATAACTAACTTTATTCCTATTTCCATTTTGTTACTGACATCTATTTCTTATTGCTTTTCCAAAAAGTCGTAAAGTGTGAAGGCACCTTTATATCTCCACGTTGTACGTGGGACAGAAAAGGATAAACGATACTTCTATCCTTTTCTCTCTCATGAAAGGTTAAATAAAGGTTAGTCCACACATGTACAAATATTTTAAAAAAAATTTTTTTTTTTGGTTACATTACATCGAAATAATTAAATAGTTACTTACCTCAAATAAGAAGAAGAAGAAGTTGAAGAAATAGTTACTTAAAATTTTTGATTGTAGGTGAAAAGTCACAAGCACAATTTATCATTTATTTACATATTTATTTAAAATTTAAATATACAAATATTTCAGGTATAAAATGTTTTGATAAATGTTCATTTCTACCATATTATGTTTAAAATTATACATATAATAGCAATAATATATAAAATTTTAAACTTTTATAATATTATGAAAATCACAGCGAAACTACCATTGCGGTACATCGAAACACTGCCAACTTTGAATTTATAGTTTGAAACATCAATTTTATTTTATTTTCTTTTGAAAATGCAGAAAAATTGGTATTTCCGCAATAAATGATTGGTAAACTACTGTCATCGCTAGGATTGACGATAATTTGAATTGAGTGCTCATCACAGTTTTCCTGAAAAACAAAAGGATTTTAAAATAAATTGTTACTGCCATATAAAGTTATTACTTATAAATCGTTTTTAATAAAGTATTTCTGTGAAAAATTTTAATTTCAATTCTGTTGAAATTAGTTTCAATTTTAAAAACTTTAAGGCAATTCTTTGAAAAAATTCAACTATTTTAATAAATATTAAAACTCTTTCCAAAAATTCAATTATTAAAAAAAAAAAAAAAAAAAAAAAAAAAAATGTAGTCAATATTTTAATTATCTTTATAAATATCAAAATTCTTCGCCGAAATTCAATTATATTCAGGAATTTTAATAAAATTTATTGCAGAATTCAATTATTTTCATAAATAACAATATTCATTAGAAGAATTCAATTATTTTTTTTAATTAATAAAATTTCTCGCAGAAATTCAATTATTTAAAAAAAAACAAAAAAGGCAACATTTCAATTACTTTTATAAATAAATAGCAAAATTCTTCGACAAAATTCAATTATTTTGAGAAATTTTAATAAAATTCACTGCAAAATTCAATTATTTTTATAAATAATAATATTCATCACAAGAATTGAATTATTTTTAAAAATTTTAATAAAATTCATGGCAAAATTTCAATTATTTTCAAAAATTTTTCTTCATTCAATGATTTATAATATTCTGCTATTTTAATAAAATTTCCTAAAAGAATTCAAATATTAAACAAAAATTTTGAGAAAGTTCTTCACAAACATTCAATTATTAAAAAAAAAGAAAAAAATTTTATATGAATTCAATTATTTTCAAGAGTAATAAAATTCAAGTATTTCCAAAGATTTTAATAAGATTCATGACAAAAATTCAATTCTTTTAAAAAAAATCTGAAACAAATTCTGGTCAACATTTCAATTATTTTTATAAATAAATAACAAAATTCTTTGACAAAATTCAATTATTATGAGGAATTTTAATAAAATTCATTGTAAAATTCCATTATTTTTATAAATAATAATATTCATCACAAGAATTCAATTATTTTCAAAAATTTTAATAAAATTCATGACAAAATTTTAATTATTTTCAAAAATTTTTCTTAATAGTTTCTAATATTCTACTGTTTTAATGAAATTTCTTTAAAGAATTCAATTATTTAATAACAATTTTGACAAAATTTTACTCGAATATTGAATTATTTTCTAAAATAATAAAATTCTTCTCAGGAATTCAATAATTTTTTGAAAATTTTAATAAAATTCTTTGCCACTATTCAATTATTTTCATAAATAATAAAATTCATCGCAGGATTTCAATTATTTTTAATACAATTTTACAGAAATTGCTCAAAAAATGTAATTATTCTTAAGAATTTAATTTCAATTCGTTGAAAAAATCAATTATATAAAAAAATGTTTTTTTACAATTCTTTGGAAGAATTCAATTATTTACAATATTATTAGAATTTTTCACAGGAATTCAGTTATTTTCAAATAATTTAATTAAAGTTTTTTGAAATAATTCAATTCTTTCTTTTAGATTTTAATAAAACTCTTCCCAAGAATTCAATTATGTCGATAAATAAGAAAATTATTCCCGAAAATTCAATTATTTTGAAGTATTTTAATAAAATTCTTTGCAAAATTCAATTATTTTCATAAATAGCAATATTCATCACAAGAATTCAATTATTTTTAAAAGTAATAAATTTTTTCTTTGAAATTCAATTATTTTTAAAAGTAATAAATTTTTTCTTTGAAATTCAATTATTTTTAAAAGTATAATAAATTTTTTCTTGGAAATTCAATTATTTTAAAAAAATTGTTATAAAATCGTTTTCAAAAGAATTTAATTATTTAAAAATAATTTTTACAAAACTCTACACGAAAATTCAATTATTTTCTAAAATAATAAAAATTTCACTGAAAGTCAATTATTAAAAACAGAATTTGCATAAATTTTTGGGAATAAAATCAATTGTTTGAAACTTTTTTATAAAAATTCTTTGTATAATAATTCAATTATTTTCAGAAATAATAAAACTCATTGCAGAATTTCAATTATTTTTAATACAATTTTAATCGAATTCCTCGAAAAATGTAATTATTCTTAAAAATTTTATTAAAATTCGCCGAAAGAATTCAATTACTTGAAAATTTGTTAATAAAATTATGTATTTCAAAGAAACATTTTATTTTTTAATAAATTATTTTTGTTTGTATTTAAATAATTGAATTCTCGTAGAATTCTCTTATAAAAATTAATTTAAAAATTAATTTCAGTTAAAGTTTCTCAGATAATAATTGAATTTTGAAGTTAATTTTGAATTTTGAAATAATTGCAATGTTTAGAAATAATTGAATTTTCTAAAGGTTTCAAATTAAAATCTTTGAAAATCTGAATTTTTTATACATTTAATGAAAAAATTCTATGGAACTAATTTTTTTCAAAAAGCTTAATCGAAATATTTTTCAATTATTTCAAGCTTTTATTCTCTAATGTATATTTTTATTGAAAAATTTCCGAATAATTGAAATTTCACGTAAAATTGAATTGCAATCAAATGGATTTAAAAATTCTCAAAGAAGAAATTTTTCAAAAATTATTAAAAATAATTGATTTAGAAAAGAATTTTAATTAAAAATTCTTGATAATAATTAAATTAATTGACATTATCAGGGAAAAAGTAAAAATTTTGTCTGGAAATCAGGAAAATATATAATTTTATGATTAAATTAAATGAAAAAAAAATGTTTAGAAGCAAAAATATGTAACTCACCGTTGGGACGTTCAATGAACAATTAAGGCTAGTTTTATAACTGTCTGGTGCTTCCAAGTCCCAGGTATCTATCACATAAAGTCCTGAATCATTTTCTTCATTTGAACTTTTTCGATTGAAAAAAGAATAAACTTGATTTAATTCGAGCTTTTGAGTGTCATCGGCATTGTTCTCTTTTATTTGACAAGCAATAAGTAGCGTAAGCAATAATCCTGAAAAGAAAATTATTAAAACATACTTAATTCTATCACATTTTTTACCCTTTAACAAAATTTTGAACAATATAGAATTATGAAATTAAAATTATTAAAATTATAAAAAACAATTTAATAAAAAATTTTTTTTTAATTTAAATTTTACTTTTTAAAAATTTTAAATTTTACTTTAAATAAATTTTGAATTTGTTTTTAAAATGAAAACACTATAATTACCAATGGAATGGAACATTCGTGATGAACGATTTACAGCCATTTTTTTTTATGATTTATAAAGAAAAAACTATGTTTATATGCTTTTTATATTCTTCCTCTATGTTCGGAATGATATTTTTTTATTTTCTTCAAATCTTTTTATACCGTTATATATTTAAAGAGTTTTGTTTACAAAGAGTAAATAATTGAAAATATTATTTCACAATTTAGTTTAAAATTAAAAGAAAAATAATTTTGTATAAATTACGTTAATTTCAAATTTCAAGATATCTTATGTATTTACCCATTTATGCCAATAATACAAATTAAAATGTTTCTATTTGCGATTTTAGATAAAATATTTGACACGTGTATGTAAATGGGGGATTAAATTAAAAAAAATTAAATAAATATTGGTTTTTAAAAATTCATTTTAGTTCTTATTTCAAATTTCAAAAAAGTAAAAAAAAACTTTACCATTATTATTTTTTTTTTTTTTAAGAATCAAATGTAGAGAAAACTTGAAAGATTTTATTTTGATAAAAAAAAGTAGTAAGATTCTCTATTACTGTAGGAAATGTATTATTAATTACAAAAACATTTTTAAAAAATGTTGTAATAATAAAAAATTGTTTAATAAAACATTGAATTTAACGAATAAAAAATTGTGTTAAATAAATAAACTTTTTCGATGATAAATAATAATAATACATTCAGTGATTTGATTGCAAACTAGAATAGATAATTTCCACTGATCTTGAAGTCGATGAAACTTTGTTGATTGCATTTCCGCTTGAAATCTTTCCTTTTTCTTAAATTTTTTTTTTTATTTTCTTTGTCTTTTTTTACAATATTTTATCGCTTTTAGATTACTAAAGGAGATTAACGATCTAAACGGGAAGTGTTAATAAAATAATGAAGTAAATTGTTAATTTCTTTATCGATACGTTTTTTTTTTTTTTCTTAAATTTTATTGTGAAAAAAAATGTATAATGTAATTCCGGATATGATTTCAGTGCGACTTTAGACGTTATAGATCATTTAGTGTAGGGAATATTAATTTTTATTAATATCATTTTTTGCCTTTCTTTCGCGCCTAGGCAAAAACGGGTCGAGGTCGAATTTTTTTTTTTTTTTTTTTTTTTTTTTTTTAATTGTAACATTTAATCAGGAACCGGATTTTCTGATTGAGCCCGCGGCAAGGACTTTGAATGTCGAATATGTGATTCGGTAATGAAAAAAAAAAGAAAGTCATAAATCAGATGAAAATGAAATTTTCAAGATTCCAGGTCACATTGCAGTTAAGATATGAAGCAATTTTTTTTTCTTTGAGAATATGATGAATGAGATTGCGTTTAAAGGCCCGAATTATTAAAACATTTACTCATTAGTTGTAATATGTTTTAAAAAGAATTTATTAGAATTGATTAAATAATTTTCAGATTTGGAATATTTGAGTTTATCGTTAGAATTCTCTTGTAACTTAATATTGAATAACTTTTTTTCTTTCTTTTTTTTCGATATAATGGACTTTACATAACTATTTGATGGTCTGAATTATTATTTAATTTTTCTATTTTCTTGGGCATGATTTTAAAAAAATTTTTTATCCTCTCTCCAAAATATAATTATTTGTAAAACCTAATTAATTATAAATTATAAAAAAAATATCTTTTGCGCAATAGAAAAAAAATTTTTTTTAAATAAAAATAATTAGTGAATGTAAAATTAGTAAAAAAAAACCATTTTGTGGTTTAAAATTAAAAACGTAAAAGAGCAAGAACCAACACGTGTAATTTATAATTGCCCAATTTTTATTTTTAAATATAAATTTCACTAAATAAAGTTCATATATCTTATGAAATTTTATTTCTTATGGAAGAATTTTGACACTCTTCTATTGTTAACAAACATTTATTTAACTAGCAGTTTATTTGAATATTTATTATTTACAAAAGAAAAATTATCTGATTTACTTATCTGTTTATATTAAAAAAAAAAAAAAAAAAAAAAAAAAAAAAAAAAAAAAAAAAAAAAAGTTGACTAATTTTTTTAATTTTTTGACTTTTAGTTTATTTTTATTTTAATTTAAATTTACTCCCTACATTTAAGGGTGAATGACACCCGTGAGGTCTTTTTTAAAAATGTTTTCTTTCCTATTTATTTTTCTACAAAAAAAAAAATTTGTTATCTATCGTATCGAAAAATACAACAAAAATAATAATTTACAATTTTCTAACGTCTGATTAATTAACTTTATCTTTGCACAACTTTAAATTAATAAATTTAAAAAATTAAATTACAAAATTAAAAAATAATTTTTTTAATTTTTTAAATTTTGAAAGCTGAATAGATGTGCTTGAAGAGAAAATTATATCAATTTGATTAATTGCAAAACAAATATAATTATTTGAGAAAAAATGAAAAGTTATTAAATTTTAATTAATTTTATTTTTGTTTTCTGAAAAACGAAAAATAAAATTTTTAGACATTTTTATAAAATCCGTTACAAAGGGTAATAAAAATTATCAATCAACACGACTGACAAAGTTTTAAAAACTTTTTTCTTATTTAAAGTTGTACTTAAAAAAAGAACGTAAAAAATCATTGGGTATATAAAGGACGAATTTTGTAAGGTTTTTCAAAAAGTGAAAATAAGTTTATGCTTGCTCGAAAATAAAAATTAAAAGATAAAAATGAATATTTTCTGGCCAATTCTAGTTTTGATTGTCAAATGTATTTTTCCACTAGTATTGTCGCAGCGCGAAATCACAAATTTCCTTGGCCAGGTAATAAAATTAATTAAAAGATTTAAATTAATAGATTTTTTAATTTTTCATATGCTTTACATGCACTTTTGAAAAAATTTTACCCTTACCTTAAAGTTTAGAAATAATTATACGTATTACTAATATTTTGCTAAATATTAAATAATTCATTAAAAAATTAATAATTAATGAAATAATTGACAATGAATTAAATAATAAATATTACCATTTTTATAAATAAAAAAAAAAAAAATTTTTTTATAATAGAATTTTTAAAAACTATTGTTTTTACTTTAAACATTTCTCGATCTATTTATAAAGAGAAGAAAGAAAGAAAAAAAAAAGAAGTATTTTATATTATTATATTATTACTATATTATTATTCTATATTTCAGAAAAATGTATCTTTTTGTTTAAAAAACATTAATTTAAAAAAAAAAATGTACGACTATGTTAAAATATTTCATATTTCGCTGATTAAAAATTATTTGAAAAAAAAAATTATTTTGTTATTATTGAAACAGAGTTTTTCAAGTAAAAAAAAAATTCTGGAGATAAATAAAAAAGTCAATAAAAAATTAATAGTGAAAAACTAGCTTTTTAAAATTTAATTATTTTTTATTTTTATTAGATTATTTTCTATCTTAGAAAAATCATTAAATTTTATTGTATTGCGGCACGAAATCGTGAGGAAGAAAAAATCGCCAAAAACCTAATAAAGAAAATATTTTATTTTGACAAAATTTATCGTAAAATTAAAAAATTCTTTAATTTTATACGCAAAATTATTTTATTGCAAAAAATATTGTGCAAATCAAGTATTAAATAAAATTAAAATAAATTATTTGTAGTAGGACACGAAATATATGTAAAAAAATAATTTTTTAATTCTCTTCAAACATTAAATTTTGAAGAAATCAAATTTTTGAAGGAGATATGAAACTTTTTTTTATATCTATTTTTATTTCTAAAACTGCAACGAATTTTATTATTCATGAAAGAATATAAATATTTATAAAAATAATTTAAGTTTTTAAAAATAATTAAATTTTACAAAGAGTTCTATTAAAATTTTGGAGAATAATTAAATGTCTATGTGACATTTTATTAAAGTTTTTTGAAAATAATTGAATTCCTGAGAAGAATTTTAATAATTTAATTATTGCTAAAAATTTTATTAGAATTTTTTAAAAATCATTGAATTTCCAAGAAGAAATTTAATACTCTGGAAAATAATTAAATTCTTCTGATGAATATTGTTGTTTTTGAAAATAATTGAATTATGCAAAAAATTTTATTAAAATGCCACAAAATAATTGAATTTTTGTGAAAAATTTTGTTATTTTTGAAAATAATTGAATTTTTCATAAGAATTTTATAAATATTATTTGAAATAATTAATTTTTTCGAAATATAATAAATAATATGAAAATTTTATTTTAAATAATTGAATTCTCGTGGAAAACTTTATTTGTGAAAATAATTGAATTTTTTGATTAATTAATTTAAAAGAGTATTAAAATTATATGAAATTCTTCGATGAGTTTTATTATTTATGAAAATAATTGAATTCTTGCTTAGAATATTATCAAAAATTTTTTTAAAAAAATTAAAATTCCATGAAAAATGTTATTTAATAATGAAAGTAATTGAATTATTGTGAAGAATTGTATATAAAAATTTTGTTAATAATTGATTTTTTTTCGAATTTCGAATTCCATAAAATTGGAAAAATTATTATTTTTATTTTTATTTTTTTTTATTTATTATTTTTATTTTATTATTATTTTTATTTAAAAAAAGTAATCTAAATTAAAGATTTTGAAATTTATATTATAAAAAAATTTTGAAATTTAAAAGAATATTTTAGTTGTTACCAAAAATATTTAAAATATTTAAGTTTTATTAAAATCGGTTCAAAATTTTTTGTGAACAATATAATCAAGATCGGACTTTTTTTTACATATAAATATAATATCTGTTCGGGATGTACAAATCAAGTAATATTTTTAAGTATTATTAGTTGATTACGACAAATTATCAAAATCCAAAATGGCGGATCCAAAATGGCGGACGTTTTTTAAAAATTCATCGAATTCGTTCAAAAAACCGCATCAAAGGACAAATTTTAAACGTATTCGATTAAATTATTAAAAAAACTGACGGTGATATTTTTATTTATTTAAATTTTACATAATTATAGGCTATGTCATTAACGGAAGTGAAGGAAAGGAATATCCATATTTTAAAAACACTTATGAATATTAGATATTCTTGGTCTCGGTTAGCAGCTGATTGTGATGGTAGAAATGATGCAGAAACAGATTTCCTAAGTGAAAAAGAAATCTTGAATAGGATGTATTCAAACATTGCTTATTCAAGTATTCAACTTCATGAAGTTGGGGCAATATTGCAAGAAGCCTACAATTGGTATTTCGGGGCTAAAACTACATTATCTTCAAAAATACTGACACCATGCCACAACCTTGAAGGAGATGTGTTCAGAAAATGGATATCCATACATTTAGTAAGTAAAAACATTCATGATAATGTTATTATTAAAAAAAAAAAAAAAAAAAAAAAAAAAAAAAAAAAAAAAAAAAAAAAAAAAAATTGTATTTGCAGAATAAAGATTTATCTCTAATGGCAGAAGATCCGATTCATGAAACTTTAGAGAACAACATTCTTCTTCTGGAATTGTACAAATCTATACCTGACAATTTAAAAAATTATGATGCAGATAGAATTTTTGGCAAAATAAATAATGAGGTGTCGAGTATCATAGAAATGTGTGAAGATAGAGAAAGTAGTGGTTTTATAAATAGTAGAGCAAACTGTTTCGCCGAAGCACAAGAAATGTTTATAGATCTTAGTAATTTGTACCAAAATTCATTGATATTTACTGATTTAGATGACGTTATTATCCAAATTTTCGTAAGTAAAATTCTAAAAATTTTTTTCATAATAAAGTAAATTTTTTTGTTATACAAATTTTTTTTTATATCTTTTTCAGTCAAAACTCTTTGAGGATAATAGCATGATCATGACGGTAAGAGAAATATTAATGCTGTATAATAAAAGTTTAAATATTTTCTGAATAGTATTAAATTTTTTTATTGTTACTCATTTTATTTTCGAATTCTTAATTGTTACCTCTTTCTTTTCATAATTATGTTTATTAAGAGAATTTGAATGTTTTAAAAAAAAAAAATTTTTTTTTACTACGGTTTTTTATTTTCTGTATTATAATGTTATAATATTCTCGGCAATTAATTAAAACTATTTTTCAGTCGTTCTTCAAAGTACAATCGGCAAGTATAATTTAGTAATATAATAATTTTTTATCAATAATTATATTTACTTAAAATGAATATTACATATTTAGTATTATTACATTCGGAGGTTTTTGCAGTCACTGATTTTGTATTTTAAAGCCAGATTTTCAAAATTCAAAATGGCGGATCCAATATGGCGGACAAATTTCCTGAATCTATTTGAATTTTTATGAAACTTGGTATTTAGGGGTTTCAAAGATCGCTGAATACGAATTTGAAGTCAGATTCTTAAAATTCAAAATGGCTTCTTTAATATTATGTCCATACGAAAATATTAAATTTTTCATTTTCAGAAGCCTGCTTCATCAACGACGATGGAAAGGGTATATTTTTATAACATTTTTATAACATTTTTTATAACATTCCTAAATAAAAAAAATAAATAAATAAATGAAATTTTATAATAATTATTACAAGTTTATGCAACTTTATTTATTTATTTTTTTTAATTGATGAAAGATAAATTATTAAGTAATAAAAAATTTTATTTACTGTTTTAATTTTAATAAAATTCCAATTAATTAAATTTTTCTTTATTTCAATAATGTATTTTAATAACTTAACAAGTATAGAATGAAAAATTAAATTGATTTTTTTTAAAGACAACTACCAGCACAACTACTACCACGAACATCGAAGAATCAGTGAGTAATTTATTATAGTATTGGAGCAAAAGTAATTTTATTCATTCTAAGTAAATTTTTTATAATTTTCAAAAAGAAAAATAAAAATTATTAAATTGCGAAAAGTTTTTAAAAATAATGAAATTTTACAATGAATTCTATTAAAATTTTTAAGAATAATTAAATGTCTGTGTGTCATTTTATTAAATATTTTTTTAAAATAATTGAATTCCTAAAAAGGATTTTATTATTTATGAAAACAATTGAATTCTTGCGAACGATTTTATTGGAATTTTTTTAAATAATTGAATTTCCAAGAAAAAGTTTATTACTTTTAAAAATAATACAATTATTGTGATGAATATTGTTATTTATAAAAATAATTTAATTTTGCAACGAATTTTATTAAAATGCCCCAAAATAATTGAATTTTCGGGAATATTTTTGTTATCTATTGATATAATTGAATTCTTTCGAACAATTATTTATGTAAATGATTAAATTCTTTGGAAGCATTTTATTATAATCTAAAAGAATAATTGAATTATTTCAAAAAAATATAATTAAAAGTGTTTTTAAAATAATTGATTTCTTTCGAACTATTTTATTAAAATAATTGAAAACAATTGAATTCCTTTTAAAAAGTACTAATATTTTTGTAAATAATTGAATTCTTCCAAAGAATTTAAAAAAAAAATTTTTTTTTTAAATATTTTATTCTTTCGACGAATTGAAATTAAACTTTTGAGAATAATTAAATTTTTTGAGCAATTCCTGAAAAATTGTATTACAAATAATTGAAATCCTGAGATGAATTTTATTATTTATGAAAATAATTGATTTATTGCGAAAAATTTTATTAGAATTTTTCAAAATAATTGAATTTTCATTAAGAAATTTATTATTTTTAAAAATAATTGAATTCTTGTAATGAATATTGTTATCTATGAAAATAATTATTGAATTCTTGTGAAGAATTTTGTTATTTTTGAAAATAATTGAATTTCTGCGATGAATAATATTAAATTTTTTTTAAATAATTCGATTTTTTAAAATGGAATTTAGTTAAAATTCTTTTGAAACTAATTGAATTCTTTATAAAGAATTTTATAAAAAATTTTGTAAATAATTGAATTCTATCGGAGAAATTTATTAAGTTTTTTTTTAATAATAATTGAATCTTTTTAAGAAATTTTATTAAAATTGCATTCAAAAAATTGAATTCCCCAGAAGAATTTTATTATGTATGAGAATATAATTGAATTTCCGCAACGAATTTTATTGCGAAATTTTTTTAAATAATTGAATTACTGACTATTATTTTATTATTTATGAAAATAATTGAATTTAGAATATTTTTTTGAAAATAATTGAATAGTAGGTTTTACTAGATGCAAATAAATTTTTTAATAAATATTTTATTGTATATTCTTCGCAGTTAAACATAAAATGTAGATTGAAATAATTTTTTTTTTAATATTTCAAAAATAAAATAAAAAAAAAATAAAAATTTTAGTGTTTTCTTTAACTTTAGTTAAATTTTCTTTGCTAATACTAGAAATAAAAAAACTATTCGCAAAAATTATAATCAAATTCTTTAAAACGATTCAATTATTTTCAAAAAATATTCGAAATTTAATTATTTTTAATAAGTAACTGACGGTGTTATTTTTATTTATTTTTTACATAATTGTAGGATATGTCATTAACGGATTTGAAGGAAAGGACTTTCAATGTTCTAAAAACACTTATGAATATTAGATATTCTTGGCCTCGGTTAGCAGCTGATTGTGATGGTAGAAATGATGAAGAAATAAATTTTTTAAGTGAAGAAGATATTTTGAATAGAATGAATTCAAACATTGCTGATACAAGTATTGAACTTCATGAAGTTAGGGAAATATTGCAAGACCCCTACAATTGGTATTTAGTGGCTAAAAATACATTATCTCCAAAAATACTGACACCATGCCACAACCTTGAAGGAGATGTGTTCAGAAAATGGATATCCATACATTTAGTAAGTAAAAACATTCATGATAATGTTATTATAAAAAAAAAAAAAAAAAAAAAAAAAAAAAAAAAAAAAAAAAAAAAAAAAAAAAAATTGTATTTGCAGAATAAAGATTTATCTCTAATGGCAGAAGATCCGATTCATGAAACTTTAGAGAACAACATTCTTCTTCTGGAATTGTACAAATCTATACCTGACAATTTAAAAAATTATGATGCAGATGAAAAGTTTGTTAAAATAAATACTGATTTGGTCAGTGTCATAAAAATGTATGAAGACAGTGAGAGTAGTGGAACTACGACAAAAGAAAAAAATTTCTATTTCGATCAAGCACAAAATTTGTTTAAAAACATTATTAATTTGTACTATGGTTCATTGCAGTTTATTGATTTAGATGAAATTATTGTCAATATTTTTGTAAGTAAAAATCTAAAAAAAAAATTTTAAATAATAAAATTTTATTTTAAAATAAAATTATGTAAAGTAAATTTTTTATTATATACAAATATTTTTTTTTATATCTTTTTCAGAATAAAATCGATGGTGACAATAGAAATATCACTCCGGTGAGAAGAAATATTCATGAAATGAAATTTAAATATTTTCTAACTAATATTAAATTTTTTATTGTTCCTAAATTTATTTTTGAATTCTTAATGTTACCTCTTTCTTTTAATGTTTATTAAGAGACTTTCAATATTTTAAAAAGCATTTTTGACTAGTTTGTTTTTTATTTTCTGTATTATGATGTTATAATATTCTCTGTTATTGATTAAAATTATTTTTCATTTGTTTTTCAAGTTTCCTGAACCATCACAATCGGTAAGTATAATTTAGTAATATAATATTTTTTATCAATAACTATATTTACTTAAAATGAATATTACATGTTTAGTTATATTACATTCGGAGGTTTTTGCAGTCAATGATGGCGAATTTTAAAATCAGATTTTCAAAATTCAAAATGGCGGATCCAACATGGCGGACACAGTTCAAAAAACTATTTCGAATTTTATGAAACTTGGTATTTAGGGGTTTTTAAGATCGCTGATTACGAATTTGAAGTCAGATTTTTAAAATTCAAAATGGCTTCTTTAATATTATGTCCATACGAAAATATTAAATTTTTCATTTTCAGAAGCCTGCTTCATCAACGACGATGGAAAGGGTATATTTTTATAACATTTTATAATAATTATTACAAGTTTGTGCAACTTTATTTATTTATTTATTTATTTTTTTTTTTTGATTGATAAAAGTTAAAATTATTAAGTAATTAAACATTTTTTTTACTGTTTTAATTTTAATAAAATTTTCAAAATTTTCAATTAATTAAATTTTTCTTCATTTCAATAGAATGGTGAAGATATTAAGCGAACAACAGAAAAAAGTGTAAGTTATATTTCTTTAATAATTTATTTTATATTTTTTTTTGTTTATTTTATATATTATAATATATTATGTATTTTAATTACTTAACAAGTAGAATGAAAAATTAAATTGATTTTTTTTAAAGGTAACTACTAGCACAACCACTACCACAAACATCGAAGAACCAGTGAGTAATTTATTATAGTATTGAGCAAAAGTAATTTTATTCATTGTTTTTATAAATATCATAGTCTTTACATAAAAATGAATTTTATTTAATTTTACTTAATTAATTTTTATATTTTGGTTTTATTTAATTTTATTTAATATTATTTAATTTTATTTAATAATGAATTTTGTAGTTTAAAAAAAAGAAACGTGGCGATTAGGATGCAAAATACAGTCTTTTAATTTTATTTTAAATTACTATAATACTTGACTTGAATTTAATAAAATTTTTTAATTTCTAAAGAATAATGAAGATCATGATCTAGTTATAAAAGTAGAAGATTATGAAGACGATAAAGATGAAGAATCGGTAAGTATAATTTAGTAACAAATTAATAATTCTAAGTAAATTTTTTATAATTTTCAAAAAGAAGATACAAATTTTATTACTAATTTTAACAATGTTTTTCCTAATTTTCATAAAAAATATTTACTTCTTTCTTCACCTGTTAATATGTAAATTGAATTCCTGCAACGAATTTCATTATTCATAAAAGTATTTAAATATTTATGAAAATAATTTAATTCCTGCGAAGAATTTTATACAAATTTTTTAAATAATTCATTTCTTTCGACTTATTTCTATGCAAATTCTAATTTAAGTAATTGAATTCCTGAGAAATTTATATTATACATGAAAGAAATTGAAATCTTACGAAGATTTTTACAAAAAATTTGTAAATAATTGAAATCTGTTTGGAAATTTTATGAAAATACGTAATTGATATTGGAATTAAAAATAATTTATTGAATTAAAAAATTTTTAACGATAATTAAACTGTACAAAGAATTCTATTAAAATTTTTGAGAATAATTGAATATTTGTGTGGCATTTTATTAATTTTTTTTTGTTGAAAATAATTGAATTCCTAAAAGCATTTTGTAATTTCTGAAAACAATTGAATTCTTGCGAACGATTTTATTAGAATTTTTTAAAATAATTGAATTTCCAAAAAAAAATTTATTACTTTTAAAAATAATTGAATTCTTCTGATGAATATTGTTATTTATGAAAATAATTGAATAGTTGCAAAGAATTATATTGAAATTTTTAAAAATAATTGAATTCCTGAGAAGAATTTTATTATTTATGAAAACAATTAAATTATTACGAAAAATTTTATTAGAATTTTTAAAAATAATTGAATTTGCGAGAATAAATTTATTACTTTTAACAATAATTGAATTCTCGTGATGAATATTGTTATTTATGAAAATAATTGAATTTTGCAAAAAATTTTATTACAATTCCTCAAAATAATTGAATTTTTTGTAATTTTTGTTATTTATCTTTAAGAAATTGAATTCTTTCGAAGAATTATTCATGTAAATAATTGAATTTTTGCGAAAAAATTTATTAAAATCTAAAAGAAAAATTGAATTATTTCAAAAAAATTTAATTAAAATTGTGTTTAAAATAATTGATTTCTTTCGAACAATTTTATTAATATATTTGAAAATAATTGAATTCCTGTGAAAAATTCTACTACTTTTGTAAATAATTGAATTTTTCCAAAAAAATTTAAAAAAACGTTTTTTAAATAATTGATTTTTTCGAGGAATTATAATTAAATTTTTAAGAATAATTACAATTTTTGGAACAATTCCTGTAAAATTCTATTAAAAAGAATTGAAATTCTGCAATGAATTTTATTATTTATGAATATAATTGAATAGTTGCAAAGAATTTTATTAAATATTTCAAAAATAATTGAATTGCGAAGGAGAATTTTATTATTTCTAAAAATAATTGAATTGTTGCTAAAAATTTTATTAGAATTTGTTTAAAATAATTGAATTTCCAAGAAGAAATTTATTACTTTTCAAAATAATTGAATTCTTGTGATGAATATTGTTATTTATGAAAATAATTGAATTCTTGTGGAAAATTTTGTTATTTTTGAAAATAATTGAATTTTTCAATTAATTATTTTAAAGTAGTATTAAAAATAATTGAAATTCTTCGATGAGTTTTATTATTTATGAAAATAATTGAATTCTTGTTTAGAATTTTATCAAAAAAATTTTTTTTTTAAATTAAATTTCCAGGAAAATTGTTATTTATTAATGAAAGTAATTGAATTACTGTGAAGAATTGTATAAATATTTTGTAAAATAATTGGTTTTTTGAAATTTTTTTAAAAATATTCTGTTCTAAATTAAATTAAATTCCTGTGGAAATTTTATTATTTATGGAAATAATTGAATTTTTGATGAATTTTATAAAATTTTTTTTTTCAAATAATTGAATTCTTTTGCGAAATTTTATATAAATACTAGATATTAAAAATAATTGCATTTCGAATATTTTTTTGAAAATAATTGAATTGTTTTAAAGAATTTGATTATAATTTTTGAGAATATTCATGAGTCTCAAAAAGTACAAAAAAAAAAAAAAAAAAATAATAATAATAATAATAATAATAATAATAAAAATAATCAAGTTTCATTTCTATTTTACAGCTACAAGATGAGATTTATCCAGAAGATAGAAATTTAATGTCACATTTAGAAATTGCGTCTGAATTCTTTAAAAAAATTTTAGACCAATATGAATGCAGTAAAATGCCAGAATACGAAAATATAAACATTGCTGAATCAAATATTTCACCATTATTGAAATTACTACTTGAGAGTGTGCAAAGAAGTATTAAGTTTCGTCAAGAAAGTTTTAGATCACCTTTCAATGATCCTTTCCTGAATATAACTGAAGGGATGTTAAAATTAATGCCAAAAGAATGTGGTCTACAGAGAATGAAAAATAAGGAATTAGTTCTTACACTTTCGAAAATTATTAATAGATATAAAAAAAATTTCCCAACTGAGAATAATGGCGATGAATATGCGAAATGCTTTGCAAGATGCTTTAGTAAATTGTTTTCTATAACTGGAACCATTAACAATCTTAATTTTGAAAGTCGTCATCCTTTCAGAGAGAATTTTAACGATGATTTTTTAAAGGGAGCAAATCTCGAAATTCAAAAGTGTAGAAAACTGAAGGTATGAATATTTTTAAATTTGAATTTAAAATATAAATTATTTTATGCAACTCAGACGTATTATTTGGTCACTTTATTTACCTGTAATTCCCCCTTATAACCCAGCGGTTAATAAAGTGCCCATTATTGCCCTAGGGCAATAAAGTACTTATTATTGCCCTAGGACAATAAAGTACTCATTATTGCCCTAGGGTAATAAAGTCCTCATTATTACTCTAGAGCAATAAAGTGCCCATTATTGCCCTAGGGCAATAAAATACCCATTATTACCCTAGGGGAAAAAAGTGTACTTTATTTACCGCTTACAGGTCAATAAAATACTCATTATTACCCTAGGACAATAATGGACACTTTATTGACCAGCTGTGTTATATGGAGAAATTTTTATTTCTTTTTATTAAATTAATTTTTCAATTTCTAAAAAATATTTAATACTTTTTTTCTTCTTTCTTTAGAGTGGACCAAAAATTGGTGCTGCCTTAAATATAGTATTTTCTCAGGGCGTTTGAGATGCTGATATAATTTTCCTTTCTTTATCGATTTAATCGATTTGCATTAAAGTAAAATTAGTATTTTTTTGGGAAAAAGTAAACATAAAATTGAATTTAAAACATAAAGAATGTATTTTTTGTTATTCCGAAAGGTGGTGGTAAAGGGTTATTAATTATTATAAACAAGACAAATAAAATTTCAAAAATATTTAAAGTTTAATTTAATTTTCCCTGTTATATTAATTATTATTTTATCTTATTATTGTTAATTTTATTTTTGAATTCATTTTTTTTTTTTTTGTAAATTAAAATAAAATTTTCAGACATTATTTGTACAATCAGTTATAAATGTTATCAAACAACACGATTGACATGTTTTAAATACGTTGGCTTTTTTTAATACTATATTTAAAAAAAAGAACATAAAAATGCATTTTTTTATATAAAGAACAAAGTTTGTGAAATTTTTCAAAAATTGAAAAAAAAATTCATGCTTACTTTTAAAATAAAAATGAAAATTCTAATAAAATTCTTTCCAGAAATTCAATTATTCTCAGAAATTATAAAAAAAATTATCGTCAATATTTCAATTATTTTTATAAATATCAAAATTCTTCGTCAAAATTCAATTATATTCAGGAATTTAAAAAAAAGTTTATTGTAAAATTCAATTACTTTCATAAATAAAAAATATTCAACACAAGATTACAATTTTTTTGAAAATTAATAAAATTCTTCGCAGAAATTCAATTATTTTCAGGAATTTTAATAAAATTGTAAAATTCAATTATTTTCAAAAATTTTAGAAAAATTCATGTCAAAACTTTAATTATTTTCAAAAATTTTTTTTAATTTAATAATTCGTATATTAATTACTTTAATAAAAATTCCCAAAAGAATTCAATTAATTAAAAACAATTTAGACAAATTTTTACACGAATATTCAATTATTTTCTAAAATAATAATGAAAATTTCACTCGAATTCAATTATTAAAAATATAATTTGCATAAATTTTTTTGAAAAAATCAAATGTTTGAAATATGACATTAAATTCTTCGCATTAAATCAATTATTTTCATAAATTTTAATAAAATTCATGGCAAAATTCAATTATTTTCTAAAATAATAAAAATTTCACAGGCATTCAATTATTAAAAACAGAATTTCATAAATTTTTTCGAAAAATATTAATTTTTTGAAACTTTTTTTATAAAATTCTTCGCAATAATTCAATTATTTTAATAAATAATAAAACTCATTGCAGAATTTCAATTATTTTTAATACAGTTTTAATCGAATTCCTCAAAAAATGTAATAAATTATTCTTGAAAATTTTATTAAAATTCGTCGAAAGAATTCAATTAATTGAAAATTTGTTAATAAAATTATGTATAATAATTCCATTTCAAGAAATATTCAATTATTCAATAAATTATCTATGTTTGTATTTAAATAATTGAATTCTCGTAGAATTTTCTAATAAAAAATTATTTAAAAATTAATTTCAATTAAAGTTTCGGATAATGATTGCGAATTTTCAAAAAGTTACTAATAATTGAAATTTTTAGAAATAATTGAATGTTACATAAAATATTTCAAATTAAAATCTTTGAAAATCTGAATTTTTCATACATTTAATTAAAAATTCTATGGAACCTAAATTTTTAGAAAGCTTAATCGAAATATTTAAAAAATTTTTCAAATTTTTATTTTCTAATGTATGTTTAATTAAACAATTTTCGAATAATTGAAATTTCAGGTAAAATTGAATTTGAGTTAATATTCAAAATTAATTAATA